CACAGAGAAAGCGAATAAGAGAATTTCGCAGAAGCAGGGCGTGAATCGTGCTTGATGAAGAGCATCTTGACGAGGAGGGTCAGGCAAGTCAAATTACGATGACAGTCCTGCTGTATTCGAATTTGTTGACTGAACATTGCATCTAGCATGCAGTAGGAAATTTGGATGTTTTGCAGTAAGAGAAGTAATAGCCGGATAAATCGGATTCATGAAAGAGCAATGAGAATAGCTCATGATGATTATGAATCAACTTTTGAACAACTTTTAGTAAAGAATAAAACAATATCTTCTCTGAAGAAAAATTTACAATATCTTGCGATAGAAATTTACAAAAATTTTGAACAGTTTGAATCCACCTTTTATGGATGAAATATTTTCCATAAATGAATGCCCATATTACTTAAGAAACTCCCAATTCAAACAGCAAAGCCACATTACAAAATACATGGATTTAATACCGTATCATACAGATGTAGCCAAATATGGAACTCAGTTCCAAACGAGATAAAGTACTCCCCTACTTTACAAATATTCAAGAAAAAAATCTCAGAATTTACATCGTTTAATTGTACTTGTAATCTTGGTTAAACATGGTTGAAAGTCAAATAAAACAGGCCATCACGAAATAATTCTTTGCAATCAATCCTCGCATTGTTTACAGTTTTAGGGGAAGGATTGTGTATCGTTGTTATGAATAAACCTGCTTCTGTGATTCTGGCTACGGTGGGCACACAACCCGAAGATTGGGGGAAGTATAACCAGTGGCGTAGTTTGACCTTCCAGACTAGGGGGGGTAGAGGGTAACCAGTGGCGTAGTTTGACCTTCCAGACTAGGGGGGTAGAGGGTTATGCGTGGTAAATGTTACCGAAAAGGACATAGATGAAGGATAATTTGGGTGCTATTTCCTCTACTTATAGAATTTACAGGATATGTTGGAATATGACCCAACGTTGATGGTCAAACGATCCAACGTTTCACCCAACATTTCATTTTCATTTTTCATTTTAAAATATTAAAAGAGGTTATGAGTTTCATATCACGATATGTTTTTCAAACTGACCTGTTTTAAACTAACACACTAAACTAAGATTAAAAGAAATTATCATTCCTAATTTACAATATAATATAATACAAAATCTATGAAAAAGAACGTAAAATTTAAATTAAAGTTACACCCCTTCTTTAGTTGTTCTTTGAAAATTTTGAGGGATGGTGTCAATTTTTTTTTCTCTTTCTAGACTGTCCTAGAGCTTTGCAACGCCATGAGAAAAGCCTTATGGCCATTGATCGTTTTCATTAACGGTATCCTAACATCAGTTTCTGATGAGCGAAGAAACCGTTCTCTGTCATCTGAATATGTTATGAATAATTTTCTCAAGTAGTCAGGGGCAAGTGAATTCAGAGCCTGTAAGTCAGCGTTGCAGTCTCTTTTCTCACAAGATTACTGATAGTTGACCAGCCAAGACTCTGAATTAGCGGAGCAGCTGAAGCATCGTATAGGCTGTTTGTTACAATTCTTGCAGCTCTTTTTTGGATTTTTTGCAGGACGGCAATTTTTGATTTACTACAGCAGCCACAAACGGAGAAACAGTAACCCAAATCGGGCTCAACAAATCCTCTATACATTTTATTGAGAACGTCAGATGGAAGATATTTCTAAGAATACTTAATAAGTGCAAAGGATCGATTTGCCTTGGATTTGAAAGAATCGCTATTTTTGTCCCATTTTAGTTGACTGTCTATCTGAGCACCTAAATGTATTGGTAGTCATTTCAATATTCCTGATCACTTGTTGAAAAAGATGGTAGAGCATCAGGCTGGCCTTCGATCCTATGGATGTTTGGACCAGAACCTATAATAAGTGACTGTGTTTTCACAACGTTAAGGGAAAGTTTGTTTGCATGCAGCCAATCCTGTAGTTTCAAAAGTTCTAAGTTTAGGTCATTCTGTCGGTCATCAGTGCTTTTTGAGGAGAGAGAAATAACCGCGTCATCAACATGCATGCTGACATGAGATATTTGCAGAGAATAAGGCAGATCATTGATGCTAATCGGGAATAAGAGTGGACCAAGACAAAAGCCTTGAGGAACTCCACAATCTCTTCCCTTCATATCAGAGGAAATGCCATCTAACCTGCAAAATTGTTTACCATTATCCCAGTATGATGTAAGCCAGTCATGTTCCAGGCCAGTCACTCCGTAAATATTCATTTTTTAGCAGGATTTCATGATCAAACGTGTCAAAGGCCCCCTTCAGGTCAATGAAAATTAGAGCAATGGATTTTCCTGTGTCTATATTCAGGTACCAACCATTGGGGCTAGCCATAAGGGCTGTGGCAACCGAATGTTAGAGTCGAAAACCAGACTGGTGCTCGTACAGTGATTTATTTGCGTCCAGGTATTCATAAAACTGATTGAAAATTAACTTCTCAAAAACTTACTTCACCCAACATTTTCACGCGCAGATCGAGAAAGGACTGGGTAGAAGGTCGCGCTGGAGGCTGCACAGTTTCGCGACATTTCGATCCGAAAAAACGAAAGGTACTCGCTGCCTTCACTGTCATCGCGGCTTTTCAGGACAAGCGTTGCATCCCTTATCGAGGCCGTGGCCTAAATTCGTCTCCCTGCGCTTTCTTGTAGCTCCTCTGTGCTACGGACTCTTCATTGACGCTTTACGCCTCCTCTTTTGCGCAAAATTCGTTATACTTCGTTATATTTTCCATAATTTAAGTGCAACTGATTGTAAGCAAGCGCGATTGTTAAAACGAACGAAACCAGCCCGAGAAAGCAACGATGCGATGACTGAATTTTGACGCCCTTTATCTGCGCGTGCGCAGAGCCAATAATGGCCGACCAGACATTTCACCTAGCACTTGAAAACAATGGAATTTTTGGATGTTAGCTGCCAACATTTTGACCTCAGTCAAATTTCATCCAACATAAAAAATGACGATGTTGGATGACCCAATATGGTGGTCAAACCATCCAACATGATGTTGGGCGAAATGTTGGGTGAAATGTTGGATCGTTTGACCAGGGCTTTATTAGGTGCATTTCTGCATTTCGGTTACATTAGGTTTTCTCGTGTTATACAAAAGCGCTTAAATAATGTCACATTTGAGATCTTTCCTCGAAAATCTCGAAAATCAGAAAAGATTCCGAATCTACACTACCAATCAGGCAAAATTTAATGTTTTTAGCCTCTTAGCATTATCATATGCTAATGAGATGAAACATGTTTCTAAAAAGAAGTGTAAAAATGGCATGAAAATATAATTAAAGTGTTCTAAAGGTAAACTCTATAAATAGGTAGATGTTGTTTTGAGTTAGTGTAACTTTTAAGTCTCAAAAAAAAATTAAAATATTAATGGAAAAATGGCAAATTTTGAAAGGCATAAAAATGAAACTTTATAAAAATACCAGTGTCACACCTTAAAAATTATCTTGCTGTGTTTGTTCAGATTTCAAAGTACCAAGTATTTTTTTAAAAATCTGTTAGGTGGAAACGGCCTAATTTGAAAAATGTCACAAACTCAGAACGTTGCTTGATATTTGTATCCTGTATAAGGGTCCTGTATATTTATTAGTCAAAGCTAATGCCTTCTGTATAAAAATCACAGATTCAAGTATGTAGGCATTATATAGTAGGAACACTCTACTGAATTCTTTAACAATTCATTATCTTTTCCGTCCAACAAAAAATTTGAATAGTAAAGTTGATTTTTCAGAAAAATAGTCAACCATTATGTAACAAATTGTTGCTCAGTTTTCAATAATACTATCGAGCATGACAAAAGTATGCTTGTCATTGTGTGCTGCTAACGATAGGCCCTTTATATTTATTTCAAAAATGGTCATTCCGTCCAACAGATGAACCTTTTTCGTTACTTTGTTTAGACGTTTGATTCAGAAACGTTGCATTTGATTGGACGGAATCCTTTTCTTAAACTCAAATCAAATCATGCTATGTACGTTTGTTACTTAGTTTGTCTCGAAAACGTATTGAAGTTTTCCACTAGTTTCACCCTGAAGTGTTAGCTTACAATTTTAAAGGTATTGTTTAAAAAGTTGCATTTTGTCCGTCCAACAGTTTCGTCCAACAGATTAAATCTATAAACTTTGGATTTGATTATAGTTAAGCATTCAACATTTCCCGTTTTGAATAAGTGTTAAAAACGTTGCATGTATCTTATTATTTGATAATCTTATCAGTTGAAGCTTTTAAGTCAAGAATTTTAGATATAATTTTTATCACCTTAGTTTTTGCCAACAGTTATAAGGCTATCTATTCCGTCTTACACATCATTATTTCCTAAATATTTTCCAAAACTTCAGACGTATTAAAACATTTCTTTGCCCAGCCCTTATTCCACCTTGTTGGGTTTAAAGGCCCCCCCCCCCCCATAGTGGTCGAGATTCACGCATTCACGCACAATTTTTTTTTACTTTTCACGCATTCACGCACTGCAAAATTGGATTTTCACGCTCCGCAAACAATAAATGTAATATCTGTTATTGCTCATAAGAGCCCTGTTTGAAGGACTACAACACAACTGTCAAACTTTGAAAGTCTACACTTTGCTTGCACTACAAATCAGCAGAAACGACAGGAAATTTAAATTATCATTCAAAATTTCATTAATGTGTAGTTAAAGCCTTTTCATGACATAACGCAAGGAAAGCTCATGTTTCACGCTTCACGTAGGAATCTTTATTCACGAAACCACGCATATAAAATTTTACGATTTCACGCACGAGAACATGGCGAATAACGCATCACGGAAAAATATAGGGGGGGGGCCTTTAAAATCCCCCTATGAAAAAATCAAGGCTGGTTTAGCAAACATGTTTGTACGCAGAAATTGTATCGAATTCCATCCAACAGAAAAATCCTAATTCAAAATAATACCTGTAAAAAATTTGAATTCAATATAAATATGGAGTATTCAATTTCAAAATGTTATTATTGAATAAAAATGTTTCAATAAGAGGATGCCTACCTTGTGAAGAATTTGAGATTGAGATTTCGTTTTCAGGAACTTTTCCAACCTTACGGTGACAACTGGCAGTGTTTCTTTAAAAAGTCGCATCTCAAGATAAGGTGTTTTTTCTACGATGTTTCTTTGGCTTCCATATTTGTAATTTTGTTTTGAATTCATTGACAATAATTTCAGTCCTGCCATCATCTTTTAACGAAACATTTTCTTCAACAGCGATTCTGCAACAAGCAAACAGTTTTTATTATGATTCGTTGACTTTTGTCAAGTCATTGAATAGGTTATAGCAGTCAGTTTTCAAATCAAAATGAACAGATGAACTCTTATAACGAATGACCTGTAAATCACGTGACCAAACAATTTCAATTTTGCTAGCAATAGAGTGGAATCACATGGTTACTGTGATCATTTTCCACTAATCATATTTCTCTTTGTCATAAACCCTAGATAAAGGTAGAGTTTTCTCTGACCGTAAAACTTTGATAACCTTAGGGGTTTTCAGCACAGAATCCAAAACACGGAACTGCCTCTATGCTCGGCCTAGTTATGAAAGATTGCAATAAAACGCCTTCACAAGATGCATTAAATCTCTAACTAAAGTCTTATTGACAAATAGGCGAGTTGAAAAATTAAACTATTGATCGATAACACGTTTATGTTGCTTTTCAAGGGAAGCACAGAGGTTTTGCAGTCAAAAGCGACAATACGTACATAAACATACACATTTTGGTTTAATGTTGTAAGCGCCATTGCGCTTGTTCATTGGTCAAGTATTAATTTTCAAAGTTAAGCAAATAAAAATGTCTTTTAATTTAAAAATTTCTTTTGACAATAAATTTCCTATTGATGGGTCTACTCTCACAACAGCTCATTTAGCGTAACAATTTGACTTCTAAATTTCTTTGATAATTAGACAACTCACCTAAGTCCCTGCTGTAGAAAACATTGCACAAAGTCGATCAAAAGTGCTTGCAAGAAACCACTCACTGCATAGGGTAACACGATTCAGGTTATTACAGCACCACAAACCCATCAATCAATTGAAAAACCCAGAAGACAATGACAATCTATAACATTCTAGAAAGTCTGTGAAATTCAATTTGTCCTATCCTAGGCCACTTTCCAGACTGTCTTCAAACTAGCTACTTGCAACTGGAAGTTTGTTTAACGCAAAATTGCTTTTGGCGCGAAATTCGTGCAGTGTATGATGTGTCCCACACAATTTCACACTTCACGATTAATATGACAAAAGGGGGAGCTCCCTTGTGCGGCACTTGACAGAGATTTACTAGTGCCCAGGTTATTCGGAAGTGGGAATCTGTTTTCTGCAAAAATATTGCTTATAGTCACTTCCACGAGCAAGCGTCTCTTGCTAAGTCACTTGCTAACCAATTCAGTGTTTGTCGTATTGTATTGAAGAGACGTTAGAGCTGATTTTATGCTTATCTGCTTTGATTCACCTTGGACTCATTGCACGAGAGCCCCCTTAAGAGAACTTTTGAATATCTAGATTCACGATGCATTCGGATCAGATTTGGCCAATCGGCGGCGTGGCATCACCGAATCCTTTTCTGTCAGCTCTCCAAACTGTTCTTAGTTTAGGGGTAGGAATATCAGTTAAGGCAGCGAATTTTGGACATCTCAATTTGAAGGAGTTTAATTTTTCCAATCTCGTCTTATTCAGAAGAACTAAAGCTCCTTTTCATACAAGTAAGTCTGATATCAGCCCAGAAAATGCTAAAAACTGATCCAAAGTAGAAACTTCTACAACTTTACAAGCTCATTTGTTGATCAATTTTCTGCGCTATGATTACTTTTGATAATGTTATACATAATACATTTCCACTATAACCTTCATTGTTACAAGATTACCTATCAAGAAAAGAAGCTATTTGGTCGCACTTCGAGACATCTTGGACATTTGAGACATTTGAGACCGTCAGAAATTTTGCAAATGAAGCCCATTTAAAATGCCAGAGAATACGAAGAAAAACTGATAACAGGAAGTATAATTATTACATTTTTAATGTTAGTGCTACAATAGTGCAGATACTAGTTTATACATCGAGATTCAACCTTAAAAACCCAATTGGCATGGCGACAGTGTGCCATTAATTTTTCATGCTGACCCTGTATTCACGCTGACATCATTAAACATGCACCAAACCCACCAAAAATTGTTTGAAACACTTGTAATTTTTAAGGCAATTACTTGTAGAATAGCCAAATTACCCGTGGTTTTTACTGCTGTTGTTATGACAAATTCTCGATGACCTCTTGGTGACATTCTAGTGAGCCATTAAACCTCTCCTCGAATAATTTGAATCTCTTTTTTATAAGTTCCTAATTAGTTCTTAAATCATTAGGGTGTATGTAAGCAGGGCGATTGCTAGCTTTTTCACTCTAGGGAGGTGTTCAGGCCTTATTTGCCAACAAAGTGAGTGAGACAAACTTCATTTGCTGAAACGTTTGAATATTCACCAAGAAAGCACCCACAAATGGCTAAAACCCCTCGTTGTTTTTGAGATAAAATTGCATTTTATAGTAGCTCAGCCTCAGCTTGTTCTTAATCTGGTCTCAACTTTTGACCAATATTGAAGCTTGTGTTCTTATAAAATTGTTCTTATATTAAAAAAGAGCGCATTCTAAAGCTCGTGCTTTCTTTGAGTTTAACATTTCTAATTTGCGTTAGACTTCCCTTGAACTGTTAATTATTCATCACTCAGCTACAAAAATTATATTTTTCCTGTAAAACAATTTTTGCAAAATAGTGTTTCCTTAGCTTAAGGTATTAATTCTCAACTTATGTTGAGAAAGAATTTGTTAAAAATCATCAGTAATCATAAATTGTCCCATATCCAGTAAACGACTCAAATATGTGCAGAATTAACTACACTTTAGGATAGACCTGTAAACATTATTCATCATTAAAGGAACATCGTATCCTCAAAATAAGACAAGAATGGATTTAAACAATGACTATATGATATCTTCACTATTTACACTTTTCACATGGATAACATGAACGCCATATTTACTTTCTCTAAAACAAATTTTTAACAATGGTGTAAATAATTATTTCGACAGGTAAGTTTTTTGCATTTTTTTTTAGATTTCATGTAAGGCATAGATGGAACACCAACAACTGTCAGTATTTAATTTAATTTACTTTTAAGCATTAGAAATCACATTTATCGAATAAATCCCAAATGTATCCCAAGCCCTTAATCAAGAATAAAATATGTCCAACCTGGCCTTCTTAATCCAAGCATGCACAAATCAGTACTAATTTCGAGTGCTTGTATGCTACGCAATATAAATGTCTGCATATTTTTGAAGTCCTGTTTTAATGCATCAAATGCATCATCCCAAAAGATTTGTTGATTTTATTGTATATACGAGCTTGCAAAGAAGTAAGAAGAGTTTGTTTTTTGATCATGATAATCCCGAGCCATCGTACATCATCATCCTCAGGAATTCTAAAAGTAAATATCAGAAAGACGTTAATAAATAAAACTTAAAGATGGAAAAATGGAAAATGGCATCCCCTATAATGAGCATGGATTAAATTCTACTCTAAATCAAAACACGTAAACCTTTTACCAGATTGTTTTTTTCTAAGAAAAAGCCAAATGAATCAACTATAAACATGGTCCATTTATACTCAACCCCAGGCTCCATTTTCAAAGCAATGTTTAAGCAGTCCCCGGTAGGGTTGGCCGGTTCATGACACCGGGTCAGGATGACCTATGAGCACGTGGGAAAATATAGAAGAATATTGACCCATCTGACTGGGTCGTATTCAAACTCGCGGTTCTCTTTCCGAGGATGGCTACTGCTTTTTCAACCCTTGCAACTTTACATAATGCAACAGAATATTCCCTTAAGGCTCGTTGAAGTCAGCTTTCGGGGCTAAAAATGCCGAGGAGCTCTTTTTTCAAAAAAATCATATGTTCTTCGCTTAATTGTTAGGTTAGGCTTGGAAACGATGCCTAGATGTCTCTGCAAGAGAAAAAACAGTCTTTAGCGTACAAACTGTTGTCTGTTTAAACCAAATATAGCTCAGTCATTAGGGTCGTTGACTACACACCAAAGGGTCCGTAGTTCGAGTCCCTGACATGACCAAACTTTTAAACGAAAAAACTGCTATTGTCTAGACAAAAGGAAGTCGTTTTCCCCTTAGGACTCCATTGGTAACATTCTCTACAGGCAAGTGGCACTGATTGGGCAACCTCAACAGCCATGTGCTCGCGTTTCTGATTGGCCTATTTCAATCCACAACTGGGTATATAAATTTCCTAGCGTAGAGTTTTCGATCTATGTTCTGACGTTTTAAACTCTGAAGAGTGTCAGACGAAAAGCTTTAGTTTACTCAAATGTTTGCTTTTTTAAAGCCATTTACAAATCTACTTGTGTTGTTCGTTTCTCATCATCTATCAGGCTATATCAACGTGTTTCTTTATGAGCTGCATATAAAATATATGGTAAATCTTAAAAATGTATTCAGTAGTTAAAATATTGGTATAACAGAGATGAATAATCTAGATCAGTATTTGTCAGCTACGATGGGTTTGCAATAATTAACCATGCTCGTTTTATTAAGTATAACTTAATGTTAGGTATTTAGAAATTGTTTTTCGCTATCATATTGTTTTGTCAATCGCGGAAACAGGTACCTAGATTGTGATGAGAAATTTCATCAATAAAATATCGCAACTTCAAGGAACTCAAGTAAAACGAAAATATGAAACACACCATTGTAATCGACTTGTCCATCGCCATCAACATCAGCCTCTCTAATCATCTCGTCGATTTCTGATTCTGTTAATTCCTCTCCCAGCTCCAATGCAACTTGCTTTAACTCTGTCATGCTGATGTATCCATTTCCATCCAAGTCAAAGAACTCAAAAGCTATTCTAACTTCTTCTTCCACCGCTTTTATACTTTGTTGTTTCGCTCCCATCATGTCAAGAAACTCTGCCAGTTCTATCTTGCCATCACCTGAAACATTTTAGCTATTAATATGTGCCTACTGTCTTGCGCAACATGAAAGAAACACAAGAAAGCAATCTTCAAATTCAGAAATAGATTTGAATATAAACATCAAAAATTAATATTTAATAAGAGCGCATGTCCAATGTACTCCTAAACGGCTGACAGTGTCCAATAAGCAATTCTTTCATTCGACGCAGTCCTTGCTTTTAGGCAAGTAATGTTACTAACAGCTTTCATTTAACTTGTATCAGAAAGAGTTCCCCGCCCAACCCGGACAGGTCCTTGAATCTTTAAATCCTCAACATTAGGTATTAGTTATAAGTTACAGATAGATAACTAAGGGACTAAGTGACTATAGGAATAAACCCTAGGCGTTATCTGTTTCTACTTTAAAGGCCTAAGAAAAATGCTTTTCTAAATTTTTTAAAGAATAAGCCTTCTTTCTTAATGCAAAATATCTGTCCTACAATCTAAAGATCAAGAATTATTGCACTTTTACAGGGTGATGCCTCACTCATTGGAAGACTTTCGCTTGTCCTTACAAGATTGATGAGCCAGAAATCGTAACCTTGCCCCAAAAGAAAGCCGAAGAGGCATGGTTTGGTCGTCATATTTAGGAATCTATTTTGTTTACAATGATCTCCCAGGTCATCTTTCACCACCAGGCGTCGAAAAACATTTTGTCAGAAACACTTATGTTAAACCCATAAAAGATAATCGGTTCTGCAATGATTGGTTACATTTTTCGTTTTAATTGATTCAGTAATGATAGTCAAGTCAGAGAACTAGAGCTTCTGGCCTATTCATTTTAGGGTAACTCTAATGATGGATGTACCAGGGCCCAACTGCATATGAAACCGACTTTTAGTTTAAAGTTTGTCACAGTACTTTAGATGTTTTTTAACTTCCAAGAGTTGTCAGGACCTACCAATGAAAAATTTGGTAAGCAGTCAATTGTGATATGGAGTAACGTAAGGTATTCAAACGTTTCTACTTACAGCAATTTTGTATTATTTTAATTATTATAGGCCTCCCATCTGGGGAAAACACAAAAGAAGGTTCTTTCTCTTGTTGATAAAGAAACATTCACAAAACAAACAAAATTACAATTACGTAGACATTACAAAATGTTTTGCTGTATACCCTCAATACATATCAAAACCCTTACTGGATTTTATAAAGGATCTTGGGGGGGGGGGTTGTAGGAGCTAATGTTGCTCTGGTCTTGGTCACAGGTTACTCAAATGACAGCAAATCCTGAAAAATCCTTTTTAGGCACTTTGCAGAAAAGCAGCAACACAGCTAAGTTTCTGATAAAAAGATTGCAGTTGTTTATTCGTTTAAACAAAGGCGAGATTCTTGTCATAAGTTTTGTATACTCCAATTTCGACAACCGTGGTTGTTCTCTCATCCACCGGTAAACCAATTGTACTCAAAAAGTGTCTTAAAACAAATTTGTTTGGATCGGAATTACTCCATCAAATAGCCAAAATCCAATGGCATATGATTGCGCGTTGGATGGACTACCAAGAGAAAAGTAGATAGGGTCTCTTAGCAAGGACAGAGAAAAGTAAAGTAAGGACAATTTCAAAATCATTTGGCAAGCAAGGTCGTTTTTCAATTTACGAATCTTAACATCCATCCAAAGCAATGAAACAGATTTTTAGTTGTGCAGACAAAACTTGTTAGAGTTTAGACTTTGGAGCCTGAACCCCAGTCCACAGATGCTGAAACTCTTATGGACTGGGCAACATTGATCAAAATGTTGTCCACAGTTTCCGCCAGAATCTGGTGGTAATTTATGCATCCCTCCAAAATTATGCAATTAGCTTATATTGTCAACGGCTCAAACCTTGCAAGACTTTAAACTCGTCATGTTTACCATCTTATCCACGTTTTGTTTGGCTTCAGTGCATATTTCTTGGAGGGTTTTTGATGCAGTATTTCAAGGGTTTCAATGCATAAATTATTTTCATAAACTTGACCAAGCCCTCTGCCTGGACAAAATATTTATCAATATTGCCTAGTCCATAAATGTGGCAGCATTTGTGGATTGGCGCGCAGGCTAGAACGTTTCAACTAAGTAAGGTGTATGCGGTCTGCCAATAGTCAAAAACGAAAATTACTTTTAGTATTTTAAAGAATAAGTACTTTTTAATTTCGAGAAGCTCGTAGCGAATCGAAGTTTTGACTGAAAACTTAAACTGTGTTTTCATAGCTGTAAACAAACTAGGCTGCAGGTGACGCAATCATTGGATTCTATATAAATATACAGCTGTTTTGCTGTGAATGCCGCCATCTGTTCAAGAAAACATATTGGCAATGGGAATTTCAAAGAAATATAAAGAAAAAACATGCCTTTACCATTGAATCTTATGTGTTTCACGAAATGCAATTATGCAACCAAAAGTGATGACTTGGTTTCATTAGATGATGTTCTGATATCATAAAAATAAGAATCAATTATAGTTTATTTCTTACCGTTTCGGTCAATGCTTTTTATAAGATCGTCTAGTTCCTGATCTGAAATTTTGTGACCAAGAGATTTTAGGACAATTCTCATATCATCAATTGATATGACACCATCTTTATCATAGTCGAACAGAGAAAAAGCTTTTGTGAAATCTGTGAAAGAACAGTTATTGATGTAAGATTTAAATTGTCAAAAGTAATATACTGTGTTAAGTTAACTGCACAAAGCATTATGTGACTGTCAAATATAGAAAAGAATTAAAGAATTTAAATGGACATTCATGCTTATCTGTTATTCTTTCTTGTACCTCCTACATATTCTACTTTGTCAAAATATTTTCCACATGTGAGTTAAGGTTTCTATCATGTTGTTTTTATTAGGCAGAAAATTTTTCTCCTAAACAAAATGACACATGAATAATTAATTAGAACATTGCATACTATTTATGTTATTTCACAATGGTGTCAAGTTGTGTTATTCCAAATATACCAAAACGTGCTTATTTTTCAGGTGCTGATTGTGCGATGTTTTGGATAGAAATAAACAATGCTTGACACCGGAGCTATCTTGCTTAATACGCTTCGGTACGAGATATCTAAAAACAGAAACAAAGGTTGGAAAGACCATGGGTCAAGAATCAGTCTATCCTTATTTGCTAAAAGTAATGCACCTATGAGCCCTGTGGATATATGACGCAATTTAAGTGTTTTGATTATTATTATTATTATTATTATTATCATTTTTCCTGTTCATGACCGTATGTTTCAGCCCAGTGCATCTGGTTTCAGCCAGTACATTGGTTTCAGTTTGCTGATGATGCTGCTGTTGCTACCAATGGAGAAAAGGAGAACCAAAAACCATTAAACTGCTTTACCAGATGTTGCCAATGGGCAAACTTCATTATCAGGGTCGACATATGTGTTAACTTTGGTATAAAGAAACACTCTACGCGATCTCCCCATTTCAACTGAAACTTTTCATCTGTAACCTAATAGTGCCTGCTGTCAAAAATGGCGATTCCTTTAAGTATCTTGGCCAAGATCATGAATCTAAACTTATTTTTCTTTTCTCTACTTTTAGGAAGCATTGTCAGCATCCTAAAAACAAACTTATACCATCGTTATGTTCTGTCTGAAGTTATCTGGCATTTTACCGTTGCAGATCTACCAAAAGACTTTGTGTTGTTCAAAAACTAGACAATCTTATGTTCAATAACATTCGCCAGTAGCTTGATCTTCCAGTTTCTGCTACCTTGAATGAAATAATCCTCTCAAAAATCAGTTTGGTCTAATTCTACAACTGCCTTCTGTCAAATTTCCGCAATGCCTAACCTTATGGAAAAACACCAGCCACGGCACAAACCTACAGTACGACATCCATCGTAAATGCGAAAAAGGTACTAAAGGCTGCCAAACAGATAATAAAGAACATCTTTATCAAAATTCACCATCTCAAGGAGCTATAATTTCCTTCCTACTGACACATTCCCTGGAAAAGCTGAACGGTATTTGGTCAAGTACACGGAGCAATCTGCCTAGTAACATCTTTAACTTTACCACCAAGTATCTTAACAACACTCTTCCAACTCGTAAACATCTGCTAAAATGGAACCTTAGTCAAACTCCTGACTGTGAATTTTGTCTCCTTCCTGCACGTTGTTGCTGGATGCAAAATGCACCCTGACCATGGCCGCTATACATGGCGTCATAATTCTGCATTAAAATTTCTAGCCACTTCCTTCACAGCAACAAGTGGATCTTTTCTCTGCGCGGATTTACCAGACTTTCACTCCCCTCTATCATAACTGGCGACCAATTACGCCCTGACTTCTCAAAACCAAGTGAAACTGTCTGTATGTTTGAGAACTAACCATAGGCTTTGAAACAAATCTCAACTGCAATGCTAGTAGAAAGTTAGAGAAATTACTACCCACATATCTGACTTAAAACGTCAGTCTTAGTTAGTTTTGTTTTTCAATATTTCTACCAGTTTACTTGGTATCTTTGGCACATCCTGCAGCTTTTTCATCGACATGTCTGACTCCCTTTCTCTTGACGATCAACAGAAACGTTTTCTCATCTCTAAACCTTTAAAGCATCTCCATTCGAACCACATATTACATATTCTGCTGTAGGAACAAAACTTGGACTAACCCAGAGCTACTAACTTTTTAATATTTCTGAGTTTTGAATTTCATTTCCTTTTCTTTCTTAATCTTTTCTTTTAATAACTACAATTGTAATTATAAAAATATTTTATGAAAACAGGCTAGCCAGTTACAAATTGCCTACGTAATAGAGAGAATTGAAAATTAGTTTTTACTTGAATTGAAATAATAAAAAGTTTCCATTATTATTTATTTTGTTTAATGTTTCGTGTGGTTTTTTCGACATTGAAACTGTCATTAAGGTTCTGGTAAAGTACTTTATATATTTGCCGCTGTGAGTAAGATACTTTTAGTGTATTACTCGATAGGAAAGATTTTCAATGGTGGATGAGCTCACACTGTGCCACCAATGCCATAAATGTTAACTAAGTGCCATTCATTAAAAGTACGGCTGTCCCGAAGTTTCGTACGTATGTATAATCGGTCACTGTAACAAGTGCTATCCAATAAGATAAGCAGTGCTTTTCTGCCCTTTTTACAGTTTTTTATATCAAAAGCAATGGCTAAAAAGAGTCTGATGGAATCATAGAATAAACATCATCTGGAGGTAATTCAAGTTTGACGTGAAAGCCAAACAATAAAAAATTATTCACTGTTCTCTTCATGTCGTTATGAACACAGAAACGTAGGGCCTAATCGCCAAGCAAAAGTTGACGTAGTGACATGGCTCTTTCGCAGTCGATCAATTCCTACTCAGACTATGGAGCATTTGTTATGCTTGTCACTTTAATTACATTTCTAAAACATGATATGCAATCTATTGTCGTAGATATTGTAAGCATTGGTATCTCAGATAATTCTTATGTTTTGCTTTTCATGACATCAGAGCTCATATTTTCATGACGTAATAGTTTTTATTCCCACCTTCGGGCCCAAACACTGTCTAAAGGTCTAGAAAATGAATATAACGTTAATTGAGCAATGGAGCTTTGTAGAAAGATAATTACCATGTCTCTGAGACTGTGTTAGCATCTCAGCCTAAAATAAAAGCATTATAAACATTCAATTAGTGTTTCAAGATTAAATGCAACAGTTAGTTAACAACTGCAAAAACAGAGTCTAAGATTTTTATAATATGGCACTTGTTCATTTCATGACATCGGAAGCTATTAGCTGCTATACAATAATGGAATATATTAGGCATAACAATGTAAAGCATATCAGCATTTTAAAGATAAAGTAACAAGACATCTGTCATTCTAGTCTAGCAGAGACTCTTTCAGTAAACGAGTAGAAAAGTGGCTGCATCCAGCTAGAAAGGTTTCAACGGAGAATGGCCATCAAAAAATAACATATCAAAGGAAATAGTTAGAATTGCTATTTTCAATCGAAGTTTATAAGCTTTAACAAAGTTTATAAAAAAGACAAAATTGTTCTTGATAAGTCAATTGTGATGAAATAAAAATTAATTCATTTTCAGAAGTTGGCTGCAATACTTGGCAACGATTCGAAATAGTAATAAGGTAAAATCTGATGCTGCAGAATGTCATTTTGCAGAATGTAAGTACGTTGAAGTTAAATTGTAAATTACGCGAACTAATTGTCTTAGCAAATGGCCTAACAGCACACGGTATAAAATTACAATCAATTTTGAATTGACCACCCGCCACCTTTTAACAGCATTCTCAAAGGCCAAAAACAAAACCTTAGAAACAAAGCTTCTCGCAACAAAGCATAAAAGACAAGCTATGAAATGCGCTCGAGTTCAATCAATTACATTATTCTTCTCGTCCTGCAAACGAATTTTATTAGCAGATATTTCAATACTCTAATAATAAGAAAGACATGACAATTTTCAAAAGCTGTATTGGCTTGGCCTGGCCTGGCCTGGTCTGGTCTGGCTTTCAAAGCAAATAAGAAGATTGCAACAAATTAAAAATACAAATTTATCATCTCTTGCGCCCAATTTTCAAGTTTTCAAATTTTTTGTCAAACTAGACTCAAATGTTTCACTTTACAACAAAATTTCTGATGCATCGAAGCTATACTTAAGTTCCAAAAGTATCGTTGAATTTATGGCCCTGTTAATTACGGGAGCACTTACAAAGGTTATCAGGAAGAATTATTTTTTTTAGAAGTTTCTTAAAGCATTGTAAAATATTCTTCATGTATTGTATCACAATCTGTATCATAAATAACCTTTGGTACCACAAGATTTGAGAATAACACGGCTGAGCAGGAACATAGCTATCCTGGGTGCCGGAATAAGCGCGCTTTTGCGGCTCTGGTACTCAGGGTAGAACATAGCATGGTACACTAGAGCACTTCTTATTTTACACTCGAGCGTTGAATTGTCGCCGGACAATGAGTAAATTTTAAAAAGAAAGATGTGGATCGAAAACTTACTTTTGGGCCATTGCTTAACTTACTTAACTTTCTGACTTAACTTACTTTGATATGTTATGTTTCAGCTTTCCGTGTCATTTTTAAATAGATAAATTTAATTTAATTTAGTTTAGAATTGCATCGCATTTGATACCATTTCACATTGTATGGCAGTGTATCATTGTACATATGACACTGTATCAGTATCACATTTATAAAATCTTTATATGATAGATGGCATTAAACAATATCACTTCACTTTCTATCAAACAACAGGACTTATGTTTCATTGCCTCGTATTGCATTAAGCTGTCATATTATATGATCTTTTCCAAAGTCAATAGTTATACTAGATTCAGAATGTTTCATTTGCAACGATATTGATTTTATTTTTGGTATTAAGTATTATCTGGCCATAGGAATAAGACTTGTCCCTGATAATAATCTTTGTCTGGTCCCTGATAATAATCTTTGTCTGAAGAGATCAAATATTTTCATGATTGCTTTTCAAACTGTACCATAAATCCCAAAGCTGCTTCAATTGTCACCTTCAAATCCCAGGACGCCAATCCCGTGGGTTTTCAGATCAGCATCAAAACAGCAATTTTGAAGACTAAAAGCATAAATTTTTAATTTTTTTGAGATCATTAACTATAATTTTCTGGTATTTTCCATCAAAGCTTTAAACGGATTTCATGTAATCGAAAATCCAGGCATAAAATAATGACTTTGGATTTGCGATGGTTCCTTTCAACGGTGATCCACTAAGACGGTAATCTCAATAGAACCCAATTTCACACGTGGGTGTTGGTCTAGTAGACATAAATTATAAGCGGTTCGATGTTCATTTGTTATATAACTTCTAGCTAGTGGAGAAACATGGTTCCTGCAAAAAATTCGTAGATGAACGTGTAGATGAACTCCTTCTTAGCTCAATATGAGCTAATACTACTCAATAAAAAGATATTTGTGAAAGGACATCATGACTGGTCCTCTCCAACCACTGAAATTCTACTGTTTATACAAATAGACAACAACGATACACCATTCTAAAAAATTAAGAGGGTTTTTTCAGTTTAGCATTTCAATCAAAGAAACTGATGCTCGAAACTCGAAACTTAAACGTCCTTTGCTTAGATTTGCAAGCATACGAAGCAAAGCATCTTATACAAGTAGAAATTTCGGAATTCCATAAAAATTTGAGGGGTTTTCTTACATGGGAAAATAATGATTACCCAATTGACAAATATGTAGCACTGCGATGGAAGGTGCAAAAGTCTCACCATTTTCAGTTGTGGATACAAAGACTCACGCTGGGTATCCTGTTTTCGCTTCTTGTATTCAGAAGAGCTTTACGACGAACGCCGCAATAACCAGTGATCTTTAACTGTCTACATTGCCGATAAAGGCCAGCGATCTGCAATGATTTCTCTTTGTAAAATAAAGCTTTGCAAACATAAGGTACAGTCAGTCAGTCAGTCAGTGATGAAAACTCTTCGCAGCAATGAAAAACAACTCAAGAAATTGTCTCCGTCTGCCGTAATATACTTATAAAGATCTTCCAACCTCCTTCGCTATCTATAATTGATGAGTAGAAACGGCAGCTGATTCCTCGACCTCCGGCAAGGGCTATAGACAAAGAATCTAACTCAATATTTCACAAACGGATTACTTCGTCGTTCGGAGCCCCCTTTAAAGATATGAAAAACGCATTAACTTACTTCAAGGTGTCCAAAATCAAAATGACATGTCACTGCTTATTCCAATAATTTATGTCGCAAGAAAATTGTAATTGAAAATGCTTCATGAACACATAATAAGAACAGGTTGTTTCTTCTTTTGATTATGCAAATGTAAACATTCTTCATTTCAATAAAATAAGTTTACTGGTGGACAAGACGACAAAGGACTGATAAAAGCATGGCCCGTTATTCGTTAAAACCGTGTAGCATATGGTTTTTGCAAATGCAACTGCAATATTTGTTTATAGATTTATCAAAGACGTGATTGCCACGCGAATTCACAATAAGGGAAGTATGGATGAGTTAGGTTTAATGAGCCTGCGCGCACTAGATTAAATAAGCTTTTTATCATTCTATGCTAGTCCACTATGAAAGCATTGCTTACGAGGTCAGCCTTGCTACGCCATCTTTCAAAGGCCGTTTTGTTGGGGGTTCGTCATATATTCTTTAATGTCTTAAGAAATTCTGCTTTTAATTTGTTGACCCCCAGTTTTACTTCTAAAGTGCACTAGATATGTTTTATGAAATGAGACGATACCTCATTTGTTTTATAAAACTCAGTCGTCCTCTCCTACTTAGCAGGAAAAGGCTGTTTTATATTATCGTCATTTCTCAGATTAATGATGGATTCACGAGGACTGACACTTTCATTTTCTAACTAGATGAAGATTGTGACAAGGAACATGTGTTATGGCATCAAACAGACTTAAAAGAACTGAGCATGTTTGTCAGTGTGGAATGACCCGACTGCATATACTGGCTGTGTAATCCACACAGTGATGAGCCTTCCATTGCCGAATAAACAGACTAATATATGTTACTAGAAACTTCACCTGTATTCCTGTGCGAGATAAACAAATAACGTAATCTGATGCGATTGTAAACTAGTAAACATCATTTAACTGAATCATGTACATACGTACAACAATAACAGGAAGCATTTAAATTTACAGTGAAAGGCAAGACCTGTGGATTTTAAATCGTTGTTTGTCATTCCCTAACAAAATGCATTCAATCCATAAAAAATCAAATAATAAAATAAGCCATTTTTTATTACAATATTCTAATTCTTGATTCAGACTGATTATTCTACAACAAATTGCAAAAATTAGGACAATTCTATAAACTAGGAATTTTTGTACAGAAATCATTTGTTTTCCTGTTGGGATAATCAATTGGTTCAGTGATTGGAATTGTAAATGCTGGGTCAATTAGTAAGCAACATATTCTAGTTTCAGGTTGTTGATTTTTACTTTGCAGATGTTAATCTTTGCAGAGATAAAAATTTATTAAAGAAAAAGTGGATTTTTCATGAGAAACTCGTTTGTAGACACAAGTATAATCTTTGGTGGGCATAAAACTGCCCAGCCACAAGGAAGCTGGGGAAAAATCAATTTAGGTGATTCAATCTACTTGTTGACTAAGCCGTCTGTTTATCCAAAAGCATCACCGATAAATTATCAGTCACCCCCCCCCCCTTTGCAGCCAACTTCTATGTACAAAAAGTATAAGCGAGGATCAATTAAAATTAGATTTGCAGTAATTCAGTTGTGATCAGCACCAAAACCTGTCCATTTGTCGGGAACCATTAAGAAATATCGATGCATTGCTTCTGTAAAACGAGTTCTATAAACAGCTGGTGACACAACAGTTGGCATTTTCCCGTGGCCACCTAAGATTCCTGTCGACTTTACGTAGCTCTCCAACTTTTTATCCCATGTAAAAGTTCGAATGTAGTCTGAAAGAAACAAACCAATTAGATGTACAATTTTTCAGTTATGAAAGTTACAGCAGTGCAATTTTAAGGTTGAAGATAATATGACGCATGATACATAGGTCTGATTATAAAATTAATGAAAGACTGATTGGCTTTAGGATATATATACATGATAAAGGGTATCCTCATTAAGTAGAAAATCTTCACGTGCTATGTCATTATAGGCTGAAAGTTGCTTTGCAACGAGTATTTAACCAAAACTCAAACAGAGAGAAATTACGTAACCAAAGAGCGAAATTGCTTTTAGCAAGAGATACATGATGAAAGGTCTGATTATAAAATTGATTAAAGATTGATTGGCTTTAGGATATATATACATGATAAAGGGTATCCTCATTAAGTATAAAATCTTCACGTGCTATGTCATTATAGGCTGAAAGTTGCTTTGCAACGAGAATTTAACCAAAACTCCAACGGAGAGAAATTACGTAACCAAAGAGTGAAATTGCTTTTAGCAAGAGATACATGATGAAAGGTCTGATTATAAAATTGATTAAAGATTGATCGGCTGTAGTATATATATACATGATAAAGGGTATCCTCATTAAGTATAAAATCTTCACGTGCTATGTCATTATAGGCTGAAAGTTGCTTTGCAACGAGTATTTAACCAAAACTCAAACGGAGAGAAATTACGTAACCAAAGAGCGAAATTGCTTTTAGCAAGAGATACATGATGAAAGGTCTGATTATAAAATTGATTAAAGATTGATCGGCTGTAGTATATATATACATGATAAAGGGTATCCTCATTAAGTATAAAATCTTCACGTGCTATGTCATTATAGGCTGAAAGTTGCTTTGCAACGAGTATTTAACCAAAACTCCAACGGAGAGAAATTACGTAACCAAAGAGCGAAATTGCTTTTAGCAAGAGATACATGATGAAAGGTCTGATTATAAAATTGATTAAAGATTGATTGGCTTTAGTATATATATACATGATAAAGGGTATCCTCATTAAGTAGAAAATCTTCACGTGCTATGTCATTATAGGCTGAAAGTTGCTTTGCAACGAGAATTTAACCAAAACTCAAACGGAGAGAAATTGCGTAACCAAAGAGCGAAATTGCTTTTAGCAAGAGATACATGATGAAAGGTCTGATTATAAAATTGATTAAAGATTGATTGACTTTGATATATATATACATGATAAAGGGTATCCTCATTAAGTAGAAAATCTTCACGTGTTATGTCATTATAGGCTGAAAGTTGCTTTGCAACGAGTATTTAACCAAAACTCAAACGGAGAAAAATTGCGTAACCAAAGAGCGAAATTGCTTTTAGCAAGAGGCGCCCTCAACCCTCAGAAGCGCCCGCTTTTTTTCGCAACCAATGAAACTAAAAAAGCTTAAAATTTGCATTCACCAATTATTCCAACGACCAATTCAAAGTTGACCTCATCGATGCCGACAAGAAGGGAATAATCCATGACACTGTGGCTTGAGAGAAACTCGGAATCGTTGTGAATGGCTTTGGAGAGGACAGCCTTGGAATGGGGGCGAATGAAGAGTGGAGTCTCGCATATCACTGCAAAGATAAAAATTGACTTCTTACAATATAAAAAAATAACGAATCCCTTGCAAATTGTGACTTGATTGTGGGAAAATTGTGGGTAAATTTGATCACAAAATGCAATGTGCATGCATAACAAAAACCCTACAGACCTTGATGTTACTGTTGCTAAAATTACGAACCAAAAGAAAAAGTATGTACGTTAAGTACAATAAGGATTTAGAGTACTAAAATGTTTAAATCTTCGAAATAAATAGCATATAAAAAGTTCAAGTGCAATCTACTTAAAAATAGATTTTCAAAAAACTCTCTTTGAAAAAACGTCTTACTTTCAAGAAGATTTTCATCCATCAGCACTTCTTCCTTCCCGGAAGTGTGCACATAACGACTTCTAACTGAGCCCTTTAAGTCGAAGATCTAAGAAAAAGAATGCTGAATTAATCCTTTAAATCGAAGACCTAAGAAAATTTATAAACAAATACCGAATTCAAGAGAACATAATCCAGAAAGTTCAATGAAAATAAAGTTCAGGTGTTAGAACAATATCCTGAAGCAATTAAGGGGCATAATCCTTGTAGCTAGTAATCAAATTCGGTTATAACCCAAATCAAGAAGATCAAAAGCCACAACGGCAAAAGGTTGAGATAATGGTCAACAAATTTCAGTTACCAGAATCTCGTGGTTATCATCAAAAGCAAAAACGCGTTCGTTGAAGTCATTCTAGATATATTTCATAAGAAGCGAGCAGACAGCAAGGCAATTGCTCTTTAGATACGGTCTAGAAACACCTTTCTCAGAGATAAACGTGAGAAATATAACATATAATCGACACCTTAAACGATCAGTTCAGCAATTTATGGTAATACCTTGTTTACTTTGCGATTATAAAACACATTCTCCATCACCAAAACATCCTGTCGCATCGATGTATTGGTCTGTGCATTCTTGAAACCAATTCGATAAACTCCAAGTATTTTTGCCAGTGTGGTTGGACGCTAAGAAAAACAAGAAACAGTTTCATGATCTGAAGGCAGCAAAATTTCGTAGACAAAGGTTTAGCTGCTTGTGAGAGAATAAAAAAATGTCATGATACTGAAGTTTGATACTGATGACAAAAGTAAAGAGTTCGGCTAAGGGAAATGCTCTAGCCAACATGATCTTAAATCCATATAAGGTTTCTTGAAGAAACATCAACCCCACTTTGCGAAACGCAACCTTAAAAAGCATCTAGCCATGCAGGTGCTATGACCTTCGTGAAAAGCATCTACTCTCGACTGATGTATTACGATAAAATAAACTGAAAAAAAAATACATCAAATCGCGAATTTGCCTCCGTAAAGGGCGTACAAAAACACGAAAGTTGGCCAAGAAAAGTGGCTAGAAATCGTACAAAAACAAAATAAAATACAAGAGAACGGTAAATTCGCCTCGGCAAGCCTTGCTCTTGTTTGAAGGTGGTCTTGTTTCGGACAAAAGAGCTCATTCAACCGAGCATTGGACCCGAAAGGGGAGGGAAATCGAAGGGGTTTCGTTTAAATTTTAGTTTTTTTATTCATCGTCACCAAATGAAGGGACCTCAGGGCTCATGTGTAAAAACTGTTCACTTTAGGGAGTAAGGATCGATGTGGGTGTCTTTAATTTAGCAATAAGGTAACAGGACTTGCTTTCAACTTAGCAATTACTTAAATATACATTTATAAATGACTTCAAGTTTGATCTGAATGTCATTCCTGATTTATTTTCAAAATGCACTCGAAATAGTATCTACCAACAACAAACTAATGGGTTTTTAATCTTATCCTGAAAGCCTTTGGTTTCTTTTATGGCGAGGCAACCTGTCGTCCTCTGCAGCAAATCCAAAAACGCATTTAAAAACATAAAGATCCTTCTTTATTGAGGTTCTTGCTCAAAATATTTTTGAACAGTTTCTTCTCGTGCCAAGATAAGCAGCATATGGTTAGGAGACATCAAAACTGAGTCATGGTGACAATTTTTGATCACTGACAACAATCATGAAGTAAAAACATGTTTCAATTTCCTGATATCTTCCTCTTGATAATGACAGGTACTGATTTTATCGTACTGATTTTGTCGTACAGATTTTGTCGTATAGATTTTGTCGTACTGATTTTGTCGTACTGATAATGTCGAATTTGGATTAAAGCTTGTTACAATCATTTATATCGAAACAAAAATATGTCTCTTTTTTCGCCGTGCTGGCTATTCTGTTTATTATCAAGCTGCGCTTCCCAAGATCGAAAACAATAGCAGGCATATAGATAGGAATTTGCGCTGCCTGACAGCCCTGTCTTAATTCTATCGTTGCTCTCACCCCTCCCTTCCTTCATTTACAAATCAAGAATACATGATAAACAAATTATGTGAAAGCGGGTTTCCGCGGGTTTCCGCGGGTTTCCAAAAATGAAAGCATGTAGCCCGGCAAGTACGAGGTATAATGAATTATGATGCATGGAAATCAGGTCTCGTCCCCTGGGAACCACAAAGAAAATGTTTACACAAATAAGGGGGGGGGGGGGTATCTCGAACAAGATCCCGATTCGCAAACAGCTTCAACGTCAAATGTACTGAAAGTCATGCCATTCAATATACCTGCTCTTTTAGGGCCTTGTCCATGTATTGAAAATAGTGCGGTGCGAATTCCACAAACGACTGAACTTCTAACCGAGACATCTGCTTCATCACAAAACGGTCGTCTATTGAAAAAAATAAGTCAAGGCTAATAGCAACAAGATGTTATTAAAGGAGAGAATTAGCACCAACAAAAGCATCGAGTTTTAACAAAAAACAATGCAAGATATGTTATTTGTGCATCAATTTGTGCACGCAGATTTGATTTCTAAATAGTACGGAAAAGCGGAAACATGTCATACTAAAGTACTTTCGACAGACACGCGCCAGAGTATAAACGTCGGATAATTTCCAAAGATAATATCCAAATGTGGATCGAAATTCAGGTGAGAGGAAGAATAGCTCAAAGTTGATTGGTTCTATGCTTTGACCAATCGCAGCCGCTAATCTCTCACCTAGTTGAACAGTCCGAGAGAGAAAACGAACTCTTTCTGTCTACAGAAGTCGGGATCCTTTATTTCGATTCAGACAGATTCCAAAACACCTAAACGAGAAGCCGACCTTGCTTGCCAATGACCTTAAAACTGTCGTCACTATATGTTTTGGCGCGTTCTGGATTCTTAGTAAATGTTGACCTATAGCCGAATCACAATCTATGTGGGTATTCTGTTTTTTTACAAAAACGTCTTTTACAGATTTAATTTCCTCGATTTTCCGCAACAGTATAAGAGATTTTCTTACAATAATTCATACGTCTTGAATATAACATCGACTAGTCTAGTAAATACATTGCCACGAATTTAGTCAATCTTCAAGAACTCAAAAACCGGTCGTTTTCAAACCCTGAATATGCTGTTTGCAGAATGTCCTTATGTAATGTGAAATTTACAGCGGCAGTACCTTAAAACTACTGACATAAACATAAGCTACTTCTCCTTACCGAGTGATTTTGAGAATGAGGATCCTGATTTGCCTCCTCTTGCTTTCCAAAAAACACATCTTGAGAGTGATTGAATGTACCTAGGAAAGAATTTCCGTAAAATAATATTAGCAAACATACCATCAAATCATCATCAAATCTCAAGAATTTCCTAGGATATCATATCTTGAGAAAAAGGTCATTCTATAATACCATTAACTTCCAATTTTCAATTCAGCATTAGCATTCAATGATTACGTCGACATTGATTAGAGCGACGTCACTCTGACTTGGCAGCGGACAATTTGATTTAGTAGAGGTCAATTTGATTTGGTAGAGGTCATTTTGATAAGGTTAAGGTCAGGCAGAGGATCAGACAGAGTTCATATGGATTAATAGAGGTCACTTGATTAGTAGAGGTCAATTTGATTAGTAGAGGTCAATTTGATTTAGTAGAGGTCAATTTGATTTGGTAGAGGTCATTCTGATAAGTTAAAGGTCATACAGAGGATCAGACAGAGGTCACATGGATTAATAGAGGTCACTTGCTTAGTAAAGGTCAATTTGATTCAGTAGAGGTCAATTTGATTTGGTAGAGGTCATTCTGATAAGGTAAAGGTCAAACAGAGGATCAGACAAAGGTCACATGGATTAATAGAGGTCACTTGATTAGTAGAGGTCACTCGATTTAGTGGAGGTCAATATTATTGGGAGGTGGTCACTTTAATTTTGTTAAAAACATCTAAATCAAAATATTAGCATTTTGAATTATGACTACTTCTAGAAAACCTCATCAAAAATGTATATAAAAATTGCTGATTGAGCCAGCTGGGTAGATACACCGGAAGATAAGTTATGCCAAGATAATTTGTTTTTATTCAACAAATATGATACCAAGATTGAATATTACCACAGTTGATGACAAGTAACAAATGAAATGCGCATTGCGAATCATTTGTAAACTGAGGAGCAAGTAAAGTGGTGTTAGTTAGCAAAAACAAACAAGAAAATTGGCGAAGGAAAGTTTTCAAAAAATTTTCGGTGCAAAACAATACAGAGATCTATATTGAAAATAATAAATAAATTAATAAAAATACATATAGACAAATAAATAAAAAGAATATTGTGGGCAAGCAGTGTATTGCATGACTGGACTGATAAGAATGAAGAAATATCAACCGATAGCAAAATGAGGGGGAGAATCCAAGTAATTCTTGTCTGATTTTTACCTTTCTTCGCCTTCTGGAAAAATCAGCTCCCTTAGCTGACGAAATTGCTCCGCATAATATACGTTACAATAAAACTTTGCCGAATTATCGTGAAATTCTACAAAGAAAAATGGCAGCTGTTAAAAAATGTGAAATAAAAGAGAGTTGGTCAGAAAACGATATCAAATTAACAGAAAACAATTACAACGCAAAAGGAAGTATGGAACTGAGTTATTGTTGACAACTGTTGGTTACAGCTGGCGGTTCTGTTTGGTCATTTCGATCCACAACTGGGTATATTTAACCTTTTTGATCATTACTCTTAGGTTTTTTACTCTCAAAAAGCCAGACCAAAAGCTATAGTATGTCTAAAAAAAATGTCAAGATCTTCTACCTCTAAAAAATGTTATTCATTAAGCGCAAAAAATCCGCGAAAGAATCCTTTATTCAGCGTTCCATTTCTTTTAAATATCCGTTCTTGTTTACGGCCCTTGTGTAGTGCGAAATGAAAAAACATATCCTTTTAACGCTCCACTGTAAAACTATTAAAAAAATTAAGGGGTTGAAAGTTTCATCTTTGTATTTCTTCTTTGGAAACTTTGGAAACTTTGGAAACTGTAAAAATTCAATTTCTTTATTCGATAAAATTTTTCATTATTTTCCTCGCTAAATTTGTTAGAGTTAAGCCTAACCCCAGAAAGAAAACCCTTCAAATCCATAAATATCCTTTCAAAAACTTTTTTATGTGCAATTCCTAACTAAAAATCATAGCCTGATCTTTCCTAACAACGTTTCCTGGACTCAGCGCTTGAAAACATGCTAGAGTCGAAGATGAAATGCAAGCAATACATGGCACAGTCTAGCAGCACTGGTCACCTACTGGAGACAACAGACAGAAAAAGGAATGTTTGTAATAAGGCTTACGCAGTTTGATGTTAAAGTCGATTGCAGATTTGTTCTCGTCTTTTTCCTTGCCAGTTTTTTCACCTAAAATTTAAATAAAGAGCATAGGAGCTAAAGAGCCATAACTAAACACCACAAAAACGTCGAGAAAAAAGAAACTTACACGAAAACCTTGACATTACAGAAATTTTGAGGAAGATTTTGAAGATAGCTGAACATTTCGGCTGGGGAAAGGACAATAAATTTTCTCGAATTCGAATTAAAAATCTCCAGAGATCAAAATTTTACAACATGCGCATGTTGTGCGAACATGTTTAAGCTTGGAAACCCTCCCGCTCTCGATGCTTACGTAAGAACGGTAGTCGTTGCAGCATGCTGATTTCTGTACTAGCAATCATCCCACTCTCCTTATTGGAAATGTGCGCTCAACAGGCAAATAGTACAGCTTTTGTTTCAGCTGCGCCCAATGAACATCTGATCAGCTTTTCTTTAGCAATATAACAGCTACGCAATACAATCGTCATATTTAAAACACCCATGTAGCAGATTCATTACGAGGCAAGGCAAGGCAAGAAATCTAAAGTCGAGGCAATGGAGACAGCGTGTACGTTGGATTTGCTTTGGTTGATTTGATTTTTAGGTAAACAACGGTTTTCAACTAAAATCTTTCAATTAAACCAACTCCGACTTTTGCAAAGGCTTTAAGGCTTTCAGTCTCTTTATATAAAAGAGTTCAAGAAACAGACCTGGCAAATCCTGCTTTATATCCCCTATTGCACTTTCAAGATCTTCTTTATCATCAAGAAGGCCATCAATAGAGTCTGTCTTGGCGTCGTCAGAATCTACAATTCCTGGGCTGTCCAGAGCAAGGTCATTACTTGCAGCTTCGCTCAAGACGGCGGATGACATCAAATATTGATCAGCTAATGACATTCGAGTCCGAATCCCTAGATTCTTTCCGTCGACAGTGGAACAGCACCGGTTCATCTTTTCCGTTTCCACTGCAATAAAGACACTCATATTTTCAAGGTCAAATCACATTTCCATGCAAATAAGGATTATTGCTAATCATCGAATACAGCTTTAAAAACTCGGTTCCATGCTGCAAATATCTTAATTGTGGGCTTTCTTACAAGATACTTAAGGTTCCTATTCGATTCAAATAAAGTCAAGGCAATGTTATCAGCAAATGTATTTTTTCTGACTCTTTGAAACCTCATAAAGACAAGCGCAATTTATTGCTGCGTGGTGAAAAGGGCCACTGGCACTTTTACAAAATTAACAAGTAAACAATGGAAAGGTACGCGTTAACATAAGGGATGTTTAGGAACTGAATTTTGAACTGCAATGGGAATGCTCACATTAGAGATCTGTGCAAGAAAAGAAATGAAAAATTACATGCTATTTCCCAATATCACGTTGCATGGACTGGACATATTAAAACCACCTTATCGTTTGATGAATTCAAACAAAAAATGAAGACCCAAAAATTGTTTTTCAAATTTCAATAATGTTTCAGAAAAACAAAGTGCGCTTGCTTAGGACAAAAATCTTTGAATAAAAAAGCCACTCTTCCCCCTTCCTATTTTTCGGGAGTCTGACTGTCATCTGCACCTCCTTCTACCCAGGACGACATAGTATCCTATAGAAGACATTAACCATTGGGAAGTATAAGACATAACACTGAACGTTAACATTTCTTGTGTTATTAAACTGCACATCGGATAATTTTAAAAGCAAATAAAATTTTGGAATGCCAGCTAGCGCCGGTGCACTCAGAACAATATTATCCTCGAAAATTTGCTTGTGAGTTTCAGTTTGGAAATTGACATTCAAGTAACTAGCTCAAAGTAAATTTAAGGGAATGCTTTATGTTTTTTCGTGTAATTATTTCTAGTTCTGTTAGCCTTTGTCAGTTTTATAACAATCCTATTACAAAAGCAAAGGAGAAACTAATAATTTGCATAATTGCATACTCTGGTCATAACGGAATTTTGTTGTGGTATAAAAAAACACGTAAGGGTTGATAGAATGAGGAAAAAGAGAAAGAGAAGCATAAGAGAAAAACAACCCTTAAAAGAAAAAGGGTTGGAAGAGATTGAAGAAGCTATCGCTTAAATAGAAACATTGTTTTAATTGATAAAATTATGATTCTTTGCAGTAATTTGAAAATATAAAGCGGAAGCTACAATTTGATTGCAAACCTTTCTCTCCCATCAAATCTGCGGGGAAGTTTATCTGGTACTCTATCAAAGGGCTCTTTATGGAAACGCCAGCCCATGATCGAGGCCTCTTCAACGATTTCCCTTGTGGCTTTCGATTTCGCAACACAACTTCACTGGAATTCCTAGAATGTTTTTATCTAAGCATTAACAAATGTTGCATCTTCATTTTCTACGATTATTCATGTATTTGCAAAAGTAACACACAAAAGTAGAAATACTTTTGTAAATACACACTCGGCACAAAGTCGCGATTTTCATAGAAATATTATAGCTGGTGACAATATAATATATTTTTCCTGTTGTGTTTAACTATACCTGGTCTCTTTACAGGTAAGAAAACTTTGCGAATTTACAACAATTTTCATCAAAGACCACAAGAATTTTATTTCAAGTAAAGACTGCAAGACATTATTAAAGACTACTCAAAATAAGTTTTTCCTTTTCCACAGCTGTTGAAATTTGTGGCAAATTAGCATCTCTAAGATCGTTTAGAAGAGCCAATTAGCATAAAAGCTGGGCTTATCTCTTGACCCCCTGTAATGACTTGAAGATCATCCTTGTAAGAAACTGGTTGAAAACAGGACACAAGTTGTCCTTTTAGACCGCTTTTCCCTCTCCAAGTTTCTCATACATGTGTGAATACATTTGATAAAATGATCTACTTTAAACGAAACTATGGAAAAAGGATCCATTTGTGAGAAAGCGGAAAATATTGGGGCCGACAACAATCATTACTGGCGCAAATGGCGTTATTAAAGGGGTAAGATAAATTATTCGTGTTTGGTCAAAGTTTGAGTTGAACAAAGGAATACTTGCATTTCGGGTGCTTCCATTGCTTTTTCGATTGTCTGCTTTGCTTGCCGCGTCTCTTGTTCAATCGCAGGCCCATCTAATAGCATGCGAAGTTGACTTAGCTGGTTGAAGTAGTCAATTGAACTACAAAAGCAAAACATTTATTAATAAAGCAAAATAATTCTCAATCCTATCTCTATTTGAACCAAATCTCTGACTTTTATCTTCTTCATTTGAAACGAATCTCTGACTTTTGCCAGGAAACAGTCCCCTAACAAAACTCCCTTAAGCATTTACAACAGGCAGACAGGTAGAGTGAATAATTCTTACTTGTGACTTCAATATGCAAATCTACGCACAAGTATAAGTCGAACTATTTTGCCAGGTCCGAAAAGATCCAACCACGCGGAATTTCATTAGCTATGCCAGAACCTACAAGGATCTCTAGAATTTTATGATTACGGTTCAGAAAATTTAATTGCTGTCTAAGACTTTCAAAGGAGATGTGTGTATGTTTATATGCATAAGAGGGTGTTTTATAGGCAGGTAAGCCGGCGAAGCTCGCTTTTTCGAGATATTATTAGTAACAGTTGAAGCAAGACGGCTCGCCTAACCGATATCTTGGTTCAAACTGGCACTTCAATGGGATGAAGATTTCCCTCAAAAATGCAAGCAAGCAAGCAGGCTGGCTCGTGATTTTACTTGAAATGCGTATCTGACCGTGTAAACAAATGCAAGAAGAATGGCTCAGTTAAGTGTTTTCACTATGTAAGCAACGATAGTCTGAATAGTCACTTTTGTGGACAAACACTTGTAGGACCCTGTAAAAATGTAATGCAGCATCGAACACATGTGCAATCTGAGTTTAATTTTAACACCAGTGAAGCAAAGTATAGTATACAAAGACGGTGGGTGAATACCTGAGTGCATAGGCAATGACTGATGAGGGTTCTTTCTCGTTGATAACAACAGAGACCGAGTCACCGATTGGCAGCATGTAATGCTCGTGTGCAGGACTGGAAAAAAGCAGACATTTGGTTTGTAAGGTATTTCTTTATTACGGCAAAAATAAAGTAGTTTGGAGCTTCGGAATAAAAATACTCAGTTCGAAGTAACAACAGTGAATTCAAAACCCGATCTAGATTACTGGCAAATATTGCTGAGAAGGAAAGAGCTCGTAAGAATAACATGCAAAAAAGAAGGCTGTAAAAGAATAACAATCCGAACACGTGAAAGCAGTAAGTGCTTTGTAATTCGAAGCCATAACAGCGTAAAAATGAAACATTGACAAATCTGAAAGATGGAATTTCTCGCTCAAGGGACAAAGATAATGTTGAAGGGAAATAATTCTGTTCAAAATTAGCATGCCTATTGCACAAAAATATAAACGCAAAATTTAACAAATCGCGAGACTCACTAGGGCATCGGGACTGGCTGAAAGTTCGATCCGGGAAGCAAGTGAGATATAATCTTCTTCATTTTCTCTGTGCCTTTTTTCTGTCCCTGAGCTGTTGTCACTGCAAGAGGTAGGAAACGTTCTACAGACAATGTAAACTTTTGCTTGATGTGTAAAGGTAAGGAAAGGGGGTGAGTTTCTTTCATATTTATTTCTCTTACAACATCCAGAAGGCTTTGGATTATTTATCTAGATTCAAAAAATCTTCTCAACGTAAAAAGTGAACAGCCGAGAAAATGGAACAAATTAATCGAAATATGAATGAAATCAAAGATTGCATATAAAATCATTTATACATTTAAAAGACATGGAACTATAAAAGATTCAGTTCTTCGTCTGATCAACTTCAATGTCTCTTTTTGAATACTTTTTGAAACAAATTTTTCTCCAGGCTGGGCCTTTTTCTTTGGTATGTATAAATTTATTTTCAAGAACATCTTTATTTCAGAAGAAGAAATAAAGGAAAACTGAAGAAGAAGAATTCTTACGACAGCACATTGTATCGTATTCTTGGCTCCAAGATTACTTGAGCCATATCCAACTCCTTTCATGAGCATCAATTTTCAAAGTCGCAGAATAATTTTATTTTACCTAACAGAGGATCTATAAATGATTATTCTATTGCAAATGAAAACTTACCTTCTAAGGAGATGGATTTTGTCTCTGGCTCGTCTCTGCTTTCTAAATAGAAAAATAGGCGATAAACAAAAAGCCACGAGCGTCTGTTTAAAAGTGTGAAAAATATTATAAGCTGTTAATATTATGAAATATATTCTATTTTTTTCAAATCCTATTTGAATGCCCTTCGAAAAGTTAAACAATCGATAAACAAATATACTAGGGCAGTCGTAGCCTTTTGAACATATATGTTAGAGGGGCCAATTGCCTTTCCAGTCACAGCTATGTTTCATTGTCTAAAATAATAGGTTATTGTGCCCACTTTATAGAAACAAAAGTCTGCCCCCCAAGCTGATTTCCCTTAAAAAGGCCATGGCTTGATATTGTGAACATATTGTTAATCAATTTAACAATAAACGAAGCGAAAAAAGCTCCGAAGTTGTAAGGAGCTACTGCGGAGGAAAAGCGTTGTCAAATCCAATGCAAATGAAAAAACAAAACTAGTGAAACATACCCATGAACCCGAATCCTCTGTATTGTAACGATCTTTGCCGGGAGTGACCTAACATTAACGACATTAAGCCAAATTAATATGCTAGATAAAACTGCAGATAACCAGGAATCCATAACTCGAAAGGTGTTAATAAAAGTGGATAACGGCTTAAAGTATAATAAGCCAAACCTTTGTTTCGGAGAATGGTGCTGCTAGAAGACACAGATTCCCGCTCGCTCTCCTCCGCATCGCTCACCCTCCTTGCACCAGATCTAGATTTCTCAACTCTCTTCTCATTTTTGTTGTCCGTAACATCGGTACTCACACTTGTCTTGTACCCTTGCTCGGCCTTTGATGGCGTTTCAGGTGATTTGAGGGTTTCATCTAAACTCTCATCATACTGAAATGGAAATGAAATCATTTTTGGTAAAAACGCTATCTAACGTTAGGTGCTTGAGCTGATGAAGATGTCATTAAAAAGAAACACTTGCAAAACCTTTTTAAGGCCAATATTAATTGGACAAGAATTAAAAAATTCAAGAAACCGAAAAAGAATATAAGAATCTTAATGCTACAATTCCAATCACTCAAAAGTTTTGAATGAACTTGCTTGACAGTATCGAGGTAGGAAACTGCGAGTCAATTTTGCAAATTCAAATATCAATCAGGAACTCACTTGTTCTTCTTTCAAAGAAACCCAAACCGTTCTACATTACTGGACAAAAATTAAGAAGAAAACAAAATACCTCAAATGCCTGAAAAGCATTAAGAGAAATTGTAATTTTAAATCTTTAATTGCAATATTCCGTGATATTATCACTGAACATTCCTGCATAAACATTTGCAAAATATCTGCTCCAGGAAGCAAAATAAGTCACCTGAATTTCCTCCGGGTCATCCATCTCAAGGTCTTTTCTATCAACCTTACACACCTCCTCAGCCATCTTGGTTAGCTCCTCCTGCCCTTTAGCAAAATCAATAAAATGTCCTTGGGAATAGCTTCTTATTCTCGCTCGAGAATGATCCTGCAATGGCGTTTTCTTAACAAGTTCAAACGGACTGCCAGGCAGCTCTTTTTCTATGGATGATTTTCTGTCAGCTTTACTTGGCGTTAGTTCAATTGGTGCTGACATCAAGCGTCTGTGTCCCATAGTTCGACCTTCTGTCAGCGTTGTAGAAGGAACATCAGAATCATCTCTTGACTTCCTTACTTCTTTATCACGCCATGAATGTTTCTCCTTTAAGAGTCCATCCGGAGGACCTTCTTTTGTCTCTAGTTCGTCGGGACTATTTTCTTCAAACAAAGGTCTTTTTCCAGATAAAATGTCATCTAGCTCAGAACTCGGTGCTTTATCTTCGACTCCAAATTTCTTTCCGCTGTTTGCTGGTTCAAAATAATCGCTGTCCTCATCAGCCCAAGCACCTAACGGTGGGTAGCGCCTTTTCTGCAAAGACTTTCGATCCTTATTACTTCTTTTCTGTATTTCTTGAGGTGCATCTGACTGGACTTTTTCGATGTCAGTTGGTACTTCTACTTTTGCATCTGTTTTTATCAAATCACCAGTACCCCTAGTTGTGTCAGTCCCATTTAAATCTCTATCGTTCGTATCTCCTTGTGTAACGGGAATTGAATTTTGACTTGCACATTCCGAGCTCTCGTCAACCTGCAGGCCAAGGCTTTTCAGCTTTTTCGTAATCGAAATAGGCTCAATCAGCTCGTCCTCGCTCACGACTTCTGGAATCTCGTAGTCGACAGCTGATTCACCAAAGCCGATTTCACTGGCGCTGTCAACATCTTTAATATCATCGATTTCATCTGCTTCCGATAAATATGATTGGTCTTCATCTGGAAAATCAAGAACATCTTGCAGCGACATTAGGTCACATGACCCTGCATCACTGCCATCTTCAACAAATAAACTGCTATGAAGTGACGAGGTTTCATCCGACTGCCCTAATGACATCAGCTTTCGTCTGAGATACTTCGGGAGGTTATCTGTCTCTAGCGTATTAATGACAGTGGACGATCGCTCACGTGACTCGACCATCCAGTGCTCTTTGCTTTCAGTTGAGCAAACGGAGTCTTCACTTTCAACGCGACACATCGATCGCCTTTGAGATACCCCATTTGTTATATCGGATAGTGATCCTCTCTCCACTTGAACGGAGCCAGTGCGTCTAAGGTTGGACTCTTTTGCATGTATCTGAATAAAAGATATTTAAGCTTTAAAAAACAAGACAACTGGTAAAATCTTGAAATTTTCATTATATTTCTAAACAATCAAATTTAGCTGATTGGTCTGACGGCTTCTGGCTTGCGTTCACAGATGCTTCAAAAAGTGCTTTCTCTATTTATCAAAACGGTCAACTGAAGAAAGGAAAATGGCCTCTGAGAAACATAAGACAAATCAACAGCAGACAACTAGAGGTGCTCAAAGCTCACATTTGCACCAACTGAGAAGCGATGACTCAAACTGATTCCATAAAAACTCGATATTTACCTATTACTTATTTACCTGTTCAGGGTTTTTATGATAGTAATTGATATCCTCTTTGTTAATTGATTTATACTTGTAATTCAGTTAACATCAACGTTTAAGTTTTGGTTGGCATTAATTAGCAAATTAATTACCTATATGAGAAGCCAGCCTAAAATAAACAAATTATTATTATTCATCATTATTATTTTACCCGCGAATCGCTGCTCTTTCTGCTAAAGTCGTTCTCATCATCATAGCCAATGCTACGCTCATTCGGTGACATTTCTGGTAGTTTTCCAGTTTCTGCATCGCCTTTCTCAGCTAAAGGTGATTTTATTACCATATATGGGCTTCCAACCTGTGTCCTCTCACCCTTGGCCCCTCCATTCTCTCCTTCTTTTTCAGTAGCTGTTTGGTCTTCCTTACCGATATTTAGAGATAAATCAATTTTCAATTGTCTCCTATCGCCGACACTTTCTTCCTCATTATGAGCCTCTGTGCCCTCTTCAGTATGACCTGGAAGTGAATTCTGACCTTCAATTTGACCATAAATTTGACCTTCAATTTGACCATAAATTTGACCTTCAATTTGACCTGTCGCACATGCTTGATCAATGGCTTCCTTCGCTTCATCACTGAACTCCGCACCAAACTGACTCAAGGTTTCATTATTGATATCCGATGCAATGTATTCCTTAGGCGGCTCGATTCCTAAATACGTTTGTCTTAAAATCGCCCCGTTGTTTAAAAGCACTTCCGACACAGGCTCCTGGGCGGTTTGTGCGTGGATATAAGTGTATTGCAAATTCTGACCAGTAGCACCATTATCATCTCCTGTTTGATCTTGCGACACGGTCGGGTAGTACTATAACGGAAAAACTATTAAATAAGATACATAGGGTGCAAAGACATTAAAGAACAAATTTCTGAAATACAAATTTCTAAACCAAAAAACAAGTTTTTTCTTTCTGATATGGCATTCGTGTTAAATTCTTTCGGCACAAAATAGTGGCAAATGCGAGTAAATGTGAGGGATCATGAAAGCTAAATTCGTGTTAAAGTTCAAGCCTGATCGTGACCGTGAATGGGTCCGCAGAAGCCCGCCAATGAGCTTTCTTTTAAGCGAAAAATTAGGTCTTAAAAACGCTATAAAAAGTTTTTTTCCTTTACTCTCGTTCGCTTTATTTATCTGGGTATTAATTGTAAGTAATTGGAAAAGAATTTGATTAAATTGTAAGTTTTTGTCACGGTCCCCTGAAAAGCAATCTGCTTAGATTGGCGGGGTTACAGTGAATAAAGAATTTGAAATGAAATGAAATGAAATGAAATGAAATGAATGATCACAAAAAATGGATGATCACAATTTTATCAAATCCCGCTGAAGACTTCGAGATGCCTTTTGCAAACAGCAAATGACAATTGTTCTTGGCAACGAAAATGCCAAGCAACATGTTCTCATTTACCAGTTAAATCGAAACAATGTAAATGCAACTGACTTTGTTTTGTAGCTAAACAAATATAAAAATATAAATCCAGGAATCACAAACAATACTTAAGGTACTTTTGGCTACAAACTAAGCAATCAGTTGACAAAATTAAAGATTGATAAAGCGCAGGGGTCTTGATCAGAATGCAGGATACCACAAAAGCAATGAAAACATTCTTAAATACGTTTAATTGATTAAGTTTTGAATCATTTAATATGCGAGAGAGCATCAATAATTTGCACTTTAGATCTAAAATTAATTAGGCGAATTCTCTACGTCATCAAAGCAGTCAGGCACTCTGGTTGAAACTGGGATAGTTCAATTTATTCATTGATTGTCAAATTTCGCAGAAAAGGCCCTGAAATCTTGTCTTCTTCCACCCGGCTCATACCTCACTCGGCCCATGCCCCACCCGGCTCATACCTCCCTGGGCACTACCCCACCTGGCCCAGACCCAAACCGGGCCATGCCTTGTTCAAAGCCATTTATGGGCATGGTACTTCCGATTATAATTTAACAACGGGTACATGCCTCTCCAATTTCATTAGGAACAGCATTTGGTTGATAACGCATCTCTTCACTTTTTGGTGACGATGATGGCTTGGCTGCCTTTTCGCGCTTCTTTTCTTGTTGGATAAATTCTTGCAGCCTAAAAGATGTACAGCAGCATCAATTCTGATATTCAATCTATACCGAAAATTGAAGATTCGGAAGCTGAAGATCAAGTTGTAATATTTCGCAAATTTTCAACCAAAGATGTCAGATTAACAAAATTCGTAAATAAATTTCAATCATGTAGCCGTACTTCCTACTTCCTTCACATAAAGCTAGTTGATAAAGTGACAAATAACTGCAAATTACTGCAATGGCATCTGGAAACGATTCGCTTGGGTTTAGCACAGTTTGCCTTTTTGTTTGCATATAATACCAAATGGGAGTTGAGGGAGCTGGTACCCAGCGTTTCATGGTGAAATTGGCAGCAGATTTAGTGAGTCATGTGTAATTTACTTGTTAAGCGAAGAGTTACTGGGTTTCTAAAATGACGGAGAAAATGGTCTGTTCATTGACATAGAGGTAAGGGCATTGCAGATCAAACAAGATGAGTGCAAGTTGTCAGCTGCAACGGCAGGAATTATCATGCTCAAACGAACTTTTGTACGAGCGGCTGAGTAATAATTGTAAACATGGCACATCAGATGAGGAATTCTGACTTGAAACAACTATTAATCATTTTATTATACACACCTTGCATTCCATGCGAGAATGACTTCACATAGTTTCTTCTTGAGATTCACAAGCATATTCCCTATGCTAGTCATGAGTGCACTCTTTTCTGAAGGTTTCAAAATAAAACTGTCGACGACATTATGGAATTCTGTTGACGCACTCGTTGGATCTTCTAAGGATTGCCTTCTCTCCGAGCTCAAAAGACTGTCAACCTTCATCCTTAAGCATTGCATAAAGTCTTCAAAATGATAACTTTCCGCCTAATAATACGAAAGATATAATAAACATCTGATATATAAGAAGAGCTTTATTATTCTTTATTATTTAGTTGTAAATATTATAAGAAATAGCAAAGGAAAAAGCAAATTTTGTTCATTGAAAGATAAACTTTTTGTGCCTTTCATGAATTTCCTTAAATATAACCAATCTCAAACTGTTTCTCTTCTTACAATCAAAACAAACTCTGACCATGCAGGAGTAAAAATTTTCGAAAAAATCATCTAACGTAATTAACATTTTAAAAATTCAAGATAAGAAACATACTTGAAAGTCCGATTGAAAATCCTTAATACTCTGCTCTCGTGTTGCATTTGTTATTGGATCGAGGGAGCGCAAGTCAATTATGCGCTCCATAATCTGTTTCAACACTTGATCGGCCCTAAAAACCAATGATAATATGTTGAATGAATAAGATTAAATTAGGTGAAATTTATTGAATTTCTGAAACATTTTGAAAACAAACAAATTCAAAATCAAATCCATTCTGAATTTGATGACTTTGTCGTGTTTGGAGTTCGTACTTCTAAGCCTTGTCTGTAGCAAAATTATCCCAATTTTACTTCGAATTTTCAAACTTCGGCTCGCAGTTTTCGAGACAGTTTAGGAATAATGAAATAGTTGAAAATGAACAAATCTGAATCAAAGAGCTGGTGACGAGAAGGTTGTAAACAAATGAAGAAAATTGTTAGATTCTCCAGGATAAAAAGGCCTTGGTGATACCTACTTGGCACAAAACTCTTCAACATCATTTTCCCATTCGCTCGGTTGTCTTTCCTTCCCAATAACAACATCTGGGCTTGGAATAATAACCTCATACAACTCAATAGGACGATACCTGAAAACAAACCAAAGTGGTAAAGAGAGCACTCTAAAATCATAAAGAATTCGAGACATTTTTGACGTTATGTATACGTGACAATTTCGGGCCTACTGGCTGGACATCATGTTAAAATTCCAGATTTGTTTAACTATTAAACTTGAAACAACATTGTTTGCACTATTCAATAAGAGCAACCTACTCTCTTCCACCACAAGTGACATTTGGGGCTTTCATAAAACATGTCTCTTATGCATCGTTAACAGTGTTTCTTTTGCATGCATGGCTTTAACCCTTTCAATATGGTGCCCATCTCTTTCTAGTTCATCTTTAGCTCAACATAAACATCAACAACGACTTTTTTCACAGGCCCAAGACATTACAGTAAAGTTACCAAATAAAATTCGCTAAACCTTGAAACAACTTGTCAATGATAAAAATCTGTTGAGGCGTTTGACAAAATTAATATTTGTTGAAAATATTGGTCAAAGTATGTTGCAAGTCATCATGTCTTTCAATCTGAAGAGATGCAGTTCGCAGATGCAACTACGGTGATGGTTCACAGAGATAACATCAAATATTTCTTTAGACGAAACAAAAAACTGTGTGGAAAATCTCCAGCCGAACATCTCATCAAGATTACCAAGCAGCTGTTGGTAATGAACAGAATTGCTAGCAAACAAGCTTCGAGCGAATCTAATTCTTAATATCAGAATCGCGAAAGAATTCGTTATTCATGGTTTCGGTCTGACAAAAGAAAGCTTCAAGAGATAAAGATCGAACAGAATCTAGCAACGTCACGCTCAAAAACAAAAACGCTTCGTGCTTACGCTTCTTCAAGAAAATAAAAATCATATATTGGTTAATAATGCCAACAAATGTTAATTAAATGATCAAAGACTTATTATCGTGTATAATAACCTAATGATAAACAGTGGTGTCCGAAAACGGGTCTCATTATTATTGTCAAACGCCTCAGACCCTTCTGTCTGTATTTGGGGTGAATCCCGACGTAAAGCAAAAGCCGGCGGAAAACGCTCATATCTTTACATAGACAAAACAGTTCTAGAATTTGAAATTGATTCTACATGTTCCTATACCTTCCATGATCACAGAGCAAGTGGTTCAAATCATTTGTCGGAATGAATCAGCTTGCGTATTTCTAAAGCCTGGTCCATACTTAGATAAGAATATACCGAAACGAACGTAGGTTATTTTCAAATAAGGCTCTTCTACTTTATGAAAATCAGTTCATTGCGGGTCATTAAATTTGATTTTTTCAAGTGAACGGTGCTTCAAAGTTCAATATCAAAATTTATGAAAAGTAATACCTTGGGAAGGTGTATTTAAGAAAAATAAACGATAAAATAAGCTATTTACCTGTTACTCATCCTGCAGTTTTTGCTTGGCAATCTAAAATTGAGCTCTACATTTGCAAGTTCTTGGTAAATCGGAAAACGCTCTAAATTCCTTTTATACGGTATGCTAAGGTTTTTAAGATACTCACTTGAATGACGCAACCATGTTCGCAAAGCTAAAGTACTGATAGTGATCTTGGTGTAGCGAATGGCCGCAGGGCTCCGCACTAGCTCGTCGCGTGTACTGTCCCCCGTAAAATCGAAGCTCCAAGTACTTTGCGAATGATAGTGACCATGACTCAAATGACAAAGGCACGACGGGGGTAACCTAAGAGATTATAGAGATTCTTGGTTTTTGTAAATTGCATATAGAAGAAGAGGACCTGATGAAAAATTAATGAAATTCGTAAAAAAGCAGCGAGAGTAACAAACAAAGTCTAGTGCTGTAATTAAAGCCTTGTTTGAAGAAGAGCGATTTAATGTTCATAGCAGTTTCTTAAAAACATTCAGAGTTAGAAAAAGCTTCGATCGAATATTGAAATGAGGAAACTTTACGATGGGAGAAAAGTATGATAAGGACATTGTAAGCACAAAAACACCGCAGCTTATCAATGCAATAACAGAGCAACCGCTACAAACAAGACCCTTTGCGTACTTAAAGAGTCTAGGTAGACCAGTTCCCACGTTCATGGTTGGAATAAGAAACATAAGGAATACGCAGAACCAGGGGGCCGTCAAAGGAGGAGGGGATAAGGCCACGTGCCTACCCTAGTATAATCCTGGTAGCAATTCTTTTAATTCTGAACGGGGGAAGCATCAACTTATGCTATTTTCTTACCTTTGCTTTACAGGACAAAGGATTCCACTTCCATTTTTTAGGTTCTACAAAATTATCTCAGATATATAAAATATTGTTAAGCTTTTCTTACAAAACTGTTTTTTCTAAGAAATCTCTGTTGAGATTTGGCTCTACTTAACAAGAACCGCGACGCCTGTTCGAGCGACCATCCGTTATATGGAGAAAATTAATAAGACCACTAATCCGAGAAGAAGATTCCAGAGCAACAAAAAAACTAAGGCCGGCATATATTCACCTGTTTACACTGCTTGCACCAGCTCCAGGTAAGTATTGTCCGGTCATATCCAGGAATTGGCGATTCTAAATTTCTCATGTGAATATACAATGAGCCATTTCCATGGGCAAAATATCTCACGTGATTTACCATTGGAACGTCGCAGTTGTGACTGGAACATATATAGGATGGCCTAGAAAAAATCAGTAAATGAAGCAAGCTTTTCCATGCTATCTTGAAGTCTTTGATTGTCCTGACAGCGTATATAACTGACAGTCAATAGATCAGCAGGGGCCAAGAGAGGCAAGAAAGGATAGGAGAAGGGAGAGAAGAAGGGATAACAGAAGGAAGATGAGAAGGGAGGGCCTACTGACAAGCTGAAGAGTGAGTCAAAAGTTTGGATTCAGATCCTCCCAAGTAACAATTATAAAAAAGACGTGCCTGATTGACAATGGGGTGTTATGACTCCACAATACGCAACGGTACTAAAACTAAAACTGTACGGTAGAACATAACGATAAACAAGCGAATTTTTTTGGAATGCCCCTGCTCATACTCTTAGTTTGGGATTCCAGACAAAAAACCTTAAATGCATGATTTGATAACGGTAGGATATGTAAGTAGAAACACAATCCAATCATGGCGTCGCTTCAAATCTGCATCTAACACATCAAACAGAATGCTCCGTGACAAAACCTGTCAAATTCCCACAGAAACAGCTAATCAATCCGATTTCAAGGCAAAAATTTTACGGTGAATATTTGAATGGTTTGTCAAAAGCCGATGAAAATCAGAGCTTAACAAGCAAGATTAAGCAAAGTTAGTGCAATGAGATACCTGATGCGCGGCTTCATAAGTAAACAATGCTGGCAGCAAAACTGCTCTTTGGCATAGAAAAAGTATACATAAATACTTGCAAAGCGTTTTATAGAAGCCATTGGTCTTAAGGAAAACCCGAAAGATAAGACGAAAGAGACTCACCTGAAACAATACCGTTCTAGAAATCCTCCGAGAGTGATGTCATTTCTACCGTAAAATTCCATAAATACAGCCCTGAAACAAAAAAGTTCTTCCATAGTCACAGGAAACTAACAACGTATTCAGCTTTACATTGAAACTTGTTATTGGCATTCTCAGAATGAATCTGAGGCTATAAGAATCGTGTCACCGTCTTCCTTAGAGTTTGCTTTCATTGACTTTGTGGTTGGCAAGCTACTTCATAATTCAAGCATTGTAACCAAAACAAATCACTTCTCAAACAATGCGATCAAATGCCGTTTACGGTGATTTTAGTAAAGGAAAGTTTTCCTTGCTGCTAAGAATACACAATAAGAGGTTTTATAAAGTGAACTCAAAAATTGCGATTCCTTCATATCACAGAAAGTATTTAGACGATTTCTTAAAAATTGCTAAAAGTCTTTGCCTTCCTACAAAACAGGAAATCACGATAAATTAATTGCAGCGGTCCAACACAACCAGGCCACCTACTGTGGGTCGGTAGTTACAGTTTCAAAATGTCAATCATAAAAAAATCAGAATGATTACCAAGGGCTGATGCATGGCTTCGGAGCATTGTGGGACTCACTTGAGTAGCTACTAAAAAGGACAGCAATTTTCTGATGGTTGTACGGATCAAAGCAATCCCCCTGAAAAAGGAAACTATTGTATTTACAGAGAAGTTATCAATACTTCTATTCGGAAAGTTAAATATTTCCAACAGTATCATAAATGTCTAAAAAGATAGTCCAAATAAAAGAACATATCAAACCAAATAGTCAATAACAAGTAAAATTGACGTCCATAAAATATATAAGAACGTAACTAGGCAACAGAATATGTTTGGTTATTTACAAAAATTTTTTTTAATCATGCAGCACAAAAATTATTAGATAATAACTTAAGTTTGTATTTAAAGTTTCGTAAAACTCAAAACGTACCGATATTTCATATTCAGAGGACGATCCTTGCTTTTTATCGGGTGATGCAGAGGTCTGATCTTTGCCCTCCTCTCCACCATGGTCTTTTCCTAGAAATTCTCTCCTTTCCTTGCTTCTTATATTCACCTCTTTTCTTCTTATCTTATGAACCTCTTCAAAGTCTCTATAGGTTTTTAAATCAACAAGCCCCCCTTGCGCTCTAAAATCAGCTAATAAACTTTTAGTCGTTTGATCTTGAGGACGGGGGACAACATCTGGAATTGTAAATGGATGTGGACCTTTCGCTATCAAGTTTGGATTTACTGTCTTCGTTTTGACGCCTTTTTCGTCGCTGTTGAACTTTACTTCTTCTAGATTTTTTACTTCATTTAAAAGCTTTGATTTGTACAGTTGCCCTGGACTGAATCGACGGCAGCCACAGTTCTGTCCTTCCTCTGTAAGCAGATAAGGCAACGGATAAACACAAAACGGAGAGCTGCAAAGAACAACTTGAGAGATCAACTCTTTGAATTTCTTCGACTCCTCTAACATGTTATCAAGTTTTGAATTCTCGCTTGTCAGGCTTTCTTCAATTGGATTAAGCGAAGTGGTTTCCTCTTCGTTCTCTAAATCCTCTAGATCCTCCTCCGCAATCTTGAAAACCGCCTTTCTGTGTCTCTCCTTTTTTAATATGGAACCAGTTGGAAGCAAGTTATCTAAGGTTGGTGGCATGGCGAACTCGTCCATAAGAAACTTGTGCTCAAGCTTCAAATGATATGCAACATAAATAAGGTACTTTAAGATCGCCTTCACCTTTGTCAAGATACTTTTATTGCCACCTTGCAGGACCAAAGAACAACCTAAATCTGGAGCACAACCTTCAAAAAACATGAGCGTTCTGGTTCCACCATCCTAAAGAAAGAACATGGGGGAAAGTTCCAAAATAAATACACAATAATATGAATGGAGGATTATTACAAGATTTATTCAAAACTCTTATACGAGTGGAGCCTTTCAAGGTTCTACAGAACAGTGCTATTTACATAAACACAAAAAGCTGTATGTGACAGGATATCATTTGCATTGTATATATGACAACTGACTGTTTCATGGTTTCTTAATACCTAAATAATACCTTTAGGCATCAAAACTGTGCATTGTGAATAATGACCAGCTCGAAGTTGCTCACGTTTTAGAATAGAGTAAAAATTATACCCTTATTTCCTTATTTTTAAAATTCTTTATGAAACAGGTAATACAGCGCTAAAATCTTTGCCAAAAATAGTAAGAACACCACAATATTCACGTTCGAAAGATGTGTATAAAAATACGATATTCTTTATTACCGGCAAGAGGTACTTTTGCAACCGGAATTGCTGACAGGTCCCCAGCCTCGGGCGTGTCACTTGTTCCATTGACTGCAAAACGGCAGCACGTGTACACCTTGCAATGTTCTCCATTACATTCTGCAAAAGTTTAATTTCAATCACAAACAAAGCTCTAAACGCAACACTAGCAAGGGCATTCCCATTAATACACGGCTATGTAGTGAAACCTGAAAGACTTTGGATAATTAATAGGTTTTCTAATAAAAGCAAGTAGAGTATTTCTTGCCCTATAAAGAAAAACCTTTTGACGTCACAAAGTGTTTACGACAGGAAAAATTTCAAAACCTAATTGGCTGCTTTCCCTAGGGTCGTGCTTGAATTGCCATTAAGGTTTATGAACACACCCAACCCCCCTACCCCCCTCATTACCGCACAAACCCAAACCTGGCCCAGAAACAAATCGAATCAAGACTCATAAAACACCAGCCCCAGAACAACGGCGGAAGCGGGGCCAAGCTTCTCAACTCTTCCCAACTTGCACTTAATCTTAGCAAAACATTTTTAATTCAGCTGAAAAAATCATCTCACCGATTTGATATTGTGAACAAGGGTTATTCCAGCTTCCAAAAGCATGTTCTGGGCAACCCTTGCTACCGTCTTCTCTACAAGGACAATGTTAGGTTTCAGCGACACGATCCTTGCAATAAACTTCTTCAGGAATTCATATTCTTGAAGGACAACCGGTTCAATCGATGTGAGCTTGTTTTCAACCCGCTGAAAATAATACATACGAATGTGACAAAAAACGAAAAGTTAGCTATTATAACCTATTTAAAGGCAATCGTCGTTTTATTTCATTCCTGCTACACAGTTGCAATAATGACAAACATATTAGAGAATATATGAACTAAAACCCAGATTTCTAGATTTTTTTCAAGGTATAGGGAGATGGCGGTGAAAGCACTCGCATAATTGTTCTATTAGTAAATTTCTGAATAAATTTGTTTGGTCGACAAACCTATGTGGCATATATTTCAAGTTTTTAATTACTTTCATAAGTCAAATATTGCAACATATGAAGTTGATTTGCGGCGTCTTTAGCAGCATATTAAACTCTGTTCTTTTCCCAAGGCATATCTGAGCACAGAAAACGGGGCGCGAAGTCAATATATTTCGCAACGGCAGTCTGCAGTACACAGGCCTTTATCGAATAGCAAATAGCCGCAACGCTTAAGCAGTTTTTTATGATTTAAAACTTTAAACTACAACTAAAACTACTTAAATACATGCCACTCATAACGGCGAAGGACACAAGGTCATCTATTTTTCACTATGTGTGACATTTACAATTTCCAATTAAAACTATATATAAACACAAAAACAAAGAACAAAAAGAATTAAATAGGGCAAAGTAAGAGACCTCTAGAAAAATTGGCATACGAATTTTTTTTACACAATTTTACATGTGTCAGAGGAAAAAATCAAGAAATGAAGAAAAGAAAACAAAAAAGGGGGTTGCTGCTGTTGTGTCTTTAGATAAAAGAATTTCTTAAGCAGTTCAGCGTTTAATAGAAATAGTGATTTGTAACATTCAAAATCTCAGATTCCGCACACATTTCTCCCGCCATAAAAGACTGTTATCACTTTAAAGGTTTAGCCGAAGAGCGGCAGATTAGCCTTTAAGCGTATTTCATCCCGAAAGCGTTTCTTTCCAGGACGATAGCCGCTTATCTTTCGAAAGATATTTCCAGCACTAGAATTTGGTTTAAAAGACTCGGTATCTTTAATCAACCAAAGATACGCCTTTACGTCATCAACTCTTCTACTAGAACATATTGTATCTGGCAAATAGACAATTTATTCCCGCCAACATGGAATTGCATTAAATCCTAGGCTATCACTTCGTTTATACTTCGGGTTCTGCAATTAATGAGAATCGTTTGGAATCCAGATCATTTCCAGCGTCATCTTAGTATGCCCGAGAGCTCTTGAGACCAAAAATTAGACAATTGAAATTTTTTGGGTTTCGGGATGACACCCACGATACAAAGCCCCAAAGCTCTTGAGGTTCCTTTGTCGATACGTGCAGACGGAACTTTGATATGACGCAAATCCATCTTCAGTATAGAGTGCGGTAGTTAGCGGTAGTTAAACAATAACCAAATGTTTACGGAAAAACTTGGAACTAGGACATTCCACTTGATCAATGTAAATTGAAAAACCTTTGAAAAAAATAATAAAAATTTGGTATCATTTATAAACAGTTATTTGTGACAGAAAACTTTGACTCAGGCATAGGAGTCAATGTGTACAGGTAAATGCTCCTTGGTCGAGAAAAAAGACAAACTATATCACTTTTTGCAAAGGGCAATTAACTTTTGGCGAGCTGTGGCGTGAAAATAAGTTTGCATTACCTGGTACTCGATTGCGCAGCTGAGCATCAAGATTTTTGGTTGTGTGAAGGAGCAAGTCATCTTTTTGTGCACGACGTTTTTTGGGAAAGCAACACCGCTGACCACTTGGCACTCAGGTTTGTCTCCAACTGGTACAATTTTGAACCAGACATATTGCCTGATGTCCATATCGTCATCACGGCGAACGTCGGGGACAACCTTGGTGAAATGACAACAGGGTGTTGTTCAAAATATCATAGAATGGCAATGGATGCCTAAATCTCTAAACTCATTCTTTAATGAAGTGACAAGCGAATGTTGCATCTCAGTTACAAATTTTATAGCGAAAATACACTCTTATCAAATCATTGGGAAGTCCAAAATCTGACATTATTTAGTAAAATATCTAAAAAACTCATGTCACTACTGCACAAAAATCAACAGATTTGAAACATGCCTGTTTTTTAGATGCTGGCAGCAAGGAAATTCATTAATCGAAAGGATGCCGTCAGAAGGAGACGTACAATGATACAATATCATGCTGACAAAAAGCTATTGGATAATTTTTTAACGAATGAGCGCATGAAAGAGTTTGGTACAGTGCAGTTAGCGATAAGCCCATTGAGTGGCGGGACCAAATGATGCTAGACCTAATTCAAGTACCGTGTGAAAAATCGTGTAGCTTTTATACACACTTTTCGTATTAACAAGAAAAACTTTGCATAACTAAAGTCGCGTCATAAATTTTATACGTATGCAAACATGCACCATCTTCTTTTAATTACCTGCTCACTTATTCGAACAACAATCGGCATGATAACATCTTTCCAGACGATTGGAAGGCCATCCTTTTTGATCCGCTGGTCCAATAGGATAAGTAAATGGTGATCCGACGCAAGTCTAAAATAATTTGATATATATATTATAAATAAGATTAGGCTTAAGGCAAGAGCAGAACAAAGACCGTATAAGGTATTTATAGCGAATTTCAAAAGGATGATCATAGGGAATTTTTCACATATTTCGTTTCAAACAGAAAACAACTTGCTAAAAATCAAAAAGTAATGACGAACTTTCTAGTTTGGCAACAATGGCAGACTGTAGTATGCCGAAATGTTCTGGTTTTCATTTATATTAAGGAATGGACTATATTTATGGACAAATGTGAATCTTGATGGCTTATAATAAATTCAGAAGGTATACTTTGTTGCGGTTACAGGGTGGTATACAGGGTGGGATATGCTTTGCTACTATGGCATGCTGATTATCTGACAAAATGTGCCATGAAAGAAAACACTTTTTGTTTTACTTGCTTATCCAAACTTTTTCTTTTAAAGACCTTTTACTGCAAATATCACAGTAGAAGGTATTCAAATGCATATAAAAGGCATCAAAGAACGGCTGTCTCTAAATCACTAACAAGACCAACTTCTTCGACAAAAGAAGTCATTTATCAACTTCGAATCTCAAGCTTTCTATATTAATTAACAACTTTCATTGCAAGGAGATTTTTATGAAATTATCATAAGATATGGCAGACGGTTTAAAATCCTATTTAGACTAACTTAATGATAACTAAACTTATCCATGATTATTATTATTATTATTCTTTCAAGTTTTTCCACAATATAGTCGTGGCTCTTTATTTATTGTACAAACTTTATTGAAATTAACTTAAAAAAATTATAAATTGTAAATAGAAAGAACTTGTTTAAAAATTATAACACTGTTAACTTGCGGCAGTTTTGAAAATCGTAAGACAATTACGCGGCCTAATAGAAAAGTAAGACCATTATTACAACATGCCAACGTAAGGAGCCGGTAAACGGGTCACTATTACGGAAAGGCGCTCAACTCTTGCAAGCAAAATGATTGATTTACACTGAAAACCAGACCAACCACTGTGCTTTTTATCATACCGTCTTATGTACAATTGAGAAAGCTTCGGGCCTTTTTTTTAAATTTAATTTATTTTAAAATTATATTTGACTGCATCGGATTCTCATCGTCTGTATAATTAATTACTTATAATTACTCAGCCGTATAATTACTCATTGCAAGATTCACAGAATCCGGCGGACAACATATCCTGCGTTTCTGAAACCAGGGTTGCCAGATGTGATTTAAAAAAAAAGGCCAGACGGGTAGACAACCCAGGCCAAAATGTTATAAAAGGGCCAAATTATAAAATATTTCCCAAAAAAACATTGCGCGTGCGCTGTTTGTACCTCTATGCATGCGTTATATATACATACATACATACATCATTTATTTCAGGCAGGTTGCTAAAATAGGAACTGATGTGGAACTGCATCTAGTTTAAGTTATTTTATCTAAAAATTTTACATGAAGAATCTAATCTAGAACTAAAATCTAAATATAACACCCAGAACTACTTAGACACAATTAATATTATCTTACTGAAATTAGTGTCATTATATGTTGGGAAATATAGTCACTCTTTCCACTTGACGCTGAAAAGCAGCAATGTTCTTTTTCGTATGTTATTGATTGTACAGTTTCTTTAATTGACTTACGTTCCATTTTGAATTTGGTCACACTTTGATTAACTTTTACTTTGTCCGGTATCAAATTCAATGCAATAGCAGCTCTGTGTCGAAATGACTTCCTACCAATTTTTGTTTTAGGATGATCCACCAGCAATCGGAGCGAGTTTCTCAGATTGCAATTCGGTTGTTCCTTTTCAATAATAATATTTATCTCGGGAATTCCCAAACCGTAAAATGCACTATGGGACAGAATGAGTAGCTTTTTAGTACAAAAATATTTCAATGATTCCCAACCAATATAACTTAGAATGTCATGTTTCTTTACTCTTTTTTAAATGCAATTGACCGCTCTAGCGGCTCTTATGTGAATTGTCTCCAAGTCTTCTAACAGTGAGGAAGAGCATGATCCTCAGACAGCAATACCATATGTTACATACGGCATAACTGTCTTAAAGTAGATGGTTTCTAAGCCTTCCTTAGGCAAGAATTTCAAATGTCTCGGCATTTTGATCTTTTTATTATAGCGCTTGCATCTTTCTTCAATTTGTGGTTTTCAACATAGCTTACTGTCTATCCTTACACCGAGACAGTCTGAGAATTTGAGAACAAGCTAGAAAGTCTTGGGCCAAGAACAGAGCCTTGTGGCACTCCATATCTGATTTCTTGTTTACTTGAAACTTTTCCGTTGACTTTGGTATTTTGCATGCGATTTTGTAGATAGTCTTTCAGCCAGGAGAACAATGATCCAAAAATCCCAACTGACTTCAACTTTTGCAACAGTATTTCATGGTTTACGGTGTCGAAGGCTTTTCGAAAGTCTAAGAAGATAACCCCTACTTTATACCCATTACCTAGAGCTTTCTTCCATTTCTCAGTGAGATGTAAAAGCATACCATCTGTGGAGTGACCCTCTTTAAATCCCCATTGCCTGTTGCTTGATAGTTTATAGCTATTCACACGATTGTCTAACAAATGACAGACGACACCTTCAAGCAGTTTGCTAGGAACACTCAACAGTGAGATTGGTCTGAAATTGGCTCTTTCCGTTGAGCTCCTTTCTTAAATAAAGGGCTGAGGCAAGATATCTTCCAGCCTATGGGGCATTTTGAACTTTCTATGCTCTTTCTAAATATGCAGTAAAGCCCAGAATCACCTGTGCTACCAAGTAAGTGTAACGCTTCGGAGATATCTCGTCCGGACCTATTGCTTTGTTAGGTTTAAATTACTTTGCAATACTTTTTCTAACAATTCTTTTGGTTTATACTGATTTCAGATATGGTTGGAGTTACTTTCGTTATGAATCTAGTAACCTCCTTTTCGTTGACAGGTGCATGTTCCTTTGCTAGATTTGCCAATTCCTGCGAAGTACTCATTGAAGCAAAGTATTTCCAGGATATTTCTGAGTGACTTATAGGTGATAATATTTGACATATGGGCGTAGTAAGCTACTAATTACTCAATTATTTTAGTTTTTTCTTTCAATTTAGAATTTCTGCTGAAAAGGCCAAAAAGACCAAATTTAAGTAGTAGGTCAAAAATAAATTTTCCAGGCAATGAAAAAGGCCAAAATTAGGAAATTTGGGCTGAAAAAGGCCAATCTGGCAACGCTGGATGAAACTCTGTCCTGATGCGAATTGCGTTGCAAGATTATATCATAATCGTCGTAGCCGTCACCATCGCAATCATAATAATCATAATCTGCTGCGCATTGCTGAAAGACAGACTTTAAGGCATACAAAACGGTTCAGCTTTAAGGTGCTATCCTAACAATCCTTAAACTTTCTAATTGGTATTGGTATCATAATTATTATCATTTTCTAATTTTGTTTATTGAGACGTCAGCTAACTTACCGAAGTCTCTCCCGTGCCAAAGTCTCTCCATTGTCGTCGTTAAACGCCCCAATCTCTGCGACCTGCGATGTAAGACGGGGCTTCGGAAACTCAACGCCTCGCAAAATATCATCACCGAAATGAGTAGAGCTGGAGCTTTTAGCAATCTTCTTCTTAGCAACAAAAGGATGTCCTTCTACGCATACATAAGTGTCTAACGGAGGTGGAGGCACATGAGTGATGAGTGACAGCTTGTTCGTTTGGTCGTAAATTTCTTTGCGAACTTGCTTCTCTGATTCCTAAGGGTCAAGAAAATATCTAAAAAGCAGCTCATCGAACGTGGATAATCGGGAGATTTACATGCCTTAAAAACAAAGCGAACTTTTATTCTTTGGTCTTCAGCACAACAAATTGCGAGAAAATCAAATTTCGAATTCGACCGATCAAAATTAGGAAGAACTCTGCACATTATTTCAATGAAACTTGTGACCATACACCACAGGGCTAGGCTGTATGTATAGTTGAAATTCCCACTAAAGCAGCTGTTGGACAATATCTCCTGTCGTGTAAGCACAATCGCCAACAATTGCACATTTTTAACGATCTAGCTCATGAGTCTGCAATTTAAAGTAACGAAAAAATTCGAGCGATCGAATAGTTTTTTTAAAATTCTCCTATCATTTTCTCTCAACTGCCTATCGTTACGAAACATTACATTACCCACAACAAAGGGCCTTACCAATATCTAACTGACAAGAAGTATTGAGAGACTTTGATAATTGAGAGAATTATATTGAGAGAATTATGGTGTTGCATTTGGCTAGATATAGCATCGGAAAGTTCTTCACATGCGTGCAGGCTTTGTGTAATTTTGGTCTCATTATTCTCAGAAATGCTTTCACATTTCACATCTCCAAAATATGAGCGCAAGTTGAATAGTCAAGTCATACGACCCTGAATATTTTCAGAGATGGCCAAACAAATTCAATATTTCCTTGCGGCACATGCATAACAAAAAACATTCTACACAAAGTAACTATAGAGAATCAAACAAAGTTTACTGAACCAACAAAAAGCATTTAATATCATTAAATAAAGACATTGACTGAGCTTCACTTTGGCTGTATTACACGAGAAGAAGATGAATTTTTTCTCGTTATCAATGGGTATTTTAAGTCGGCTTAAGGTTCTTATTTCTAGCTGTATTTTACTAATCTTTCAAAATTTAAATGAAGATGTCGAATCTTTCAACGATTCAAACCTATTCCTTTGCAGTTTCAAAAACCATTCCTCGATGCAAACGATTTTGGTCTACCATACCAACCCTTGGAGGATATTTAGAATTCCTCCAGGAAAAAAAGGTTTTTCACACAGAAAAAGGTACACAATTTGAGCAGCCGGCTATTGCTGCAATTTCTCGATACAATTACCCATTTTTTGCAGAAAAAAATCTCTTAAAGCGTCATGTAAGTTTTTTTATTTATGAATGCTCTCAGTTTGTGTTTCAAGGCACAAAAGTTTCACAGGTGTTATTTTTTGAAGTTTTGACCCACTCGACATTCTCCAAAACATAAAAAATATCGAACTCCATTTTTTTGCGCAAATATCTGTCATTCTAAGCATCCGCCGTACAAAAAAGTCTTTCAAATTTATTTGCATAAAAAGCCTTATTACATAGTTCGTTATGCGTCGATATCGAAGCAAGTCTGTATGGTAATTAATCAATTTAGTTATCAAAGAGTAAAATATTACATAAAGTCTTGCAACTATCTCTCTCTGTGATCCCTCTCTGTTCAATTAAAAAAAAAGAAATATAAACACATCCCAATTCTCAATAGGGTAATCAGATATCAAAGCATTCGTGTTCTCCCTCTTTTTTCTACTCTGCTATCAGCAATGTTTTCTAAAAGTAATCACTTTATTTGAGGTAATAACAATAATAATAATAATACGAATATTTCAACAGGATAAAAGGTTCACCATAAGTATTGCTGTTTTCAACACTTGTCCTGCAAAACAGCGAGTCTTAGAACAATTCAGCCCTTTGAGGCTGCTGTTGCAAAGAATTAAATTAATAACACAAAACAAAATAATAATTATTCCAGTTGAGAAATAATGAAAGAAGCAACTTACATCCTCGTCATCAAAATAGTCCAGCTTCATATGAAGAGAAAGATCACGTGCAGGTATGTGTTGTTTGTTATCGCTTGTTTCAAACGTTGCGTGATCCAGGTCTAAATGTCGACCTATAAACAATTTCACGTTTCAAAACTTGGCATATCATGAACCACTAAGAGTAAGTAAGTCGGCCTAATAAGACTCGGCATATCAAAATCTCTAACCTACGAATAATTGATAACATCGAAAGACTCCACTCTTCGTCATATCGATTTTTGTTTATGATGATAAAAACATGACACCACAAGATCATATCATCCAGTATACTAAGTAGTGTTGGACTTAAGACAAATGCTTCTAAGTTGAACAAAAGACTTATCTGGTCTGGAAGAGCTATCAATTTTCAATTGCTAATAGTTTAATTACATGTCTTGACTATTTAAGCTGTAATGGGTCTAGTTATACCTGATTGCGATTCATCCTTGGTAAAGTGCAACATGCAAAACCCACATGATTTCCTTCGTGAATACATAATCCTGTACGGTTTTTCACCAAAGGCTTACAGATGCGTAAATAGTAAGCAAAGGGCTACCCACGTCACAGGTCACTTAATTAAAGAGCTTGTTGTGACCTTAACAAAGTACATTAAAACACGAGGACTGGGCTAAACCAACAAAACTATTCCCTTTCAGATGCGTTTGTAAGCAATCGTAAGCAATAACTTGCCATACGTCCTGTCTGCTCTTTGGGAGACAAAACGATCCAAGTTTATTTTAAAGAGCTCACATTTCCAAACTTAGTGAAAAATTTTCTTGATGACTATATGCATAAATTAAAGAAAACTTTCTCCTTACTTGAAGAAATCCGTCGTGAAAGGGAAGGAGTTCCAGAATTATGCATTTCCATCAGAGTTCTCTAAAAGACATTTTACTTTAGTTACAGCACATTTTGTGCCATGTTCACAGAGTTGTTCAAAAGATTCCACACAAAAAGATCAATGACAAAAACCTGTAGGCCATTTGAGATTTTCATCAAAAAAATAAGACCCCGCAATAAAAATTAACATAATATAACTTTTTCTTCTGCATGGGCAAGTCTACATTTGCACCTGCATATCCATGATTATAATAAAAATAAAATGAAAAAATAAAGAAATCGGGCTCAGCCTGGTTGTACGGATGATACTGTAGTTTTATTTTCTTTAAATGCTCATGGCAAATTATTTTATATTCTACTCCCTAGATTAGCTGTCCCAGTTCAGCATGCCAATGTCTCTTGAACACGTCTTCATTTGAAGCAAATCTAAGCAAATCTAAGCAAATCTAAGCAAATCTAAGCAAATAGAAGCTTCGTGTTCCTCATACGCACATATATATGTTCCTCGTAGATAACAATAAACATGTTGCTCCTTTGCGATCTTTTTTCTTCTTTGCAATATTAATCACCTTGAAACATTTAGAGTTACATGTTATCTTAATTTCAATATAATGAAATAAAAATACCAGATTTTCTTCTGAATCCAAAGAAATCTGCTTGAACCAAATTGGAAGTGTCTCATCATCGTCATCATCAACAACAGACACATTACTGGCCGAACCACTTTCCTCTCCTTCTAAAGAAGAAGGCCCATCAGCGTCCAATCGGGATACAAGTGACACCTGGGACTCCATTTCTGGGACAGCAAGCTAAATGTTTCAAATTAAATTAAATTAGATAAGTTCTTTTTAGACTAATTCGTAAAAATCAATCCAAGACTTTCTACGGGTAAAGAATGAAAATTTTTAAAAGGGAAAAGAGCATTGGAGAAAACATCAACAGCCATAAAAACACTTCGTATCGCCATACTGTTTGATGCAAGCTCATAAGTCAAAGTTTCAGGAAGCAGGATTTATGCAAATACTTTAGAGGTAAAGTCACAAAGTTGCAATTATTTGTACGTTGTACAATTTCTTCTTCGTCAAATAATCTTTAATTGTTTAAATGATACTAACAAGATATGCCTCATGATAAAGAAGTTTTAGTTCGATACTCCACAAAGCAAAAAGACCTCAGTCAATGAGCAAAAGCTAAACAGAAATTTGTATCCATCTAAGGGAGTGGGCGAAAGGACTGGGGATGAAGACATTTTTTGGACCACGACCCCTCCAAAAAACGTTAATTCAAATCGGTTCGTTATTACTGTTACTTAGATGATTTACGTACAAAACTATTCTCGCCTAATAAGTTCACCCATCTCGTAACCTGGTGACCGCAATTATTGTCACAGAATGGTGCCTTGCTGCCAATAATGGCAGAATACGAGGCTCCATTGCGATGAGCAATACAGATTACGAGGCTCAATGGTTATCAGTAATGAAAGAATACGAGGCTCCTCACCTTGCCAGGTTGGTACAGCATGTACTCATCTTTGAATATGTCTTCCTCTGTCGCTGGTATTGACTCGATCCATCCAAGGTCTAAAAGATCTTGACCGATTGCTACTCCTTGTGGTCTAAAAAATTCAATTTATAACACCATACTTTGAGAATGAAAGTCGTTTTCTTCAGAAAAGTAGTAACTTTTGGTAGAGCTAATTAATCGTGTTATACAGGAAGAGAAAAACTGTCGAAACCACGTGCCAAACCTGAAATCGAACATTAATCAAGAAACCCAATGCACTTGCAAACAAATCACAAACTTAACACGCAGTAAAATGCTCTTGAAATCAGTGGTGTGGTGGCAGGGGGCCCCTGAATATAGGCGCAAATGGAGATAAGGGGGCGCCAAAATTTTTTGATCGTAATGTTTGGCTAGGAACATCAAAATTGATCGTACATGGGTAGAACACTTCGCTATAACTTGCTGTGAACAATCTAAAATAACGTGAGATTCTACAATCGAAGCACGTTGCGTTGCCATGACTCAATCATCATTTGTGTCATATGTTTTCGTGTTAAATATGTACGTGGCTTCATGTTTAACACGCCAACTAACGAAAATTTTACATATGCCAAAAATGTTTTCTATTAGTTTGCACTCAGAAAGCCAAAAAAACCTGAGTGTACCCCGAAGATCTTCGGGCCTAAATACATGGAAAGCACCCTGGCAATCAATACAGCAGGTTCTTGTTATTAACATCGATGTGCACTCTGAACCAAAGGTCGCCCTTTCTTTCTTTTCTCAACACATGAATCCTCCCTTCCAAATTTTTTTCTAAGAATCAAAAATCAATGTTTTTCTGAGCATCGTCGAATTGTCTATTCTGAGCGGTATAGTAATTTGCTGAATTTCTGTCTGGGAGATGCAATTTAGCCATTCTGGAAGGCTTGATTTCAAAAACTTTTTTCCGCGTCGGATCCAAACCATGGTGGGTCCTCCTATGTCACTAAACTTGATTCTTAGCCCAACTCCAGATTCAATTTCGTGCGCGCCGCCTCTGTCCGGTTCAATGGTGTGATTCAATGCTTGAAATTTTCAAGCTGTTGAAAGAACTACTATTTAATAACTACTAAAGAATAACAAACTTGAACCATGTTTGTCTATCATGCATCATAAATATGATGACCCTAGGCTGATCAAATCGTCCATAAGCAGTGGCGAAATGGACTAAGGCTACCTTTAATTAAAAAACCAAGGAACCCGAAAAAAAAATTTGCTCTACGTTATTTTACTCTGAATTCTTCCATTCATACGCGCACTTTCAATCAAAACTTATTCATGAAACTTTGAATTCAAGTTGCAAAAATTGATTCCTCTTCTTGAAACGCGTGCTTTTACATAACCATGATATATAGATAGGAAGCAAAAATCGACTTGGCCACCCTAGGAAAAACATAGCCACCCCGCCACTGCTTGCAATGAAAATAAGTGGCAAAACAAAACTGCTGTATACAATACCTATTTGCTGCTTTTCCGTAGGTGAGAAGCCAATCTACCAATTCATGCCCAACAAAACAGTTTGTGTACGTCTTCAGTCGAAATCTGTGACTTTGCAACTCCAGTTTTGATCCTGTGTCAGAAATTTGGCGCCAGAGATCTCGCAAAAAATCCTTTAGCGAAAAATAGAGAAAATAACATGAACAGAGAATATTCTATTAAGTGTCACAACAAAACCATAAGCACTTCTTCAAAAACCAGATGCACTGTTTTAATACAAAACCATTGATGCAGCACTCCAAACTCTGCGATTCTTTTTCTTTGTGCTAATACTTTATCAATGATTAATGAAAAAACTGGTTTGCAATCTAAACCAGCGATAGCGTTTTCGAAATCAAGTATCTTTAGAAAAAAACATGACTGTTAATAAACATGATCCTTTGAAAACTTTTTCAGATTGATTAACTTCACATCTAAATCAGAGCAAAACGTTGACAAAAGAAAGGCACCTGTTTGATATCATTGGCCTCTTTCGGAGTAACACCAAAAGCGTCAAAAGGATTCCTAGCTACAGAGGTTTGCGTTCTCAGCTCCCTTTCAATTATCCCAGGCAGACTATTCGAGCTTCCCATTCTCCTGATGCCAGAATCATCTCTGGTATGATAGCTTGATAAACTTGTCCTTGAGGATGTCAATGAGTTACCAACACCACCAAAGGGCTCACTGTTGTTTACATCATCAAAGCATACTTTTATATCTGCTTTTAGCGCTTCTAAACTTTTATCAAGGTCATCAACAACATATGCTTTCACGATCTTATAGCAGTAGTTGCAGACTCTGATGTTTCCTAAAATAAGATCACAGACGTGTAAATAAAAAAAAGTTATAATGACTGTACATTACAGGATGCTTATAAAGACAAATTTTAGATCTAGAACCGGTTGGAACTTTAGCTATCGTGGCACTGCGTAGTAAATTATGGTATGATATAAATTCTTTGCATTACGCTAGGAGATGTACTCCGCTATGATGCAGACTTGATATGCTTGCATGCTAAATTGTGTATGCTTTCCCTTTACTCCTAAAGTACAGTCTGTAAGTTGCTCCACCAGCCCACGCACCAGCCCACGCGTCATAGAAATTCTCATGGCTTCTGGAATTAGCGCCTGAAAGTCGTTTAAAAGAAAAGTTTAAGAGTGATTGGCATGGGATAGATCCACCCACATTATACCTAATCACGCTTAAGATATTTCATATCTAATACAACATGGACAGATGATATGCGAAGTGCATCGTACTGGATAACTGCCGCATAATACAGTCCTATCTGATGCGTTTTCAAATTCCTCTACTTTTATCTCATGCGAATTTTGGAACATATAGGCCTGTTTAACTTAGAATTAAATTAAATGACCCAAAAAATGTTTGGATATCAAAACTACAAAACATTCTTTAAACAATATATATCATTTGAAGATTCTAGTTTTGCTTTCTTTGTAGCTTTCAAATGTCTCTGGGTATAACTTCGCATACAGACATATGATCAATCCACTCTCAGATTCACATTCAGATAATTCAGATAACCAATTTTCACCAAACAGCTTATTACAATTGTGTGATTTTGTCAACAATTTAGACTCATTATGTCAAATTAGAATCAACAACATTGTTATTTCTACTTATTCATCTCAGAGCCACTAGAATTTTAAATCTGAATTTCTATCATACCACCAAATCCCATTGTCTGTCCTGGTACTTCCTGGCTGCAACATCTGCTGCAAAATATCTGTCCACACACTCTGCAGTGATGCCTTCTTCTAAATGTATTGAATTTCCCTCCACATTCATAGCACTCTTTGCAATGCTCATCGGGCATCCAGTATTGTTTGAAATCATGTTTAAAATTTACAGAAGCCTAAAAGAGATATATATATATATTTATATGTTATGTCATCAGATTTGCCAAGCCATATATATTAAATGGGAGAAAGAAGCAAAAATAAAAGTGCAATAGCACATGTTATTCAAATACAAAAACGTTGCAAAAAACAACTGGCAACAAAAAACAAACAATAAATCACATCATTCAATATTTTGTACCAGAAAAAAACTGAAATTATCGAAACAGAATATAGGATGAGAACAATTTTTTGGAGGTACAGAACTTGAAAATGGCTTTGAAAAATACAAACATTTTACAATATATTGACAAAAAGCTTTTTTGTCTGACACTCCCCAGAGCATAAACCGTCAGAATGAAGGTTCAAAAGAATACAACGAAAAATAAATGACCAGTTGTGAATCAAAATAGGCCAATCAGAAAAACGCAAGCACAAGACTGGTATATTTGACCAATCAGTGGTAAACCGGTGACAAACCAGTGACAATCAGTGACAAACTCGTATACATATAGTTTAGTCTTTTTAGCAATTGCAAATTTGGTTTATTTCATACAACTTCTCTAGGATACAACAGGATACTGTTTTTAAGCTCTTAAATTAGTAGTGTACTTGAAATTTATATTCTAAAAAACAAATGCTGCTTATTTCTGCAAAATAAATTATACTTTTGCATTTTGGAATAATCCTGACATATTTGCCTTTCCTTCTACTACATCTACATAGCTACACAATAATTCATACATTATAACCCAAATGCTAGCAATACCTCATTTGATTTCTTGTCAACTGCTAAAGCACTGAGTCTGCGAAGGATTGTCTTAACATTCCTGTACTTTCCTTTCTCTTTTCTAGGCAAATTTGGTGAGCTGTTTTCTGATCTACATTTCCCATAATTTGTTGGATCAAGATTTGCAGGGACATTTAATGAATTATCTTTAGGGGCATGACCAACTTTCTCAACATCTCTTGCTAAATTTGCTTGGTTCCTTTGATGGCTTGACTCTGCTGCATCATTCTGGTTTTCTTTTGCTGGTTCTTCTGCAACTGTCTGCTCAAACAGACTTTTCTTTCCTCTCTTCCAAGGTAAGTCAAAGAGCCGTGAGAATGAAAATCCAGATGTTATACTTTTTACATCTGGGCTAAGTGGATGGAATGACGTGTAGGATGAGTCTACCTTATCTCCACTCATTTCAAAGCTGTTGAAAAATTGATACAAATATAGCTATCAAATTGCAAATCTTTCAAACTTCATAAAACTGAAACACAAAATATTCGTAAAGGAGCAAAACATCAACAAGAAAAATGCTACAATAATCCATTTACAACCAAACAACCAAATTAAATGCTTGGCTCTTGTTCCATCCGAGCTACATCTCAAATTGCATCCAATTCAATTCGACTCATGTTGTTCACAGAAATACATCTTATATGCAAGGTTCTTGCAAAAATATTTATCATACTGTAGACCTTTGAGACTAGCCTCCTGGGGGCTTAATTAATTTGTGCTATTTTTGGATTGGGTGTTATACGAGGGGGGGGGGCTTACATGAGGGGGAGGGCTTATAGATTATCTAAAACATGCCCAGATATTGGTGACAAACCTGATAGAAAAACAAAATCTTCTGGAACTTGCTGTTTATAATGAAGAAGACATTACTAAAAGACCTCATATATTTTAATAGAAATTTCTTTATAAAAATTTAATTAATTATTACCAAAAGTATGGTTTTTTGTGTTAATTCAATAAAACCCTATAAGGCAACCTCAGATGGCAAAAATTGACAAATCCAGGGGGGCAATTTGAGCATCTACAGTAGCAGTGGAGGCTTATTTGAGGAGGAGGGGGGGGGGGGTTATTGACAATTTGTAGTTCAAGGATGATTTTCCGACAAATATAGGTTGCAAATATAGATTGAAACTTATCAATTCAAAGCAAGATTATCTTCATCAAACCTGGGAATAATGGAAAGATTTTTTCATACAGAAGAGCACCTATTGTTAGAAATAATAAGGATCAGGTTGGTCACATCAGTTGCTAGTACGTCGGGGCCCGTATTAGATAAATTTGTGTTTATGTATATAAAAGTGAATTCTCTGAGCTAAAAAGCTGATGCTAAATGTTGATTGGTGGATAGTTCCTTCCCAGGATGATTTCTCCAAACCCTGAATTACACTCTTCAGTGTTTTCAGTTCTCCTTTTTGCACATACAATTCTGATAGCCTCACCCAGGCAAGCCAGTGGCAAACTGCCTTTAAGTATCAGAGAGGTTTGTAATTTTAATTTTAACTTTTGTGAAACAAAGATGCAAAGTTTACAGTTTCAATTGTTAGCAATATTTGTTTGTAAATTATTTCAACCCTAAGAGATAAACCCTAAATTATGTTTTGGAGATAACCATTTGGTTCAAATTTGATGGTATCTTGTGTGTCCTTTACATACAGCAACAAAATAATGGGTCCTTACATAAATCCTGTGGCATGCAAATTTATCAGGCCATGTAAAAAAACTTGCTTTCTATAACTTAGATACCTTTCCAACCAATTACATATTTGGCTGTGAATTGTTTTAGCTAATACCACCACAAATCTTCCAGTTACAAAGGCTTAAGAATAAGTCTTTTTCAAGAGATCTAAAAGTGCCTGTGTTATGGGATGTTTTTCTAGGCTTCCAGACAGTAATCTATAAAGCATTTTGTGCTTTTTTACAAATCAAATTTGTTCCTTCCTGTTGCATGCAGTTTTTAAGAAATGGCTCTGAAATGGAATGAAATGCAAGATGGAAATCGTGAACCATTTCAAATTTCAGGCAAACATCGATTGGAAAGAAATTCTAAAAAGGTGCTTGCTTCAAATATTCCACTATTCATTATCTGCTGACATAGCTTTCATGGTTTCAGAGGCAATTTTCCCCGAAAGGCAAGCTTCGCAAAAAACACAGTTTGTACAAGCTGAGATTCTCCAGGAGCAGTTAAAACGAAGCAATAACTCTGCAACAAAGACATCATCTTTTGGAAGCAAAATGACGACGCTTCTGAAATGGGTTGCCTATCAACAATCGTTTCAGAAGAACTTTTTAGTACGAATATTTTGTTGAAAAACAAGCTTGAGCATGCACGACTTTGCATACTGTCTTCTTCACAAACGAGCAAGAACGTTTCCTCAAATAAACGCTCAATACCTTTTGCAAACTAGATTTAGAAAAAAAGCAAAACTTACAAAATAAACCCAGTCTTTTCCTAATGAATTGTGCATTCTATTTGGTGTTGTGCTTCCAAATTTTTTCTTCCTTGCTCTCTTCAAACCTAGGCCGATACTGACGGTAAGTACTTCATGTATTCTTGATTTGTCCTTCGACCTCGAAGTTGCGCAAACAACACCAGCCCATTGCCCCAGTCAGTGATGACGTCATAGAAATAGAATCTTTTGACCGCATGAGCAGAAAGAACATGATAAAATTACTTCCTAAAAACTGCTACACATTTTCTGAAATAAGATACTTCATCCTAATCAGACCAATTTCATCCCAAATAGAGTTCTAAAGTGTGACATCACCAAAAACCTATTTTTAAAATTTTTGAATTTTCACCACATAACATTAAATATCACAGTGAAATACTTCCAAATATGCAAAACTGGCCAAATATATCCAAAACCCGTTGAGATATTGCCAATGAAAGATTTGAAGTTTGCTAACGAATCACTGTTATTTTCGGTCCGTTCATAAAGGTATGAACAGAGACTAAAATACAGAGGTTTGATGGGGAAAAAGCCAGTACACATGTGGCCATATCTCAGCCAATTCGTAATACATTTGACTGATTGGGCATATTGAGAGGTATTTCATGATGCTCTTTCAGGCTATGGAATCCAAATTCAAAAATTCTATAAAGTATATTTTTGTGACGTCATCACTTTAGAACTCCTGCACGAAAAACCAATCGTAACCCAAATAACAGGATACTAGGCTCGAAAACCTTTTTGGTTCTCTCAGTTTCCTGGGCAACTTACTAAGAATTGTATTATATAGAGCTTACTGTATCCACCAATCTTTAACTTTGTATCTTTTATTATTATATCTTTGGTTAACTTGTATTCGATAAATTGTAAATATTTTGCTAAATAACATGAATTTGAATTTGATATTTTAATGCCAAAGTGTTATTTGAAGAGCTACCATTTAGAATAGATAGATAAATACACACAATGCAAGAAAATAGCAACAAGATAGATAGATATCTTTGTAATCTTGTAATTGTACATGTTATCTTTGTAATCTATGTAATTCCTTAACTTGTTTTATTCCTTATATGCCAATTAACAGTTGAAACATTAACGTGGAGCGAAGATTATGAAATATACCATAGACTTTCAACGATTTTCAATTTATGCCACCATCAACTTTGACTAGTAAGCACTAAAAAAGCAAAATCTGCCGAGTAAAAGCAGATTTATAACTCTTGGGGGGAAGTGACCCCCCCCCCACATCCCACATAGCACCCTGTTCAACGAAAGCCTTTGGATTCAACGCCATGCAGATTTTTCATTCATGCAAGTGCTTATTTGCGCTCTTTCCTCCTTCTCTCCGTCTTCCTCCGCAATAACAGTAGAGACTGCACGCAGGCTAGCAAGTGCTACGCTTCAGTGGTTTACAATCAAGTAATTTGGCTAAATCCAAATAGGAACAGGGATGTCGCCAATAAAGGAGGATATGTCCCTACCAGGGGCGGATCCAGAGAAAATTTGAAGGAGGGGCAGTTGGTATTGGGGGCGCTGAAAATTTTCCAGAAATTGATGATGAGTGTACACTGTATTCACTTTGTAAGGAAATTTTTCACAATAATGTTGTATACTTTGAGGAAATCTTTGAAATAAATTAACCTAGAAGTCTCAGAAACTTTTTCACCTGCTTATCATCCTTCAAAAGGGGCGCAAAATTTCCAAAAATGGGGCACTAAATTTGCTTCAACTCGGTGAGGGAGGGGTAACTGCCCCTAGTTGCCCCCCCCTAAATCCGCCACTGGTCCCTACCACAGCGTGTAAGTGACCGCGCAACAGTCTTCATACGATCAATATGCTCAAAGTCTGCATATGTTTACGCTTTGAGAACATTCGGTGCAAGAAAACATTTACCCTGTCAGATCAGCGGTTCAAAGTGAATCAACGACACACACAATTCAGGCCCATCTCTAACAATTGTAGCAAAAGCATTCTATGGCTCAAGAAGATTATCTCCAAAGCATCTTTCCATGAAATTCGGTAAACAACAATAAATTGAAGAAATTTTAAGTCATGTATCCTAAATAGCTAATAAAATATTTCTATACAATATATTTTACATACATCTGACAAATGTATCCACACGATAAACTAGGCACGCTTGGCATTGCACAACGATTGTTGCATTTGCTTAATGTTTGAGCTTAAATTAGCTAAATTAGTTCGGAATTCTTGACTATCACATGTGAGTGTTGAAATTTGGTCGTCAAAATTACCGTTTGGTTCAAATTCACTGTAGAAACTTTCAAATTTCACCGAAGATGTTGATGTTGCTGTTAGATCAGAGATAGTGGTGCTGGATAGAAAGTCACTCTCTTGGTCTGAATAAGGGCGTGTATATCGTCGAGAATCCCCTTCTTGCGTAGTCAAATCTTGAGTAGGCTTCATATTAGAAATTTGATGTGATACGGTCTCTGGCTTGTATGGATCGTCAGACGTGAGTTGGTAGGCTTTTCTGTTAGTTGAATTGTTTGACGTTGCACCAGTGTGACCACGGTGTCGAGCTAAATTGTTTGGTTTGGAATCTCTTACAAATGGTCGAGAATCTTTGAAATTTACATCCTGTAGCAGCCTCTCCACAGAGTTACGAAGATCTCTGACGAAAGGAGATAAAACAAATGCATTGATGAACAAGAAAACACCTAAAATGGTAAATAAATAAAGAATGAAATACGCTTAGTAGATCCCAATAAACCAATCATGAAATTCGAGCACGTGACCGTTAAAGCTGCCCAGTCAGTGCCGCTCACCATAGAAAATACTACCAATGGAGTCGAAGGGGGGAAAAACTTCATTGCATTTGTATAACAGTTTGCCATTATAGTTCTGGGACAATCGTAGTTTTATAGTGAATTATACCCAATGGCAGAATCATAAATTTTGGTTCCTTTTCTAGATCTGCAAGACAGAAGATTCTCTAAGAGGAGGGGGGGGAGTCTAAGGGGAAAATATTGTTTCTTATATTCGAAGAAACATGTAGCTTTATTCTAAAGATTGGGGATGTCATAAAACAACATTCTTTGCACAAAGAGGGAGCTGAAGAGTTAAAAGGTAGTTAGAAAGTAGTCAAGGCTAACCTGTTTAATTCTGTCAGTCGAACCACTTCAGCCTCTGATTGTGTTAAGGAAACTTTTAAAATTTTGGTCTCTTTTTCCTTGGCTTGTAGTGACAATGAAAATGATTCCAGCCTGTTTCTTGCAAAGTCATTCTCTAAAGATAAAAACCCAGAAGATTTAACAAAAGACGAACCAATATTTTTAGTTTGGAGAGATATGTTTCTAAAAAATGTTTAGAAAAAACTGACTGGAATTTAGAAGAAAAGTTAACAGATGATTATTTAATTAAACGCTGCCATTTTTTATATAACTCGAGATCTACTACAATCGTCGTTGGGCAAAAAAAGACAATATATAAGAAACAAAGAAACCAATCAGCTCACAAGATTGAGCAGAGAAGTTGCATGTTGGTTTAGAATATACCGCAAGGGAGATAATTAATATGTTTTATAAGAAAAGGAACACAACAAATTAAACAGGGAAGGCAGAATGAGAAGAAAAGCCAGAAATCTGACAACTGTTCACCTGTGTAGACAGATGTTTTTTCCTTTTGCCAAAGCTGCTTCTGCCTCACTATTTCAGCATCCTGCAATTAAAAATTAACCAGTTACATCTGATACATTTTAACCCATTGATGGCAATCACAACAGGAAGTAAAAACTGGATTTAGTCAACATGCACAAACATATTTGGGCAGTTATCAAAATTGAAAAAATTGTTTGATGACACACCTTAACAGATATTCTCTCCACCAGCTTCAAATTTTCTTGCTTTAAATCTTCTGCATTCTACAAAGACAAATAATTACTTAGATACAAGATTAGACTACCCTTTCGCCATGTCCTGAAAAATTGTGCTTTAACTTTATCAATCTACCTTGGTTAGGCCTGAAATGCGTTCCATAAGTAGTTTTTTTGTTGCTTCATCTTGTTGCATCTGGTGTCTCAGATTTTCTATTTGAGACTGATCTGAAACGAAAAGTTAAAGATATCAGAAAACACAAAATAGCAAAAAGACCACAATAGAATAATTCAATGAAAAATAACTTTGAAACCAGTGAAATAATAACCTCATTCACGTTTTTGTATCTAGACCCTGTTGGAAGTTTTTATTTCCTCTAATTTTCATAGTTGAAAATAGATTTCATTCATTGAGAGTTGGTACATTAAAGGTCTTCAGTAATTAAAGAAACACTTTCCTAAAAAACATTAACTTGTGCTTACCAAGAGTATGTTTTCTTGCATGTTTCAGTGAATCTTGCAGCTCCTGAACGTTAATTTCAAAATCCCTTATCCTTTGATTAGCAATTCGAAGTTGCCTGAAAAAATAAAAGGCAGTTTGAATGTGTTATCAACAAGCTAACCAAATAGAAGGAAGAAAATTCATGAAAAGATACTTAAGTACAATCGGATGTAAAGGTTTTCTGCATAGGAAAAATCACTTAGAGTTATATAAAGTATGTATAAAGTATTGTAAATAAATATCTTCAGATGAAAAAATATATGAATAAACTGTCGAGATATGCCAAACTAATTAATTAGAACAAATTGACTTAAAACAGCTTGTGCTTTCTAAAGGTATTGCATAAATAACAAAAAAAATTACTTTCGTTTTTTGCAAGTATACAATCCGTAAACTTGTATGTGTCATATCCTTTATCGATACAATGGTATAAATCTTATCAAAAGTACCTTCTTAAGTCGCTGTTCTCCACTCTCAAAGGCTGTACAGCAAGGCTAATTTCAGTTTGCAAATTCGGATCAAGATTGTTGATAAGGAATGGCAAAAGACCAATCATGTGATCGATTTCATTCAACAATCTACTTTCTTCGCTGTTTACTAGTTAAAATAAAAAGCAAACAAAAATTGTTATTAAGATTAGGAATTCTAATGACAGTTGATAGATAAAAAAGCAAAGAATCATGACCACAACAGTTATTAAGAAGGACGTTTCCCCTTTATCAACAAATATCTTTATAGTCCAGTCTAAGGCCCTACGTTGTACTAAGGCAAGATTTTCATTTAGGCTTGGTTTGAAGATCATCTATGATAACACTTATTGATCCCCGGCAAGTATCAGCTAGGTTCGCTATAATTATCATCCACACATCAAGAAACAACGTTGGCTTAAAAGACGAAAAATCAGCACTTACTTCTGTCTGACAGGAGGCTAGTAAGCTCTTTAAAAAGATAGCTCAGGGCTGTTATCTGGGTAGCTGCATAGCCAGGTTTAATTCCATGCAATTCGATCCCTGTTGAATGGGGCTTTAGTTTCATATCATCTGAGTTTCTCATCACGCTTAACTGGCTAACAGCATCTAGCAACGGTCTTTTAGCTGTACCATTCGGACTTTGATAAAACTGCTTCTCTGATTTTCTATCTTGATCTTCCCTTTCTGCCGTGGGTGTTTCTTTTGTCGATACTGGATCAACCTTCCTATCCTTCTGTTTATTCCTGATCAAATCTTTATTTCCTTCAGAGTCATTTTCATATCGCTTCTTCTTTTTCTTTCCTTTGTCAATTTTGGCAATTCCTTCTCTGCCTTCAACAGTTTGTGCAACATGAAAACCTTCTGTGTCCACAACTGGATCAGCATTTAATACCACAGCGCCATCAGATCCGGACCTTTCATTTTTGAACAATAATCCCCTTTTCGTCCCCTTTCTATCCTCGACCAACCCAGTGTCACTGACGTTGTTTTTGTCATCGTTTTTTTCAAATCTCACTGTCTTTACACGGGTTTGTTTCTCTGTTTGCTTGCTCGCCAATTCGTCAGTTCTCTTCTTCTCTTCTTTTTCAAAGTCTTTATTTTCATCATCATCATCATATCGATCACTTTGACTGGATGAATCAGGGTCATCCCCCGAGGCACTGTCAGTATAAGACTCCACTTCGATCTTTTCTAAAGAATCTTTTTCGCATTCAAAACTCCCAGCTGTTAAAGTAACGTCTTCTTCGTCGTGCGAATGCGAACTCGAAGTGTCAGAATCCTCAACTGAGGTAGAATCTAGTGACGGATTTTTAAAATATTCTACTAACGGTGCCTTTTCAGACCACTGAACAGCACGCTGTTCGCCTGCCTGGTTGTCTACCCCATTGTTTAGCAATTTATTTACCTCCATGGCTGTTGCTGAACGATTGCTGGCCGTGAAACTCCCCAAGCGTTTATGTTCAGTGATTTGACTTGAAGTATCTTTCCCCTCTGAAGCTGAAATTTTAGCAGGAAATGACAATTTTTCGGAAATTCCACTGATTGTTTTCTCCAGTTCTTTGAAAACGATGCTAGATGACAAATCCTTAGTGCTGTTTGATTTAGGAGTAGTCAAATTAGAATAAAACAGAGCCTCTGGTACTCTTTGAATAATATCTCGATGAGATGACGATAAGTTTGGAGCAGTTGTATCCATAGGCAATGTAACAGAATGATTGTTTGGAGATAGCATATGATGCTTCAGCAGCTGAGAGTATTGATCCTAAAGAATAATATAGATTGCATCTCAGTTAATATACTAAATACTTCTGCATCTCAGTTACAATGCCTTTTTAGCAACTTAAATATTCCTCAAGCAACTTTTGTCAGAAAGTCAAAAAATAGTATATAATTCAGAATGTTTAATGATATGTAAGGAAACGACTCAAAAAAGGATTGAAATCTATAGCCATTTGACAGACATGGAAAAAGCTATTTTCCATCATTTTTGAAGAAGACATTCTTGAAGGTAAACATACTTGAAGAAGACTTTTCTCCATTTCTATTTTGGCAAGTTCTTCCTTCAGCTCATTTTCTCTTTTCTTTTTAGACTTTGGCACCTTTTTGCCAGCTGTTCTTGGCGTTGATGTCACCATGGTTGAAGCTTTTGCATCTTGAGCTAAGGGTCGTGTAAAAAAAATTATTCTAACAATTGTCACAAATAAAATAACAAATAACCAGCAATGAAATGTATGGCCTGAATATCAAAACAGCAATGTAATCAGGGTATAAACAGCAATTAGGTCATTCATAGGTAGCTGAAAATAACTGGCACAATACTAAGTCTATCGTGATAATTAATGTTAACGCCTAAGGCATCCTACCTGCAGCTGATCGCTTCGGTCTTTCAATGGCATTTGGCAAAACAATTTTCACTACTTTCTTCTTGTCCCTTCTGCTCATCGTGTTGGGTTTCACTTCAGCATTAAAAACTTTCGGCTTTGTTTTTGTACCTTCAGACAACACCAAGAAATTGTAAAAGTAACAGCAAAAAATTGCTAGATGATTTGTTAGCAGCTTTCAACACATCCAATCTATCTTCAAAACATTAAAAAATTTTCTTTTAATGCTTCTATGGATGTAAAATACGAATGTAAAATACGATTATAGATTGACTACAAAGCTAAATTGCGTCTGTCATTTCAATTTATACCATTCTCGTTTTTCAAAATTTTCAAAACTTTAAAATATTCGTTTTAAAAAATATTCGCATTCATGTATAGCCACGTGATTTCAAAGCTGTGCATTACTGTCCATTTCTACGTGAAAATGAAGTAGTGTGGGTAGGGCTAAATATGTCCAATTTTATAAATTTCTGGGATTCCAAATTTTCCCCAGTTTGCTTATGAAAAATTCCATATAAATAGGGTAGCAACATGTTAGGGCCATCTTTGGACGATGGGGACTTAGTCCAACTTTGTCAAAAAAATGTTGATACTATTGGATAACTGCTGAGCAGTTTGGCTACCCTGTAGAACAAATCATAACCAGACAATGGTAGTTAGAAAAATGCTGTCGAATTGTTGATTGGTAGCCTTCTTTCAGGCAAATTCTGGACGAGGTGTTGCGCTTGTTTGGCAATTGGCACATTGAAGAACGTACAACAATGTCAGCCATGATATAAAACAAATCTGACTTTTTATCATAATTAAATTGGTTTGGCCAGGATATAAAAAAAGGGCATAAATAATAATTACAATATATCTCGCCAAATCTCCATTTCGGAGCAGTTACTATACCACAAACACAGAATTGCTAGGAAAGACGTCATGTGCAGTATAGTACCACAGGCTAATTTTCAACCAATCTCTCGATTTCTATCAGGCCTTTTGCGTTGCTTTTTAGAATTTGTTCCATTCCTGGAAGGTGTCTTTCGAATTTTTCGCATTGCCATAAATGTTTTAATTTTTTTCATGTAATCCCCCCCTTCTGCAACTTCTGCAGCCCCCCCCTATCATATTTTCCTTTCTAATTAGCTTTTAAATCGGTCATGTTTAGTTTCAATTTTAGTTTTAATTCAATGTTGGTCCCTTTTTATGTTTTATGTATTCTTTAATTCCAAAATTGCCTTTTTAATGAACCTCATCTTTGTTTTAACGCTATTCTTAACTTTCTGCTCTATCTTCTTTATGATTTTGTGCAACTTTGAAGATTCTAAGCTATAAAAAGGATTTAAACTATTCTCCAAATATTAGCATGTCATAGAACTGATAGAAATGGAAATCAATACAATTATAATAGAATTGGGGCAAATATTCAAATTTTGATGATCTTTAAATATGTCAGTCTTAAAATGAACTAGTGCAGCAGATGCCTTTTATAGAAGGATTTCATTATTAGAAGTTTGTAAGTAAAAACAAAACAAACCTTTATCGTTCATTATATTATTCAGCAATGATGCACATCTATTCAACTTTTTATTCATGGAATAAACCTGATAATAAGTAACAAATAATCATATAAGACATGCCAAATCTAAAATTCAAATCTTGGCATTGATTACAATGCAATAGAAGGAGATTTGACAAGTTTTTTAAAGTTGAATCAAGAGCATTATACCTTAGTTAGAAAAAAATAATTCAAATTTAAAAGACGATAAGGGAATATATTAAAATGAGAGAACTTCATCACTATGATGTAAACTAAAAGAGCTCATTTATTGGCTACAGGTATCAAGAGTATCTTAAGTAGCAAACAATGAAATAAGCAAATGGAAATAAAAATTCAGGAAGTCAATCGAGCCTGATCTCCAGAGAAGCCAATTGAAATTTCCAATTTACATTATTATAAGTGCATAAGATTTTATTTCTTTATCAAAAACCAATTCAAGAATACCGGATCAGCGTCTGAATCAGAGGAATTGTAAAACAGATATGTTGCTGTCTTTTTGTGATTGTTCTCTGTTACTTTTCCTCCTTGAATCCTTTCAAAAACATGATTAATAAATTAGAAATGAAAGGAAATTTACAAATTAAAAATACAGCATTGTAGCAACAAAGTAAAAGAAGAGCCAGAGCATGTACTATACTTCATACAGCTTAGCATTAGTCAAATCAACTTTTAGATTATAGTTTTCCTTGAGGCATACTTGATTCTGCGTTTCCTATGTTAATACCTTACTAAACATGCCACATGATAAAGAGAGTTTGAAAAACTGATACAAACCTTTTTTGGGCTCCATCTTCATTTGTTGCTAAGCCTCTTGCAATCAAGGACTGTGTTGAGGGCTGAATAAAAAGTGAGAATCTTTGATGATATTGTACCTATGACTGATGTTTAGCAGAAACTTTGGAATAATAACATTGACAAAAAACATTGATTTTTGTGTTGCTATGCATGCTAGAATGAATCCACATGATATTGATTCATGGGGGGGGGGGAGGGGGGCTGGGCATCAAATTTTTCTGGTAGGAGTTCTTTGAAATTCTGAACAGCTCAAAAACAATCCAATCAAGAGCACATTTTTGCTCCCGCAGGCTAAATGTTTGTCCTGTAGAGAAGAGGAAACACCCTCAAACACCAATACTCAAGGCCTCCATTTTTATTTTTTGCCTCTGTATAAGAAAATTGAAAAGTCATGCTTTTGGGTTTTTACAATCGAAACATATTTTTAAAGCAAATCATAGCTATTGATATAAACATGAATTTAGTGCACTCCTTCTTCCCTACATAACAACTGTTTAACAAATATTCTGCTATACATACGCTTTGTTCATTTTGAAGAAAATGGATTTTGTTTATACACTTTCTTTATTTCCAATTTGAAGGGGCTGTCTAACTGCCTACACTTATAGGACCATTGGTCTAATAGCAGGCTTAGAGGAAGGCTGGTTGACATAGGAAGAATGGTGCCAGTAGAAAACATAGATGGCACACAGCCCTTGCTGTATCCCCACCTCAAGGGCATGGTATGTTTTCTAATACAATGACAAACCGTGCCCTTGAGGCTTGGAGCCACGACTACAATCATTGCTAATGGCCTAGAGCCTTCTCATAATTCCCACCAACCTGTCAGGGTATCAGGATCGCAACTCGAAAAGTTGATTCTAGAAAAATTCGGTGAAAAGTACTTCACCCAAACCAAAGCACAACAATTGAACCTGTCAACCCATACTTATCACCATCCCTTTTTTACCTTTTAACAACCTAATCTGGAAAAATGCTACTTTGGGCAACTATGTTTTACCTTAAAAATATTAAATAATCTCTGTGAAAAAATTCACCTTTTGTCTGTCATTTGAATTACTATTGAATCCTTGCAGTGCCTCCGCTACTGTGTCAATGCTGTACAAAACAGCTGGAAGAGATATCCCCCAAAAGAGCCCTTGAATTTTAAAGGCTTTTTCTAGGGTAACTTTTGAAAACAAAATGGTATGAGACTCATACAGCTTATACCACTGTGTGCCGCCCCTGCCAATTCATTAACTTTGATAACATACTTCAAAAACATTTTCAGCAAGACAAAAACTTTCTTGCAAAAACTGGTTGGTTGTAACTAAAATCTATGTTAAAACTAACTATTTTTCTCATGTTTATTTATTATGAGCAACTGAAGCTAATTGTATGGGTGTAACAGAAAATTGCATCAAAAGGAGAAAACTAAGAACCACAAGGAAAACTGGTTTTAGGGTAATTCAAAGAATCACAAAGTTTGAAGTAGATATTCCTAAGACTTTTGTAAAAGATGAAACATGTAGAAAAATATGCATTTATATCATTATGGAAACAATATCAATATTTTGCAACCCATGGGAAACTGAAAAAAGGATGGCTTAAAGAAAATGTTAGAAGGACCTGGCCCACTCTCCAAAATGGTTGCCCACCCCTGGCATAAAGTGTTTGTTACTTTGTTTGTTAGCAATTGCAAAAAACAAAAGTGCAATAATTACATGAAAAAACATCTGTATTCAGAAGAACAATAGAAAGGCTAGGAAAAATGGTCAATGAGTTGTTTATAGCTGAAAAGGGTAGAATTCGGATCTCTTGCTTGTTTCCTTTTTTCTACTTGTTAAATAAGATCCAAACTAAAACGACTGCACATACAAAAGAACTTCAAAGCATCTAAATTTAAATACTTTAATTTAGATATAGCATAGAGTTGGAGAAAATAGAACTTGAAGAGTTAGTCATTTACGAAACAGGATTGCAGAGATAAAAGATGTAGTTTTATTTTCTCCAACTCTACGCTATAATTATTACGCTCTACGTGCATATGTTTTGTGAGCACTGTGCTATTTATTTAGATATCTAAATCAATTTACTTTATCAACGAGCGCTCCTAAAGATGGTAACCATAATGTGACCGACTAAAATACGAGTCTCTCAAAATATTCATAATCAGAACAAACCTTTGATGCGACAGAATAAGCAGGAGTCTTCGATCTTTTTATAGTTGGTTTGTTCATTTCTGATTAAAATTTCTTGTTTACCGCCAAGAGTTTAACTCAGCAGCAACAACGAATGAAACAAAATCTCGATTGGAAGGCGAGGCTCTGACACGTCGAATGGAAAACACAGGGAGACTGAGTTGAATTCATTATGGGCCTAAGGGAAGTGTGAGATCGAGACAAATTTAGAAACCGACAAAAAATGGATAGTGTTCTTCAAGTAAGCAACATTCATGCTAATAAAAATGAAAAAGGGTATCCTTATATTTAATAAATTTATTTGAAATAGAATACGATTAGGTTTTATTACGCCTTCTTTGTGAAAGCTTCGCTTAAACTTCTGTTACATTTATGTTTGTCATTAAATTATTTGATTTTAGTTTATCGCAGAGCTGTATAAAACTGTAGAATTAAGTAAACCTTTGTTAGAGCAGAATTTGGAGATGTTGAGGAAAATTAGAAATCAAGTAAACTTAAATACTATTTCTTTCCTTTCTTAGAGCTGTAAAAAACTTGCTACCAAATTTAATGCACAATTGCTCTTATAGTTATATAATATTAGACACTTTTGTTTTAGGAGGCGTCCTTATACACTGTCAAGGGGGTAGCCATTCTAGATAATGATGGAGAAAGGATCTTAGCCAAGGTGAGAAATTGGTTTTCCAGGCTGGAAAACTTGCATCTGCTCGCAGCGATGCTAGACTTCTTGTGTTTGCACCTCGCACCTCTAGTGACCTAAAATATCAAAACATTCATATATCATACTATAGTAATGTATATATGGGCATCGTTGCTCACAGCTCAAATACCTCCGCTCGCAGGTCACAGCTGATAATGTGTTGTTGGTCACATTGACGCATCCACAAAATCATACATGTTTTCCAACCTGGGTGGTTGCAGGCGAAAAGAACAAGAATCACCTTGCAACACACCACCTCTTCTTCCGTACTAACTTTGACATGCTTAACAACGATCGTCAAACACCATCTCAAGATTCCACGCTAAATCTAAATGATTTTTACAGAAGTAAAAACCAGGGGCGTATCGAGGTAGGAAGTGTTTTTGAGGAACCGGCCGATAATGTTAGGCTTGGCAGTAAATGTCCAGATTAGGCTCCATTTCATAAAATTATTGGGAGGATGCAAGGCGTTTTGATTTACTGAAATAATAAGAAATGCTTGGAAGAGAAAGCTGAGAGATTATGTTCAAATCTGAAGAAAATTATGTTGCATAGACACAAGAAAATCGATTAAAACCATCAAATAGCTTTCAGCCTGTAGATACTCATTTAAGGGAAAGCTTGTATATTAAGAAGTGCTTTTTCCAGCAAACTAGAAGCATCTAAATTAGAAAGTTTTCTTTTCCCTCAGTGCCAATAATGGTGCCGCCTCAGACAGTATAGTTATATCTTGGGCTTTTCTGATATATAGATCTAAAGGGTTGGAAGGTCTGATATTATTATGCTAAGTTTCTTTAATTGAAACACTGTATTGCAGAGGATGGTCTAAACAGCTAAAGAATTTCAGGTAATTTTTAAATCAGGCAAATTTGTAGTAAACCCCTTAAATGGCCTTAGGACCATATTTTGAAAAAAGCTGATGGGTATTGTCCAGGATCTTCTATGGCTTAGGGTGATGTTGTGGCTGTTTGGATGCATTTTCCGAATATCCCTAGAAAGTTTTCTTTGCAATTTTGTTGCTGTCAATCATGGTGGCGGCCTCCATGAAACTCCTAAACAAGTTTACCCTCTTTCTATCCCTAGCCTTCACCAATAATGACATCTTTAATTATCATTGTTGTGCAGTTTGATGATACAGTACCCCTGGGTACTAGAATCACTCTTATTTTATATATACAGGTGCTACAACGATTCTCAAAAATACTGTTAGGTTTTACAAAGAATAACATACTCATTCTCATTTACATCCTGTCAGTGATTGACTGATCAGTGATGTCAGTGCCCCCTCTCCCCTCATTTGAAGGCCTTTTGGTACGTCAACAGATATATAGATATAGATCGGCCTGCTTCCAAAATCTTTTACTTTGCTGCATATTTCCGAAACTTTGAAAGAACATTTGAAGATGGCACAATAAGGGGTACCATTTTGCCCCTTTGCCCTCTTTCTGCGATCTCTTTCCAGCACACCACTGGTTTAGATCATTACAAAATGAATGCATTGTAGTATCAGCTGAATTATACTGTGAAGGAAAATCAATTTGCATTTTTAAGATAGAAATCTTTTTTACAGTATTTCGATGACACATTTGCATCCATTAAAGAACAAAGGGAATTTGAAAAGAATCTTTACAATAAAACTTCAAGGCAAAATGGTAAGTCCTTACTTTTGGCCAGATTTTACTCAACATCAACTAACTGGGGAAGCAAAATCATTTTACATCATAGTTCAAGTTATCCTGTAACCGGAATACTTCCAGATCTTGATACTCTTGAACTGAATGTAACTTGACCTTGGTAAATATAGAATAATCTCTTTATTACATTCTTTTTATATAAAATACTACCATGTCTGGTCCCAGCTAAGTGTATGTGCAGGATATTGAGAAAATACCCTTGTAAAATTAACTGTATTTGTTTATGATTCCGTTAAACTAATTCCCTTTGCTGACAACGCAGTACCTTCTTTATTCAAAAAAGTTGTGTCAAGGTGGAAATAATTTTTAATTATCATCATCATACTATTATTTCTTGTTTCGTTAATTAATTCAAAGATTATTTTCAGCTTCTTAGAAAAGACTATTTAGACTGGTTTGCCCTGGTTTGATTAGCATGAGAGAAAGCTACATTATCAAGCTTTCACATACTTAGTAAGAGTATAAATAATAAGCATTAGATCCAGATAGAAAGTGAATAGCTGAAAAACTGGTCTATTACATTGAAAAAACTCAAGTTGAGATCTATAAATAAATCTATAGATAAAACAATTTGGAGAAAGAAAAAAAAAATTAAGAGGAAAATATGTTGTAAGAAAATCCCTCCACTGGTCATGATAAAAAGAGATTAAGGAAAGACATTTAATGGAATTTGAGGACATCCTACTTGAAGCTGGGCATATAGGGCTCTAATTTGTGGGCCTGTTTTCATAAATAGATACATTGTTCTAAGCTAGGATTTTTATGCAATATCTTCCTGTTATTTATATTGAGTGGTTTTTTGCAGAACATTATGACAAGATTATCAGTAGAATAATTGAATGTGCTCACCAAAAGAATACTTTTCAGTCTCAAATTATGTGCATTTTTATATGTACAAATGCCTGGAATAGGTCTTGTGCCTCTTACCATTGCACAAAATGTATGACTGCAATACCTTCTTTTGCATTTAAATTTTATAATTTTTTTCAATAGTTTTACTTTTTTCAAACTTTTCATTTTACTATTTTCATCAACTAATTTTAAACTTTTTATTTACTACTTTTTCAAATAAAGCCATGAATCCTAGTGAAATGATATATTTCAAATTCTATTTCAGCTGAAATAATCATGTTGGATGGTTTCACAATTGTCTATAGAAGTAATGTGGATTTATATTTTTATGTGATGGGATCATCTCATGAAAATGAAGTAAGTAAAAAAGTCATAAAATTATTACTCTTTATAATCCAGGTCTCTGAAAGACAAATATAGATATAACTGATAAATGTACAAATTACATCAACTATTTTTCTTAAAAAACTGTGCAAGAATTATCTTATTATTGTCATAATATTAGGAAACTGGTTTTAGTAAGTATTTTAGGCAAATGAAAATAATTTGTAGTAAATACTGTTTATGGCATTGCTTAGTTTTATGATAATTAATCACCTTCTTGCATTACAGCTGATTCTTGCAAGTGTTTTGAATGCATTTTTTGATGCTGTGAATCAAATGCTAAAAAAGAATGTTGAGAAAAGATTTCTTTTGGATCATCTTGATGCTATCTACTTGGCAATTGATGAGCTAGTTGATGAAGGGTATGTGTGACTGTTCCCTTGCACCTCTGTGGCAGCATTAGCTCTAGCAATATTTATAGTTTATAGTAATCTATAGTAAATAGATGTGGTAGTATACCTCAAGTGATTTCTAAAAAAATGATATTTTAGTAATGAAGGTGTGATATTTCTATCCAACCCTTATATTAGAAAGAAATTTATAATAGTTGTATAAGTTGTGTTATTTTATTAAGTTTTAGGATTACAATTTTGAATGATTTTTGTTTAATGGGATTTTGTGTTAGTCCATGTATAAATTTGCAGTGAAACAATAATTGAACCAAAAATGTATAATTACTAATGCTGAATTAACAAAGGCTGAAATTGCTCTTGCATAATCTTGTTGCTTATTTGTGTGTTCCTCAATCTAGAAACAAATTTAAACTTTACTTGTATATAACTTTTCATGTAAGGTTACAGTAAACGTTTTTGACACGATATTTGGTACAATAAAACTATAAATGCAATCAGATTAAACTATATATATATACATCATTTGATGCACAAGAATGTGGTGATTCCTACCATATCAAAATAATTGGCAAATATTCTAAAATGATACTTTCCAGGCAAACTTATTGCTTAAATGAGTGTACCAGCTTCAAAAGCTATTTTGTACCCTTGCATTTGAGGTAACAAAATCTCACTTATATCCACAGAAAGCACCTAGATCCTTAGTTACCAAAGTGTGTCTCGGCCTTTTCAACTTCCTCCTCCCCTTGAAACTATATCCTGTCAAAAATTTGGCAAGCATTTTTCTTCCCTCTCATTGCTGTATTTAGCTATAAAAGACAGACCAGAGCAAATACAAAAATTTTGAGAATAACTTTGCTTACAAAAATTTTTATTATTTTATTCAGCATAAAACTAGTAACTTTTTATTTAATGCTTACAGGGTTATCCTTGAAGCTGATTCAAACAACATTGTTCAAAGAGTTGCAATGAAAGTAAGTTCTTGATTCTTATAATTTTATCACTGTGTTTTTACAAATTGGTTATGATCAGCCTTTAAGAAATTTTATTCTCAGTTTAAAAGTTAAAGATGAATAATCTTTTTCTTGAAAATGGCTTTGGAAAAAGCAAACATTTTACAACATATGGGCTGAAAGGTTTTTCGTCTGACACTCCTCGGAGTATAAAACATCAGAATAAGGGTTTGAAAGAATATGAATAAAAAGTATATACACAGTTGTGGATCAAAAGTAGTACCGTTAAAAAACTGCTCACAAGCTTTTTCTTGAATTACAGATGGAAGTTGAGGTACCACTATCAGAGCAAACTGTTGCACAGGTAACAGAAATACCTTCAAATTTCACTTAACATTTTCTTACAGGCCCTGTTCACTCTTTGCAAGAATCATTGATCACTCAGCCAACCTTAAGTTTTTGGAGCTTCTTGAGTTCTAGAACTAGAATTTAATATTTTCAAAAGAAAAATGAATTTTGCCATTCTTTTCATCCTTTTCCAATATCGTTCTAATGCAAATACTCCCATTCTTATTGTAAAATGACATTGTGTTTCGTTTTTCAGGTTATACAGACTGCAAAAGATCAACTGAAATGGTCCTTATTAAAATAAAAAAAACATTTTGTTCGTAATTATATTAATTTAGGCATATCAATAAGACAATATGACACCAGCCCTTTGTGAGCTGAGAAATTGGTGTGGACTTGACTCAAAAAATTAGCAACTTTTAGCTGAGATTTACTCATAGTACATAAGTACAGTGGAACCTCCATTAACAGGCACCTCTTGAAAACAGATACCTTCAACAATGAACAATGATCCAAGTGTTCATTAGATGGAGGCTCCACCACTGTTAAAGAATTATCAGGAAATCTCATAAAATGCAATTTGTTATAAATAATCCCCTCCCCCTGAAGAATAACTTTTCCCCTCAAACATGACATAACCTGTCTTTAAGGTAGTAAGCTAAATGTTATGCACACACTAATATGAAAACAAACAAAACTAGTGATGTAAATCCTTCTGAAGAATAGTGAGTGAATTCTATCAAGTGGGCATTCTAACATAGATCGATTTCTTTAATATTTGCTTAAAGTGGTCATTGTAAATTGTTTTTTCAGTACATCTATCTGATGCCATTGTTAAAATGAAAAAATTCCTGATATACTGAGGATATCCTTTAGTTCAAATTCTCTCTCATTCTCCTAAAAGTTTTTACTTTCTACCATAATGATTGATATAATGACATTTTGTTTAGATGTTTGGACAGTTTAATTAAGATATTGAAGTATTGAGAGCAGTCCCAGTTTTGAATTCATAATCGCATAATAAACAAAGGAGGTGACAACATGCATAGTACTGACTGCAGTTTGAGGATGACGTTAATGCTAGATATGATGAAACAGAAAATGCAAGGGTATGGCTTCTGTGATATAATGTTGTACAGTACTGCATGGAAGGCTGTGATATTACAGGATACAGTTTGGTACGGAACGGAAGGGTATGGTACTGATTGTATGGTAAGGTGTGGTATGGTAGTATATGGTATGGGTAAGGTGTGGTATGGTAGGGTAAGGTGTGGTATGGTAGGGTAAGGTGTGGTATGGTAGGGTAAGGTGTGGTATGGTAGGGTAAGGTGTGGTATGGTAGGGTAAGGTGTGGTATGGTAGGGTAAGGTGTGGTATGGTAGGGTAAGGTGTGGTATGGTAGGGTAAGGTGTGGTATGGTATGGTAGTATATTGTATGGTAAAGGTGTGGTACGATAGGGTAGGGTGTGGTACGATATGGTAAGCAATAGAATCGTAGGGTAAGGTATAGGGTAAGGTATGAAGTTGTAGGGTAGGGCATGGAATTGTAGGGAAGAGTAACATTTAGTAAATTTGAAATATCTGATAGACAAGCAGTGAAAATATCTCCAGTCTTTAATGAAGCTGGCAATAGAATAAACAAAATAAAAGAGACTCAATTTCACTTCTAAACTGAAGATACAGATTAGACCTGGAAACCACAGTAACTAGTTCTACTACATATTTAACCTTTCTTAAAGAAATTCAACAAACTATTGACAAATAGCTACTATAAGTGCATGGTCTAAACTCGTTGGCCTTCGCTTTTTCTACATTTGAGACGATAGAATAATGAAAATATCAATTTTTGTATCTGATCTGTTTGTGATATGTGATGCTGTTTATTATTATCGTAAATTAAGGGAAAAAATCAATGAAAACATCAAGTGTCATATATACATGAAGAAATTAGGTTATTGGGTCAGAAAGCAATTGAGACGTACATTAAATTCTATTTTCGATTATTCTGAAAGTTAGTTTAATCAATTCAAAACACAACATTTGTGAGTTAAAAAGATACTGTACTTTGAAATATAGTTACAAAATTTGTAATAAGTGGTTACGACTTGACAAAACTCAATATTAGAATAAAACTGATAATTCTACACCATCCAGGAAGAGTGATTTTGTCACAAAGTCTGCTATCAATGAAAATGTTTCATTTGCTCATAATGTCTCTGTAACATTCCCTTCAAACAATAGAAAACATTTTAAAAGGTATGAGAAAAGATTTTTTCGTTAATATAGATGATAGCATTATAGCCATTGCAAAGCTGAAGTATCTCTGATAAAACAATCAAAGGTGTTTAAAAATGAGACAGTCAACCATTTCCAGCTTCAGCCAGGCCATTGTGTTGCCTTTTTGTAACATAAGGAAGATAGGATGCATCACAGCAACTATCAACAACTTTATTTAAAGGATCAAGTAAAGTGTTTCAATGCAATTGGTTTAGTCACATCATAGCAACAAAGCAGTGACAAGCCAAATCTACATGTTTGCAGATGGATAAACATAGAAATAATGAAAAACTACTTACTGTTCAACATAGAAGAGGATGTAGGCACAATTCTTGCGTCGGAACTTGACTTCATACTCCGTTATCTAGAAAGTATAATTCCTTTATGAAGGCTGTTTCGACACAAGTTTATTAAAAATAAAAAATATAAAGGCTGATTTTCTATATAACATACAAGTTAAGCATCTGAACTTTTCAATAACATGTTATCAGTATGAAGTGTTTTTATTTTACATTCACAGTCAGTTTATTTTCATGATATAGAAATGTGTAAGCACACAATATATCAAGGCAGGAGGCATCAATTACATGCCTCGGTGATCGCACCAACAGGGGTTGTCCTGTTTCCTCTTCACAATACTAAATGCTTATCATCACTAACTGTGGGAGGACAAGTTTCTCAGCCATTATGACCTCAACACATATATAGTCACCAACAGTTGCATATCACTTTTATACCAAAAACTTTGCTTCCACAACAGACTGAAAAATGCATATGTGGTGTGATTTGGAAAATCGTTTTTTATTACTTCCACATTGCCATCCTGGCAAAACTAGTGAAACCACCAAGTCTCCAATAAGAGATGTTGTTGTATTTTGTTTGACGGGAAAATTAGGCTCTTTCTCCTAACAAACTGGACAAGCAATTTCTGATCAGGGCCGAAAAGAGGTTTTACCAGTGATGCTGAAATGCATTAAGTTCCAGTTTATATCAAAGCATTAAGACCCAATGGTGCTTAACATAAACAATTAAAAATAAAATCATAAATTATTTAGCATTAAATTGCATACCTTCTTCACACTGCTATCATTATAACTTTTCCACACCTTTTCTTTAAAATCAAAAACGTCACAGATGTAATGACCAGCGACAGAACTGTCCCCAATATGACTGACAATGCCAACCAAGTTGTATTGTCTTGGGGTAGCACATCCACTTCTATTGACCTGTAAAACAAAGAGTAAAACCCTTTTAAATGTTCGTTCTTTGTCAACTTTAATGCAAACTTTAATTAAATGACCCAACAATTAACATAAGCTTTATTTCTAAAAAGACAGATCCTGTGTGACGATTACATTCAAATAAGATATAATTTGATACCATGTTTGAGTTATTTCGAATGTTTTAGACAAGCTCATCTCTTCTTTAACATTCATTATTTTGTTAGCACTTCAAGTGCAAGCTTAGATATGAGATGTCTCAGAAGGTATTTAATGCAAAAGAGACTCTTAACAGTAATGGCTTAAGGTTACGGAAAACGTTTTCTGGATGAAAACATCCATTTGTCGATTTTTCACATTCAAGTACCCGAACTTTCAAGGCACACAATGATACCAGATTTGAAACAAACATAAGTTTCGAAAATGGAAAAAATACCCATGTAAACGAAGGTTTCCATAATTTTTTATCAGAACTTTTAGTTGAGGCCTGAAAATCTCTTGACCTGTTAAGCCAATTATCGTTGATCTGCGGTTGTGGTCGCATGTTTCATTTACAATATTGCACTGCACATCCATGTATCCAATGTATGGCCGTGTTTATTTAAACAGGCTAATTGATCTTAAAGCCTCAAATGACTTGACCCGGGTTACACTGTGATTTACGTACGATCAGTAAAATACCGCTTTCTCCGGACTTACAGTTCCTCTACATTCAAGTCGAAAAAGCTATTTTGTACCCAAGGAACCAATCGAATGGCTCAAAACTTTGCACACGGCCAGGACAGATGTTGGGTAAGCAAAGTGTGTCTCAACATTTTTGTACTTGCTCTGGTCCGTCTTTTATAGCCCAATACAGCTTTCAGAGGGAAGAAAAATTGCTTGCCTATATTTGACAGGGTATAGTTTCAAGGGGAGAAGGAATTTGAAAAACTGAGACACACTTTTGTAGCTTAGGATCGGTGCTTTCTGCTGATATAAGTTAGATTTTGTTACCTACAACGCAAGGGTACAAAATAGCTTTCGAAGGTGGTACACTCATTTAAGCGATAGATTTGCCTGGAAAACATCATTTTGAAACATTTGCCAAATATTTTGATATGGTTGGAATCGCCAAATTCTTGCATCGAATGATGTATAGTTTAAACTGATTCCGTTAATAGTTTTATTGTACCAAATATCGTGTCAATAACGTTTACCGTAACCTTAACTGACAATTAAAAGATTGGTGAAAAGAGCATAAAATATAAACACATTGGAAAGAAAGGAGGGCCAGATTTGAATCAACTTTGCTACATTGAAAAGCCGTACCTAAAAGTTCACATTTGCTAAAAGAGTTGGTGGGGATGCAACAGTGCTCTCCCCCTGATAAAGATACAGGATATATGTTGAAATTTTATCTGAAGCCAGTAAAGACCACTTTAGTTACCCTGTTTCCACTTTAGTCAACCTGTTTGTGCAAGTGTGCCGAAAGCAAATTAATGAATCAGCCGATGGTCACACATTAATAGTGAAAGAGGAATGAACTTGAGCTTAAATACCTATGCTTGGCATGATCATACCATAGAGCACTGGATGCTAGGTTTAGGTTGAGATGAGTTGGTGCTGAGATCTTAAGAAAATTAAAATAATTACCCGTCTCTGTTTTGTTTTTTTATTTGAGTCTGAGCTGCCTGTAGTGTTTGACTTTACTTGTCGAGGTTTATGCCTTGGGGTTGTATGTTCATTGTATTCTGAGAAGAAGAAGAAGCATAATAGAGTATAATTTTTCAATTTGTAATAATTTTTTGGTGGAACTTTGTAATAATTTGTAATAGTTTGTAATAGTTTGTAATAACTTGTAATAATTTAATAATTTGAAAAAAAGGACGCTGTTTGCAAATATTTGCTTATTTCAATACTCTATATTCTCTAATTTGCAATTCTTGAAAAAAAGTTTGTCTTCATTGGAGAAATGAACACCAATTTCAATTGATAGGAAAACTTTTTTCATTGTTACCAGTTGCATAAATATTCCAGCTTACCCCTTAAGCTTAATTCTAAGGCCATCTTGAGCTGATCTTCTTCACTATCAACCTGTGCAGCACTCTAGTTAATAAATGATAAAATATTTTTTTAATAAAGGAATAAAAAATTTAGTATTTGAATGGAAAAATAGGTAAATTAGTCAATATCGAATCTCTCTGGCCCTGGTCAAACCTATATGTTTGTTTTTCAAACCTGATATTCTGGGCTTCTCAAAACAGCTACATATCCATTTGATACCCCCATTCATACAAAGCAGGGGTAAACATTTGGTCAAATATTGGGGGGAAGCCTATTGTTTTAATAAGATGACGACACATTTCCCATTGTTTTAGAACACAAATCATTGTCCTCTAAAGTATTGGGGGCGGTGGCCCCCCTCGCCCCCCCCAAGTGTCCACCACTGATACAAAGATTTGATACAATTTGAAGCAAAATTTTAAAATTTTAAAAAATGAGTTTTTGACATCACACTTAAAAACTCTTTTGTACCAGCTATCTTGCAGTGAGCCAGAAAACACTGGCCAATAGAAATCGAAAATTTGATGCTTTGCTTGGTTCTCTTTGTTCTATAGACAGAGAAACAAAACAGTATCTTCACAACTAAAGATAAACTCCATGATAGCTTTCTCGCGTCTTAAAAATAGTGTTAGAAAATCAGCAAACACAACTACAGGAAAATTAGTAATTAAGTAGGTATCGATTCATAATGAATAAGCCAGCACTATGGATGTGATCTGCTTTTTGTGCTGCTTCTATCGTATCTACAGTGCCTGCCAAAATGTATTGAAACACCAAGTAACTAGTTTTGTATTTTCATTTTTTCATTTCTTTTACGAAATATTACTACTCTCGTCCCCTCACCCCCCCCCCCCAGGATAATGTTGTCATTTTAGGCAAATATCAAATAGGTCATTGAAAAACCTTACTTCCTAATCTCCTACACCATTCTACAATTAACCAAAAGTGTTGGCATAGGGAAAGGGATGGCCGAATTTGCTTTTGAAACCTGACTTTAGTGTCTAAAGACAATTGGCAGAGATTCTATCTGCCACTGAAACTCCTAAACAAAAGAGAACTTATTTGCCTATTTGATAAATGTTAAACCATATTTAAGATAATATCTTTGCCTGACAAGGTGAAAGAGGAATTTCATTTGGTGAAAAGCATTATCAAGAATTAAAGCAGACCTTGTTAATATTTGATAAAAAATTGATAATTGGAACTGATTTTCATTTGATTCCTTTTACTTATAATTGTTCAGATAGGTTCAAAGCGTTTAGATATCATTTATAGAGCAATACTAGCACAACCTCTCTGAGTGTTTCATTTGTTTCGTAGGTGACCGTCCAAACACAAGTGCCTGATACAACATAAGTTATTTTCAAATTAGGACTGTGTTACCGTAGTTAACTAAACATTGCTCAACCGAAGGTCACATCAACTTTCACTTTTGACACCCTGCTACTCACGACCTCCGATAAAATAGTTTAAACCGATGTTAATAACAGGAAGATTTACCTCAAAATACTGTATTAAGGCTTCCTCCTGAATTCTTTATCTGGATAAAAACATTCTTCAAAAATATCAAACTTGTTTTAGTAAAAACGTAATTGGCAAAAAATCACCTCAATCAATATTTCATCATTCTCTTTCTCGTTCTCCTTCTCCTGCGTTGACAGCCAATCGTCAAAACCACCTACTTCACTTTCCTCGTTCTTCCCTAAAAAAATTTCAGATTTCTCATTGTCAAATTGGTTCTCCTTCTTAGCTTGCAAGCCGGTAAAAGATTCTGCATCCACCCTGTCTGGAACTGGTAGCCTTTTGTCCTCTGTCGCTTCACCTCCAAACTCTGAAAATACCGGCAGTACTTCTGGATCGATCTCCAAGAGTGCGGGGGGTAAAAAATCACTTTCAACAAGAGACTCATTTGTCTTCAGGCTCTCTGCAAGAGCCCATTCCAACTGTTCGTCTTCTGTTACTGAATCAACTTTAACTGCATCAAGAGAGAGCTTCTTTGCACGCTCAATGTCTCGCTGAAAATCAAGGCTTGATTCCTCCTCTTCAGGGTTAGACAGCCTTAAAATAAAAAACAAAATTATCAAACATTGAATTGCAGAAATACGTTAAATTTACAATGTACAAAAGTATGTCCTTTCTAAGATTCAAATCAGCAGGGAAAATAAACGAAAAATTATTTCTGAGAACTTCAAGGAATAAAAAGGGCCTAACATATGAAAAAACCAGTAGGGTTATATGAAGAAGTGTTGCCATACTTTGGAACGTCTGGTAGGGCCAGCCTGCGTTTAGCTTTGTAGCTTGGCTCAAAATCATCGACATCAATGGTATGATCGCTTGGTAGTGGTCGCTTGATTCCACTGAAAATGAAATGAAATAAGGCATGATGTGGAACAAACATACATATGATGAAAGATAGAGATCTTGCAACAATAAAGATCTTGCAACATTGACATCAGATTAGAAAGTTTTGTTGTAAAAATATAAGAATGTTTTTGTAAATCTTCAAAAATTAAGCAGCCAGTTTTGTAAAACCTTCAAAAATTAAGCAGCAGACTGATTGATTTTACAACTTTGAAATATTCGGATTTCAAGTCTTCTCCTACTTATTGGAACCAAAACTGGATTTGAATCGATAAAAAAATCTGGCAAACCTCTTTGGTATTCTTTCAAAAGCGATAGGCTTTGTCGTTTCTTCTGTGCAAAGAATGCCTACATTTAACGATGAATGGAGTTGTTATTTGGTGTATGAGAAATCTGAAATGGTTGTTATAACAGTAACATATTATTACTTTACGTTGTTTTGACCTCTACAATTCAAGAAAAAAGAAGGTCTGAACAAATTTCTTACATGATATGTTAGAGAAAATTAAATAAGAAGACAAATTAAACTACGAGGGAAAGCGATTTTGAAATTACTAAATAAAGCAATAAATAAGCCGAGACTTAATGAATCCAAACAACAATTCACAAATTTGCATTTTTTGAGAATTGGAACTGAAGTGTTTTCCCAATCAATATAACAAAAGTTAAATATGTTGTAACAAAAGAAAAATAAGAATAAGAAAAACACGCAGCATTGATAGGGTAAGAGCAAATGGGCCTTTGTGATACGATTAGAGCGAATTAAGTTTTCATCCCTTACTAATTTACTTTCTAAAAATTTGCGAGCGGTAAGCACCAATTTAAGGCTAACCGTTGCACAAAACTAAAATAAATGGTGTTTTCCTCATCAATTACTTGGTCAATACTATAAAAATTCGATCATGAGTTGATTCAGCACTACGAACTTGGTAAGTTGTAATCGGTTGGTTACAAGTATCAGCCAAAGTCATTTAGAAAGGATTGAAAAAGGGATGCCACTGGAGATAGTTGGTCGCATCATGAATTTAAAAGATTGCAAGGAAATCGTTCATAAGGCCAGATCTGGTTGAATGGTCCTGAATTTGAAAGAAGTAAAGAAAAGCAAAAGAACAGAAGTACATCTACAAACTCACCTAAGTCAATTTGCAGCGGCACATTCACAGTGTCGAGTTTTTTCCTGTACTTGGTATAATTATCATTCAGCTCGTAACGTTTGAGGTGAAGAATCATCACCCTGCAAAAGCAAGAAAAGAAGGGCAATTAAGAAGTGTTGGAGGATAACGTGACTTGATTGGGTGAACCTTCTTTGGTTACTATTTTCTTTGGGATTACAGACATTATGAGAAATTAGAAGAAGATAAAAAAAGGTAACGAATCTCAAATGAATCAAGCGAAACTTTGATTTAAATTTAGAAAGCATCCGTGCTTTCTTTGAAAATTCCAAACAAAACCCCTGTAATGATAGTTATCAATAAACCTTTCCAAGACTTCCTTTGATATCAAAACCTTTCCCGGAGCTTTTCGCAATCTTACGTCAACCTCTTCTATATTTTGAGTTTTTCATACTATTCTATCAGACCTGAGAATATACGGGATCAGTAGTTGGTTGGCAAAAGCGTTTGAGGGCAAAACCCCGCCTATGGTAGCAGGGACGGTGTGGCACATCTTGAAAATTCAAAGATCCATCTGCAATGTTTAATTGATCAAGTGATATCAGAAGTAAGAGAAGATTCAACATTTTGACTGCTTAGCAGTAAGTGTACAAGCATTCAAAGCTGATTACCTGGGCAATTTGCTGATGTGGTGAGAGAGATTGGCGTTTTCACACTCACATTTTTCACACTTGTACCCGATTTTTTCTTCCTGGAACAGACCCAAGCAAAGAAAAACTAAACCACGAGAAAGAGTTCAGGGGTTCAACAGACACAACAAAGTTACAGCTTGAAAAAAACTGTATGTTCTCATTTGTCATACATTTGTCACTAGTCTTCACATATTCAGTCTCACACATCTCTTTCGCCTCCCAAATATTTTGAAAGACAACCATACTCAAATTCAAGACAACAACATAAAGATGCGTTAGATATTTGTCAGGAAAAGAATTAAAACTTTGTTCCAATTAAAGCTAATAAAACAAAATCGAATATCGTATAAATCGTATAAATAGCGTATCACATAAAAATATTGCAGTTAAATTTACAGGAGCTAGTGGCCCAATGAGATAAATGTGTTTTCAAGCCAATCAAACCAAAACAAACTTAGAAATATGCTTTCTAAAGAAGCATATGTTGCTAGAAACCATCTGTGAAAAAGCATTAAGGCAAAGGTGTTTTTAGGCAATTACCTCGAAATAATCCTGAAGAAGATCTTGCAAATTCTTTTCCTCTGGATCTGTATTTTCATCTCTAAAGAAATTTAAGAAGGGCACAAATTTAAAGAATATGATGTGTTCGATAGAAAAATTTCAATCGGTAAAAGACAGTTTGTTAATGTGTATAAATAATTCCCAGTACAAAATATCATAGGCTGATACAACTTTCGCTATTGTGCTTGATTGCAAAAACATGTTCTCTGGTTTAAAGGACTAAGGAACATAATACTTTTGCAGGAAATTCTAGAAAACATTTTGAAAGTACTATCGTTAAAAAGATAAAATATAGGAAATAATCAAATTTATATTTACATTTCTGGAATGTCCAAGGAAAAATCGTAGAAGATTTCTTCCTTTGCAATTTGATTCCTGCACCTAGAAAACATTCGATGGGTGTTTACGACATAACAGAAGGAGATACGTATAGAAGGAAACCGAAAATACATAACAGAGATCAGAAGGATAGAAGCATGAGACGAATAAGAACAGCTCAAATAGCATTACAAAGTTTCTTTGATGTGAATAATGAAATCATTTGACATGCTCAATATCTAGCCAGTGACACAACTGTGTCAAAATCTTGGGGATAAAAAAGCGTGAAAGTATTCTATAATACAGAGCGTCGGCCATAGACAGGTTAAACCGATCCTTGATCTTGTAATGTACATCAAGTAATTTTACTCGGCTCTACACATACATTGAGGCATGAATAACAACTGTTCTATGCCATTACTATAAGACTTGGCTCTACACATACATTGAGGCATGAATAACAACTGTTCTTTGCCATTACTATAAGACTTGGCTCTACACATACATTGAGGCATGAATAACAACTGTTCTATGCCATTACTATAAGACTTGGCTCTACACATACATTGAGGCATGAATAACAACTGTTCTTTGCCATTACTATAAGACTTGGCTCTACACATACATTGAGGCATGAATAACAACTGTTCTATGCCATTACTATAAGACTTGGCTCTACACATACATTGAGGCATGAATAACAACTGTTCTTTGCCATTACTATAAGACTTGGCTCTACACATACATTGAGGCATGAATAACAACTGTTCTATGCCATTACTATAAGACTTGGCTCTACACATACATTGAGGCATGAATAACAACTGTTCTTTGCCATTACTATAAGACTTGGCTCTACACATACATTGAGGCATGAATAACAACTGTTCTATGCCATTACTATAAGACTTGGCTCTACACATACATTGAGGCATGAATAACAACTGTTCTTTGCCATTACTATAAGACTTGGCTCTACACATACATTGAGGCATGAATAACAACTGTTCTATGCCATTACTATAAGACTTGGCTCTACACATACATTGAGGCATGAATAACAACTGCTCTTTGCCATTACTATAAGACTTGGCTCTACACATACATTGAGGCATGAATAACAACTGTTCTATGTCATTACTATAAGAGAACATAATATCATAGATGCATGTGTACTCACTCTTCACATTCAATATTATGCGAGACTTGACATTCAAAATTCCTTGCAACCGGACACGCTGCCTCTAGAGATTTTTGCTGCTCGCCGTCCGACGGGGTGGTTTCATCTGCTTCGTTCCCCTGAAGAGGTGAAGGTTTGATGATGTCTTCTTTCAGCTGATCCAAGCACTGCCCAAGAAATTCGTGTGCATCCTTCGCAGTTAAAGTAATAAAGAAATCATGAGATGGATTTAAGTTTGTAGTACATGTGCAGGACAGATTATCGAAAACTGTCATAAAGATAATCACCCATAAAACACACAAGCTAGCTTATAGGGTTATAGGTATCAAGTTGATAGGCGATAGATAGATTGATTGATTTATTGATGGTAGTAGGTTGATTTGTGATAGGTTGTTTGATTGGCAAATGATAGGTTGAAAAGGGCACTGACAGCTGCAAATGAGAATTACAATAAAAATTTAAAATCCTAGATTTTATAATGGCTTAGAAAAAATAAAGAACATAAGAAAGTTTTGAGGTTAAAAAAAAGGAATAAAACTCAAATAAACGAACATGTTGCATGTTTCCTGAAAATCTTGCAGCCTGATTTGAAATCGCTTTCTTGATGCTCTTCAACAGCCATTTTTGCTTATCTTGGCTTTCACCTAATCTTTTAGCTATGAGCAAATTGTGAAGACTCCTGGGAACAGACAAAAGGAGAGAATATAGATACATTAAATCGATAGTAAGTAAATATTATAACCAAATACAAAACAGAAATTTAACTTTGAAATTTCCATATAGAGCAGTTGCCTGATGACCGCATTAAGCATGAAACTCAGAGTAGCAACTTAGAACCGTCCTGCTCTTCTATACACCAAATAGCGTGTCTAGCTCTGCTTATACAGCAAAGAGCATTTAAAGACAGTCAACTTATCAACTTTCAAGATAACCTTAAATATTTAAGTGGGCTTTAGTACAGTATAAATGAGTAGTCTGGAAACAACGTACTTCTATACATTCAGTTACCTATCAATCTAAGCAAAGCATTTCTATCAGTAGTTATCCATTTGCTAGTGTTTATTGGATCATTTTACACATCATTTGCATCATAATTATGTGATTATAGATCCTTTAATGGTGTTGGCATCTGAGAAATTTCAGTATTCGCTTTTCTGTAATAAAAATCTGTACTGTTTTTAGTTGTTCCTGGAGTTAGCTTACCCAAATGCTATTATCATGAACTTCTCAATTTAGTATTTTTTCCTTGATAAGTTTTCGTCCTAATCATAATATAAGCATTTTTTGATTACTCCTTTTTCACAAAATTTGAAATGACCTAAATGACTTCACTTACTTATACAAAGAGATGTGCTTTACTTTGGACAAAAGCAATGTGTTGTCAAGATCGTACGAAAACGCTGGTATTCCCAACAGGCATTGCAGTATGGCATTCATGTAGCATGTGTTACCCAGATTTGCAAACCTAAAAAAAACAAAACAAACAATGATTGTTACATAAACATTTGACGATGCAATTGAAATGCCTATATTGATTGCAAAAACTATTTGATCACAAAACTTATTTTTAAACACAACACGTGCGAAAATCCATTGTATCTTTTATCAAAATCCTTTAATTGAAGAATTGAGAGTTGCTGAAAATAACAGCTCTTTCAATCTTGTTCTTATAAGAACAATTTTTGGCTGAATAGCAATGAATCCAAGAGAAGGCAGAAAGCAATTAAAGAGGTGCGTAATTCTACATTCATAAAAAAACATTAAAAAACAACCGCTTCTAAGGTCTCAATTCAACTGTCTATATTACCAAATAAGTCTATGTTTTTACGCTTTTCCATGCTTTCTTAAAATCTTTCATATAATGCAATGTAAAAATACTGATAAATTTGTTCTCGGGGAACTGGAATTAAGACAATAAAAAACTATCAAAGACTTAATCAATCTGCAAATGTTTCGAATGAGAAGGACATGAACTGCCGTCTCCATTATCACTACAGTCAAAACCAACAAACGTCACAGGTCTTGAATGCCTGTAATTTTGATCAATTTTCAACAAACTTTACGACCTGATTCTACCTTCCATTGTGACCTTAAATGAAACAAACGTTCTGCGAGGCAGGTTGTGCATAAACACAGTCGATTTCAGACTTTGCTGCGAGGAACTAGAAAGATCTATTGAAAAAAGTCGTCTTAAGCAAGCGTCAATGGAAGCGACAGAGCCATCGAACTGCACAAACAATTTGAAAAAAGCGTTTTATCTACCCCGTCAGTGCAATTTGGTTTGACAGCGATGGTGTTTGGGTAGCATCTTTTTCTCGCTTTCGGAAAATAAAACTTTTCTTCTCCTTTTCCTGAGATTGAAGTGGCAGCTGTCTTTTCAAGCCTTTTCCCATCCAATTGAAACTTGAAAGTTTTCTCCTGAATAGACAAAAAATATCAGAAGAAAACTAACCCCGGCATCCAAGAGCAACATCGCCAAAGAGATGAAAAATCTTTTGATCTTATAGAATTCTTTTGAAGAATTGTTCCTGATTAATGTTGAAAACGAAAAATATATTGATTAAATTCTTATTTACAGTTACTTAGTCAAATAAGGTCTCTCCATAGAAGACTGCCTTATGCCTTGGTAATTCCTTGTAGGCCATTGTAGGCCTACAATCACAGCTGAAAGTCTTGGGACACTAACCTCTGTTTATTAAATCCAGCAAAAGGCAAATCCAGCCATCCCCTCTCCCCCTAGTTGTTGATTTACCATAGAAAAAATAAAGGGGTTGTGGAGTATGCTTTTTCGTGTGGCTTGTATGATATTTTTCTATACTTTAAACATTGTTCTAGGGGAGGGGAGGGAAAGGAGGGATGGAAGTCGTAGTATTCGGAAAAGCAAATGAAAAATACAAAAGCACAGCGCAAAGTGTTCCAAGTAATTTTTGCAGTGATTGTAGATCTTTTAGAAACAGTTTTAGATTGTTTATTTGAAAATATATATCATTCACGCTGTTAACTAGGATCCATTTTGTTTGATTTTTATGTAACATACTCCGCTATTTAAAAGTTGAATGCGCTAAAGACTTTCGCAGGATCAAGATGTTTTTGTCACTTGATGCGTAAGGAAACCTTTGGCGACTGCACCAAGTTTACGACTACATTTGAATCTATTTGCAATGTTTGCTTACATTGAAAATGAAGGGAGGGTAGAGCTGCTGCCACCGTAGAAGGAAGATGCTTTGTGAGATACACCCTTCGAAGCTAAAAGAAAATCATAGATAAACGAAACATTTATTATGTTATCAAATAACCAAACTATCAGAGCAAAGAAACGAAGAATGATGAAGAGTATCCTTTTGTTCTTAAAACACAAATAAACAACAGGAATCAAAAGATCCAGAACCATGAAAAAAGATCAAAATATGAAATTATTGAAAGCTATGTAGAACTATAGTGTCACGTGCAATGTCTCCTGAAACACAGCTCAATGAATTTTATTGCTAAATACAGTTTATCTAAGCGCATTTACAAGAAAATACAACCTTACACGACAAAAATTAAATTGATCACAATAAATATCGTAATTAAAAAGATTTGGGTGCAGCACGTAATGTAACATTGAGATACAATACTTTAGTAAGCAGTACAATTCCTTTTTGATCACTCACGAGCATTTTTTCAATTATAAATGTCTTTGAACCCAATGAAGATTACATTCCAACTTATAATTGGGCTCAAGTACGAAGAGAAACGATCTTATAGGTGTGCATAAAATGATTGACTGAAATATAAATTACAAATTTTGCAATGTCAAAGTTGAGCGAAAACAGATGCCTTTTTTGTTGCAGAAAACATACCTGAATCTTGATTATTGGACTGCAGGGCCTTAGGCCTAAGTGGAGAAGGGCTAAGGTTGTTTCTAGAGGCACTCGATTTGAATGAACTAAAAGATAAAACGATCAAAAAAAGAACGATCATAAAAATTTGTAACAACGTATCTGGTTTATAAAGTCAAGTTACTAGGTTGAGAAAATTTGAAAAAATGAGTTTTTGAAAACGTACAGAGGAGCTCTTGTGGAAGTTGAAGGTGAATCATTTTCATCACTGACATCATCTACGAGAAAGAAAAACTTATAAATGCGACTACAATTTACAGAAACCATAGTATTCTTACACAAAGCATCACAGAGACCCAAATTAGCAAAACATACAATGTGATATCTTATCTAAAGGTTCAAATCTTAAAGATCTCTCATAAGTGTCAACTTTAAACGGCATGACACATCCAGTGGCGGAAATTCAGGCGTTCATTTGGGGGGGGGGGCAGAACGATTTTCCGACAAAATAACTCCTTTTATCATATTTTTTTTAAGGAAAAATTATTATTGCACATTTTCATGAATATAGGTGATTTTTTGGGCGGAACCCTTAAGAAATCTTTGCTGACTATGCCCTTTGATTTAGTTGCTAGAAGAACAATTCAAAAATGATTATTGATACCACGATTGATACCTCATGTAAGGCAATTGGTGATACAAGAGGTCGACCGATAACACTATTGACAAGTCATTCGTGATAACAAAATAATTGTAATTAATTGCAACTAGTATTTTTTAACTTCTCTTTCTTTTTATTCACTTTTCTGCTCATTTTCATTCTTTTCTTCAATGGGCAATATAATTTTGTTTGGAAGTTCAGCTAAACTTTACGGAATTGAAATTTGAAATTAAAATTCGCAAGCAGTTTTGATGTTATCATATATAATTTGTTTGATTATTTAGTACTGGCTAATATTGCATCAGGTATTTTCAAGGGCACAGAGAGGTTATAGTGGCCCCTGGGGTAAAACGGGAAAACACAGATACCCTGCTAGCGAAGCGAGCGGAAAATCGGCAAACAGGCCCTTTAAATCAGCTTAAAATATATTCAGAATGATTTCTTGCAGTCATTATGTTTCGTTTCAAGTAGATTAGCATTTCTAGCCATACTTCTGTTAAGTTTGATAAATTCAATTCGACTTCTTTATTTTATGAGGTTCCTTACAGCTTGAGGCCCTAGGGAATTGAATCACCCCTATCCCCTCTCTTTGTGACCCTGGGTAGGTTTAGGCTATCACAACTTGCACAAAACCGTTTTATCACTGCACAAATTTGTTGAGCCTGAGCTCCACCACCACCACCCCCACCCCTATGCATCCATAATTTCCGCCACTGCATGAAGAAACATACGAGTAGGTTTAGTACCATTGCCCGGATTAAATCATGGTATGTACAGCATAGACAGAAGCTTTCAAACATACCTTCTAAGCTCAAGGCTAGCTCATCCGGATGGGTAGTTGCTGTATCAATCAGTCTTCTCCTTGACTTGAGGCCATCACTCCTGAAACAGGATCACAAAATCAAAACCAAATCAAACCTTAATCATGGAATCAACATAGATTCTTTTCTTAAAATCAACAAATGAGACTTAACAGAAGTCCTGAAACATCTTAAACCACATTAGTCGGTGGCAATAAATGATTAAATGAAAACACAGCATGTAGCCCAATGTTAAAAAGAATTATTGAATGTCTGAATACTTAGATACTTAAGACCCTAAATAGAAACAATACCTTATTGTGCTGAACCCAAGTGATGATGAATTTCTACAGCCATACTTTAAACTTGGACTGTGGCTCCTTTCTTCACCTGGAGGTCTTGCTGTTAAATTAAAAATATCTTTGTTTCATAAAGAAAAGAAATTTCATGTCAAGTAATGAAAGTATAAACAACAATAAATTAATAAAATATCACATCTGGTTAAGCATCAATCACAAATTTTGCACCACATCATATGTACAATATAATATGTACAGCACACATGACAACAGGCACACTTACACCAATATCCTTCTTGGTTTCTGCCATTGACCATACATACTTCTTCATCCTCCCTGAAAGTAAATACAAAACAAAATTAGATATAAATAAATATTCAATTTTCCTCCCTTTGTAGTTAAAGCAAAGGAAGCCATTCAAAAATTCAAAACCTGTCAAATATATAAAACAAACTGCTTAAAGAATATTAATAAATTATACAAATGTAGAGTAAGGCTTGAAATTATGAGATTTGAAGGTAGATATATTTCCTCAGTACATAATCCACTTAAAATGTAAATGCTATCAAAGACAGGAGAATTTAAAATATAATGTTTAAAAGGAAGATAATAAATAACATACAAAGACACCATGTCCACACATTTTGATTCTAAACGCTCAAAGCTTCGATCAGCTGTAATTGGATTCGCTATGGTAAAAAGTGATTTGATTTGATAAGATGATAAATTACTCTAAAATATGAAACTTATTATTTTGCAAACAAGCAGTTATGATATAGCTTTTAGATGTTAACATACCTAATTTAGGATAGGTGAATGAGACTAATACATCCTTTTTTCATGTAAAGGTTCAGGAATTAGGAATTAGAAAAAAGATAAAGGGAGGAAAAATCAAACTTGATTTACTGTTGTAACAAATAACAAGCTGCAACACTTAGGAGTAAATTGGCCTTGCTCAACTGATCCATTTTAAGTTCTAACAGCCTTTGCACCAATATACTTTTATTCACTGGCATGGGAGTTCTACTTCAAGAATTAAGAGATTCATATGCTTTTGGCTTGGTCTGTTGGCTAAAATACGCTCTGTGTAAACAACAAGTTTGCACAATGAAGGATTTGAAACTTACCATTGGCATTCTCTTTATTGCTTGCAGGTGATGTAAAAATCTTCCCTTTGATTCTGCTTCCTTCTCTTCTAAAAAATTGGATCATGTTACGCAGGTACAAATGATAATTGACATATACAGGCCTCTCCAGGAATAAAAAGCATGTGGGCTAAAAAGACCCCTGCTGGTTTGGCTGCCTGGGCTGTTTAGCCCTTGCAGAATTTGTTGTTTATCTATCTATATTTGAGTATAAACAAGTCAAAAATTTAATTACCTTGCCTACTTGTATAGATGATTATCTTAAGCTTTGTGTGCATTACTACTCCTTAAAATGACAAATAAGATATCTGGTAATTTTGCAAAATGGTAACGTTTTGTGTAGAAACACAGATTTATTGAGTAGTATCCAACGAAACTCATCTATATTCAAAAAATATAGAGCAGTACAATGTTATCAAAAAAATATAGAGCAGTACAATGTTTTTTAAAGGATAATGGAAGATTAAGTTGATTCGCATTAAAAATTCAAGAAAGAATAACTGAAATACATTTCTTTTCTATTAGAAATGAAGATCAACTTGACAAAGCCTAACCATCTATCTCTCACACTGTTGAAGAGTCAAAGAGTAAAAACGAATTATTTCTGAAACTTTTTCAATTTTTTTCGATTGCCCAGTTTTCGTTTCTTATAGCGTGTTTCTTATAAAAAATGAATGCATTGGTAACACAAATTTCGTATTTGACAAAGTTGTGTAACAATTCTCGTTCTTGCTTTTTACGCTATCTGTTGTTTCTTTCCTGCACAACCATTTCCTACTCTATTGCTAGTTGTAACAGGTAATATTATAGTTTGTTAACATTTGATGTCAACAGAAACGGAAATTTATTTTTTATAATGATATTTATAAAAACCACATATCTCTTTGACACGATGTTATTTATGAATATCCTGATATTTAGCAGCAGGTAGATTAGAGAGTGAGACAAAGTGGATTCGCGTTGTTATAAACAACTGCGTGGGCGGAAAAAAGCCCTCACAAAACTTTTTTGTGTGGGGTTTGCCCGGGCGCAGGCTATAGCCCGTGTCTCTGGGAAAGGCCTGCATATAGATTTGAAAAGGATTACTCTAAATTTTGACTTTGAGTTATAGAGTTCATGGGGAAATTTTAAACCACTTATATCTAAATCAAGAAGGCATAATTGTTGCTCTATATATCACAAGTCAAAGACTAAAGAGAAAAAAATTAAGATTTACCTTATATGTGAATGACTTTTTGATACTGCATTCAACAATGGAGAAGATTCTAAATATGCAAATTTTCCTGGTGATGAAAATGGAGAACTTTTCTTCACTTTCAATAACAGTTTCTTTGACTTCTCTAAAACTGTATTCTAGAAATAAAAAGGCAAAAAGAGGTTACACACCTAAAAATGCCCAGCCTTGATATACATTAATCTTAATATCTCTCATTCTATAAAGGGCAAATTCATTTTGGGAGGACACTTGGATTTAAGACAAATATTAATTCTGTTTTTTTTTTAAATTGTTTATCTGCTGCTGTGAAGTGACCTATTTTGTCTTATGAAAAAGGTAACATCAAACAAAAAGACTGGGTGAGGACAGGATAAAGTTGATGGATAAAATTAAATGGTTCTACAGAATGTAAATAAGAAGTATCTCAACTCAGTGGTGTGCCAAAATATACAAAAGGGTCATTCCATACCAAATCAACACAAAAAAGGACAAAATTTCATTTCAACTAATCACATCAATTTGGAACTTCTCAGAGATTAATAAATTGACAAGATATAAACCCCTGTAGATTTTGAGCTTTATATCACACCCCGTTGTAGAGAATTTCCAGACCTGGCTGTTTGAGGCGTGCAATCACCCATACGCGCCTCTTCGCTTGCCTCGGGTATGCAAGGCGAGTTAGTTATCGCTCGCCTCAATGTCAGTTTGCACGTTAATCGCCCGCCTTGGTCTTCCTTTCATTTCTCGACACCTCTTGAAATGAAACTAAAATATTGATAGGAACCTGACCCACTTAGAAATAACGTTTTAATCTCTCAGGAAGTCATATACTCCTGTAAACTCGTTAACTACTTAACAAGTCACGTGAAAAACAAACCAAGCATTTTTAAATGCAATAGGGAATAAAATCCTTTGAATGGTTTCATTTCAACCAGAATGCTATTTCAAAAGCCAATTGAATATTCCTAACACGTGAAACCCGAGTCATTTCAACATGGTGAGTAACCAGAAAGGATCAACTGTTGAGCAGAGAACTTTCGAAAAATACGACAACGGGGCTGTTCTTGGAAGAAAAATTGAGGAGATAAATGGAAAGAAGATTGTGACGTTCGTTTGGTGCAAACTTTGTGCTAAAGATAAAGCTTCTATTTTCTTGAACCCGCTTTGCAAAGGCGGTCGTTGAAGCCTACATCAATGGAACAAATTTTAAATGTTGTTGATTTGCGATTATATGAAACTATCGTTTTATTTTTGTCTGAGAGTCGCCATCTTGTTTTGTAAACTTAGCTGTTAAAGTTGTTTATTCATACACTTTTACTGACGATTTTCAACAGAATAAAAATTTCCCGTCTGACTTTACTGAGGAGAGCAATGTACCGCGCGCCTGCTAAAGTTCTCACAGCCAGGCCTGAGAGATGTGGGTGTGGTCATTTTGAAGCTTACATGAAGGGTTTCGCTAATTGAAAAGGGTCATAATCTTTCTAAAGCAAATGAAACACCACATATCTGACCTCTTTATTGTCTTTTTTCAATGATCCTTCTTGAGTTGGTTTACTACATTTCCACCCTAGAAATTTCAACATACATTTAAAGAGCACTGAAACTTTTAAATTCGCAATTAGAGAAAAATTAAAGTCGCTGAAGCAAACACAAACCATAAACAGCAGGAACATTTTTAATTGGCAACTAAACAAGACTCTTTACGCATCTTTATGGCCTTGCATATACAAACATCAAGACAAGACTCCGAGAAATGGTTCATTAACAATATTGTTCAAGGAATGCTAACAGAGAAAATGTTTTGTCTTCAAAGTTAGACTAACAAGAGCTACTACTTACCTTTTAGAGTTCCAGATGTCTTAATTTTACTGAGACAACCTTCAAGGATTTTCACCTCTGCAGATGAACATTCTTTGGCAATTATTTGGTGCCCATCCAGCAACACCAGTGTGAGCTGGCCATCTCTTGATCTTGTTTCTTTTATATTATTGTTCAGCTACGAGATGTAATAACAAATATAATTAGTAGAGCTTTCAATACAAATTAAGATATAGCGGCTACCTCTGTTGCCAGACTGGAAACTTTGTTTCTTGCGAAGACAAGAAACAAAGTTACACTTGAGAACTAAAGCTATAGTTGAAGATATACTTGAGAACCAAAGCTATCAAAATGAGGTCAACAAGGCTATCACAATTTTGAAAGTTTTAATTGAAACAGCAAGTGACAGCAATTGCAAGTAATATTTAATTTCTCCACAAATACAGTTATGTTGTTATACTCAACTTTATTTGCTCAATTCCGCTGAACCATTTCTCGTTACAAAAAATGGGAGTTAGTTGGTGATATCCATAAAAACATAAATTTTTGACAGAACCAAAAAGTTCAAACTATTAATTAATAAATTGTCATATGCTGTGAAGTTAATTTTTTTCAAATTGAAAGCACGCATTGGAGGTATACTTTGTGTAATCAAAAAGGCTTCTGATTAGTTGTAATGAAGATACTCCTTGGATGGAGATCCTATTTTGTGTTGTGTTTGAGGACAGACAAAAGGGATTCTGATAAGAACAAATTCATAGGACCATCTTTGAACAAATTTGCATTTTCATCTACTCTGGGGCTAGCCCAAAAAGCTCAAGGGATGGTCTCTGATAATAGTGATATACATTTTATCTAGTTTTCAAACAAACTGCGGGCACTGGGACCTAAACAAACTAGAAAATGGACAAAGAGTGAAACTTGAAACAGTGATTATTAGTGAACAGTGCTTAAATTACAATGGACGTCTATTTCATTAAGTTTAAAATTTCACAAAATATTCTTGGAAATTTTTGGTGTGGCTGAGCTGTGCTAGCCCAGATACACGAGCCGCCACTGTGCAAAATTCATTAACATGGCATATCAGCTATTCTCCTGCTGCTGCTGCAATCATTGTTTTTAATCACAAATGTTCTATAAGACAAATTTATCCACTAGAAGATAGACTTTTCTGATATTTTAGTTATAAAAAACCGTTTCGGAGCACGAAAAATTTTCCTTCATTGCCCAGGAAAAGAAACCCGTAATGCATCCTATACACGACGAAACGAAATGTAAACATCAAACATGTCATGTGAAAAACAAAATTTGAAATTACCGAACCTTGAACATTTTAAACATTTTTCCATGGACGCCAATATAATATTGTCCTTTGTCATCATATATACAAAGTTTTCCATACGTCAATGACGTTTGCAAGATTTTGATTCCAGTGTACTTGACTTGACCTGCAACTTCGTAAAGTGCGACACCGGTCGGCGACTGGCCTAGCCCTTTTAGCGGCGCCATCTCTAAAGGTCATGCAAATTCAGCCATATAAATACCCGGGTTACATGTAGCATTCCAAAATATATTGCAGTTTGCAAAATAAATATAATTTATCCACATGTAAACTATAAAATAACTTATTTCATCCGCTGCTTCTTTCGTGAAAACACAAATTCAATGGGTGCAAAAATGGCGCGAATGAAGGCGAATGAAACGAGACGGGCCTCGTTTCAGAATTAAGAAAACAAAGTGATTTCCCAAAAATGAGCAATAAGTGATTCACTCTGATGAAGCATTCACTCTAATCCGGGCAATTTTTATCTTCACATTTGGCAAAAATGGATCATAGAAAAATGGATCATAAGTCTGTGCTGAAAATTTTAACTTGTTTGGGCCGTCAGGCAGCGAATGAACCCATTTTCAAAATTTTGCTTTTCCTTAGCCTGTGTTCCAGACCCCTAACTTGACAGTAGAGGGTCTGTGTAACGGTCGGCACAAGATCATAGTCAGCTAACGTACATGACGTCAAACAAACTATAGCAACCTAATGCATGAATGGTAGTATGACGTCATCACATTCTAACCATTTGATGAAAAACTTTATTGCAAGCGGCATGAAATTCAATTCCTATGTCAACTGCCAATACCTCAGCTCAGTCAATGTTCTAAACACTAAACTATGGAAAATGAAGACTAACGCAATGCTTCTAAAAGGGAGTTTAGGCTTGATTACAGCAAATTTTGTCGGGGAACTCTCTTCAAAACGCTTGATAATGTTCTTATGCGGCAAAACCAGTTATCTGAAATTTTATCAACGGCTTCATACATAATTATCAATGGTAGTTACTCTAACTCAGGCGAAAACGTGAAAGCTGGATATCGTGTATATCATAATGATCAAAGCTGGAACAACCAACGACGTCGTAATTCTCCAGCAAAAACTTTTATATGATTCCAAAGTCGTTAGTCTGCTTGCTCTTGCAGTGGACCTACATGTCACCCCTCTCTATTCTGTGACGCCATAGCTGCACACGTCACATTACCTTGGGTACCAGAGCCACAAAAATTCGCGAGCGAAAATAGAAGATAAGAGTTGAGAGAAATGACATGAGGTCGATAATCTTTATCTTTAAAGTTCAGCGCATATGTTTAACTTCCGAGTTCCTTTCTTTTCACAATATCTTATTTTTCTTATATATCGCAAAAGCTCTATTAAGCCCCCTCTCTATCAAGTCCCCCCTTATCAAGCAAAAATTTTAAATGAGCCCCCTCTCTATTGAGCTCTCCTCTTTAGCCTTTGATGTCAAATAGAAATCATGCCTATTTAGTGGGTCTCTTGACGGGTGTGCTGATGATAAGATCGTGTGCGTTAAATACGGACTATGTCAAGACTAACTTGTGCGACTAAGTAGTCAGTCAAGAATTGTTTTGAAGATGTCCAAGGGTTATCAATTTATTCTGGTGATGTTGATGAAAATGAGGACCTTGTTATTGATTGATTAAACTTTCGAAGCTTCTAGAAAAGTTTTTTGAGAACATTTGCATGTTATTTTTATAACAAAAATGACCAAGGGTAATTTAAAACTTTTTTTTGTTTCAAATTTTTAATAAGCTCCCTCTCTCTCTCTTATAAGTCCCCTCTCTTTTAGCCCCCCCCCCCATTGAACTGAAAGGAGTAAATAAGCCCCGGGGGCTTAATAGAGCTTTTACGGTATTGGAAGCTAAAGTTGATTTGCAATTCATCAGTTTAATTAGGCTAGTTATATTTTTTAATGATGGCACATTGAAAAAAACAGTTTTATTTACATTTACTGAATAGGGCCCTCACCACGAATTTGAAAGTGGGAGGGGGCCAAGGCAGATGAAAGGGGGACCAGGCTTCCTTCACTTTTTATTGCAGCATTGAAAAAGTGGGGCAGGCTCCCCCTCCCTATGGCGTGATCCCTACTGAATTTATTTAGCATTGTTGAAATAAATCAAAACAAATGAAATGAATAAAGAGAAAAAGTAAGGTTGCTGCTAGGAAGTATTTTGACCTGAAAGTTGCCTTGCAAAGAAAGTGAGGTGAAAATATTTGAAATTGAAGCGGCCCATGTCTAGAATAGAAGTGGTCCACGTAAAATAGTTATGGTCCATGTCAAAGAAATGTGGTCTGCGTAGAATAGAAGTGGTCCGTGCAGGATATAAGCAGTCCAAAGCAGTTTTATTGATGTCACAGTTTGTTGGTCCAACAAGTACCATTTATATTTGAATCCAAAATGACTTATTTTTATGTAAGTTGCACAGAACAGAATGACACTTTATCAGCTACAAACTCCATAAAAATAACAGAGAATTAGACCCATTATTCTTTTCCTTCCATGGTGAAAACAAAACCGAAAGTTTTCAACCGAAAATGAATTTCTCGAAATTGTTTGTGCGGGATTCTTTGGTACTCAGTGTAGTAATTTTCTTGTAAATGTTTGAAATTGTGAAGGGTAATAAAACTCTAACCGATTTGCGAGCAATACTTTATAAATCATGAAGTTCAACAGCGGAGAGAAAGAAAGTAATGTGTGAAAAATCCTGAAAAACGTTATAACTGTTTTAAACTGTATTGATTTTTTATCTATCTTCTACCTGTAATATCAACAGTGCCCTGAATGTAAGGAAGTTGCAACAAAGGAAAATTTTCCGAATTTCTCTTCAATTTCGGCTGATTCCTTATGATTTTTTACGAATAATTTGCCTCGGAAACGAAATAACTACCGTTTTGGCAAGCCCTGTCGCCACGATGCGGAGGAGTGCTTCCGGACAAACATCACGTGACAGAAATGAACTCATCTGCACAGGGAGTCAAGAGACTAGAACCCAGACCCAAATGGGAGTAAACATTTGGAAAGTGTGGAAGTGAAAGGCGCAGTTGGAGAAATTTGAAGAGAAAAATTGTTGCGGCATAGATATTCCAGATGTCTGTAGTATGGCAGAGCCTTCGCTCTCATTTTTGCCGCAAGAGATTCTTGCCAAGCTAAGAGATCTTGAATTTGAATTAGAGGAAGGTAAAGTAGCAAGTTGAAAATCTTGTAACGGATTCCAATATTTTTTGCTCACACGTTGATGATAATGTTCCCAAAGAAGATTTCTTATGCCGATCGTGAGCCTCGGTGCCCTTTATGTTTTAATTTTTATTACGATAAGGGTAATAGGCTTTTCTGGTTAAATGTGACGAATTTAATAGGGCATGAAATGTTTTCCTGTCTATCTGATCACGGGGTGATTGCCCAAACAGTTGTTCCGTTGGCTATTATGCTGGTAGGTGTAGCATGCTGTCTATGATCCGGCGAATAATTTAAAATTGATTCCGAAAGGAGAAATTTTCCCCGATGTCATTTGTAGAATTGGTGATTTCTCAAATTTCCTCAAACAGAAGAGTTTTCCAAATTCCAAAGGTTCGCGTCACGTATATTGAAACGTTGAGCCATCCCCCCACGAACTCCGTGACCTCTTGCTCTTGATGAAAGCCTCTTAATAAATATTGTTTCTGTAACTTTTTTGCCAACTTGAGCTGTAACAAGATATCAAAATGTTTGGATCATTAAGATTTTAAAATAGAAAAATTAAAATTAAAAAATATGAAACTAAATAACCTGTTTCTTGTGACGTAGGATTTTGATTCCCAAAAACTCTTACCTGCTTAGTATGACAATGGATATTTGGAATTTTTTAACGGAAGGGTCTTATAAGTTAAAAAGGCACTACTTGTCCTACGTTGTATAGCATTTAAACTATTGATTAAATTTAAAATTTATGCCAAAAAAGTTTATGTTTTAAGGGGTGAGGGGTAAACAGTTTTTATGAGGAATAGTACTAGTATACTATGAATCTTTAATGAGGACTTTATCAGGAAAAGGACAGGTATTCCCAAATCTTTAATGAAGAACCTATTATGAGAATAGCTTTTTTCAAATGTAAACTTTTGCCCTCTCTGGCCTGACTAGAGTGTGTGGCACTTTTCACTGAGATTTTGATTTGACTGGGCTTCTTCGAATTGCAAATATTTGCCTGCAACCACACAAGTCCCTTCTATTTTAGTATATTTGCATGTCATGAGACCTTCTATTACTGCAAACCTAAATTCAATTTAAGATCTTCCCCATGCTTTGCTGTGTTTAATTCAGTGTTTTGATTGTGATATTGGCTTTCTCGCCAGTAAAATTTTATTTGGCAGCTGATATTTCTTATTTTGATATATTTTTTGTCTTATTTCTTTGTTGGGTTATTTTCACCCTGAGGTCATTTCCAGTTCTATTCATGCTCTGACATGTTTATTGCATGTCCTTTGACAGGATAAAAAGAGGATTATCCATTGACAGGAACTGAGAGATCTCAAAGAAGCTTGTCCTATAGTTGTACTTTTAGTTGCACATAGGGGCATCATGGCAAATGAATTCTAGAGGGGGCCCAAAAGGAAAATTTTCCAATAAAATTTATTGACTTATTTTAATCAAATAGAAGCATTTCATGTTAGTGTAAGGAGGGTGGGGGAGAAATGGGCATATTCTTTGTCTTAGCTGGAAAGATATTTAAAATGCACTTATATCTTGCCTCTGTTTCTGCATACTTACTGTGAAAGTCCATGACAACTTGCAACCCTATAGATCAGTAGATTAGTACAATGATAGACTAAATTTAACACCTGAGGCGGCACTGGTTGTCGCTAAAAGGCAAAATTTTTTATAATCCTAATGCTTCAAGTTTGCTGGAAATTGCTTCTTTGGAGCAAATTTTAATAATAAAATTCTCAAAATGAATATCGATTCACTGGTGAAAAGCGATGGTATTGATCAACTTCTTCCTTGCTTTACCTTATGCAACAGAACTGCAAAAAATTTCAAATCTAGGACAAAATTTCAAATCTGGTGAAAGGCACAGAATTGCACTGTCTTGGTCTTCAATATCAAATAAAGATATAATTTATGACCAAAATTGCCTTTTTCCATAACCAAATTTGGCCCTTAAAGATTCGGATTTTAACTGAAGAAAAGCAAATCACTCTATGGTAGAGACTGTTAAATCCTGAGAAATCATTTTGTTTTTGTGGAACTCTTTTATTTTCTTTACAAAAGTGAATTGCTTCATGATAATACGATACGTATTTTAGTGCAAGTAATTCATGTGGCTAAAAGGTTAATTTCACTTCTCCTTTTTACCCACAGCTCAAGTTTGAGAGTTTTCCAAATAGCAATAATTTTTCTGAAAATCTTTCAAATCTTGAAAGCAGAGGAGGCCACAGCTCCCTTGCCCCCCGGCCACAGCACCCTTGGTTATACAAATATAACCAGGATATAGTTATAAGATATAGTTAAAGTTAATCAGCAAGTACAAATTGTTAGATATTTTTAGGTTCCTTGAAAATCGCAATATCTTCTGAACTGTCTGGTGATAGTAAACTTGGCTTATTATGTTTTATCAACCACAGCAAACATAGCACATTGATCTAAGCGTAGCCATATTAATTTTTGTTTTATTGTTTTATGTCTGAAAATTGATAAGATCATTCTCAGTTCACCACCAACTATTCCTAGATTATTGTTCAGTTTTTTAGGCTAAATGGCTTGATACACCATACTGCATCCTATTATCCCTTCTTAAAGTCTTTCAGGATTTTGGGATGCAGAATTTTGCCTTAATATTACTGGAACATTTGGTTTCAAATTCTAATCCCCTTGATGATGCCCAATTTTAACATAGTCTAATATATACTACATTTTTGGATGTGAACATCACTTCAGATTTCCTTACATTGGCTGCCAGTCTAGCTCTTCCACAATTTTATTCTTTTTAAAATACTGCAATTGTGGTCTTTTCCTTGATTTATCAATGATAAGAAATCACCAGAGCCTCAGTTTTTTTATTTTCACAAAGGCCTTGGTTAAAAACCTCTTATCAAAGCATTTTAATAATCCTTTTGAAAAATTCCAAACAAAAAGATGCAAACAATAGTTAATGATAATATTGATGGATTTCTTCTGGCAGCAATGAACCTTTTTGTTGAATAATGCTCAACATCATATTTTTTTCTAATAAAATCTACTCTCATTTAATAGTTACTAATGTTTATTCCTTATTTGCAGGTGACATTACCCAAAAGGGATTTGAAAAGAAAAAAGCAAGACTGTTAGCACCGTTTCAAAGAGGTAATTTCAGAGTTATATATTTGTTTATATTTTTGTTGATAGTTTTACTTCTAAGATTAATTGATCGCCTCAGTTTTGTGTGCTAATTGCTCAGGGTGGTAGTTCAGAGCCATCCTGTTCTACATACCAGAGCATGCAAACCTCTGCCTTCAAGGCATAAAATATTTAAAAATGTACTAGTAAAAATTATCTTCACTTCAGCTTCTTGTTATTCACATCAATGTGCACTTTGAACCAAAGGTCACCCTTCCTTTCTTACCTCAACTGACTCCAGCCCTCCCAATTTTGTCCTAAAAATCAAGAAGCAGTGTTTTTTGAAGATTGTCCAATTCTCTGTTCTGAGGATTATAGTAATTTGTTAAATTTTAGTCTGGGAGATGAATCTTTAGCCATTCTGGAAGGCTGAATTTGAAAAATTTTCTTTCACGTCGGACCCAATCCTGTGGGTCCTCCTATTTCACTAAACTTGATTCTCAGCTCCCCTCCCAGGTTCATTTTCAGCCCCCCCCCCTGCCCCCTATCTCTGAGAAGAGGATCAAATGGACCGAGTAAATTGCAGCAATTTAGATAAAGTGTGGGCAAATTAATCACATTTTACTAACCTCAATAGCAACTTTTGGCAATATTTATGGACCAACAACACAGAACCGTAACTGGGAAAAACACCTCGAAGCCGGTCGAAATTTTGGCTGGATCCGCGCCTGATAATGGTTTGACTGATTCAGCTCCATGTCAATAATGTGTTTGCCTTAACTTTTTTAGCAGGACCTGAGAAATATAGACAAGAATCACCAAGGCAAAGTGATGAAGTTAGTCAGAGTTCTGGTATGTTAAGCTTAAGTAATTTCAATAATTGATTAAGACAATATTTAAAGATGGTGAAACTTAAAAATTGTTTTTATTTGCTGACATTTGCAATTAAAGACCTCAGTATTCTTTATATCAAACATAGAAATTAGTAAGGCTTAAATTAAAGTTAATGAAGATTTTGAATTTTTAATGCATTCCACTTCAAAATGCCAATTCAATTCCAGCATAAGTATTTAATTGCAAGCCATTTTCATGTTTTATAGAGTCTAATCAGGGTTGTTTGAATGCCCTTAAATCTATTGTTTATACTTTCTTGCTCTTAACATAATGATTTTGTTCCACTCCTTACACTGCTCTCTGATTATCAATAATTTAACTAAAAAGTCCAATGGAGTCACATTGATTGGCCTTTCTTAAATTTCATAACAATTTGGATGCCTTACTTTGTTCTGTATTTTAAATAACAGCAGTTTAACAAATTAAGTGTTTTAAATTCTTTCATTTTCTTAAGACAATGGCCAGTCTCTGACACGAAACCGCCTTTTTATCAAAGCACATACTTTGTCAACCAAATGGTTCTTTATTTTGAGGCTGTTGTGGTTTGTGTTATTTTAGTATGTGTAACATACATCGAACATTGTGTAAAGGGATATGCACCTTGAGCTTTTCTTGCCTAACCCATGGTCTGTGGTTCTGTAGTGGAATTTTCGAAATAACTGCGTTTGAGCTTCATAGTACATCCTTGTGAGAACAATTGGCCTTGGAAATGGGCAGCTGACCATGGTGATCCGGTTTATGGGGTACTGTGATTCTAATAAATGCGAAGTTGTTTCATTGCAATGTTGATTATTGGTATAAATAGATCAGTGGCGTCATGGTGGTCACATTCTAATAGGGTTCACAGAGAAAAAGTTTTGCGACTGGCTGCCTTTTTGGGGGTTGGGAGGTTGAGTGAAGGGTACAAAGTTTCCGACTGACAGCAAGTCAGTCGTAATTTTGTACCAAGATTGTACTAAACCTTAAATTACAAAACCTTATCATTTAACCGTTCGGTCGTTTGGATATAGAACTTGGATTTTCCGATTTCTCAAATTTTCCGACAACTTTAAAGAATTTCAAAGATTTGAAGCGTGTGACACCCCACACCCCCTGGTATTAACGTGTGTGCTTTTCTGCATGTCAACAATGATTTTGCATCCACTTTTAATTTGACGTTAGGAAAATAAGATTGAATCATTTTCTGATTTACCCAATTGCCACATCAATCAAGTAATTACCTGCCTTTGATGACCCTTGAATTGAACCGACACTTGTCTGAGAGAAGAAAAAATTTGCACCATCTAGAATATCACAAAGTTTTTTCTAGATGTGATTCAATGTGCAGTCCAAGAACAGTGCTACCGTTGTATCGTTATTAGCTTCCTTGTGGCATTTTTCCCACGTAGCATCGAACTAATTTTGTCCGTCCAATCTTTGTTAATTTCTTGTTTGAATTTTTCAGTTTTCGTTTCCGGAAAACGTAATTATTCATCCCGTAGGACAGGGACCTGTGCAATTATTTGATTAGAAAAGGGTGTGCTCCATTCACCCAAACAGTTCCGCGTGTATATTGAAAATGCCCCTTTGATCCTTGCGTGCCATATATGTTGTGTACAGTATCGGTTATCATATTGAAAAGCGACTGAATCCTGTCTTTCTCAAAGGGTGGTTCCCCGTAAATATAGAAAAGAGCTAGAGCTGGAAGGCCTAGGTATGCAATTGAAACGCCAATAATGCTTTCTGGTTAAAGTGACTTTTCGAGATATTGAATGTTGTACAAATTCTTGTTTGTTTCCTATCCCAGACAAATTTCTTTTAGCTATGATATCTCTATGTATCTTTTAACTAAGCTTCGAATAGTAGTAGATTTAGTATGGGGTAACAATCTTGATATAAAGAGGTTTCAACTTGACGCGCCTTCAGGCCAAAAATGTTTTACTGATCTCAGAAGCCAGCCAAAACGAGTTACGTCCTTGAAGTATATGACATCTACGAGGCCTCTTTGTGAGAGTTTTGGCTATCATTCATCTTGGGATTGCATTGTCTAAGGATTTTAGTCTTGTTTGGCAACCACATCGAGACGATCCGCGATTATATTATTGTAAACGTGTCTGGCTGGAAGTATGATATAATGCGGTTTATGGGAGAAACAGTTTTATTCCTCGCTCTGTTATGCGTTACGTCTCATCGCAAATAAACTTTTGCGATGCCTGCACACTATGCGAACAAAAGTAAGTGCGTTTCTCTTTTCATGCCTCTTTGTTTTGTGATGTCTTCATATGATAGTAAAGATTTCGGCATCAATTCGTTTAGCAACTTTCTTATATTGAATGTTTGAGACAGTGGAATTAAAATTTCTTCTGAACTTAGTTTTTCCTTTTTCTGTTTACACAAAACGTCAGGGCAGACGAAGCACGACGCGTCGGGTGGCTGTTTTCATGTGCTCAATGTGTTGATCAATACTTTCTTTGTGTTGAGTTTTTCATATACATATAGGCCACTAGTTCGTAATATTATTGTCGTTTTCTCGAAACCCCTTGTCAGTATTTTTCTTGCTGCTAGGAATTTCTGGCGTTTTATTGTTTAACCAGAGTTATGAGATACAAACAAACAAAAGTTCAGACGGTTTAGGGGCATTTTAATTTCAAGGAGTGTGCCTTGTCCAATTCTGTCATCATTGTCCATGATATGTTTCTTTATTATGCTCATGATTATTCAAGAAAGAAATTTTGCGTTGTCATCTAAAATTCAATTACAACAGTCGTATGTTGAAATGGTCGTACTTTGGAAATCAATATTATAGATAAATTATTTTTATGACCCCTTAAACCAGATATCTTTTTCGATTTGATCTCAGATTGAATTTGCCAAATATATTAGCATCCTGTCGGAAAATGTGTCACATATTAATGCTAATTCCGATAAAGGGTCTTTGTTTCGTGAATCTGTCCTTATCGTTTTCACAGATTAGTTGGTTTTCCTTCGAGTAACTCGAAAGCCTCTAGCATCTTCTACTTGCTGAAGATACGTAACACAAGCGACTGCTTTGCCTTGGTTATTCGGCACCTGACCCCGCCATGTGATCGATCGCAGTTCCATTCTTCAGTCCGGGATTTCTTTGTTTACGTTTCATATCTTCTTTGTTGTTTAGAAACCACATGTCATCTCTACTAAAGCTCCCTTTCCTACTGGTTGTGCGTACTACCGTGCGAATGCCTGACAGTGCGATAGACGTCTGTATCAGTTGAGATTATAACGAACAATTTAAAGAATTTGATAATTGCAAAAATTAAAAGAGCTGTAATGTGCTTATTTTTCGCCTTGATACACTTAATCTCATCTGAGGATATCTTCTCTTTCAACAAATCATTTATCTAAACCTACCCTTGCGCGACTGATATCTTATAAACATTGGTCGCAGATGTGTTTTTCTTATTGAAAGTGTCTGTTTTTTGAAGCAACCAATGGATTACTAGGCCTATGTGCAGCCTTGTTACCCAAATTGCTAGTTGCCACTCTGTTCTTCTCGACATTCTGGATTTGCTGTTCTCTTCAGAAACAAGCCTTAAAACACAATAAATAAAGAAAGGTTATTTACTTGATCCATTGTTTAGGTTTATTGCTTTTTAGACATTGTTTTCAGAGAAGAAAATAAGAAGCCACGTTTTGGCGAACAATTGAAATGGATTAAAGCCAATTATATGATAACTGTCTTTAGAAGTATATTTTCTCTTTGTTTTATTTGTAATGTTGTTATGCAATTGACTAATTTTTGTATCTATATTACCCTACTCAAATAAAAAGCTAGCAATTAAAACGAAAAGACGCAAGCACATGATACCTCTTTCGCTTTAGGCCTACGAAAGGAGGCCATTGAAATGGCACTGGCCAAGAAACAGTCGGATGAAACCGCTGGCCTCCCGGCACCTACGAAAAGGCAATCGTTTGTTACCAAAAGGAAAACAGAAAATGCTGAAAACAGACCTTCTTCGAGCTACATGGTTCCAACCAGATTTACAGGTTGGTTCCAGCTACTTTTCGTTGCGTTTTCAACTTATTAATTCAGCCAAAGCGTCAATTGGGACGTTTTTTAACCTTTCTTGCTGATTGGCATTCCCCTTTACCTCCTAGTGTTTGAAATAAACATTACAGTGATCGATCTCATTTTGAGGGGTTTTCCGTAGAATTGTCTGTGTACAAGGCTCCGTATGGAATTGGTTTGCATTGTCAATTTTATCATGGCGGTTTTAAGGTTCATGTGTGAATCTGACCGCAAACGTTTTTTGCCTGCAGTCAGTAAATTGTAACTTTAGCTACTTGCAAAATTCAAGTCCATAATTAGGCCACAGTAAATTCTTGAGAACGTATCCGATATTAGGATCTAAGATTTCTGGCTAAAATCATTTCGATAAATTGAAATCCGTGTTATTTCTTTTATTTAATTTGTTTGTTCTTTACATATTTTCTGTGTCCTGAAATAAATCAAAGCTTGGAAGAAATTCAGGAAATAAAATTAAGAAACGATGTTGAAATCAAAATAACCAATTTTTGTAACTGGACCTCGGCGTATTTGACAATCAAGTTGCTTGTTATACATTCTTGTACCTCTGTTTTTTTCGTCGATGTTCAGAAACAGAAACTTTTTACGTAAACCACTGAATGGGATTCCCTCTGTAGTAAAGACAAAACTCTTTTTCGAGATGCTCAGGAAGCAGCGACCTTTTCCCCTTTAATCAACAAAGGTCTAAAATTATCCCTTTCAAAAACCAATAGTAGTGAAATACTGTTCCCCATATCGAGAACCCAGCCCGCTGTCAAAGAAAGATTTAAAGTACTGAGCTACTCTTTCCTTTTTGATTTTCAATTAGAGTTAACTATATCGTATTAAGCCGAAAATAATGATTTGCTACACATCGGTTTGAAAAACAGTATCTTATACTAAGACTTTTCGATTGTTTTAACTTTTTGAAAGGAAGTAGAAATCAGCGGCAGAGCAAGGCTAGGAAGGTATTTGCCGGGGCTCCTGACAATGAGCTAGTTAATTAACGACTTTACTACTTTTGTAGAATATTTCCAAAATTTGTTTCCACCGCAGAAATTTTGTGCAGATGGTATGCCAGTTTTATGAAATCGGTTTTAGTCGAGGTGTAGATCTCGGAAATGCCATCCTGTCTGAATGTTAGAGTAAAATGCACGATTTGGTAACTGAGAAAACTCCGGGTCAAAACTGGTCCTCTTTTTTGTTAAACATGAATTAAACGGTGACACGGCTTTAAAACAATTGATATCTTGCTTGGAGAGCAGGATTAAAATTCAGAAATTAATCCATGCTTTTTAATTATTAAAACTTACAATTTCTTGTGTAATTCCCATTCAGATACTCCAACTGGAACGCCAGTAGGCTCAGAGGAGGATTTGGCACCGAGCGTTCAAACTCCACCAGTGCAGCAAAGAGGTTCAAGATCCGTAGTCCACGTAACCGACGAAGGAACTCGAGACAGAAGAGAACGGGGATTGTCAAATGTCTCACGGACGAAGAGTAACGAATTTGGAAATAGAGCACCTCCTCCGGACGTGACGATACCTCAAGGTGATTCTTCAAATTTTGGGATGAATACAAGACGGAGTGTGCATATGTCATCGGTTAGAGTTAAGAGAAGTGAAGGTTCGGTCTTGTTCTTTTCGTTTAAGACTGCGAGCTTTCGCCGCAGCACTTACGATACACACACGCACACTCTTGTTGGTGTCAAGTGAGCTTGTCTGCTTATTTGGTCAGAACGAGAAACCACAATGTTTTTTTCGATAATTACTTTATATCTCTCCGTTAGGGATATTTATGTGCTCTTTTGCACTCATTGTACTATTACTACTTATGTTATCACGGTATTTGTATCTGGCCTTCGTACGTCGTAACTGCTCCGTCAAAATACACCTAACTTGGAAGCGAAACAGAGCGGTAATTATAGCATATAGTTAGCGAAATGTCAAGTTTTGGGTAACTTTTTGAGTTGGCTATGTTGAACGTAACTTTTTTTCTGGCATTATGGTGGCATCGTAGCTATCTCTGATATTAATGGTAGAAAAGTTGTTTATACTTATAAGATTGAAATGCTAAATCTCAATTTATTCTTACGCTTTCTCTAAGTTATCTTCGACTGAAAGATCGGCTGTGCGCGGCGTAGTCGAACATATAGGCTAAACAAATGTGATTTAATTGCCATTCCGTTTGGATATTTACTGGTTGCATTCGATCTCAACCTGCCTGTTCCAATATTGACCGGTGAATTACAAGCGGCTAGATTAAATAGAAACTGATAAAAGGCACTGAGTTGATCACTAATTACGAATTAACTTTTTTAAATTAAGTTTTACTTTTCTTTCCAGTTATGAATGGCAGCGGACGAGTATCAGCGAAAATACAACAATTACTGAACACTTTAAAAGTAAGAATACCAATTTTAATTAATTTCATAAACCTGGCTTGCACTCTCAGATCGCATGTTAAGAGATATTTTTAGTAGTTTTTGTCATTGTCTGATGCTATCTCAAACCGAAAAGCTTGACCCATTTTGGTCATCTCATTCTTAAACTATGGGAATATTTCGCTTGGCTCGGATTTCATTTGCGTCAATCAAATTTGCCACAATCTCATGAATGTTGGTCTCACCGCATATCAAAGGCTTTTTCTGTAAAATAATACTATTTTGACAAATCCTCGCATATTTTATTGTTTTATTGGACACCCGTAAAACTGTTCCGTGGAAAAATACGAAAGATAATATTTTTATCATTGTAACATCTGCCTGCTCTTTACAGCGTGGTTTCTGCCTGATAGAATAAAACAAAAATATTTTTATTCAATAAATGACTGTTCACAAATCTTGTTGACCTGAGAATGATTGATTTATTTCCACATCTACAAGGTTTCTCAAGACAGGCAAAAAAAATTCAACCTGGGAGATAGGTAGCTCCAATTAGCCACTTTGCTCAGTAAAATTTGTTCAAGTTTGGCTTTGCAAAGGAACATAGTCAGAATACCTATATATTATTGCCTTACTTTTTTCACGAGAATGGAAAATTATATTAGAAATCTAAACTAGATCTTTTATCTGATCGGTCCTTCGCAGTTCTGGAGGAGATTGCGAAGCTATTGGTGTATTGTCTCAAATGTGCCTCTACTTGTCCAAATATTATTTCCAGTCCAGTCATGTTTTTTCAACATAGTAAGCCAGTGTAAATTATTTCATATCCTGTGGTTCCAAGCAGTGCCCAACAGAGAGTATTGCAGTGAAGTAAAACTTTGTTCGTTCTATCTGGAAAGATTTTCATGTTTGAATATGATCCAAAATGCCAATTTTTTTTTAAATTTGCAGAGGCCGAAGAAGAAGCCACTAGAACAGTACTTTGTTGAAGAAGATGACCAGCTTGAAGGTTGATATCCATCAAAGAATTACGTCCAACTAGTCATTTCAACAGGCAATATTAAGATTTACTAAAACCCAACCTTCCCACCTACATATCCCCCCCGCTCATTGGTGATTTCACGGCCAATAAAATTCATGTTATGGATCGGGGTGGAAATTACCCTATACGTGCTTGCTACCCAGAATTGATTCTGGCGTTATCTCAGTAGCAGGATTACTCTGAATATATTTGGCTCATCTCTTTGTGTCAGTCGTTTCTGATCTTTGCACATTTTTATCTTGTAACAATGACTTATGGCTTATATCTTCTTCGACTATTTTAATCTCATACATCATGTAAATCCCATGGACTTTTGATGTTAAATGTGTGAACGAAAAGTTGAAATTTTTCGTGTGTATGTGAACCTCAAACCATACTTTTTCCAAAACCTCTCCCAATTTGTTGCTGATGAGTATTTTTCTAATATATAAACTGATTGAAACCCCCATCTGTAACATGTTTCTAAGTCATTGCTCCTACTTTAACCTTCTTTGTCGACAATTTTGTGTAAACTAAACTGCGAATTCTTGCTTTGTAGTTAGCAAACCAGACCCAAATGCACCAAAACCAGAGGGTACCTCTAGCAAGCCAGCAGTTGGAGAAATGTTTTCGGTGAGTTTTTTCAACTTTCTGTTTTGTTCAATTAAACATAATAAGGGCAAGAGAGACAAACACCAGTAAACCATAGATCAAGGCAATAGCTTTTCGAAGAATTCATATCAGGCCACATCTGTCTCCATGGTGCATAGCTCCTCGGCCGCATTTTCGCACTTTAATTTGTAAGGCATTTGTTAGGTTAGTTTTCTGCAATTTAATTTCTCTAAAGCATATCTTGGTTTTTATAATCAGAACATTAATCATCTGGCATTTTAGTCAGGAAGAGTACTTCGATAAGAGCATTACAATGATTGCCATGTTGACAATAGTGTGTCAGCTCCAGACAAATTGAAATCGCTGTTTCTGGTTAGTGGTGTAGAGTGATGTATCTAATTTTGATTTTGTCATATTTAGCTTCCAGAGAATGTTCCTCATGCTTTCACCGAAGCCATTCGAAAATACGGTTCATCTAATAAAGCGCCCGCAATTTCGGTGATCGACGTCAATGGAAAAATACTCTATACACTGTTGTACGGTGAGCATTTCCACAATGACATAACGACTGACATATCAGTCACTTTCGATCTAATCCTTTACTTTAAATTTTCTTCTGTCAGGTTTTGTGATTGAAAATGGTTATTGAACCCCAATACCATAACTACAGTATCTGCTTAGCCGCTTAGCGTTGTTTCTAATTTCGCGCGCGATTTAAGCCCACCTGGAAACTCTTTTATGGATTCTTACAGAAATGAAAGGTTTTCAGAATCCAGTAAAGCAGTGTCTTCCCAGAAAAACAAAAGAAACACAGCGTTAAAGGAAGCCCCGTCCACAATCTGCGCCTTCACGCAACTCCCATTTAACTACAGAAACCGATACCAATTAAAGTCAGAAATTCAAACGTCGTGAAATTCGTGTTCAAGAGTTGTCAACAACAAGATCCCTTCCGTGCTTTCATTCAACCTTTTTTTCTTTTTAGCAAAACTTCTTAGTCGTAGTCAAAAAGTAGCATTTTCGCTTCTAAACAAAGTTGGAAGTCATAGAGACGGGAATATCATCTCTCAAGGAGACAGGGTAAGCTACTTTTCATCTCCTGAGTAGTTTGGGCTTGAGATCAAAGGTCTTACTTTAGGTTGTCAGCAATTTTTTAGCAATGCAGATGTTGTGTACAGTATTGCTGCTTTATTTTTTTGTTTATCAAAGACCAGGGAGAGATCTAATCCATAAAGACTTGAAAGGAAGTGGATGCCCTTCCTCTCTTTGTTAGCTACGTTTTAGAATCTCGTCTTGCGTGTTGAGTTTTGTATTCAACACTCGTTCAGCCCCCTCCAGCCTCGTTCAGCCCCTCCAGCCTCGCTCAGCCCCTCCAGCCTCGTTCAGCCCCTCCAGCCTCATGCAGCCCCTCCAGCCTCATCCAGCATCTCTAGCCTCATGTAGCCCCTCCAGTCTCATCCAGTCGCCAACCAGCCCCCATCTACCCCCGTCCAATTTGCTCTTTAAATTTTAAACGTTGTTGGCAAACTAAACCCGCACCCTTTCCAAAATAATCCTCGTTTTGTATTGATGCCAATGTCTGGCTTTTTTGTTAAGGCTTTTTTGTTAAGGCTTTATCTCGTCGCCATGAATGTATTATGAATCACTCGTTGAATTTTCTTAAGAGTATTACAATTCGCCGTTGTTTGTCGCATCTATTGTAACAAAATCATTATTTTCTCTATAATCCGCAGCCAATGCTTATCACGTTTCTATTATTGCTTTAGAGCTTTTAACAGTTTATTTACTGGTGTTTTGTTTTTCGCAATTCAGGTTGCTCTTATGTACAGTTATGATGACCCTGTCGGATTCATCTCTGCGTTTTACGGCTGTTTAATTGCGGGTATTGTCCCTGTGCCAATCGATCCACCTGTGAAAAAAGAGGTAATTACGTCTGGTCCCTCTAATTTAATTTCACTTGACTGCCATTTGGGATTAATTTTAGCAAACACTATTTGAATGATGACACCATCTATGAAATTCATTTCTGAAATTCCGTGTTATTATTTAGCTTGTCTTTCACATATCAATCTAGATAATAAACATGCTCCTACGCATTACTCCTACTTTCAACCTTGAAATTCCAACATCCAAAGGCAGCAGTAGATCAATTCATATTTGAAACGATCATGTACATGTTTATTTCATCTCCAAGGGCAAAAGCGATCAGCCAAGCATGGCTTCCTTATTTCTAATCGTTACTCGATTTCCATTATTGTAAATGAAAGCCATTCTCAGTTTATGCAGTTTTTAATGGTGAATTAAATGATTTTTATCTCAATACAAACAAAGCTTTGTATTTAGAGATTTCCAGTTTGTCATTATCGATAATTTACCCTTACTTCGGTCACCCCGATGAAAAATTCCTTTTACCTTTATTTCTTTTGTAGTAACGTAATATTTTGTAACTGTCATATTCCATAATGATTTGCTAAGAAAGATAATCATAACTTGAAAAGAAGAAAATTCAAGAAACCCTCTTGGATATTGCAAAATTTGTTTTTTAGATCTATGCATCAAAATTGTGTCGTCATTATACTGAAATCGGCCTTCTTTTTTATTTTTTTACATTTTTGCACACAGTTTTTTGGCCTCGGATGATTTATTATAATTTATATATATTTATGATCAATTATGAGCCACGGTCCTACTATGCTAAATAATTTCATCTTATTCCTTGATCTTGTTGATACACAACTGCTGCTATTGTATTGCTACTTTCGGTTGCCAATTACAACCCTTTTTTCCTGATATAACATAATCATACGGTAAAAAGACAGCCATTTTCTCCCTTATACACTGTTACAAAACCTTCATTGTTGTCAAATTTGGAATCGATATCCTTAATCTCATTTTCTTTGGTTCAGGATGCCGGATTGCAACATGTTGGATTTTTCTTGGGTAGCTGCAATATTTCCTGGGTGCTAACTTCCGAAAGTTGTCTGAGAAACCTGCCTAGAGACGATTTAGGCCATCCAATTCAATTTAAAGGTATGCGGTTTGAAATATTGGATATAAACTGCTTTTTGATGTTTATATTCTTTTTGTAAGGTCTTCATTATTTGAAGATACAATTCGCAGTTTTTTTCTTTTGTTTCAGTTTTCAATAATTCCTTTCTAAATTTTTGTTTTGTATTTTTTTTGCAGGCTGGCCTAGGCTTCAATTTTTCGTCACTGAAAATCTTGGTAGACCGGCAAGAGACTGGCACGTTCCTTTGTTAGGCAAGGAAAGGAAGGTTCCGGCATACATTGAGGTGAATTTTTTCATAATAGGAAATACCCAATTTCAAAACAGTTTTACTTTCTTAGTAGGTGGAATCCAAGTGGAATTACGATAAAATTTGTTAATTTGATGGCAACAACAATTTTGTCATTGTCAATTTTCAGATTTAACTTAACTGCTTCTGAAGTTTTGCGTTGAAGTTGCAATAAGTAATAATGTGAACCCTGCAACTACAATTGTAAAACAATGTAGCGTATGGTTGTAATTCGTCTCATTTTTCGCAGTATTCGGAAGATCGGGATGGTAGTGCACTGGGCGTGGTTGTGTCTCGAGAAACCATGATTGCTCACACACAAATGCTAATCCAGGCTTGTCAGTATGATGAAGGTAAATTATCTTTTTCCCATGCATCCCTTATTAATCTGATAGCAGAAACACATGGAGGCATTTGAATGAGATTAAACCGTCTTTTGGCTCCCTAATCGTCTGATTGGAATACAATGCAATTTTTAAATTTTAAAAGTGTGCTATTTTTCAGCACTTTTGTGCTATCTTCAAAATTTGCAGATAGCAATGATATATTGATTAAATTTTTTTTATTTGACTCGCATGCAAGCGTTGAACATTAAGGTAATTTGCGGTGTTGTTGTTGTTTTGTTGCAGGCGACACTATCGTCAGTGCTTTGGATTACAAAAGGGGAGTCGGATTATGGCATTCTGTTTGCGTTGTAAGTTCCTTTGAGGTTTTTCTACCGGACTACTGTATAACACTGTTGTTTAACGTCTCGGTATTCAAACTGTTAGAAGAAACATGCCAACCTTGTTCAATTTGAATAATTTGCAAATAGGGTTTTATAAAAACAAAAAGCATAAAACTCTCGACCCACCTGTGTGAATGTATAATTTGATACATTTCTTACGCATCTTTTGTATCAATTCCTATGGCCTCGGGACTGGTAAATCTATTGTTTGACTGACTGTCTATCGCCTCTCTTGCAGGGTGTCCTTTATGGAATGCACGTCATTTATGTCCCCCCGTCTGTCATCCAACAAAGTCCTGCCATGTGGATGATGATGGCCAGCAAGTATAAAGGTTCGGTTTTACATGTTTTGACATAACCGATTTTGAACCTTCCTATGCCTAGTAGTTAAAAAAAGCTTGGGAAATTTTACAGTTTAATCATGAATCATTTTAGATTTAATAAAGAAAAGACGACTTTCCTACTGACCTTTTTTTACTCTTTATCACCGCCCTGTCACCAGCACTTTGCGGTTCGCGATTCAATTTAGATATAAAACGTCTGTAATATTTCAATAGTTCGCTTAGATTTTGCAAATAAATCTTCTGCCCCTTTTGAAGATCGTCTGTCCCTTTTGGAATCGTCTTTCCCTTTGAGACTTGTCTGCCCCTATGAGGATCGATTATCTTTACATCCCCAAGTCTCGCAAGTCTTTATATTCTATCTATCTGCAAAAATAAAATGTTTTATTCCCCATTGAGCTGCACGTTTTCGTTGATCATTTGTTAACAATATCTCTTCGTTTCACTTATTTAAGACTGTTTTGTTTTTAGCTAGTGCATGCCTTGTCACTTCAAAAGAATTGCATTGGAGCTTGCACGCCACAAGGGACCACAGAGAAGTCAATTTTTCAAATCTCAGGATGCTGCTGCTAGCAGACCGAGCGAACCCTTGTAAGCAATTCTTATTTATCTTGTAAATTCAGCAACAAAGATCTTTGGAATTTTATTCAAAAAGAAATTTCAGATGTTTACCGTTGCTTTCACGACGTGTTTTATTTTTTCCAAAGACTGACTTCACACCCTAAATATGAATATTAATGTACAGAATATGCATGAAAACTGTAAATAAGCTGACAGTGGGTTCTGATTATATGAATGTGTTTTCAACTTGAGGCATGCTCCCTGAACCCGTTCATTAAACAAACGAGGAATCTATCGTCAGCTTTATTTTACTCATTGTGTTACAAATTTCTAGGTAATCAAGGCTATGAAATAGAGTTGTATGTCAATATCGATGACCGTTTTGAGAGTGTCACGTTTACCTTGCATACTTAAGCGCTTCTGTGAATTTTGTCTGTAGGTAGCGTTACACTATTTTATAGCTTTGTTGCAAGATGTTGTTACTCATTAACATATTATTGTGTTTATTGCAGGGTCACTTTCAGCTTGCGATACGTTTCTGTCAGCCTTTGAAGGAAAAGGCCTGCGTCCAGAGGTCCTTTGTCCCTGCGCGTACTCCCCTGAAACACTGACCATTGCAATAAGAAGGACAAGCCGTGCTGACTGTGGCTCGAGCGGGCGTGGGATATTGTCGCTGACTGGGCTTAGTCATGGCGTTGTTCGTGTTGACAAAGAAGGATCCATCACAGCGTTAATTTTACAGGACTGTGGTCTGGTTGTTCCAGGAGGTTTGTGAATGTGTTCAGCAGATGTTGTTATTCTATTCAAATCTTTACATTCACATTTTTAATTATTTAGGCACGGTAACCCCGTCAGTCCATGAGAACTGCTTTTCAGGGGGCCGGGAAGTCTTTGCAGTGACATAACATATGCAAATGTCAATGTCTCACAATGAGAGGCGGACTGAAGATCACTTTGTGAGAAGCCAAAAGTTGTAACCCTTTTATCAAAAATCCATCTTATTTTATCCTAAAAGAATTTTTTCTTGTTTTCTTGTTGTTGGTGTTTTCTTGTTTTCTTGTTTTTTGCTGTTTATGTTCATTGACGTTTATCGTCCGCCATTTTTTATTTTTACAGCCAAAGTTTGTGTATTGAAGTTAGATGGAAGCAATGAACTGTGCAAAGTTGATGAGGTCGGTGAACTGTGCATATCAAGCAGAACGGTTGGTGATGGCTATTGGGGACTGCATGGCAAAACAAATCAAGTTTTCAACGTAAGAATTTAATAAAAAGAATTCTTTTCATCATCATTGTCATCCATTTTTATATCGATTGATGCCTGCACTGTTTGAACTGCCCTTTATTGGTAATGACTGTACTGCATATGTAACTTAATTTACATAACATTACGATTTAACCAAACACCACACTTATATATCTTTTTGTTTATTCTAGGTACGGCCTACATTAGAAAATGGAGAAACCGCGCCAGATTCCTATGTTTTAACAGGCCTTTTAGGATTCCTTGGTCCCGTATGTATTTTATGCATTCTTAATTGATTTGTTACAATTGATATTTCGTCCAAGCTATTTTAGGGGGTAGATAAATTTTCATCCAAATGGAATTTTTTCTGATGTCTTGGATAGAATTGCCATTACTGAAATTGTTCTTGTTTTTTTAGGGTGGACTCGTGTTTGTTTCGGGAACATCAGAAGGCCTCATGACTGTAAAAGGAAGAAAGCACAATGCTGAAGACATCAAATCGACTGTTCTGGCTGTAGATCCAATTAAATTTGTGCATAAAGGAAGGTTCGTTTCAAAATTCCTAGATGTTCAAGTGTAATAATAATCACTTTTTCTGTCTACAATTTCAGAAACAATTTTGTTCTTTCTCTATAAACACTTTTTCTGTGCTTTTCTGTATGTTGCCATTATTGATAAGATTCATATTCCAGAACTTTTTGTAATTTAATCAGGTTTTGTACAACAAACAGTTGATATTCAGAGCCTCAATTTTTGACACCGATACTTGAGGTTGTTGCTTTTAATTCATTATAAAACCGAGCTCTTTTGGTAATGTTTTTTCTTTTTTCCTTATAGAATAGCAGTGTTTTCAGCAACAATTTTAAAAGAGGAGCGAATAATAGTGGTAGCTGAGCAAAAAGGGACTTGTACAGAGGAGGAGGTAAATCTTCTAATTCAATATATAATTTTTACAATCATAAACTTGGTAAATAAAAATTAAACTTTGCCAATCAAATCATTACTGACTATTTTTAATTTTCTTCTTTTGCTTTTCGATAGAGCTTCCTGTGGATGAGTCACGTGCTTCCAGCTGTAGACGGGATTCACGGAGTGAGTTTTCCTAAGTTTTTTTACTTGCTACTTAATTTTGTTTTATTATTAATTTGTATAATTATGTCCACAGATATAAATGTTTACTGTTCTATGCAAAATGCGATTTTAGCACGAAAAAAATTAAACGTTCATTTGCAACACGAATATGTCAAAGCTAGAGCCTTGTGGAAACCCTTGGGTGTGGGTATCGAAGTAATAAATGGGTTTATAGTTGATACTGTATGTTTGAAATTATAAGTCAATTGTTGCAATATATTTTTGCAGGTTGGTATCTATTGTCTATGCCTAGTTGCGCAAGATGGACTACCAAGGGTGAGTTTGCTGCAACCTCGCATGGATAGTTTAATGCCTTGCCTCTGCTTCTTGAAGTTAATGCATAAGTACATAAGTAAGCCGGGAAAGTTTTAATTCATTTTAATTTGGACATACTGTTTGTATTACAATTGCATGTCTACTGAAAACAATCTTTCCTTTTGTATAAAAGCCCGTTTAGACATAACCAACCTTTGAAGTTGACAGCTATCGATTGATTTTGCTTGACTCATTAAGTTATAACTTTTATAATGTTTAAATTTACAGTATAGCAGTGGCTCAATTAGTGTACACGAAGCAAAACTGAGGTTTCTTGAAGGCTCTCTTCATTCTGTGAATGTTTTGATGTGTCCACATACAACTGTCACCAACCTTCCTAAACCACGACTAAAGGTTTCAGGTAAGACATCTGATTGGTTGTTGCTATGCATGGTGTCAATCATTATTGTTAGGTTTTTCTTTACGATGTTGCGGTACATTTGTTTCGTCAGGAAAAGATCTAATGTCAGGTAGGCGAGTGTAACAAGCAAAGCTCAGAAGCTTTTTCTTCTACATGCAAATGAACAAGTTAAACTCAATTTATCAAGTTTAGCACGGAATGTAACAAATATTCAACATTCTTGAAGGCTTTGGTTAAGGAAATTAGAGGAAGTCTGAAACGTCAAATAACAACCAAAAAGTAACATGCAGAAGTGAATTATTTTATAGAACCTAATTGGTTTTGTTTTGATCAAATTTGTATTCCCTCTCTTCCTCCCTGACATGATTAAAGGTCCAATTGGGCAGTCTCAAGCCCAATTATGCCGTCATTCCCACTACACTAAAACATGGGTACCGTTATTTGCACGGGGTGGTTTCTCCTTATCCGTGATCCCTAAAATAATGCATAGTGCATGGCCGACTTTCTGTTGACTATGATGATGTAACTTTTTATTGTGAAGCTCCTCGCTTATGATTACAATAAAAAATATACGCTAATCTGAGTCAACATCAAACTCGTTTTCAAGCATTAGATTCTTTTGCGCATTTTAAATCTTTGAAAAGAAAACGCTCTAATGAGTCTTCAAACGCAGTTTTTCAACGCATTGTAATCAAATTTCGATTTTCAACAGAGCCAGGACCTGCACAAACCATGGTTGGGAATCTGGTGAAAGGGGCCCGAATGGCTTTTGCTGTTGGCAGGGAAATCGGTGAAAAAGACGAATCTGATCTAGCGAAAAAGGTACGAAATTTTTACTCTAAAAACATTTGTTTGTTTTTGTGAAAAGTCACTTTTGAGTTGAGTTGCAATGAAGGTTAGCCTAGCCTAGTTCTCAATGCTGAAATGAAGGTTAACTTACTTTTGTTTTGTCCGTCAGTACTCATTGGGGAAATTTCTCTCTCGCAAGCATAATTGAAATTAAAGTGGAAGCGTAGGTTCCAGTTCTTCGATTGGCTAAGAAATTCTTTATACTTTGTTTACCAATCAGAGAAGTTCATCAATTTGACGACAAGCATTTCTCACAGTTAGATTCAGGCCTATTTGTATTTTTTGACCAACACGCAGAAAAATTTGTAAGATCTGCTGAAAAGATTCTATTTTTTAAAAAAAAATCAATACTGTGAAAGATTTTATGAAATAAAAGCTGTTGTGCTTTGCAATCATTTGTTACGAAGGCTTGACGTTGGCCGCTCACAACCCTCCTTAGGCGAGGGATTATGAAGAAGTCAAAATGCCGACGTGAAAAACTTAACATTCCACGAAGAGAAACAAATACACCCACAACTCAAAAAGTTACATCCACTTAACTTAATTTGTATGGTTACTTTTGGGCTCAGTTTGTTTTGGAAGATTAAAGTTTTGCAATAGAATGGAAAGTTCACCATATGGCTCACCGTACTTCGATTATATAAAAGATGCCGAGAATTTTTAGTCCATTACAATCTATCTAAGTATTCTTGGTACCTGTTAGAGCATTTGCCTTTCATTTCAAGTCTTTTTTCCCAATGCTGCACAGAATCTGCAATTTTATTTTGCTATTTCTAGCATTAATCAGAACCCAAAAAAACTGATTTGAACAACTGCAAGCTCTTTCTGTTTCTGAAGTAACCATTTTCACTTTTTGTTTCCAGTACCAGTTTTTGTCAGAAATATTAAAATGGAGGGCGCAATCATCACCTGATCATAACATATTCACACTTTTGAATGCAAAGGTGAGAAAGTTAATCCATATTTATTTACTTTCGCATGCTAAACCGTCTTTCCTGTTATAGCATCCTATGGCCTTATTACAACGCTAATGCAATGTTTTATGAATTAGGCATCTCTAAGCTTTGGTCAATTAAATTTGGATTACATCGCTTTTTGTTGATTATAGGCCCACGTTGCTGGTAATTTAACCTGCCTCCAACTGCACAAGAGAGCGGAGAGATTTGCTTATTTGTGCATTGAACAAGCGAAACTGAAGACCGGTGACCACGTTGCATTACTTTACCCACCCGGTATGCTTTTGAATACTACTGGAGAATAATTTATTAAACAGTCTTGCTTTGTATATGAATCATTGCTCACTTCCTGATTGACGACCTTTGCCTGAAAAGTTCTTAAATCATGAATTGCGTATCATCTACTTTCTCATTGTATATTCATCTTATAGTTGGATAAGAATATTAAGTATGTCAACAACTTGTTCTAACCTTTCTGTCCCGCCATGATTTTAGCCATCTATCACTCTTAATTTTTCTCACCTCGCTCTGAACTAAATTGGTTTTTTCCAGTTTTTTTTCTAAGGTTATTCTGACACATTGAGTATGCGAAATAGATCGTTCTTCCTGTTTTTTTCAGGGCTTGATCTAATTACAGCCGTTCTAGGATGTCTATACGTGGGTATGTTGGTTTCGTTTTTTATCCTGCTGTGAGTTTAATGTTGTCTGAAAAATTTATATATTCATTCCTACATGAGGTCAAGTCTCCCCGTTTTCCTCTGCTGCCTACAGTCATGGGCGAGGTACCTGAGATTTTGCAAGGAAGTGTACAATATTTTCACAGACACTTGAAAACTACCTACCTCCATCCTCTTAACCTAGAAAAAGGCGCTACAAACCAAATGCATATTACTTAAAATGGTTACCTTGTTTTTTTATTTCTCGATACTGTTTAAAGGGGAGTAACATGGCTTAAAATGGAACAAGGTATAGGTGCTAAAGGCATTTGAGATTCGCATTTGTTTTCATAGGTCTTGGCTAGATGTACAACTTTTTATTCATCTAATATTCCACTAACTGCTCTGCTCTGTAACTGAATATGCTCATTGCTCATGTCACTTACTTTTCTCAAGGTCTCATCCCTGTTCCTATTCGACCACCGAATTTTCACAACGTAATCACAACGTTACCAACCGTTAAAATGATCGTTGAAGTCAGCAAATCAGTCGCCATACTTACAACGCTACCACTTATTAAGTTATTGCGTACAAAAGAGGCTCAAACTGTAGTCGAGGCAAGGCAGTGGCCTGCTATTATTCCCACTGAAGATCTACCGAAGAAGCGACTATCGCCGGCGTATAGGCCAGCCAGCTCGGAAATGGTTGCGTACTTAGATTTCAGTGTATCAACGACTGGAATGTTAGCTGGAGTTAAGGTTTGTCAAAATTTGCGCCCTGTTTTTGTGCTAAATACAGTGTAATCTCGTTATTTCCATTTTTTAGGATCCTTGAAAAAGGTTCGCTATAGAGAAAGTTCATTGTACCAAGAGGCTCTTAATACGAGAAGGATTCCAAGAGACCAAGTTTATTTTCTGTAAAAGAGGGGGCGTTCTTCACTTAGCCGAAATAAATAAGGGCGTATATTAGGGGGCAATAAGTAGAGGAATTAATTTTTGTTCTATCCTTCTTATAATGTTGTGTTAAAACAAATTGTTCATTATTTAATGTTCAACTTTTCTGCAGGTTTCTCATGGTGCTGTGACGTCGTTATGCCGGGCTCAAAAGTTAGCATGCGAGCTTTATCCATCGAGAGAGATAGCAATTTGTCTTGATCCGTACTGTGGATTTGGTTTCACATTGTGGTGTCTTAGCAGGTCAGTGTACTGATAACTTTCATTGAATCTTTATTGATGTATTCTATCGACAGAGAAGAGCTGGGTTGGAATAATCTTGGTTTTGTGAATGCTGATTAATTCTCTGTTTGGCCTGATATCTATAGATTTTTATAGGCTTTGTAGACTTAACTGTTGTGGTTAATGATCTTGTTTTGTTCCCAGTGAACCCTAGAAATCCATGATAATCTTATTAAGAATGACACTTAAGCAGATGGTTCGCATAACATTAAAGCCTTTAGTATCATATGTAAGAGTTTCCTTTCAGTCCAATTATTTCACTTAAATTTCTTTTATTTCCTTTCCACAGTATTTATTCTGGTCATCATACAATTTTAGTACCTCCCGTTGAGTTAGAATCGTGTCCAAGTTTGTGGATCCAAGCCATAAGTCAATATAGAGGTGAGCGACCCAATCATCTCCTTTCTTGCTGCATTTTCGCTGAAATTTGTGGTATCTAGGATCGTGCTTTCTGCGTGGATCGATGCTTTTGTACTTAAATTAAATAATTCTGTAATAAAAAGAGTGTTCTGAGAAGCGTAACAGTTACTGGTTGTATGGTGTACGTTTTACAAAGACATCTGTTTTACAATGCCCAAGTCGTTATTTCTAACGTTAAAGAAGAAATGCAGATTCTTTATTTGGTATTTTCAATCGTTTCATTTCCTGCATGCTTTAATTGTTTTACCTATTTTACCATTGTTAATTTTCTTTACAGTCAGAGACACATTTTGTTCATATCCAGTCATGGAGCTTTGTACAAAGCATTTGGCTCCTCACATTCCCACAATGAAGGTATGTCCAACTGCGTTTAAAATAGCAGATCAAATTTTGCCCAGGATTTCATTTTAAAATAGAATTTCCAAGCATATTTTCTCCATTCAATTTCTACATTATTTGAGCTTTGTTCTTCTTTTATCAAGAACAGCTTCTCTGTATCCCCCGTCTGAATCACCCTAACGTCATCTATGAGGTTGTAGATGCAAAAGCTTAGCTTTATCAAAACTGGGCATTAATCATTTACCCTGTAAGCTTTAATGCTCTTGAAATATTGATAGATTCCAAGCTTGATACATCTGCTTACAAAACATGACACAGCTTTACTTTTGGTTAATCTAATATCTCCGCAATCATGTTGCTTTTAATTTTCTTATACCGTTTTTTTTCAATCTCATAGTGTATGAATTATCACTGCTTTATCTTTCAGATGAAAGGGATAAATTTATCATTCTTGCGAACATGCATAGCCGTTGCAGAGGAGCGGCCTAGAATTTCTTTGACGCAAACATTTAGTGCTTTGTTTTCATCCCTTGGTTTGTCGCAAAATGCAGTCAGCACATCGTTTGGGTCACGTGTTAACATTGCGATAAGCATGCAGGTATTGGAAGGTTTGCTCAAAAATATCACTGTAAAGCTGATTCGATTTAATGATGTTTGCCTCTTTGCGATATTATATCCAATGGTTGTTTTGCTCCTTGTAAATCAGAATTCGTTTTCTTTCCAGGAAGCGTCTCACCCGGAAGCGTCGAGTGTTTACATTGACACCAGATCACTCCGACACGACAGGTAGAAAGAGATTCCTTAAAACTGTTTTAAGATCAAACTAAAAGAGTTTTGAACCCTTCCCTGAATCACTGCAAGGCGCCAGGGATAGCACCATATCTGTTATTCAGCAAACACAAATTGGAAGTAGTTAACTTTCTTCATTCTTTTCTAGTATTTACTCTATTCAAAGCAAATCTAAGTTAGTTTATTACTGAATTTTATTCTGTGATTTTTTGCCTGTGTTATTGAAGCAATTTTGACAACCTTGACAGTATATAAATTTAGATCGAATCTCTTTCAACTTCGTAGCAGCCTTTGCCAGAGAACCTTGTCATTGTTTCTTTTCATGTTGTTTAAACTGTTGTCTTTACTAATGCAGTCATATTTTGTAATTTAGGATCGCTCAAGTTGAAAGAGGAAGTCCTAACAGTTTGTGTTTGGTCGAATCAGGAAGGGTATGCAAATTTGTTGTTAGGATATTCTCTAGTCTTAAAACATAGTATGTAAGTGTATCATAAATGAATATTTTCGTGAATTTTGTTTAAGCTTTTAATGGATTTTCAACAGAATAAATTTTTCAATTTATTGAATAAGACAGTAACTTCAGTATGATTTCGTTATGATTTCGTTAAGATATGAGAAAAATGTATAACTTATTTTTTATTCATGTATGTGGAGTTGATGAGTAATTGCTCACTTTCAGATTCTTCCTGGTGTCCGGGTTGTTATTGCAAATCCAGAAACCAAAGGCCAGTGTGGTGACTCATCACTTGGAGAGGTACTCGTGTTTACTTGTTAATTCATTTCCGATTTGATTCTTTGCTTTTATATGCATGTATGTGTGCTGCAGTGATTTGCAGGCTCGTTATCAGGTCGATAGACTATGGGGGCACACCATCTCAAAATCAAACTATGATTTTGACATTCGGGGTTAACGTTCTGTTCTACTTCAGTGTCTATATTTATGTCTTGTTTCTACTATTGCTAGTATTGATTTATTCGTTAATGCTTTCCTTCTGCACACTATGATCTTAACTATCGTCAGAATCCCTTTTAATGTATGCAGCAATTATAATCCAATTAACACCGTGTTCATAAATATAGTGATATGAATTTTTCTTGTTTCTAACTACCAAGTATTGATTTTGCGTAAAAGAGAGTCTTCTGGTCCGTTGTGATGTTAATGGATGTCGTCACAGTCTCTGCTTTCCTTCCAGATCTTCGTGTCGTCATCTCATAACGGATCAGGATTTTTCAACGTGAATGACGACGACCGATTGACGCAAGAACACTTCAATGTCTACCTTGCGACGGGGGACATCGCAACCCCTTATGCCAGAACCGGCTACTTGGGATTTATCAAACGAACCGACTTGACGCAAACAGACGGAGGTAATGTTTTACTGACCTTCAATTTTGTATTTGTCTTGTCACTTTATGCTCAATTTTGCCTTTGATAGATATTACGATGTAACTAACTTCAGTATCCCTGTTTTGTAGCCCCACACGATGCTCTGTTTATTGTCGGCTCCCTTGACGAAGCCCTTCTTATCAAAGGACTGCGGTATCACCCAATTGATATCGAGGCTAGCGTTACGCGATGCCACAAAGGAATCAGTGAATGGTTTGTCTTCATAAACTATTGTACAAAATTTAAAAATGGCTTTGAAAAAAACAAACATTCTACAGCACACTGAAATCATTTTCGTCTGATACTCCTCAGAGAATAAAACGTTAGAATAAGGTTCTTAAAGAACAAGATGAAAAATATATAAGCTTCTGAAGTGTTCTTGATTCCTGAAATTAGCAGCTTGCGTCAAGCTATATTCTTCAAAACATGCTTACTTGTGTTTTTGTTGATCTGTTATGTCTCGCATGCCTGTTCTTTTACAACTTAGTTTTTGTATTGATCTGCACCAATTTATAATTGTTATTCGCCAGTATGAAATTCCAGCATTTTCTTATGTCCCATTTACCCTGTTTTGTGTTTTATGACAGTGCTGTTTTCACTTGGACCACTCTTCTGGTTGTTGTTGTGGAGCTGGATGCTGATGAAAAAGAGGCTCTTGATGTTGTTCCCTTGGTAACGAACGTTGTACTTGAAGATCATCAGTTGATAGTTGGGGTTGTTGTTGTAGTTGACCCAGCAGTAATCCCCCTCAACAGTCGAGGTGAGAAGCAGCGAATGCATTTGCGTGATAGTTTTTTGGAAGACAAATTAGATCCAATTTATGTCGCATACCACTTGTAGCGTGTCGTATCTTGTATATTCAATTGTTTTATTTACAAATAATATTTTGTTAGAAAATGACAAGGTAGGCCGCTAAAACAGACACTGAACTTTTGACCAGTTTTTGCATTCGTTCTAATTTATTCACTGTAATTAGTTACGCCAAAATTAAAAGCAAACTAGTTCATGTTGTAGTACTTACCTGCCTAACCCCATTTTGTTTGGTTTCGCAAATTCTTTCAGCTTTGTAAGATGAAAATTTTCTCAAGTCTTATTTGCATAATCTTTTAAAGATAATAATTCCATCTTAATGTGCTAAAACGTAATAAAATTTTAAAATCCCAAAGTATTAAACATTTTCACATTCGTTTTCACTTCACTTTTTCTTAGGCCCATCATGCTTGTGTGTTATTTTTTTAGGTAGCTTATTAAAATTGCTATTGTGTATGTGAATGAAAAATAGTAAGTCATTTCAAAAAGTGAATGAAAAATAGTTTTTGGTGTTTTTTCATGCCTAATATAATAACATGTTATTTTCCACGGCTGTTTTGAGATGCTATCATTGATAATATTATCTTATACATTATCATATTTAGTATGAGCTAGTAAGAAGGGAAATTATTTACAATTTTATTCCCCTGCCTGCGTTATTCCCATGCCTACGTTTGTCAAATTTATACATAAAAGATTTTCATGCTTCGTTTTATCTGTTGTTATAAATTGATATGAAAGTTTATTTCAATTTCAAGAAAAATTGTAATTTTCACGTAGCTGTTTCATTACCACGTGCAAAGATGTAATATTTTGTAAAGAGCTGAAATAATAACTTTATGGAAATCTGGATTACAGTGTTTGTGTGAGAATTCAATTTGTGATTGGCGAACTCGTGTTTCTGACATTAAGTTATTGGAAATGGAGGGGAACTAGCATTTTTGACCAGAAATTTTAGAGACAGTTCTATTGTAAGCTTAGAATGCAGCGCAGTTAGAACCTATCATATCTTATCACAAGCTGCATCTCAATTAATTTTTTTCGACTGGTACTATAAACCAAAAATATGAACTTACAATTTATCGTCTTCTGGAAAATTCCTCGTGGGTAGGTCCCAAAGGTGGGCACGTCCCAAGGGTGGGTAGGTCTCGAGGATGGGTAGGTCCCAAGAAAGCCTTTTTTAATCAGAAGGAAATTATCACTTCAAAGATGCATTCGACTTACGAAACCAAAAGGGTTCTTAATCTACCGGCTTAGACCCCTTGGGCACTTAAGGGGCATCATAGGACTCTCGGGTGTCCCTTCAGGTGACAAACCTATGTATGAATAATGTTTAAGAGTTTCATATTCAAAGTGCGAATAAAGTTGCAATATGTTTAAAAAGTTCATGGATTAATTGAGAAAACAGCATTTTTTGTCGATCATGTTTTTTATATCTGTAAAATGCAATTGATTTTTTCCAGCATTGACTCGAATTGTATGATTTCATTGGTTAACTGTATAATTATGGATTCAAGAACACCGTTATTTCTATGACCCAGATTTCTTCTCAAGAGATAATCGCTCTCTATCAACACCATTTGGTGATTCTTCATCCGTAAAGTCAGTCTACAAACCACTAATCAGAAGTGTTTTCGTAAACGTTAATCTCTTTTGACAAAAATGAAACAAATTTATGAGTTTTGTACGTGAAACAGCAGATGCTTTGTCACCACAACAGCGTTCTTCGTCTGCTCATCATCACCCAAAATTCTACCAAATTTTCTTCTCTGTTGTTCTATGCGTCCCCTTTGTCTGTGACAAAATAGCCTTGCTTTGTATCACGAGGTATATGTCAATTGTGTATTCGCCACCCACATATTTAGGATTTAGTCTTCAAAGAATATATTCTTGTTATCCCCCAGTCAGGATGTAGTTTATTTAAATGTAGTCTCAATCTTTTTAGAGCATAAGTCTGAAACGAGATTAAAGAGCTTGAAAGAAACATGGCAAAACGTTAATGGAATCCGTATGTAGATGGAAACTGCTTTCTACAAGGTCATTTCCTCAGTAAGATTAAAACCATAGAACCAAATCAAAGAACATTTATAACCTGTAAAAAGCTCAATTTCTAAGCGATATGTGGCGTATGCGAGGGCAAGGAGGCACTAATTTGAGTACTTTAATTGCATCAGAGCTTGGAACCGTTGAAGATGTCCACCAGAAATTTCATTTCATAAATAAACAATAACCCAGTTGCTTTAATATTTAAAGACGACTATAAAAATGCGCACATATTAAGCTGTTTTTATTTGCCAATGTTGAAACAAGAGTTAATGAGACAAATTTTGGTGATACCTTGTGAATGCCTATGCCTCACATATCTTGTCATTTTTAACATCATAAAAAGACCCGTCTTTATTTCTGCAACTTTATCACGGTTTTCATAATCCGATCACGTTTCGGATTAACGGAACAGGAATTTCCTATCATACGCTAATGAGGAGTAAGAGAAATACTCGTAGCTCAAAGATGACGGACGAAATCAAGGAGCTTGAGTTGGAAGAGCTGTTCTCCCAAGCCAAAGACAGATATGTTGGAATACCAACTGGTGAAGATGTGTAAGTACGCTTTCTTTGTATTACGTCATTAAAGCATTCAATTGATTTTCTGCTGTATGGTAAGAGCGGGACTTCTTCATGTTTTTCATTGATGTCTTTCGGAGCTAAACGCACTTTCAAATGTTCATCTTTATCATAAATTTCATGCTAAATTCAGGGTAGGAGCAAGGCTGTTTTCTGCTGATTACTCTTACATTTGGTTAGCGACGGTTGGCAATTTACTGAGATAGCAGTTTCATATTTAGCAAAACAGACTATCTTTGGGTTTGAAATGGAGTGGAAATATCTGGTTTCTTTGCTATGATGATGTCAAGAGATATGGGGGTAAAGTTGAAGTTAATGATAGTGTGTTTCATATGCTTCTGGATATGGGATATCCGCTATATGAAGGATGAACTGTTACAAAATGTGGTACCACATAATGGTATGATAGCCATTTTTTTTTATAAGAACCAGTAAATTTCAGTTCAGGCTGACTGTTCTTAATTTTTTCGAAAATCTGAGGCTGGATTGTTCTTAATTTGTTCTTAATCTAATAGGGTGTAAGCAGTGCGAGTGCTGGCTTTTTTGCTCTAGGGAGGTGTTCAGGCCTCATTTACCAACAAAGTGAGTGAGACAACCTTCATTTGCCGAAAAGTTTGAATATTGGACAAAAAAGCACCCACTCATCGCTAAAAATCCTTGATTTTGAGAAAAAACATTGTTCAAAATTGCATTTTGCAGAAGCTCAGCCTCAGCTTGTTCTTAATTTGTTCTTAATTTTTGACCAATTTTGAAGCTCGTGTTCTTATAAAATTGTTCTTATAAAAAAAAGAGTGTAAAAGCAAGCACCTTTCCACGTTTCATTACTTGTCTTCCGCTGTGTTGATGTATTCATCTTGATTTCAAAAATAAACATAAGTATCAAAGCGAATGACAAAAACGTCCCTGAAAGATGCTCTAGAGGTGTATCTAGCATGAACCCCCCTACCCTGGGTACCAGACTCACTATATATGAAAGCGAGTCTGGTTCCCAGGGTAAAACCCCCCAACCCCCTAACCCCCCATGTAGTTGCAGCAATGCTGCCTTGGTATTCAAGAAAGAATCATTCCAATGATAAATTGAAAGAGCTGGTGGTAGTGATTAGAACCTTTCCACGTTTCATGTGACTGGTTAGATGATAAAGTGACTGGTTAGATGGCAAATATTCATTACTAAGCTTGACATTTCCATGTCCATTAAACGTTAACAAGCAGGTTACTGTTTGTTTTTTATATGGTTATTGTCTCTTCAGATGTTGTTATTGATTTGAGTCTCGTTTTGGTTTCCCCGATTCCCCAATTCCCGACTTTTAATCTGTTTCTGAATATGCATTTCATTTAGATGCATCTCTTTTTCCGGTTACCATCTTTCCTTCTGGCGTTGGAAGGTACACAACATTCCTCCGCTGCAATTTCATTGTGGACATCGGAGGACCAAGTGAATGAGCTTACGAACGTACTTGCCTGCCTCACCTCTCCACCCTTATCGTACATCTATTGCTCAAAGGTTCTCAATGACTGTGGAATCAAGTGGGTTGACTTCTTTTGGTGATACTCTTCAGGATCTCCATACTGTCGCGTACTCCATTAACAAATACATCGTCTATGTTTCTAGTGATGGAAGGAGCTGTTATTAAAACTGCATTTTAAAGGTTTAATCTTCTACTGTTTTGCAGAGTACTAACTCCAACTGAAGAAGTAATTCAAAGAATTCAGTCGAATCCTTCGGTGCAGGGATTTCTGATCGTCGATTGTAAAGGAATTATAAAAAGATCGTCTGTGGATCTGGCGCGCGCAATAGACTACAAAGTCGCCACAAAAAAGCTCGTTGCTGCTGCGAGATATGTGGTGAAAAACTTGGACCCGCGGGATGACCTCAAATTTTTGCGAATAAGAACGAAAAGCACTGAGATAATGTTGGGGCCTGAAAATGGAGACACGCTAGTGGTAATACAGAGCCTGCCAAATCCTTACAGCAAGGAAAGAAACGAAGATGGGCTCAAGAAAGAAAAATAGAAGTCTGCAACAGCTCAGCTTTGCTGTGAAGAATATAAGTAACACGAGTAAATCGAGAATGCATTTTGCCTAAGAAACGTGGTTGGCACTTTTGCAGAATGCATTTTGCCTAAGTTGTTTAATGTAGTGGAGAATAGCTTCCAAGCAGAATACTTGAGATTCGAGCCTTAATTGAAATAAGTTTGCAATAGGTCGATTACTGATCATTGACGTCATTCCTGTCCAGGCTCCTCTTGAATAATTTTTCCCTAACCACACCCATCCTTCCTGAACGCATATGTATGCCCAAGCTTAACTTTAGATGCACACAAATAAATTGATGATAGTTGCGCTACCATTAGTAACACTTCATTTGAAAGAAGGGTTCCGAATCAATTTTTTTCGATTTTATTAGTCTCAGATTCAATTTAATTATCATTATTTAAATTCCTCAATTCACAAAAGCTTATTTGATAACACAATTTTAAATTTAACTTTAATGCATTTATATTTTATGTATGTTGTTTATGGTGGCCACAGCAGAAAAAAGAAAAATCCATCCATTTTGCTGCTGCAAATCCAGTGAAAAATACTTTTGTACTTCAGATTTGAAAAGCTGACATAAGAAATGAAAAAGAATTTTAGTGAGAATGTCTCATAACACCACATTGTCGCGAATGAACACCTCAGCCTGCGTTAGCACTTTTGATGACACGTCCATTTATAAATGATGCGTTTCCTCAAATGAACGTCAAAATCAAAAACAAAAGTTTTTATTTACTTGGCTATACACCCTCTCATTATAAAGAAAAAACCTGTCTTTGTTGAAGCTATAATCACAAACTTGCTTTCAGGCCCCTCTCTTCTTGGTCTCTCTCTCTTTTTAAATGACAGGGCTTTGCTATAAGTCTCCTTGTCTCTCCTTAACATTACCAACTAAATGAGCCATGAGTACTGCAGCTTTGCAGGAAACATGAAAAATCGAGAATCGTTACAAGTGAGCGAGATGTAAAGAGAATGGACAGAGAGGATAAAACTATAATGCCTCTTTTCCCTTTTATTTTTTCCGTTTCCTTTCTGGTTTTCTAGCCTATTTTTCTAGATCAAATCTGATAGTAACAGCCTCGTTCTTATTCAAAACAGGAAAAAAATCTACTGCTTTTCTGAATATCAAAATTTGATATCTTTTTTACAGAGGTGCTGTAAAGAACCCATTTTAGGTTCAGAAAGTTGTGGAGTGATTGAGATTAAGGTTGCAATGATACGTTTTGTGGGTTCTGGCCGATGCTTATCAAAATGAGAGAGAACTTTAATGCAAGATTTGTCCGAGGGGCAAATCACTCCAAGAAAATCCCGTACACCTTTTGTAAAAATCCTATTGTTTTATCTGCAAATCCCCAGAAATCTTTCTGTTTTAGGGAAAATCTCGTGCGCTATTTGCAAGAGTGAATTGCCCCTCGGAATTGTCTGCATGAAATTTCAGATGTGAAACAACAGACCCTGCGGAGGAACAGGCATGGTGGAGAGGAAATGGTAATAAAATCAAGCCAATGTTCAATGGTTCAATTAAACATCTGCCTGTGCAAATTTGACAGGTGAACAAATTGTGTAGTTCTCCTTAATTGTTGGGCCTGCCACTGAAAGTAGAAGGCGGTTGTAGCTGTCTGGTTGTTGATAGAGATGGGCAAGTCAAACAGCAAAGAGAAAGTGCAAGTTCCAGCAAATAAATTGGTACCATGCTTTGATTTGAAAGTGGAGCAAGAAAAAACGAACATTGGGTTTATTTCTCTTGAGAATATTTGCATTAATGGGAGGAACGTGACAGGTATTATTTCCGTGGAGAACTTTGATCAAAACGAGGAAAACTGGGAGGTGAAGGTTCGATTCACTTTGAATTCGTGGAATTCGTACAACGATGAAGCTTGTGAATGTGTCGAGGAGGAACCAGACTCGAAAATGGATGATCGGAAGCGATTCAAGTTTGTAATAAACGTGCCCGTTGGCATGACTCTCGAATGTGCGATTTGCTGTGGAAATGCAATGAATGGGACTGAGTTTTGGGATAATAACAACGAAAAAAATTATAAATTTACTGATATGGTCTCGTCTGTGTCATAAAGACTCGGGAATGCTGAAAGTTTGGCTTCTTTCAGCAAAGTGAGACTCAGCAGTGGATGATGAAATCTTCGCTTTAAAGTGGTAGGCCCGTTGCTGTCTTTTGGGAGAATTCCAACCATAAAAAAAATTGGACAAGAATATGACTTAACTTTTGCTTAATTGCTTTGAGCTGAAAAACTTTACATTAATGCAAGCAAAATTGCAGCAGCCATAAACTATACACGCTCACTCACGGTACGTAGAGATCAAAGGTGAAAGGCCATGATTCTTCTTTCCTACGACAAAACACGATTATACCTGCATTCTTAGCATCAGCCAAGACAGGGCCTGTCGTCTTTGACTTAAAACTGCAAGATCATGTCATAATTTGTTGTTTGTTTTGTTTTGTTTTGAAACCAGACAAAAGAATTCGTAAAAGTCTAGACAAGACAACTGAGAAAATCATCCTACCTTGAACATTGTATTTTAGCAATGCTGTTAGCGGGAAATTGTAATATTGCTTGAGTTACAAAATAAATTTAACTAGGACTGACTATGTTTCTATCATTCTTTTGCTGTTATGCTACGTCAGTAAATTTTAAAGCACAAAGATGTGATTGGCCTATTCTTTATTGGCTTTGGGTCTATCGCAGTCCTGGTCAATCTTTGTCAATCTTTAAAATTTGTTTAAAAAAACTCTCTATAAGGAACTGTAGCTAAGAAAGTTTCAGTACTGACTCATAAATTAGGAAAAAACTTTCTAACTATACAGTAGTAGTAAACCTTCCTCCTGGAAGGAATCATTCCCTGTGCCATTAAAAAGGACGACCATATGCATTATAATCAGATAATACAAATTCAGTCTGGGGTGCTATCTTATTTATAAATACAGGCCCGCTGGAGCCAGGGGGCTGGAGGGGGCTGCAGCTCCCTCACTTTTTGCTGGAATATGATATCAATGTTGTGGCATGAAGTATAATGGTGGAAAACTACCACAAAAGTTTGCTTATTTGTCTAGAGCCCCCTAGCCCCAAAATGTGTTCCAGTGTCCATGTAATAGTCGAATTGCACTGAAAAATCGTATAGCAGTCAGTTCTCTGTTCCAGTTCTCAATATTATTCTGTTATTTCAAAAATTAAGAAACCTTTTAGAAACTGCGAGTAGTCAATTCCGTTAAAAGTTAGAAAACTTCAGTGCCGAAATATTTTTTAAGTTTCGTACATATAAAAATAAATGGAGCCTGTAAAATTATTTGAAAGGTACAATAGGGATTTTTTCCAATTGAAGATTTGATAAACAAAATTCTCTGCAGCTAACTGCGCGTGGGCAAGTACTCAGAATTTCCTGTTTCGGACTTTTCTGTCTTATTTATGAAACTAACTCTGCTTAATCACTCTCAACTGGTACTGGACAGGAATCTTGTGCTCAACTTTTTCAATTCCGTCCATACTTGTCAGATTATCTGTTTTTGGTAAGCATGGGTTCATCAAAAAGCAAAGAAACAGTGCAGACCCTGTGCTTCATCCTTGATTCAGAACAAGGAAAAGGGAAAGACAGATTCATTGCTTTAGAGAATTTTAGCATTCATGGGAGAAAAGTAACAGGTATTGTTTTTATGAAGAACTTTGATCAAAACGAAGATAAATGGGAGGTGAAAGTTCTTTTCACCTTTAATTCTTGGGAATCGTACAGTGACAAGACCTGTGAGTGCATTGAGGACAAAAAAAAGACCAAAATGGATGGTATTAAGCGATTCAAGTTTGACATCAACGTGCCAGTTGGTAATTCTCTGGAATATGCGATTTTCTGTCGCAATGCAAAGAGCGAATTTTGGGATAACAACGAGTACAAGAACTATACCTTCTCTGAGTAACTTGTTTATGTCGCACACACAAGTTACATGATGCTGAGACTTTTTCATTTCAAAAGGCATTTGACACAAAAAAAGATGTAGAAAATATTTTTAAAGACTCATTGCTAACACCGAGCCTTTGCGGTACGCGAGCATCCCATAATGCATTTTCAGACAGTCTGAAATCAATTTTGGTTAATCTGTAGAAGTTTACTGCCATTGTTTGGACCGTCGCCACGCTCGCAAAGGCACATTGTCAGCAATGAGTCTTCAATAAAGGAAGCTGCGAAAATAACCCATTGCCTTACGTGATATTTACGTGATAAAAAACCAACAATGATCTTTCACACGATAAACACAAAGTACATTATGATGTAAAATCTCGTAAAAAATGGCCCGGGACAAGTTGCAAGTGCCCACCCTGTTTCAATAAGTTCAAAAAATTTAACATTCTTTTACACGTTCTCTATACACATTTCCATTTTTTAAAAACTTTTGAAGAAAATTCGAAAACCTGTCAGCCCTGTGATATCAGACCCACTGCTCCTTTGGTTTGTTACTGCCACGCCTCCTGTTGCTTAGCCATTTTAAGCTACATGTACCAATTTTGTATTCTGTTTTACTTTGTAATTGTTGCTCTATCTCTTAGGTACGAGTCCAAAGACAAGAATAAATGCTTCTACACCTGGAGATGACCTCTCCTCTCTAAGAGACTCCCGGCTAGATCTTAGGGTATATTTTGCAGGAAACTCACTATCATGCACACAATATAATGTTTCCAAGCCAGTGCCCAGGCTCTATTTCTACATTGACTAGCGTCAGTCCAACTTCACTTTTATCATATGATTGCAAAATTACAAGCTTGTAGCGAACACTTTCTTAACATAATTGAATTAAATGTAAATGTACTACTCAATGACTTTTTGTGTTGAATAAGGGTTTAAAAAGACAAAACCCGTTCATATGCACACGAACTTGCAGTTTATCATCTTGCTTCATTCTATTTTAGTAAGTAACTGTGAGTTTTGTTTCTTATAGCCAATAAACCACAGAATCTTGTATGATTTTTAAAATTTCTACGGATAAAACATGACAGTGCCACTCAAGGGCTGTTCAGAATCGCCCAAATAACACAAAGTTTCTCGATAAAGACATTCACTTTGTTTTCTATAATGGCTACCTAGGCCAGGAAGGCTTCGAAGCAAGATAAGATACAATGCGACCTAACTAAATATAATTACAAAAATAGAGAAAATGTCAGTCTCTGATGCGAAATAATGAAGCAGGTCGTTCTGCTTTAAACACTACAAGTATCGCTCTTTGAGTTTGGTACAGGCACCGCGCACCATTCAAAAAGTGGGTGGGTTGACAAGGGCGTGGCTGAGAATTTTTTAAGGTCAGGCCCTTTAGGATGTCGGAAAACGCCCCTTTTAAAAAATACTTGCTTCTTTCTACTTATTGTCTATAAACAGTCCAATTCAGATAAGATATCAATTGCTATAAAGATAGATTAGCAAGATAAGACACCAAGAAAATGAACCAAAAAGGGCTCCTAGTCAAGACGAACTGCGACTTCACTTGGGATCCGTTCCGTTAGAGTAAGCTTTCCAAAATTGTGTTGAATAAACTTTCTAAAAATTTCTAACCTATTATTGCAAAAAAGTAGGGGGGGGCTATAGCCCCTGCTAGCCCAATGGCTGCGCGGTGCCTGCTTTGGTAGATCGATATCAATGTTTTAATGATTTTTATATGTTTATATGTGTATGTAGGGAGCTGGTCCATAATTGTCAAACTTACTTAGATTTTTTACATAAACTCAATTCCAACTTGAGCAAAAATTAATGAATATATTAGAGAAGCTACAGGGGAGAAAGATGGTGCTCCCAATTTTCCCAAGACCTCTATACTTTGCTACAAATCGCCCAAATTACATCTTAAGAGCAATCGAACTGAAGATATAGGTATGGTGGATCACTTTACTACCTCATCTTTGGAAGCTGGAAAAATAATGCAAAACCACTTGCAAAACGATCAGCATGTAAAGCTCCCAGGGGCGGTGCTGATTAACGGCCAGGGGCGGTGGCTTAAGCAATAACTGTATTAAGACTCGTGGGTGTCCTAAGTAACAACCGATTTTGGCGCACCCTTTCAACAATGTTCCATTCAAATCACATTGTTGACCTGTTGCCAAGACTTCGCATAAATTCAAGAATATTTTCATAACAACATACAATGTGGAGTGATGGAGTGAGCTGAAGGGGCTGCAGCACCCCAAATTTTCTAATAAGTAAACAGTTTCCAACTTTAATGATAAATTCTACTAGGGTTTTTTGTTAGCCCTGCCAGTCTTTTTCGAGACAACAACAAGAACCACCAATCATAACACATCATAAAACGTAACAACAAAAAATGATGCAAATGTTATGGGGGCAGCAACAATCTTTTCTCCCAAAATATATTTTGATTCAATCTTTGATCCTGCGTGAAAAACGTTCATAAGGTTAATATATGGGTTATTTTCAAGTGAACTTTTTCCGTTTTGCTAATTCTATATGTTTCATAATATTTCATTTTATTATATATTTCACATGTTCTTTTTTTGATAAAGATCCTTGATAATCTAATAAGTATGGAAAATCTAAAGACTATAATTGGAAAATAAATGATCAGTGTAAGAATGACATAGCGATTGCTGATCTTCCGGGATGTCGTGTTTTTCTCAGCTCAACAAATGTTTTTAAGTTTCTTTTTAAATTGGCTTAAGGTAGGGAGTTCCAATCTATTCAAGGTTCTAAGAGCACCATATGACAACTGCGTTCGGATTATTGCTCAGTCCTCGTGCTCAGATTTTCCTGTTTTGGCTCGGCTCGGTTTGTTTTCAACTCTGTTTACGAAACTGACTTTCTGTTTTGCTATCTAATTGTGTTAGTCCTTCAGAATTCTTCCCGTTAAAATTTGCATCTGTTCACATTTCTCACACCAACTCCTGCTTCTGGCAAGCATGGGTTCATCAAAAAGCAAAGAAACAGTGCGGACCCTGTGCTTCAACCTTGATTCAGAACAAGGAAAAGGGAAAGACAGATTCATTGTTTTAGAGAATTTTAGCATTCATGGGAGAAAAGTAACAGGTATTGTTTCTATGAAAAACTTTGATCAAAACGAAGATATGTGGGAGGTGAAAGTTCGATTCACTTTAAATTCTTGGGATTCGTACAATGACAAGACCTGTGAGTGCATTGAGGACGAAGAAAAGACCAAAATGGGTGGCATTAAGCGATTCAAGTTTGAAGTCAACGTGCCAGTTGGTAATTCTCTTGAATATGCGATTTTCTGTCGCAATGCAATGAATTCAATTGAATTTTGGGATAACAATGACTACAAGAATTATAAATTTTCCGAGTTCTCCCTTGTCCTCTATGAAAGAAACCTCTTGCTGAGAGGTGGTGAAGGTGTCATCATGTTATTTGATCAAATATGGAACTTCTGCCATTTCTTGGCAGAATCATTAATGGACAAAGCTTTCAAAATGACAACTAAAGATTGAATACATGCTGAATTAACTGTTATGTTATTGGGTTCATAAAGCTTCTAATACTTTAGCTTGGTGTTTATTGAAGAGATACGTTAATAGATTGAGTTTGCCAAACCCTTGCTGTGTATCTGTAACTGTTTTTGGATCTTTGACTTGATATGCAAGCCCTCAAGCAAAAAAGCAAAGTTGCAGTTCCCCTTTTGGTTTTCTGCAAGTATTGATTTTCCTCGCACTTCTTGTTAAGTCCGAAATCACCCACCAAGCATGCACCAAATGCCAATGAAGATTTAAAGAGTAGAGCTTTGAAAAGTTTTTCTCGGCAGTACCTCGAAATTATAGAAGAATTCACCTATATGCCTCTATCTTTAATTGCAAAGCTAGACGAATCAATGTCCTACTTAGTTTTACTTGTTGAATGAGCGTTAATATCTCATAGTTGACTGTGTCATATCACCAAACCCATCACAATTAAGAGCCTGGAACAGTCCTTTCATTTCATCTCTTTTAAAGTCGCTTGTAATTGCTGTTTTTATAACAAACTAAATATTTCTATAATGCTCTATATCTAAGATGGTGTTAGGGCTTGTTTTAATTGATAAAGTTATAAACAGGGGCTTGTTCTATGCTGTTCTAGCTTTTACAGGCATACTGGAACACAATGTTGTACTGTACTGATCCTCTTTTTAAAGAAAATGCCCGAAGTAGATGCTTGGGCTCTAAAAGGGCAAAATCTTGTCCCTATGGCATAAATACGCTTTGGTACAAGATACAAGAAAAGCATTCTATATCAAGGTTGTTGGTACAAAATCGAAAAAAAATCAGTGTTATTATAAAGTCTATCAAAAAATAAATCTATAGAAGAAAAATTCCCAGCAGCAAACATTGTGGAAAATGAAGCTTTGTACAACGATGACCATTTTTCATAAAATCTACCCTAGTATGAACAACAAACTCTAAGATAACCAAATATGGGTGTCTGGCCTGTCAATTAAAAAAAGTGTTAAAAAACTGTGACAAATCTTTGAAAAATATATGTTGACTTCGGCATGCTGAAAAACTGTTTAATTTGATCGTTTTATTTTTTTCGAAAATTGTCCCTTAAATGTTTGCTTATTTGAATATTTGCTGCTTTTGTTTAGCTTTAAAGCCAGTGTGAACGTGAAATATGTTATTGCCACAAGCATTCAATTTGAATTTACGGTTGAACAAATACCTGTCCTTTAGAAAGAGGTTCCCAACAAAGAGACCGTACTCTCATCTGAGACAGAATGCGTGATTAATTTGCGCTGTTGAATATTGGCATTGCATGTTCGGTTTAAAAACTTATTTTCATTATGAGTATACAGCGTGGTTTTTGTATTCTTAGATTGTTCTTGACATATAAAAGTTGTATTTTGCAATAATTTTCATTATCTCGTCAAGTCATACTAATTGGGCCTAATGTTTTGTTTTATCCAAACTAAGCTCTTTCTTATGAAAATCTTAATATGGTTAAACTAGAATTCACGGTCCCAACCCGCTGATAAGAGCAGAATGCAAGAAGGGCACTAAAATAGTCAAGCAAGCTTTACATACAAACTAAAATTCTCAAAAACATTTTCCATTATTTCACTGAACTTTATGAACAAGGCTGTACTGCGTAGTTTGTTGAATAAACTAATGATTAAAAATTCCCAGTGCACAACTGAGGCTCGAGAGTCTCCCAAGAGAATATGGGAATGCCCCCAAGGAATCACATACCGTGCAGTTGCTCCTCTGACGATGCAATTGAGTGAATCAAAGTTAATATTCCTTTCTCTGAAATTAAATCAACTTTTATTGTTGAGTAGCAGCGAGTGGCAGCGAGAGGGTGAGTTTTTGAAAACTGTTTCATAAGTCACTTAAAGAAGAATAAAAGCTATCAAATTTTAATTTCCGAATAACAACAAAACTAAATAAACATTCATTGTTAAACAGTCACTTCATAATTCTTGCCAAAGTTGTTGTCCCATTCGTCTTTTCCCTCATGATTCCAGTTAATTGCAAAAACCAACTTCGCTTCTTTTGGCACATTAAAGTTTACCATATAACAATCGTAACCGCGCTCAGGAGCTTGATCCAATACTTCAGTATCTTTGACGCTAGCAACATCTGAAAACGACTCCCAATTGTTCAGTGTGTATCGCACAACCGGTGGGGTTCCAAGACACTTTTTAGTAGCAACTTTTATGTTTACCTCCCCATTCTGAGCAGATGCGCTTTTTACACAAACGGATTTCAACTGGACAAATTTCGCAAATGCGACGTGCTTTGGTGTTAAGAATCGAGGAATTAATTTTCCTGGTTCATTTTCCTTCTTCCAATTTTCAACAAAATAGTTCTTCGTATCATTGTTATCCCAATAAGTTTTGTTTTCAACAAAACATTCGATTGCAAATTCGATCGACTTTGCAAATGGAACGAAAAGAGAGAAAAAGAATCTTTGCCCATGAAAATCGTTGATATTGTAAGAGGATGAAAAAGGAATCGCTTCCTCTTCCGCTTTGGATTTCCACGAATCTGTTGTGCACATTACAACCACTTTTGAAGGCTTTTGATCACCCGATAATGCAATTAGGCCGTTGATTTCCCTGCCACAAATTTTTATATCTTCCAGCAAAATTGTTTTATTTAAAAGTTGGTCCATGAAGATGTTCTCTTCAAAATCAATCACGTTTCCAAAGGTTGTTAGGGACTTAGAATAACTTTCCATCTTCTTGCATAAAACCTGCATCTTTTTCTCCTTGGCATCCAGTTCGTCTGGCTTTCTCTCTAATTCGGTCTCATTCTTGGTTTTTTCCGTAGCAACTATTCGCCCATTTTTAACCTCATGCAACACCTTTACTGAATTAGAAGCACTCTCTGCCTTTTCGATGCCTTCTTTTTTCTGTTCAACTTTCTCTGATTTTTTAGCTTTCTCTTCTCTTGAATCTTGGCTAGCTTTATCTTTCTTGTCGTCTTTAATTACAACTTCTTTCTGTTTACCGTTTCCTTTGAAGGCTTTCTCGTCTTTATTTTTTTGCAAAACAGGCTTTCCAGGTTCGGCGCTAGCTTCCTTTGTTTTTGTTTTCTGTTTATCAACTTTAAGTGCTCCATCTTTCTTCTCACTGGCCTGGTTCTCCTCTGCTAACTTTAGGCCATTCTCTTTCGCCCCTTCGCCTGTTTTTCGATCAGCCTGCTTGGATTTCTGATCGTCGTCTTCATCAAAAACCACCCAACTTGTTGTTAACACACCACTTCCAGCATCGTTGCCATTTCCCTTGTTCTCTTCAGGTTTACATGAGTCCTTTGTCACTTCTTCGGGTTTATCATCTTGCTTTTTGGAGTGATTTAAGTTCTGATCATTCGATTCGTTGGCCTGAATATTGTTGGCGGGTTGTTTACTTTTGGCCTCCTTCTCTACTTCTTTCTCGTTTGCCGACGGCGCGTTGTCTCCTTGGTCTTTAACTGGGGTTTTTGGTGCCCGTCCTTTCCCAGTGTCTTCCTTCCCTATTCTCTTCTGTCCCATGCAATTCCCCATTTTTCTTGCGACAGTCCAACTGCCTTCACTAACTGCAGCAAGAATACCTTGGATTGCACTGGGATCCTATTTACGCGGCACTAAGAAACAATCTCTGGTATTTTTATTCAAGCTGTGAAAAAAATTTAATGCCTTTCTAACAACAGCAAGAGTCTGCAGCGTCCCGAAAAGCTCTTCTGGCCTTTCGATATCAACTGAACTGTTTGCTGGCTGAAGCAAGCAAACAGGTTGCGATCCTGGTACATTAACGCCGATCGTGTGGCGAGACACGAAACTTATGCTTGCTTAATTGCTATTCTATTTACAAGTCTATATTCATCTCTGTAAATCCACCACCACGAAATCTCATCCTGTTATTCAAGTGCTTTGTTCAATGCAAATACAAACAAATAAATCACAATGGGGCTCCAAATCCAATTGATTCCAATCAATACCATATGTAGCGTGGTATATTGCCCATATTTGAATCAGCGTGCTTTTGTCTTTTTGCATCGCTGGGTAACATCACAGAACATGATTGAATCGAAACAAATGCAGAATTTCCCGTCAATGTCCTGTTCGCGTTAAAAATAGGTCATGCGGCATTGTTTAGAAACCAGGGCCCTGATTGGGATGTGTAACAATAGCCTATTGTATATCCTATCCAATAATAATTTAGATCACAGCCGAACATCAAGGCACATGAAATGAAAAGACCTGGAAATATTTCATCCTAGCTTCATTGGGAAGGCCGGCTGCATCGTTTTCAAATTTGGGCTTGATAAATTGTTTGCTTTTTCTTCTACTTTGCCTATCCCAATTCTATCACGATATTCGTGACCAATCTACATATGCCATTCGGAGGACACAATAGCTAGCAGATTATTGCATTATTTTCCTTTCAAATTTCCAATATATTCTAATTGAATTTTAGACCCATTCTTTTCAGGCTACCAATCCTGTTGTCTCCTATGCAAATTTTCGAATTTCATCGTCGTGATGTGATTTGAATTAGTATTGTCACTTGATTCAGATGATGTATCCAAATTGGAGTCTTTTTCAGCAGAGGTTCCATTCTCTTTCTCACCTGTTTGCTTTGGGAAAACTATCAATAGTTGATAATCATTCTAAGCTTTAAGTCATTTTCTTTTTGTATCTTCTTTCTGGGCGGTGTCAATGTGTGTCTCTACCATTTTATATCCTTCCAAGTACTTCCAAGCGGCATCAGGTAAAATCTGCATCATTTTAATTACAGGGCCAAAAAAATTCATCAAAATTTAGCATTGCCACCAATATGCAATTTGTGTTGTGTTCATCTACGATATCGAAATATCTTCATTTTGCTGTTTATTAAGCATTTGATGCTCTCGTTTTCACTTGTTTGAAATCCCTCTTTTCCTTGCCAGTAAGTTTCGATTATTTTTCCGGTTTGGTAACGGTTGGTGAACTTTGATATAGTACAAAGAGATAAGACTAAAATGAAGTAAGTTGGTGCATGATCCAAACAGTTCTGTAATATTGAAATCTCATCAAATCTCTGTTTTAAACTGAAACCATTTGGACGTACAGGTTTCATAAAAAGTAACTCAAACATTGGCTATGGCAACCTTATATTGCAATTATCAAAATATTTATCAAATTTCTGTGTAGGGCAAAGAAAAAGTGCTAGAGGTCATGATGGGAAAAACATGAAGTTGTCATGATGGGGGAAACCATGATGTTTAGATTTTCAAAAGTCTTTAACCCTATAGCACTTATTTCATGACCATTGCTTTGAGCCTTTGAGCCAATCGAATCTCTGCCAGTCACGAAAACGATTACCCTGGGTACCAGACTCACTATGTATAAAATAAAATAGACTCAACTATATAATATTATTTTATAAAGTGAGTCTGGTACTCTGGGTAGAAAACGATTGGAGCTCGTTACCCTTGATGCTACAGCCTCGGAGGACCTGAAAGCAAAGAGAAAAGAAAAGAGATTCTGTTCCTCTTGGTGTAACCTTCTCTTAACTGGGCTCAAATGAAATGTCATTAGAAGCCTCTGATTGATTTCATTGATTCTAGAATATAGATGACGTAACGTCAGTAAACGTTAGGAATGATATACCTTAAGAATCATATCAGTTAACCGCTGCTGTAGTGAAAATAAATACGCCTGCTTGGTCTGCAACCATTGGTTTCCTTTTAGTTGATATTTGTATCAGCTATTTGTTTATATAAGTACAAGGACGTAGTGTCTTGGAAGGCTATTTGCGTACCAAAAATTTGAAGGGGCACAAAATTAAACCAATGTCCAACTACTGGGCATTACTTGACAACAGATATGATTGTGACCCCAACACGTCTTCATTTGTTTGAAAGAAAGAAAAGCCAAGTCAGTGCGAAAGGTTGAAAAAACTGGAAAAATCATTGATGCTGCCGTTCAGGAATTTATTCAGGAACGTTTTCAATAAGCCTGAGCCCCATTAAAAAACTAGTGCTTTTCATTTTGTGTAAGATATCTCATTACGCGAAATTACGGGTGTGACTAAGGAATTCCACTTTTAAATTTTGCATCTCCTTAATTCAAAATTTAATAACAAACTCCTTAATGAATGCAATTAATGGCATTTTTGAGCAAATTCCTTAATTAATTCCTTAATTAATGTGGATGAAGGCAATTAATTAAATAATTCCATAATTAATCTAACCTGATTTTTTATTTCTTAATTAGTTCGCACCCGTAATTTCGCGTTATAGGGTAGAGCTCTTATGTGTGAAATATAGAAACAGAGTCTTTTGAGCACGCAACCTGAAAGAATACCATCAATTACCTCTAAATGTGCAAAAGCAGTTAAATAAGTTAAATATTAGATGGTAAATGGCCATTAAAGTCTGCCAACGGTTTACTTTTTTTAAGAAAAGAAGTACGCATGAGTCTTAGAGACTCGAACGAACTTTTTTTGACTAGCTTGGATCAAGAGCAAGCAACAGTGATCCGATGAGAGAGCCACTTCTCAGCCAATCTTTACATTTAACTCATCTGTATAGGTATTTCTGGGCTAATATCTTGATTCTTTTTCAGGTTTTGTGGTCCAAACTCAAAAATTCTAAAAAACACTGTTATGACGTCATCGCACTCAAGAACACTGTTGCAACCGCCCTGCAAATGGAGCTTGATCGCGGGGTATGTCATTCAACGAAAATCTCGTACACCTTTGGCAAAAATTCTTTTGTTTTGGAGATAAACCCACCATGATTTTTAGATTTTCTTGCTTACTGCAGAGTAGTTTTCGAGAATATTTTCTTTTAAAAATTTTGAAAAACGTGCAGCAATTACACTTCAAGCCCTTCATGTAAAGACCTGCTTCATAGAGGCTGTTGATTGACATGGTATTTAATAGCCCGTTGGTATTTAATAGACGTTAATTTGCTGACCTCAACTTCTGGGGTAAGCAGCTAAAAATTTCTCTGTACCTAATGAATCTCTGAAAATACGAAATCATGCTAATAAGAATAGCTTCATGTCCCGAACAGGGCATAAGTGGCCTTGTGTTCATCATATTTTTATGGCTACCTAATCAATGTAAATTATTGGTTTTTCCTCTTTCACTTATACAGTAATCTTCCTTGTCCATTGGACACACTGCAGTGCTGTCGGAACACGAAATTAATATTGGGGGGCTGCCCATTGTTTTCCTTCTCATTCAGTACACTGTTTTAAAGGAAACATACTACAGTCTGAAAATTATTGGGCAGCCCCCCCAATATTAGCAAGGGTAACAAGCTCCAGCCCCCCCCAGCCCCCCGGTTCCGACGGGCCTGCACTGTCCCTTGAAACAGGTCTCTTGGCGAACCATAGTGCCTTTTTTGGTATTATTGCATTCCCCATGTGTCAACTTCAGGGTCAGTTTCCATAATGATCCATGATGAATGAAGTTTTAAAGAAAGAGATAAAAAATCAAGCAAACAGAATTTTTAGATTCAATATGGCAAGCTATATACAGCTGGTTCCCTCTAGCGAATTCTACTAGAATGGATTTTTATTTATACTGACTGCAACAGATTCTATTCTACACAATTCTAATTAATACAGACTATTACAGCTCAACAAGCCCAATCATTCTTTAAAGCATAAATTTAACCCAAATTATATTTCTATTGAAAATAACGACTCGACTATGCTATCAAGCTCTACACACTCATTTTTCACAAGAAAATTTAATATAAAAATTGTTGTAGGGTTTCTTAATTTCTACTCTGGCTACCAGACACATAGTTCAAGTGCAGGTAAAAAATATTTAGCCTGCACGGACTCAAAGTCTCTTTCCCTAACTATGGTATGCTTCCAAAAGATTTTTAATTGGAGGATATTCAAAAGCAGGGAATTATGAAGGGAGACTGCTCAACTTGGCGGGGTTGCTGTCCGAATTTCCTTGTTTTCAACACTTAATGCCCGAAAAACCAAGAATATGGGACACAGAAAAAGATGCTGATTAAACAACTTGATCATATAACACTGGGGGTTTAAGTTCCTTCCCTAGCAGAAAAATAATTTTGCAAATGGAAGGGGGCTTGGCCAGCTAGTAGCCAGAGGTTTAACGTATTTCAAGCTATCAAGATACGAAAATGATTTCAAAACGAATTCTGCATTGTTAATTAATCTAATTAATCTGAGGTCTAACCCCTCTAAACATAAAAATACCGACTTCAGGGTCGTCCCTAGCTACTGTGCCCAAGGGTGTCCAGTTCGAGCCAGTCCCATTTGCCGACAAATTTGGCGAGCTATCCTTTATTTACTTTGCTGACAAGGCACCCACAGCTGGAAGAAATATATTTTTTTTTGAAAAGGATTTCCGAAAAGCTGTGTGACAACCTTGAGCACCCCCTTCCCCCACCCCTCTTCCTACTCAAATAGCTACGGCCATGGACGACTTTTTCAAAACAAATTCAGAGTTGGACTCTTGCTTGTATCATGACGAAGCACACATTCAAGCCTCTCTAAACATTTGTTTTAAACAAAGTAACTGTAAGTGGCGCAAGTCAAAAGTTTAATATCCCATTTTTTATTTTTAATCAACTTACAAAACGAAAGATACTGTGATTTCTTAATACAGTGGATTTCTAAAACTTTATCTCGCAAATCCTCAGCATACTAACAGATCAACAGCAAAATGAAACCAAAGACGCTTAGATTTCTAATACGCCTTTTTGTCTCTAAAAATATAACCCTTATTCAAAATCTGTCCTTTAAAACAAAGAATAATTCTAAAAATTAAACAAAGCCATTGAATAATAAACGATCAACTGTCAAAGCAGAAGAGATATTTCATATCAGTACTTCTCATCTATGATTTATATTTACAGACCTACGTTTAGTCTAGGCAAAGCCAGATGTAGTAGATAACTTAAAGCATCCACTGTCTTCATCCACTGGCAAAAAAGAAACAAATTTCAAGTAGTCGCAAACATGGGGGATGTTTCCAAACCCTTCCGAGTAATGTTTTGCTACGTCATAAAGCAAAGTGCAGGCCCACAAAGAGACTGACTACACTTGTTTTCGACGAAGATCACACCCTTTTTTATAAAGCGATTTTATGTACACGAGCCTCAGAATTTCCAACCAACAATCCCTTAAGTTCCTGTATTTTCAAAAAATGGTGCCCTCAATCAATTAATCCTTTGTACGGCACAGCTGATAATCATTATGATTATGATGAACATTTACTTTGATTAATTTTATCTCCATCTACCTCGACACAGGTTCACCAGCAGGAGTTTTGTACTGAGACAACAATGCCCACTGGCCTGCCATTCAACAAACACAGATGCCACATTGAATGCAGGCAGGTTTGTAAACATGCATTGACGTCAATCATCTATCCTATATCATTCATGGGGCTCTCAACTCCTCTGAAACCATTCTTTGACCATCGCGGCCTGCTTTATGTCTGGATAAACAAGCAAATACATGGACAGGGGTTTCAAACAATAAACGATATCGTAATTGTTTTTCCGGATTTTTTATTTCGCCTGTTTACGGATGAGCCCAAATTCATGTCTTGCAAGCAGTTTTGGATTTTCTCATTAAAAACAAGGGGCAGGAGGCTTGAATGTGTATGTTTTTCTAAAACAACCATTTTGGTCACATGGGTTTTTGTTCTGCATGATGCCAAAAACATAGAACAAAATGATTGTGTAAATGATTACGAAGGAACGATGACGAAAACATCAAAGTCCATCAATAATCATTACCTCCTCATTAAGGATACGTTTTACGAACTAATGATGATTGGTTTAACAGTAATGTGCTCGTTAACAAACCAAACACATAACAACTCCCTCTTCGTCCATACATTCTTCAAGCACAGATTTCCAAATGTATAACTGCACGAGCTTTAACGACCAGCTGCCTTTGTCATTCGCTTGCAAGGGCCTTGAGAATCTGTTACCACAACAATCCACGTGCAAGCTAGCACGAACGTATTCCCATTTAAACGGCCTGGTGTATTTATTGCACCGACCGACCGAGGGTCATTCACTACTTCTGAGAAGTCACGAATAAGCCACGACCCTATAGTTTTGTGATCTATTATTGTCCCAAAATTCCATGCCATCGACACGATACCTTAGGGCAAACTCCATTGCCTTGACTCTTTTTGGCACATGCAGACTTACCTGGAACCTGTCAGTGAGACCATCTTCAGCATGTGATACATGGGTGGCGTGTCTCTCTGTGAATGAGTCCCACCCATCGAATGTAAAACGAACCGAGACCTCTTTAACAAAATGATAATTCCAAACTCTGCAAGTAACAGTTAGCCAGCGTGCGTCGGTTGCTACATTTTCAAGGCAAATGCCACTTTTGTTTACATTTTGGTTCGTCTTGTCGAGACATGCTGAGTCAAAGCATGGCTTTAGCGAAAAACACGGCAAGATGAGCTTATCTCCCGGTGTTTTCATGGACGAAATAGGGGGTACGGAGATGCTTCTTGGCCTGAGTACCTGTTTAGGGAGAAACCAATCACTTGTTTCCTCTGAAACTGCTGTATATTTCTTCACCTCTACGAGGTCATATCCATTTGAGTCCGCGAAATGTACCTTTTTCGGACTTGTAGGCGAGCTTCTGGATTTCAGCACGCCTTTCTTTTTCGGTGTGTCAACCGTACCATTTACAGACTTGCACCTTCTTACAAGAATACTAGCCTTGCTCGGTCGAAACAAATCATAATCGTCGATGCTTTCCGCATCTTCCATTTGACAACCACAGGCAGATTGCTCCTGGAGCTTTCCAGCTATAGACAAAAGCCTCATGACTAATGGTGTCGTATCATATGTGAGTTTGTACGTCTGTTTCGTTCTCTCGCTTTGCTAACAACCCACTCTCCTCAACCGTAGAGCTATCTGTTCTAATCACAACAACAAGTGCTTTACTTCGTAATCTAGCATGATTCCTAGCACGTATTACTTTCAAATCAGGTGCAAGAAATGCCTGCCGCTTATTGGTTGACTGCTTCGGGTCACTGGTTTTTCACCTTCAGCTATGTGTTCTGATTGGCCATCGTAAACAGTCCATGGCTGCGCATTTCCCCTGCACAGCCGGTGTCAACAGGGAGTTCAAAAGATACGTCAACATATTTGAGCTTCCTGCTCCATTCACTACCGTGGTAACAGTTAAAGCATCAGCCTTCATTGAAAATTTCCTAATGCAGTTTTCTCATTTTCTTAGGATTGAATGTAATAGAATTACAAATTCTTCCATTTTTGGTTTTGAATGATATCAAATCCGACGGGGACGTCAGGAATGATATCAAATCTAACGTTGGACAGAAAAAATTGCTGGGAAACAACAAGATCGGGTCATATGTTGATTGCTCAAATACTTGCTACCCATTTGCCATCAATATACTACAAGTTGGAGTATAGCGTTATGAAAAGGGGCCCTACGAACCCAACAAATTTCAAATTATAATAGGTCGAGGGGCAATAGAAAAAATAGATTTCCGAGGATTTTGAGATAAAACAATAGGCTATCCATGAAGGTTATTAGATCTCCTTGTCCCTCGTATTAGATCTTGATACTAAATATCTTGCTGATCCCCACAAATAGGTTCCTATACAAAGTACAAAGAGTATCTCTGAATATCAAAACTCTACACGATTTTCATAATGATATCAAAGTGCATACATGACAAGTGAAGCGAATGACCAATTCAACAGAGGATGAGGCCAGAGAGGGTCATGCTAGAAACACGTTACTGTTGGGATTTACACACTCTAAAGGAAGTATTGTATCTGCATTTATACCCTACTTTTTATGATTTATACGTATTTTTCGGTACTTGGAGTAATCTCAATCAACTCAGTAATCCTAATTGTTTAATCAATCAATGCAGAAGTGGAAGGACCATAAATGAATAAACTTTTTCTTCGATATTATTCAATCTTATTTCAATTTCGAGCTTTCTCGCTAGTTACTAATCCAAAGTTAAAATTCTTTCAGATGTTTACTTGCAAACTATTTAGTTCAACGTCAAAAACATCTTTTGAACTGTGCTGCATCTAAGTTTGTTTCCTGGTTTAAAATACGTGCGTCGTCTTTTTAATTTTTAATTTTCAAAGCACAGCACAGCATTGCTTTGTTCATTCTACAAGAGTTGACTGAGTCGAGCCCGAAATGGGAATTCCATTAACCGTTTAAATGGCGATGTTTTATCATGTGAATGTCTGTTTTTTCCTTTTGTTGGACACCTTTAAAGGACAGTTGGAGTTCCCTCGCAGCTGATTAATAATTCAACTACATGTGAGGTGAAAAGGATGCAACCACTCATGATCCCAGCGCATGCTCAGGTGTCCATAAGTTTGGTACCGTGGCAGGTCTGATTCGCTTTACAGACAATTTTAACGTGATGAGTCTCACGCTATAAAGCAATGCGACAAGGCACAAAAAAATCATCATTCATTACCAAAACGCCGTTGCAAGGAATTTTAATAGGGTTTATACATGAATTCAAATACAGCCTGGTTTTGTTAGGGTTAAAGGCAATCTGTCTCGTTGTGGATTGGTTAACGAGAACAATAGCTGGAAAGATGGCCTAAACACAGTTCCAGCGCTCCGCCATATTTTTTACAATGCGATAAATAAAAAGGGGACTGGAAACAATAAATAATCCCTTTGTTCTTATAATCCGTGACAAATTGCCTTTAAGCTATACCCCCCCCCCCCCAGTTTTGGTGGCAGTACCTTACTTCGGCGACAGAGGATCACATTGATTTGATACATGCATGAAGGTAAAGAATTCTTCAAGGAATTTATAAGGAATTTTGGAACGTTCTCACATCTGCTGTTACATCTCGGCCTACAAAATCTAGGCAACCCTTCATCTCTTTCGCTACAAAATTTTCTTACCATTGTTTATCCTTTAAAGACATTAGAAAACTGCATTGATCATCATAGAGTGCGAAATTTGTAAACAGAGAGAAGCATAGAGAAATCTGAGAACACGTCTGAACCAATATACTTATTTACGACACCATCAGAGGCATCATAAATAGTATGATTCGAGCACCGAAGAATATTGCAAAGAACAAACAGTGTATACGTTCATGTTCGTCCTATTACAATAATGATCAACATCTTCTAAAATAACTGATTATAATAAAACATCGGTATAACTGTGGTCGGAAACTAACCCTACTTGGGAACATACAAAAATTGAAATCAAGAACTACACGACAATTACCTTTCTTAAATTATACACAGTGCAAAACAAATATTGCATCTTACGTCAAACTGCTTTAAATACTCACCCTGCATTTCGAATGAAAAACAAAATCATCAAGGAGGTATATCATTTCATAACATACAGTAAAAACTGTAAAGAGATTCGAGCAATTAATTTCTAGCAAGAAATAAGACCATTTCTATTTACTAAAATATCTTGTTTAATTATGCTTTATTAATGCTGTTCTTATTAATCTCAAGAAATAAAAAAATCTTCCATAGCAACTGAAACAAATTAAAATGGCCACACCAATGGCCTAGCTCAGTCTTTCAAAAACGTTATCAAAGTTATGCTTTATCTACTGTTACCAAAACATAATCTTATCTGCTTTAAAGACACTAACTATACTCATATTTTCTTCACCAAACCCCTTCGAAAACTCCTTATACCCCAAGGAGCACTACACGGTAAGGTATTCCCATCTTTGACGATTAATTACATTTGCAACAATAATACTAAAACAACAGAGTCCAGAAAACATACTGGACACACGGTTAATGGCCGTAACGAAAACAACGAAAACGAATGTACCGCACTAAAACCGCCTTTGTTTTATTATTTTCTGTAATGTACGAGGAGAGTTTTCTGGACACTTTTGATCGACAACTGATGGTAACCTTGGTATCGAGGCTTTAAGTAGAAAGCGTGGGGCCTCTAACACTACGATTTTATCAAGAAGGCAAAAACTTTATAAATTCAACAGGATAAACAGACCCCTTTTATACTGCCAATGACAAATTTGGATCAGCACAAAAAATTAGATGAAAAAAATCATTTTTATTCCCTTTTCTGGCAACATGAATTAACCCGTAAATATAAGTGCAGCTAGACCAGGTTCTACGAAAACTGCAAAACTAGCGAACATATCGTACATTCGGGAGGGAGGAGAAAGGAGGAGGGGGTCCTTAGTAAAATACACTACTTCCACTTACTTTTATCTTCAAAGATTATCAAAAAGTACTTAAACTTTATGTGTTTCCATGGCATCAAACTCATTCGTTTTAAATCGGAAAAACAAACAATTGAACATCTGGAAATAGCAGGAGAGATAAGAAAGAACTCAAACAAATCTAAAATGTTAGGCAGAACTTGAGTCCTGTTCGTCTAAAAAGGGTAATCCATGTTGGAAGAAACTTTGGCTAAAATCTATTCATAAATTGATAAGAAAGTTGCGCTAATCTTAGGATGTTGTCCAACTGCTTTAGCCAGCCGTTCTTAATATAAGCTGAATCGATTTTTGATATTAAAAACCTACATGCCATTATATCTCAGCAAGAGCTTTGCTTGTATTCCTTAACAAGCCCAGAAAGCGCCGCCGCAGGGGCAGCTTGTCGAAGAAAAGGGTGTTGCAGCAACTCAAAAGCCGTAGGCCGCAAATTTGGATCCTTGATGAGGCACGCCTCCACGAATGATTGCAACTTTTGGGACACCTGGAAATGACAAGATGCAGTTTTTGTACAAGCTTGATTCTAAAAACACGGATAAGCACAAGTACAGGTCTTGCGAAAATAAATTGAAGATTGCAATATGAATTCCTACATGTTACTTCAATTTACTTTATTCGTTATATTCATTTACTTTTACACTCGAATAAATTAACCATTCAACAAACTTTTAGCAATATAACTGTGACATTTATTAAAACTGGTTCTAATGTGCAGCTCGACAAAGAAGTCCTGCTCTAGACCTGACTGAGATGTTCAAATAATACTCTCAAAAATTTGCTTTACAACGAGCAATTGGTGCTTTCTCTTGAACGTCATTCGAATTTTCGACACCGGAATACTTCATATTCTTGACCAATCTCAGGAATTTGATGACCTTCACAACCTAGGTTAGCTATCAAGAATATATCATAAAGCATTTTGCGCAATACTGGCACGCAATGATTCGATATATTATGAGAATTGTTGGGAAAAACAAGCACATCATGAAAACGACTATGATAAAATAAAGAATAAAATTTGGGGGTGGGTGGGCATTTAGTCACTTTAACTCCAGCCACTATCGACTAACTGCTACTTAGCCTGTCATCTTTTCTCGAACTAAATATTATTCAAAAGACCAGAAACCCCGCAAGAATACTTATATGTTTGGTGGCAATTTCAATCAGCAATTTTTGCAGAGTGAGCAGTTGAATAGGGTAACAAAAGATCTTTAGTGTAACAATTTCAGACAATGAACACTATGGTTAACATGCATATGAGATCTCCTTAAAGCCTCTGTACAACAAAGTGGGTAACCAGGTTGAAAACCAAAGAGATTACACAACCACAACAGTGTCAACAATCTGATTCAGTCAATGACCCTTGTATAATTTGTGGATAACCTACAGTTGATGCCTTAAGGTAGAAATATATACAAGGGATGTACAAAGTTGCAATGGAAAAGAATATTTCAGGATAACAAATTCAACATCGATTGTAGTTATGAATCAACTTACACTTTGATTTTTCAGTTTTGGAGGTTGACTGTCTCTCAATTTTTTCATAGCAGTGAGTGGTGCCTCATTGAAAAAGGGTGGCTCACTATCAACCATTTCCATGACCATTATTCCAAATGACCAAATGTCAACCTACACAAATATTCACAAAGAGAATGATTGTCAATTTACAGAAAATTTTAGAAAGTTGCAGAATCTGTATAAGTTTTATGTTTAATTTACCAGAAACACTTGCAAAATTATATTTTATAAAATAGATACTTTTACAAGATAATGCTAGATATCTGAAAACATAATATTTGATGGTGACAATCATTGCAATTTTATGCAGGAGATTGGAATTACAAGATATTGAATTTTATGCAGGAGATTGCAAGAATAAGGGTGTAAATAAATCTTGTAAAACTTGAATTAACAAATTTCATACTTATTTACAAAAAAATATTTCTTAAATCTTAACATAATAATTTTCTGTGTAGGATTTTCTAATTTAAACAATTGAATATTTACATTTAAAATGATACCAATGGAGCTCTGAGGTGAAAACGGAATGTAGATAGATTCCATTATCTATTTCATGTAGATAGTCTTGAAGATAAAAAACGACAGGAAAAACTAGCCATTCTGCTATCAGGCAGCATTTACTAGAAAACCCAGAATGTGCAAAAATCTTTAATGGCAACATGTCTTGGATTATTGGAGGAGCCTGATTGCTGTTTCATTTAGCAGTTTTGGAATCTATCTACATAAACAAGAAAATAGGAACATTTGTAAATCGCTTTCTTTGCACTTCTACTTTGTGTTGACAGATTTTCCGTATTTACCTTCCCAGAAAAGCAGATAAAAAGCTACAATATCTGTTTTTATCATCAAAAGTACTACCTTCTGTTCATAGGGTGATCTTGCAATGATTTCTGGTGCCATCCAATACGGTGTGCCAACAAGTGACCTGCGCTTTGGAATGTCTTCACTAACTTGGGCACAAAAGCCAAAGTCAGATATTTTTACCTAAGAAAAATAAGTATACCATGCCTTACTACTATTTAATGAATCTACTCTGCTACAAAAAATGCTTATATTTAACCATAACAAAATTTAAATGCCTTGTAAGTGATTCTGATTTTCTAAGAACCAAAAACAAAGCAAATGTTTGGATGCAATCTTAGGTATATTTGATTGACATTTAAAATTGTTTTCAAGTAAAAGAAGTCATTACATGCTTAGCAGAGGGTACTCTTTGTTCCTTTTTATAAAAAGTCCAAGTCCATACATAAGTGTTCATGATAGGTGTTATCAGTAAATTAAAATAATGATTTCTAGTTCTTTAGTTTAACACAATTTTAGTTTTTCAGAAATGAATAAATTAAAAGAATCATTTGCTTTTTTAAATGCTACTTTGTTTCACACAGCCAACTTATAAACTAGAATTTTAGCCCCAAAGCACCAACCAGAATTCTTATACTGGAGCAAAGAGACCAAACTCTTGGTAATATTTCAATGATACTCCATATCTATTCAAGTCAAGGTGTCAACATTATGTACCAAAGCAAGAAATTTAATAATAATTTCTCATCTTTGCTAATAAACTGGAACAAAAAAAATAATGATAAGCTCACACAAAAAAACCAGGGGGCAAATTGATACATCAATGGTGAAATTGTTACCTGGCCATTGTGAGATAGAAGAATACTGTCACTCTTCACATCCCTGTGAATAACTCCTTGAGAATGCAAGTATGTCAATGCTTTGAGGCAGCACTTACAAATGTATGCAATTATATCTTCTGGTAAGCTGAAAAATATATCATCATAAATCATTAAAATGGAGGGAAAAGACACCCTTAAGCAGGGGTGGGCAATAAATTTTTACAAGGGTTCACATTAGAAATCTGAACTGTATTAGAAGGGCCAAACCAACAATAATTTTATTCTGTGCAGCCCTCATTTTTTCACAATGCAAAAAGCAATTAACTATTCTATATTTCAGCAATCACTTTTTGCCGGAAAGATAAAGATAATAAATATATGAAATTATGGTGAATGTCAAGTGGAGAAATACTCCAGTAAAAGTATTTTCAAAAAATGTTACAGTTTTCAAAGTAAAAGTAACACAATTGTATAGCATGAACATCATTCCTGATCCTGATTGATGGAACACTCATGCAGGCCCACCAGGAATTTGCAAAAGGCAAGATGTGGCACATGGGCCTCAAGTTGCCCAAGCCAGCCCTTCAAGGCTCCCAGAAACAAAGGTTACAATAATCAATATAAGAACTATTGATTTCATGAATCATCAGCTCTTCAGCATGAATCATCGTTTATCAGCTCACTTGCAGTGTTCATGTTCTTAATAAGTTTGATTATAGGATATGGGGTGTTGCACCCCTGGGTCAGTGGCAGCCCTAGGCTTTGATTTTTAAAATCTTTTAAATCAATAATCAAGCAACTGGTTGTTAGCCTCCACTGGTATTATTATTGGCCACATTCTCAATTTATTATAGATAAATAACCTTTCAATTCAATTTATTTAACAAGAAGCCGAAGGTTATTTGGACCAACAAAAGAAAAAGAACTTAGGAAAACCTAGCACCTTGGTTAAAAGACAAAGAGGAAAATACACAGACAGGAAAAAAGACAAGATAAAGATCATCCCAAATTTCTGGATATGACAAAAGGGTCAGAATAGAATTGAATAAAGAAGAAGCTGTTGTGGTTAAGTGAAACAAGTTTTGTTAGATAGCTGTGGTCAGATCAACTTCAACAAAAAGGGAAAACACTTCATAAATAAAAGGGGATTAACAGTGGATTATGATAATGTTAAGTGCAATATTACACCCTTAAAAACGTAAAGTACAAATATAACACCAGTAAGGTAAAGTACAAAACTGCTGCAGTTAAGTGCTTACTTTGTGTAAGTTACAATGTCTGTTAGAGCTCCACCATCTAAGAATTCCATAACAACCCAAAGCTCATCTCCAACAAGGTATGATTCATACATTTCAACAATATTTGAGTGTTTGTAATTTTTCATAATAACCACCTTTGAAAAACAGAAAAATATTGGTTAATGAAAATCAGAATTAAGGTAAGCAATGTTGAGCTTTAAGGTAATTTAAAGTAAAAAATGAATTTAAGGAAAGCTTCAAATTAGCAATTCTAATTGCCAGATAAAAGCTAAATGAGCTGAAATTACTCCATTAACTCCATTGGATAACTTACTCCATTGAATGAACATAACATTTGCTAATTAATCAATGGTCTGATTATCAAATTCTATAAACATACTTGAATTATAATTATTTAGAATGTATAACCAAATGTATATTTAGAATTAACCAAGTATTATATACAGTGTTCTGCTCTTTATTTGCAAAACCAGAGGCTTAAACTTAATTCAACCACATCTCAAAATTAATTCAGCAACAAAGATAAACTTAAAACACTCAGATTAGCTGACAGGGATCAAAATCTGAAAATAGAGAAATCTATTGTCTAAAAACTCAAACTGAAATGTTTTGTTAAAAACAATTCAATATTGCACTGAGCATTCTTCAAAACAGATCATATTTATAACATTTCTGAATAAGAAATAATATTTTTTCAAACTTCTTGTACGCATATAATCTGCTTATTTTATAATTGATAAGTATCTGTAGATCCCAAAAACCGTGGGTCTTGGTAGTGAAAATTTTCTCTGACAGCCAATTGCATATGAATACAAGTAATTATTTATCATTCTCTTTGTTTAAAAACGAAACAGCAGGTAGACTAGCAGGTATATTAAGCCATTCTTTATCTTAGCAAACCAAAGACCATTTAAACAGTCTGCCATGCTTTCAGCTTCCTTAGAAACAAACTGATTTAAACTTAATTCTCATTAAAAAGTTTTTATCAGCAATTTTCTAAAGTTATGCTCAAGAGTCTTTTGATAAACTTCAAAAAATCACAATTACTAATTCAAATGACAGTAAAGCAAATTTTCAAAGTCATTATTAAATAAAATTATAACAAACATATATAAAATATACATATATATAAAAATAGATACTGGCTATTTGGTGTATAGAACAGGAAGGGTTTAAGTTGTTACTCTGAGTTTCCTCAAAGAGAGGATTTTCTGCCTATACCGATTCAATCATTTTATAAACAAGTTATTTAGGCTATTTGAAAACAAGATTTCAAAATAACATTTCAAAATATACAGTTTCTTTCTAATAAATATAGGATAGGTATTATAAATGTAAAGACGCTTGGTGTATAGAACAGCATAGTTCTAGGTTGCAAACACAAGTTTCACACTTATTGTGATCATGAGGCAATATATACATATATAAATCTTCAATAAATGAAACTTGTATAGGTTAATTTCAGAGTATACCATTTACCATAATAAAACTTTTCTATAGAATTTTCTTGATTTGATAAAAAGAAATCAATACTTGGCAAAAAACTATAAAAACTCTATTCATGCAAATAAAGCCAACACTTTTATCACACAGATAAAATATTTCAAATGAAATAACCTGGAATAAAGTTTACCAGTTTATTTTTATGTTCAAAACCATGTAGCCACAGTATGTCATGGTAATGTTAGAAATCATTGACCACAACTTCCTGTCTATTCTGATTTTGTCTTTTGAGTTTATGGCTTTTTCAAATAGCCTTAATTCGTTTATAGGTTGTTAATATGAAAAAAGTTCTATGAAAAATTTTTTTAGCATAGTTTTAGTTAAACCTTACCTAGCAACAAAATGAAAACTTTTCCAACCTCCTCCATTCCATAAATTTTTAAACGTTATATTCTAGTTTCATTGGTTCAAACTCTAATTCCTCTCTTCAACAAAGTAAAACTTCAGGAACTTTTTGGTATTTGCGTAAGTGACACGTGACCTGTGCCAATATTTATGAAAAACATCAAATATGGTATAAAGAGAAGAGTAATGCCTACTTGAATCTTGTGTCAACAAAAAATATCAAACTCACTTCATTGAATAAAAGCTCTCTTCTTTGTTGTTTGGTCAAATTCATTTTCTTCACGGCTAAGGCCTTTCCTGTCCGTTTGTCTCTAGCAATACACACTGTTCCTGAAGAACCCTCTCCTATTTTTACAAACTGCTCTAAATGTTCGCGTGGGTCATTTTGGGAAACTACCAACTGCAACGACTCTTTGAATTCATCATGCGAAATTGACAAATTTTCCATCGAAGACATGCTACTGGGCTTCAGTCCAGATTCGACTTTTTTCTTTATCAATTGTGAATTGGAGTTCTTATCTCCAGAAGGACGAGTTGATGTTGAGTCTCCGAGCCTACTGGCTGATGTTTGTCCATTTGTTTTGTGAGAGTAAAACTGGTTATACATTTCGTGCCGATTGGCTGCGTGGATATTCTTTGGCAAACTTCTTGAAACGAAATTCGCACGATCCTGGCTAGGCAAAGGTTGCGCCATGCCAGAATCATTGAAACCTCTAGCTTCAGCTTTTTCTCTTGGTGTTCTTGTGTCTCTGAGGGAGTTTGACCGAGCAACATTTACATTTTTTGAGGGGGCTTTAACCGTGGAACTTCGCCCATTTTGTTGCAAAATCTTTTCCATAACTGGTCCGATTTCTGTAACAATACTCGCGTCAATAATAGGCTTAGGCCGTTCAAATTCTCTTCCCAGGAACCTTTTCCATTGTGGGGGCACTCCAACATACGAACCTTCTCTGTGGTCGTATGTCATGTGGAAACGGTGCTCAAAAGCATCGGGAAGGCTAATGTCCTTCTTGCGAATTTTCTTGCGTCGTATGCTATCTCTTTTCTTCGGCATTTCCGCAGCTTAAAGTTCCCGCAACACTTATAACAATCTAAATTGTGGAAATCAATCGATAAAAATCAATCTCTACTGCTAATATTCCTACAGATTTCTGTGAAAGTTGGTTTCCGCCTTTTCGCCTGCCACCGCCGCCATCACAACACTATTTTGACGAACATTGATTTTCCACTGCGCACGCGTTGTCTCCAACTTGGATTAATAAACATTCCACGCTCCTCCGTGCCTACAAATCAGTGCTCCGCCGCCAACTAAAGACTTTAAAGACTAATATTTTATAATTTAATTTACTCAACAGTCAAATTATAATTATGGTATTCAAGGATGTTGGAACTGGAGTTTCCAAGTGGGTGACAGATATGATACGATAACCAACACGAATCCATAAAAGATGCGATAGGTAACTAAATGAGCAAATCAGAAAGAATTTGCCTTTATTCTTCGTTTACTTCATTGAAGATTGCTGACAAGTTACAGCTATTTGCAGCTCAATGGTAGAAAAATGTTCTTAATTCAAAGTTATAGCTAAGCCTATTGATGTACAGTATAAAATTTTCTCTTGTTTTTATTGATAAATCTGTCTTAAGCATTTCCTCGCAGGTATGACACTGTGCCAAAATCTTACTCCCATTCTTGGGCTTTCAGTCCAGTTGTGGTTTAAGAGAGGCAACTAGGGGCAGTTGCCCCTATCTCACTGAGTTGAAGCAAGTCTGGCGCCCCTTTTTGGATATTGCGAGCCCATTTTGAAAAATGAGAACTAGGTGAAAAAGTTTCTGGAATCTATAGATTGATTTACTTCAAGGATTACCTCAAAGTTAAGTTGTTTATTGCGAAAATAAATCACGTTTTGCTGGAAAAGTCACGCTTTGGAAGACAACAAAGGCTATTCATAAAATTATGTTCATTAAGTTCTGTTTTCATTCAAACTATGTTCAATTTCTTGAGCCCTTTTGGCAGAATACTCTAGCTGGGTTGGAGCCACTATAGCGGAGCAGCGAATGTTCAACCGGAAAATCTATTTATTAAGAGACAAATTCTAATTGAGACTAATTATTAAAATTATTAAGAGACCTCCAGTCATGCTCAGACTTATATCATTGTTTTGGCACAATTATTGTGAAAATTTCCTTTGAAAGTGAATACAGAGCCTTCCCTCTGTAGTAAGGGTCTGAAATTGTTGCGTACAGCGTACTCTCGTCAACAATTTCTGTAAATGTTTCAGCGCCTCCACTACCAGCTGCCCCTTCTTCAAATTTTCTCTGAATTCGCCCCTGTTCCATTCTGTTCAAAACTGGACACATACTGTCGAATTTCTCTTTTCTTGCCTTAACTCCGACTGCAAAATTATGATATTTCTGTATTTCGTTAAACGCAAACTTGATGACACTGGGATGCATTGTCCTTTGTCAGAATAATCTAAAGCTGATACTGCAACGCTTGCACTAGCTACATACATACATACATACATACATACATATGGAAGTGCATTCCAGATAACTCTATAAGAGTTTCTCTAGCACTGACCATGGACGGATTTAAGCGACAAGGATTGGAGGTTGGGGGTGTTAGATGCTAATTGGATTTTGATGCCACACCCTTAAAGTCTAATTTTGAAAACGCCTATTTCAAAATACGGTTTTTAACTTAAGGTAAAGAAGATAAGAAGATAAGAAAGGAAAATCTTGGCGTTGATTGATTACTACTGACTACCAACAAATTATTTTTACCAAATGGAAGCAAATTTACCGAAGGACACAGAAATATTAGGGGGAGGGGGTGTCGCTATAAGTTGGACAATGAAGCGCCTTTCAAATCATTTAATTTATATCTGCTTATCCTTTCACTAATTCCTGGCCACTACAGTTGATAGCCCTAAGATCCTCTGGATTTCCTCGAAGTAGTAGCCGCGGAGAATCAACTGACGTAAATTATAATTTTTAGGATCACGTTCAAATTGCTTTTTGTGAACCAGTGCTACTGCAAGGTGCTAGGTCTTGCACAGTTATACATCAGTTGGGTATCATCAGCATGGCAGTGGATTTTAGTTGCAATTGCAAATAATTCCTCATGCAATATGAAAGGAAAGCCATTCAAGAAAATGACGAATAGACTGGGAGCCAGGATAGAAACTTGAGATGCATCAAAAGAAGCATGGCATGGGCTAGAATGTTAGCTTCCTATTTATACAGGCTGGTCCTTGTTTTGGAGATCACTGCTTAAACAAAACACTGAATGCAAAACAAAGGTTCTTTAAGTAGAAAATCCGAGTTAAGTACCCCGAAGTTTTAGGAAAAAGGTATTTCTCTTTTTAAAGAGTATAATCCTGAAGCGAGATGAATTTATTTCTACAGAGAAATGTACTGCAAAATATGTAGCAATTGCCATTGACTAAAAACTGTCTTTAGGATAAGGAAAAGCAGTCAATTGAGCTATGAAAGAGGTGTGTTTTTTATTCATGTATGTATTTTAAGGTATGAGCAATTGTAAGCTGCAGGAATACGTGACACTTCTTTCCACTTCTTTCATGGAATTCCAAGTGTTGAAGCGGATCCTCTCATCTCTTATTTCCGCGCTCGAATCGTGTCTCTTGTACCCAGGGTATGACTGCGGTGGCTTGGCCTGCTGATAATTCCAAAACAGGACTAAAACTTCACCTATTGTTTTTGGCATTCAGTTGGAAAGCTTCAACCTTATTGTTTAAAAGGTTTCCTGTCATCAAAATATATTAGAAAAAAGGACAAATAAAACTCTCTTATTCTATCTTAGTACTATGGTTTATAAACAATTTTGTCATCTTAGGGCTTGGTTTTCTTAAAGACAGCTTTTTGTAAAAATATACATGTATTTTGTACCGCAGTTTTTGGTGATTTTGCAACTTACTTTTGGATTGCTCTGGTTATTCAATCTGACAGAAACTGAGTCCAGGAGAGCTATGTATTAGGCAAACATGATTACTTGAGGTTTAAAGGTATCTCGTTGAAATTAACCAGAAACAGCAACGATCCAAGTACTGATCCTTGGGAGGCACTTGTGAAGGAATTTATTTTGAGGAAAGAACAACCTTACTCTCAAGTTTCTAATCGAAGGGGGGAGGGACTCCATTTTTCAGAATTTTGCATACCCATTTTTATTTATCAACACCCCGTAATTATGTATTTCATGCAAAAATTACTATATAACACCCCCAATTTAAACATAATTTCGGAAAATCTAAGCATTTCAATCTATTATCACCCCCTTTTGTAGAATTTTTTAAAAAATGCCAACCCCCTCCTTTGTTAGACCCCCATACAATGAGCTACTTGAGAGTACATACTGTGTTTCTTCGAAAGAAAGTCCGGGGCATATTTTCAATTTTTTATGCTGTTAGGCTTCCATTCGAGGGGACGTGTGAAGACAGGGGTGTTCTTCAGATTTGAAGCTCAAAACAAAGCTGAATATGCTTATTTAGAATTGTCGGAAATCGTTGAAGGAACTTCTGGAGCCTTATGCTGATCGAAAATTTTCTGGAGCTCCATTTCCAACCTTGTATGTATGTAGTATGTAATTTTATCGTGAAACGCCCGCCCCCTATTTCCAGTGGCCCAGCCAATGGGCTCAGCCAATGGGCTCATCCAATGGGCTCAGCCAATGGGCTCAGCCTCGCTTAATGGCTTCAAATCCATAGAGTCCCATCTCTATGCTTCAAATTCGCTGTGTAGGAGCTTCGAAGAAAGAAATTGTACAAGATTCGCGAGCGTCACCTTGGTTGCCCTTTGTAACCGAAAGAATCTGTATCGGGAAATCTTTGCATTGTTTTTATTGTGAAAACGTGGCATGTCTGTGAAATGCGTAATCATGCGATAAAATTTGGCGTCGTTGTTGCTGATATTTGTGAAGATATTTGTGATTCAATGAAAGTGAGCCAACAAGAAAAGGCCAGTCATTGCTTACTTAGGCCATACATATTGTTATCAAAGACAAGGATGAATTACTAAAAGGTTTAAGGTTTCTAACAACATTAGACTAATAAAAGTTGTTGCAAAAGTGTTGTGGTAGGAAGATACCTTTGTAGGGATCATTGAAGATGTCTTCCACCTGGCAACCGAATCTGGATGCAAAACCTTTTATTCCAAGCTCAGCAGCTTACGTTATTCAGTTGCCATGTTTATCAACACCCATCAAAATCAGAAGGCGAGGTGTTCTAGGACGTTTTTTACAATTAGTTCTCATTAGTGTTCTCGTTGTAACTGTTGTTTTTAACGTCCTATTTATAATTGACAACTCGAAGAGGCTAAGAACGACTCATAGCAACAACCCATCTTACCCATCATCATCTGATGTTGACGACGAAGTCGAAAAAGCAAGTTTATTGCTGGATCAAAAAGATAAAGATGAAGGTTTGTATCGCAATTTTATATAGATCATTAATGCGATACTGAAAACCTTATTCATTTAGAGCTGGATATAGAACTAGCCTAACAGACATATTCATGTTATATCATCTTATGTTATGTTATAAATATGCATGGCCTTTCCACATCAATAATATCAAAGTAAACATAAATGCACGGAGCATGAATTATTTCTTACACAGTCAGCTATTTTTACTTTGCCTCCGTTAGCATTGTATGCTGTCAACATTAGTTGATATCATCTTATTGCTGAACACATTTATGATCTAAAAAACTTGATTAACCATATTTCCAATGATTTGTGCACCTAAAGTCTAAGCCCATTTCAGCATCATACTTAGGAAAGTTATTTTGCTCAGCTTCCAATTATTTTCTATATATAAGGTAATCAACAGTGGTGATTAATTTTTCTTATAAACTTTTATTCAATATCTTTATTACAGAAGAAACTGGAAAGACAATAAAGATAGAGGCAAGGTCTGCCAAAGATTTAGTGTATGTTTCAGTTGATGGAGTTAGGGTCTATGAAGATGCGGTTGAAGGTGGAAATTCTCGTGGGCTCCATATTGTAGTACTGAACCAGCATACTGGGTCTGTGATGGCCACTAGGATATTTGATACATATGCAGAGCTGCTTGATGAAGAAATCATTCTCTTTCTGAAAATTCTTCAGCAAGGACGCATCATTGTTTTCATGTTGAAAGTGAGTGCCTGTTTAGTAGTTTGTTGCCGATTGAATATTTCTAACATTTTGATTTTTATATCAGCCAGTCAAAATGGTTCTCATGCCCCCAATAAACTTAAGCATTGTGGCATCCAAGGCAAAATATGCTTGATTCATAAGTTACAACACTAACACTTGTGTGTGACAAATAAAACCACTAAGATTTTCCTGATTGACAAAGGTGTGCCTCACCGGTCTGTTCTATGCCCAGTACTCTTTACCAATGTTGAATTAATATTGAAACTAAGCAAGACAAAAGATAAAAACTAACATCATTTAACATCACTTATGTATGACAAATAGCAAAAACTAAACTTAAAAATTGTCAGTTCCTTTTGAAAGTGTGCAACTAAACTTTGTAAAACACTAAAGCACAAATTTTCAAATAAACTTTAACCGTCTTTGAAATCTATTCAAAGCTATGAAATCTATCCAAAGCTATAAAACATTTACTAGGGACGTTAAAAATTATTATATTCCAAACAACAAAATTCAAACCTGCTAAGACTAGTTCATTGTTATGATAATCTAGTAGACTAGTAGCAGACTTCTGTTAAATTTTATCACTTTTATTTTACTTTCCAAGCTAGATAAACTGTGCTTTATTTGCATCACACATGATACATAATTACCTTTTATTATTTCCATTACCTGTTTGCTTGTAATCTGTGAATCAATTAGAATTAAAGTGAATACTTTATTTATTGTAATTGTCTTTAAACTTTCTAGGATGAAGGAAGTATGCATTTAAAAAAAGCAGGAAGAAATGCAATTGCAACATTTGGGAGTAAGCTTGTAAATCAAGTAAAGTGGAGAGATTCGTGGGTTTACATTGTAAAGAAACCAAATAAGTGGCTAGCAGAATCAATACAGAAAAACCCAGCTTTTGATAAATGGGCACCCCCGTCGATAGTCCAGGTTTCTGTATTTGTAGCAGAAAAAGAGGAGTCGTGTGATTATGGCAAGGGTGAAACTGCTCAGAGGCGGAAAGAGTTTTGTGACAAGTATGAGGGATACAGGAGTATCTGTACATGTGAGTCAGTGATATTCAAATTAATTATGGCTGTTCTGCATGTTTTGTGGTACAGTTCCTGGCAGCTTATTGTTAATCAGTATTACACCAGAGAGGCTAGTGACAGTCATGTGAGTGCCACATTAAAATGCCCTTCAATATTGGCTGAACTCCATTTAATATGTTAGTGCCTTACTTTGGACTTAAACCTTAAAGCTTCCATTCAACTTTGGTAACAATTGCTATGTCACAATAACACAAATAAATTCACACATTGGTCTTATTTCAATACTGAAAGTGCTTTCCAGTGAATTGAGAACCAAATCGTTTTACGAAATCACTTTTCATTCATGAAATATAATCGTTTTAGCATGGAGGCAAACCTGTATACAGAAAGTATCTGAATTGTCAATGAACACAGAGTGCCATTTGACATTGATGGTCAAATATATCTAACATGAAAAATTAATAACTTATTGGCATTGCTGACCCCATTCATCAGTTTTATCATCTTGAAATTTGCTGAACTGCATGCAATGAAGCAAAAAATGCCTTAAATACACATAAATACAATATGGTTTCCAATTGAGAATCTTTAAAGTTAAGAAGTTGTTTTATCCTCTGAGGTATATACATAATTCTTTTTATTATAAGCTGTAAATTGTTGATTCAGTTATTGTTCAAAGGCGAAAGTGCATCGTGCAGAGCTTATTGAATTTTTTTCGTTGCCAATTTTTAGGTCAAGACCCAGCTCCAATTGACTTAAATGGTGGCCCACTTCCCAATAACCGGGTTGCAGATTTGCCTGTGGCAATCATTGCAGCAAACCGGCCGCAGTATTTGTACCGCATGCTGAGAGGATTGCTAAGTATTCCTGGGGCAAATCCAAAAATGACCACTGTATATATTGATGGATTTTTTGAGGAGCCTGCTGCTGTGAGTCGGTTGTTCAACGTCAAAGCAGTTCATCACACCCCTGTTTGTAGTAAAAACTGCAGGATTGGACAAGTGAGTCATTTTTTATGTGTGTGTGACTAATATCTATTGTGTTTGTGGTTAAAATGTTGTTGGGGATTTGCCTTTTCTTTAAGTATATATGAATGCATATGATATCTCTTACTAGCATGCAATCATGAAACAAGTAAATGAAGAGTGCAATATTGAAGCTCAGACTAGCAGGCAACATGTCACATCTTCGATTAAACCCTTAGTACATAATAACTGGTACTGCACATGTAATCGTACTGTTCTTTCCTTTCTGACAAGCGAATTGTGCTGGACATGCACAGGTAGTTGAAACCCTTATCCGAGATAAAGCTTCGCAATATTGAGCTGGTTTATTCTTTCAGACTTTTTCCAGAGGTCAAATATGCTTGTTCTCTTTTGAGTTTCAATCATTGCTGTATTTTTGAAAAAATGTAAACATTTCCATCCTAGATGTTAAAGTTTTGTCATATTTTTGGAAGCAATTCGTCATTCAGCTTGTGAAAATAAGAACTATTCATTATTCATATTTGCATGTAAATGTACGAACAGATCATCAAGCATGGTAGGCTTGAAATATAAGTTTGTGGATTGGACAGGGCATTTGCAAGTCAGAAATAACTGCCCAAGCCCCGTTAGAGATTATATTAGAAAATATGTTACATTGCTGCTTCCAATGTGATGATGTTTTGAACAGAAATGCGTTTCACCATGCAATCATTAATAAACCAACATTTTTAACTTTGATCTGTGAAGTATTCAGTTTGACAAAACTAAAATCGTAAAAATCTTATGTGATGAAAATCTTTCAATACTATCTTTTCAGCATTACAAGAAATCTCTGTCTACAACTTTTGATTCGTACCCAAGCGCCAAGGCCATATTAATTCTGGAGGAGGACCTTGATGTTTCCAAAGATTTGTTTGATTATTTCAGCCAGATGATGCCCCTTCTGGAATCAGACCCCAGCCTTTATTGTGTCTCGGCATGGAATGATCAGGTAACGCCCACTTTTTCACAGCGCATATCTGCAGTAAAGGTCGTATGATATCACAACGTCAGGTTAGATAAGTGGGTCTTCGATTGTTGAGAATACTCATTTATAAAGTATTACTTTTTCATTCCATTAAATGATCCTTCGATTTCATGCAGACAAAAATGTGATGAATTCCCCCACAACCGCAGCTTCGTTTCTCCACAGGTGCATACAGTGTAGCAACAGAACATGGTTTAATCTTGCTACCTTGATTTACATCCTCAAACCGTTTATTAACCTTCTCTTTTTCAAATTTTTTCTAGAATTCTTCTCTGTCGCATTCACTTAAATTGTCCATCATCATGTATAGAAAGAAATATTCATTGATGTACTTCACAGCGTCAATGTTATAACTAACAGTACAGTTTGCATAATGTTTTCTTAGATCTTCATATTATTGATAAGATCAAATCTTTTTATTACTGTAAAATGCGAAATATTTCAGAAGAAGTTATCATTTATCAGGAAATCGAATTTATCAGGAGTTCTAGAATGCGATTTCTAGAACTAAAGAAAATATGATATTTAGTATGTCACATTTTTATTACCATACATTACCGTATCGTCACATTTATGTATCATTTGTAGGGATACGAACATTCCTGTCACGACCCTGCACTCCTTTACCGTGTTGAAACGATGCCAGGACTAGGCTGGTAAGAATTTTCATGTCCTCTAAAATTATGCTCTACTTTTTTTGCATAAGAGGCGTAATAACGTGGCCATGATTGTGTTCGTATTGATAGAATGTTTTGTGGATTGCTTGTTGTTAGGCAAATCATGGAATATCATCTCTCTCGTTGGAAGGAGTGCAAATTTTATAGAAATATCTTTCTTTCTAGAAATTCTAATATATTTGTTAAGATCTCATTTGTCTCTAGAATTAATTTACCATTTTTGATAACTGCCTTTTTCTATCTTATTTCGTCCTGTTTAACACACCAAAGTCTTATAATCATTAGTGTATATTTCATTAATTACTTTATTGTTATGTGTTCCTGAATTGGAATTGAATTTCAACGTGAATTCTGTACAGGATTCTAAAGCGCAGCCTGTATAAAGATGAGCTGGAACCCAAATGGCCTGGACCGACAAATTTTTGGGACTGGGACATGTGGATGCGGATGGACTCAAACAGGAAAGGTCGCGAATGTATTATACCAGATATATCCAGGACCTACCATTTTGGCATGAAAGGACTGAATATGAATCCGTACTTTCAAGACATTTATTTCTCAAAACATGCTCTGAACCGGGCTACTGGCGTCAAATTTGATATTTCAAAGGTGCAGAAGGACAATTATGAAAAGGAGGTCCACAGCATGATCAAGTATGTATCAGCTTCTTTCCGTTGGCTTTTCAGATTGCATCTTGAGCTTCTTTCTAAGGCAGTCATTACTGACCCTTAACGCCCCTGCGATCTTTGTGCTGTCACTTTGTAACGCCTAGTCCAGATCGTCGGACGTTACGCGACCTACAACCATGAAAAAGTTCACTGAAAACAATAATGTTTGAAGTACCGCCCCCATTCAACGCATTGATTGTTTTGTTTTGAAGTTTTGAAAGCTTTTTTTCATTGGCCTCTGGCAGGCTTTGGCTTTTGACTCTTCATCTCAGTTGACAATAAATTTCTGGTGCTAACATCTTATTACGTTTCTACCGAGCTTCTTAAATCATAAAATTTCAAAATTAGGTGTTTATTTTTGTAAATATGACATAGACATCTCTATAATGTTTCTAAATGTAGGTATATAAAGCGTTAGATTTTTGCTGCTTTTTGTAGGTGTATTTTGAGAAAGGTATCATGCTTTCGCTGTCTAGTGCCATCTTTCAATTTTGTAATAACCGCCTATGCCCATAGTGGTTGCCCTTATCAGCAACCGCCATTAGGGGTATATATAATGAACAACATTTCATTATTTTTAACAGCTGTATCATACATCATTTGAGAATAAGGTCAAGACAGTATTTTTCTTTTATAAATTTTGATGAAAATATTACATCCCTCGTTAGATTAATGATTTTTTTCCATTCCTAAGGAACGCTGAATTGGTTGATCACGGCAAGAATCAATGCACCCACGAAGCTGATTTCATTCCAAACACGAAAGGAAAGATATACGTTGCATACATCCGAATGGAGACATCGACCTCGTGGGATACCTGGCTGGGACTGGCACGATGCTTCAAGATTTGGGACCTCGATGTCAGGGGCTTTCATAAAGGAATGTGGCGAATTTGGTACAAGGAGAATCACGTGGTATTTGTTGGAACACCGTTTTCTCCATATTCGAAATACATGCCGAAAAATATAACTCCTATTTATATACCTAAGAAAAAGAAGAATGAAGACTGAAACAAAATATTTTCAGTAGTTGTACAGTTCACATTGGAATGCTAACTTTCCTATATCTTTTCTTTGGAGAATTTCATTTTTTGTATCTAATACGCAACAGTATCTATTATCAATTTTACAATATCATCTCTTCTTTAGCCAAACTATAATAAAATTTTTGATAGTATTCTGACCAAAAGGTCTATATTCTCTCTAAAAATATACTATTTTTGAAATTTTATGGTTACGAATAGCTATTTATTTCAAGACGATGGTTGGGCCGCGTACTTAAAACTTTAGTTATCGCGTTTTTAGCCAGAACCCAGAAGTTTCTCTTCAAAAGCTTTTGTGTAATTGAAATAACCGAAAAACTACAGCTATTTAAACAGCTTGTTACTTAGCTTCTCTTGAGCTACAATATCATCTACATAGCTGGTTTTAATAACGAAGACGTCAACTTAACATGTTTTTTTTGTTCGTTCGTCAGTCTTGTTCGTTCAACTCCTCTCTTCTGCGAGGCCAGCAAGCCCCAACTGTGTAATAGAGAAACTTGTGAAGGGTTTAGTTATGGTAAGGAACGACTTCTCCACACAGGCAGCTAAATAAAGCTCTGAAAAAGCATTTCGTGAATGCGATCTTTTATTTATTCTTGATGCTAGAGTATTTCTTCATTCACACACACCTGTTTCTATATTGACGGATAGCTTTTGCTTCTTTTTTTAGAGCCACGATTGCGTCGTAGAATAGGTACAATGTTTACTTTTGGACAAGCTTGCTTGCTTGGTGATCGACAGTAAATAAGGTAACAAATTAGAAGGCAAATTTCCATTATTCTGGTAGGCCAATATCTCCAAAGTGGCAAATTTTCCAAATAAAAGTTTCAAAAAATTCTAAAAGCCGTTTACCAAATCAGCTACGCTTTCAGACATGACAGCGTTTGAGTCATAAAATATAGTGGAACAAATTAAAAGATTTTCATGTTTCGTTACAGTAAATTTTGACTGCAGAATTTTGCAACCTTAATAAACCAGCCTGTCTTTCAGACTCTTAAAAAAACGCTCTGCCTATTTCTTTGCAATTTTTCCTCTTATTGTATCGTCATACTCCTTCTGAACAGATTCTCATCCAATGAATGCTTTTCACTTTATCTTTCGTCTAATCAAAGATGTCACTCCTTTTTTCTCGACACTACATACATCTCACAGAGGCTCTTACGCAAGTTGGAAAGTGGGGAGGCCCACACAAACCATTTTGTAGAAATCCCACTCCCCGTCGTTGTCGGAGGCCATCTTGCCCGAGAGCATGGAAAATGCTAAACCTCTTCCTAGATGGGTACAGCGTAGCTAAGGTTCACATTTGGTTCCAAACATCTTCAGTTATCTTTAACTAATGCCACAGTTTTTCTTTTATGCATGATACACTAAATTAACAAAAAATTAAAAAAGGTTGGTAAAATGTGAAACATTTAGTCAAAATTTGAATGCGAATAAAGTGAAAAAAGTTGATATTCACCAAGCAAGAAACTATTTTGAAAGAAAATGGTTTAATGCTACTCTAAGAGCTTTTTAAAAAGTGGTTTCATTTAAAATGAATTTTGTAAATATCGTTTGAACACGCTTCAAGAGCCCTTGGTCTTCATTTGTCATCTGAAAGAAATTTTTGCTCACCGTAGCAATATTTACTGAGTGTTTGTAGCTTTTTCAAGATCTCTAATTCCGTTAGGTTTGCATCGTATTAGTATCCACCCTATTATAACACAAGGAATATTATAGGTTTTATTACAAATGACACATCGTCTTTACAAGTGTTTTTATAATTTTACTAGTTATTAACATACAATATTATAAATACAAAATAAGAAAGTGTGCCCAATTCCAGTCAACTCCCAGTTCTCACATAGCCTTTTCGTTGGGAAATTCGCTGCGGGGGGGGGGCAAACCTTTGTTTAAAATAATGGAAAGTCACTGGAGCTGGGGGGGCCATTGCCCCCTGGTTGATATAATAAAAAAGGCCCTGAGTTCTCAGCAGGATCGTTTCTTTATTTCGTCTAGATTCCATCAGAGAATTCGATCAGTAAAGCTTGGTTTCCACTATGGGTTAACGTGAGATAATTCTGAGCTAAATTGAAAATTAACTCATGGTCTAAATTCAAGTTAACTTGAGATAGTGTGAAATAGCGTGAGATAACGCGAGCTATCTCAAAATTAACCCATTAGACCAGAGGTGAGAGGGGGAGCATTATCACCTGAGCTGGCAATTAACCAGACTAACTTTTTCTGACTCAACTTTTTGTGTAGATTACGAATCCGGATGTTGCTTTGGCGTTTAGGGGGGCGTTTTCTAGATATAGGGGGTCAAAGCCCAAAAACACGCGATTTGACCTAATTTGACTGTTTTCTGCTATCACACTTTAAAAATTGGTAATTTTTTTATTATCTGGTGATCTAGTAATCTTACGAAAAGGAAAAGACAGTGATAATAGTTTCAAATTACGTATGTTTTTGAAATATAAGAAGTTTTGAAAACTTGTTGTTCAACATCGTTCAAAGAAAAGGGATCCGTTGATATAGAAAAAGCTCTTACTAATCCTCTTGCCCTTGCAACAACTGAAGATACAGATGCCAGACAGCCAAGAGTATGCTACTACATACTGCATTAAAATCAATCATAGTACCAAAAAACCCGCTGCCAAAAATTAATCTGGAAAAATAATCGGTGAAATTTCGGTGAGAACTTGAAAAATCTTCGGATTAAAGAATTGAAAAACTTTCTGTAAGTTATTTTTATCTTCAACATAGAATTATCTGGAGCACAGTCATAAAAGTTACAAAAATCGAATACTTTGATGCATACCAAGAGACAGTTAAACTATCAATGTGGGGAAAATTTTAAAATATCACTGGAACATAATTTCAAAAGATAAAGAGATAGCATTAAAAAGACATGAAAAACATTTGAGATCTAATAACCCACACACACATTGGGACACATGGATAACACCCCTCCCCCAAGAGTTCTGAATATGTTCTCAGCAGATTCGACATTTTTGGTGCTTACTCAGCAAACTTGGTGGTGGCGTTAGTTAAAAAAATCAATAATAGTCGATAGTATATTTGATTGTTTTCATTTTCATTTCGAGTTGTTCCTCTTCGCTCCTCGGCGCGTTAATATTTCAACCGTTAATTTGCAAACTGAAACCACTGGGAGCTAAACTCCACATTACAATTTTTCAGCGTTGGTTGCGCGAATGATGAGAATGACTGCCAGAAAATCGATTAAAACAGTCAAATAGCGTTCCACCCGCGGATATTTATTTTAAGAATAAGATTGTATTGTAAAGTAGTAAAAATGCCTTTAATGAGTGAATTTTCCAGCAAACTGGAAGCATCAAAGTTTGAAAATTTCCCCCACCTTTTGCGGCAACCATGGTGCCGTCTCAGGTACTAACTTTCGTGTCATGGTTCCTATTCTGTTTAATGATTAAATGACTTTTTATTACTCAGAAAAGTTTACAGCGTTGTGAATATAGAAAAATCACGGAAAAAGAACTTTCTTAACATATGTCTTTTGTCTTTTTAGGGATATTTTGCTATAAAGGCGAGTTCCCCACAAAAGAATATTAATCACGCTCTAAGTAGCTGTTCTTTCTTGTCTGTTATATTCATGTCCTGTCATAATCTTAATGATTGTGCGTCTTTTTGCAATTGGGATCCCATGCTTTCTCTCCAATTGCATCGCCCCCCTATCGGAAGGTCAAGCCCCTCCGTCAGAGAATTTCTAGCGCCACAATAAGTAGTCTCAACTCAACGATCGAGTAATATACTTTGCAAGAAAATTTTTGTGTGTTAAGATTGAGAATAAAGAGGTAACTCAGGTGGGAAAGTCGAACACAAACCATGGGAAAGCAGGTACCAAAATCTTCTACCTACTTCACCATACCCTACTGATGAATAATGGACAGGAGACAGTTTGCATTGTGCGCTTTGGTGATGTTGATATTCTTGTTATCCTTTTAGCCAACGAGGCTAAAAACTTGCATGTCTTTATGGAGTACGGAAGAGAAAAATACAGGAGACTACTGGATCTAAATGCTTTTGCGCTATCTTAATTGCGGAAGCAAGCGCTCCTTGGCCTGCATGCATTTTCAGGAAATTTCTACATCTCATCCTTCTTGCGAAAGGAAAGCCTGCATTTTGGAAGCGCTTTTTGGAGGCGATGAAGAATTCCAAAAAATGTTCTCAGAGCTTGGCAAGAGAAATTGTTACTCGTGGTAATTTGTTACTAGGCTTATAAAGGTTTGTTTGCACACTGTATGGAGAGAAACGATTGCTGTCAGTGAATGAAGCAAGATATGCTATATTCTGGTGGACCTTTCAAAAGGAAAACAAAGTAACTGGTCGGTTACTGCGGCCCCCATGTAGAAGCAGCCTCGAAAAACACTCAAAGCGTGCAAACTTTGTAGCAAGAGTATAGAGACAAGCTTTTCAAAGCATAATCAACAAAGAAGAACCAGCCAATCACGGCTGGTTAGAAGATCTGTTAATTGATTGGTTCACGGAGCCCTACTATACTATCCTGAGGACATTGCGGAGCTATTGTTTGCAAGCGAAGGAAAATAAAGCGAATCAGAAGGAGAAGGCGAATTTAAACTAAACGCTTTAAGAATACAGTAATAGTGAAATTTCCCTTCCCTGTAATTGCCTGCCCCCCCCCCCCATCAATGCCAGAAAAGGCTAAATTTGACAGAGCATTGATCAAGAAACCAATTTTTAATAAAATTAAACATTTCCTAAAGTGCAATAATTAAATACAGTCAAATTAGGTCACATCGCGTGTTTTTGGGCTTTGACCCCCTATATCTTGAAAACGCCCCCCTAAACGCCAAAGCAACATCCGGATTCGTAATCTACGCAAAAAGTTGAGTCAGAAAAAGTTAGTCTGGTTAATTGCCAGCTCAGGTGATAATGCTCCCCCTCTCACCTCTGGTCTAATGTACCGATTCGGTTTCCACTTGAGATAGAATTAAAAATTGAAATTTCAGAAATCACATTTTATTTGAGTCTTGCAGCTATGGCGGGCGTCTTACAAGAACAACTTATTTTACTTCTGCTTTTGAGAATACTTAGAAGGAAAATATTTTTTGCTAGAAGTGCCGTTCGCGATCTGCGCCAAGGTTTTCGGTACGGAGAGTCTACCAAAAAAGATATGCGTTTGGTGAATACGACCACTTGCAACAGGATCTTAGAAATGAGAAAATGTTTCTCTTATTTCACAATTAATTTTTTTTGTAAAGAAAACTGTTTTCAACATCTAAAGTAATACTCAGTGCAAGTGCGTTGCGTAAGAACCTCAGTGCAAATTATAGCACATTCCCCTCCCACGCATCGGCTTCTTTTGATAAGATGTTACCTCAAGTTAACTCATGAGCTTGAAATCAAAAAATTTTGTTTCCAAGCTCATGAGATAACGTGAGTTTCATGAGATAATTTTTAATGACCGTTTCCACTATGAGATAATTTTTAAACCATGTCAGATCACAAAATTATCTCAAATTAACTCACGTTAATTCATAAACCAAGCTTAAGAGACTACTCTGCGCACTTCCTCACTTTAACGTTCGGGACACGATACTTCTTTTTGCCTGAAATTTTGCGTCAAAACCAAATGGGTACCCTCAGAATCAAATAAGTGGAAGCGTTTCTGTAATCAAAAGTTTTCCGTTTTGTGACTTCAACGTTTCTTCTTCTGATGTGAATTAAAGTTTTGTGCTTCTGGAGGCCTTGAGAGATTAGGATAAGGTATAGCTGCAATGGCGATCAGGGGTGCGGGGCACTGTAATGGCGATCAAGAGGTTTGACTAAAATTTAATTATTGCATAAGATGATGTAATTTGAGTGAAGCAAAGGAGCTTTTTTACTGACAAACTTGATCGTAGTGTAGTATTTGATCACCATTCTCATCTCCAATTTGATCAGTTCTTTGATAAAAGATCTGATGAAGCCACCAGATAAAGGCCTTGTGTAAGTGTAATAGGCAAGAGTAAACATTCGGATTTTGAATGAAATTGATACCCAAATTGTCATACGTCGGTATTGACGACGAGAGATCAGAGAATACGACGAAACGGTGGTGTGAAGATTCTACTTAGGACTGATTGAAACCTGTGGTGTGGTGTCAGCAAACACGATCAATAGATTGGTTAATCAATAAATCAATACAGCCATGCAGTCGACCAGCAATGACAGATGCGAAGTAACGATGACAGCAGGTATCCATTACCTACAAGCACATTGACTTAACGGCCTAAAAGGGCGTGTGTTGAGGCAGCAAGGAGCGGGTCCGTAAGGCAAGATGAGTCCCGAACAAGATGCACTCATGAAGAAGGACGAGTACAGGAGAGTAAGGTAAGCCTTCGCAAATTACAGAAGCGCGCCGCGCCCCTGCTGTGCCGAAAATGAAATGATCAGGGCGCCAAAGATTGTTGGTAGTTTTGCATTCAATTAGCTCGCCATTCATGATTCACTACCATTTCTCAGCTACATAATCAAGTCGGCTTCTCATACCACATGCGGTTGATACATGCCAGAGAAAAGCTTAAAACTTTAGTCGTAAACCCTACTTTGAAATACTCAAGTCAGGGAAATTAGCGAAATTTTAATACCAAGGGATGAGTCGAGCGGAAATAAGTAATTTAGCTCGAGAAACCCAAATTAATTGAAGACCTCTAATCATAAAATGTCAGTTATCGACAGCAAGCGGTCCCCATTTCGGCAGTTCAGTCGAAAATTTTCTCGAATTTTCATCAAAATGTTCACAATAATATATTCAAGATTTAACACGACCATGTTGAGCATTTAAGTAGCATACTTGGAAATTTGACATATCTTTAAAGGTCAAGTGAGCATTTAGAAAGAAAAGCTCCGGTAAAATCTTTAACCACAATTTACATAAACTGAATTACTGTCAAAAAGTCATCTTTAAAATCCAGACGTACTGTATTTCATACACTCGGAGTCGCTTTAAATTTATGAATTTACGTTGACTGACAAATCGGAACATAGATAAGACTACTGCAGTTCAAGACTTTTCTAGATCTAAAGTAAACAAATTTCATATGGATTTCACAAGTTTCAACGAGGTTGAAAACGAGGTTAGTTTGCATTTATACACGTGGGTCCTGGTCATTTTAAACGGGCACAAGACAGGAAAGAATGGAAGAGCTATCTCCCACTAACTCCTTTGCACGACTGCAGATTTTCTGGATTTCCTTTCAATTTACGGTCCGCCAGGGTTGCCGTCCTCAAAAGTTCGGACGGGGCTGTACTGTAGGTAACTTCTCGAAGCCACACCCACGACCACACCCAGTATGCTTCCATTATTGTTAACGATTTTCTATTATGTATATGAAACTATTAACCGACTCAGAAATACTGATAGAAAATCGCTCATTAACACAAAATCTACAGCATGATAAATACTTGCCAACACATAGGTCATCCAACCAGAAATGTGCTCACTTGTTAAGGGGGCTTAGCCCCCCGAGCCCTTCCAGGGCACCTCTGCAGTCCGCATACCTCACAGAGCATTGACTATGAAAAGTTGAAAGGAAGCAAGATTTATTTATTACCATTGGTCAGGTTTTGTGACAGGCATTCGGCTGGTTGGCTCCTGCATCTTGCCCCCCCCCCGCCTTCTAATTGATATTTTGGGCCCTAATTTTCTAATTTTGCGATCTTGAACTCAAAGTTCTTATGAGATATATTGCATAAATTTGGTAAGAATCGAGAAAGAAAGTGCAGATCTTTGCTACTGACTTTCCTCATCATGAAAGCGCTCTAGAAAAATCAACATGCAAGCTTGAAAAGTGTCCCTCGAGCGTGTTGTCAAAAGAGTCGGATAAAAAGCCAAACTCTTGACGAAATTCGATCCTGACTGTTTTTCTAAATCTATTCTTAAATTCCTCAATTTTGAGCCTTAATACTGTTTTAAAATTCACTTGTGCCAGAATGGTGATAATATTCCATATTTCAATCGACCGAATCCTCCACAAGCTCCTTTAAAGCAGTTTTATATTCTTGCTTACCCCCTTTTTTTTATTTTACGTTTAGCTAGACTCTAAATTTTGCTCGATTATTGAATCAGAGCTTTAACTTTACTTATTTCATGTTATTTTTTCGTGCTTTCTATATACATAATCTTTCGGCGTGTTACATCAGTTTGAAGACAAATATGTTTGCAAAGAAGGAAAATCAACGGTGGTTTGATCTCAAGGCGTATCACGATTATTCATGATTTTTAAAAAGAACCAAGGAATGGTTTTGCCACTTTTCAGTACATCTTGGCTTTATTCGACTTGTCAATCGAAAACTTCCAGGAAACATTCAAATTTATCGCAATCCGTCAAACACAATTTCTAGTTCTAGCAAAATGTTTTGTCATGCTAATGTTAGTCCTTTCGCCGTTAGGAAGGCATTTTCCAAATCTGAGAACTTAACCCCGATCGGCCTTTTGCCCTGCTGAGAATTCTAGAACATTCGTTACCTAACATTAGATATCAAAACTAATATGAAATTGTTGGGATAGTCCCTAATGTCATAAGTTGTTCCTACATCTCATTTGGATAAAGCTTCTTTAAGGGATATTCAGAAAGCCGAACCTCCTAAGACAGTTTCCTTATCCCTGTAACCCAACCGCCTTGACGAGGGCTCAATAACTAGCAACCCGCGCTGATTTGAACAAAATACTGGTTAATTCGATCAATGGCGATCAAGCGGCCACAATTATTTACCTGCACGCGGACAGGCACATGACAAGAAGTATGAAAGAACTATGTGGTCCTCAAAATAACCAGAGCCCAATCATTGCCAGAGCCTGTCTTATTTGCGTAGGAGGTTCTTCGTGTACACCAAATGACACCAAACCTCAATTTCCTTTTACCAAATTTGGAAGAAATTTTTCAATGTGTCTGATCTGATGGTATTAATTACGTCATTCTATTTTAAGATGCCCAGTCCCTTTTTGCATTCAGTTACGCAAAATTATGCAATGTACATCAAACAATAAAATATCTTGTAACGGTCCAAAACACATGCTCAAAAGGACAAATTGGATGTACAGCAATCCATATATTCTTTAATTTCATCTTATTAAGGTTACTACAAAGAGACCCATTTATTGATAGGCAGGGCTGTCTCGACTTGCTTCAAACACTGCACAGGCATAAACTTGTATCCCACTAAAATTAGGCAGGAAAAAGGTTGTTTATAGTGTGGCCTGCCAGTGAAAGGCCCATAAATTTGTATCGGATTTTGAAAGGAAAAGATGCCTCCTATCGCGGAGAAGCAATCCTCGACTTTGGGGCAATCAAATGGTGACGTATCTGGGCAAAATTTGGATACTAATGGTGCTGCAGAAAACCTGGAAGTGAAAATTATCAATGGGAGTAAAGAGACGCATGCAGCCAATGAAAGGTAAATCTGAAGTCTAAAACAACGTAGGGAAGTCTAAAACCTGCTCGTTCCCATGATCGATAATTAAATCATTGCCAAGTAGGCCACTCAAATGTCAGTCAGTCGACTTCTCTTGTGATTCACCTATCAGATAGGAAACATGAATATTTCTTGGTTCAGTTTTGTTGAAAGCTATATGTTGCACAAGTGCTTATCAATCTTTTACAACGTTTTTCAGATCCCGTTTTTTCTAAAAAAGCCAAGCTGAGGACGTCAGAAATTATTTTCGTGTTATATAATTTTCTTTGTGTTTATATACACGAGATTGTGTGGATGTTAGCACGTTGTTAACTAAACTGTGCACTTTTTCGCTTGAGGTGCTTTTGCTTCCAGTAGGCAATGCCAACTCAACGAGACGTGACGGAGCAAGAGGGGACGTGATTGAGTCCTTTTTCTTTCCATTTTACAAAAATTCAGGGTCGGCAGGTGATTTTTGAAGGCGAATTATTTGCACAATCGCAACTGTTTTTTTCATTTTAATCCAAATATAGACACGCTACTAACAAAGAAAGCAAAGTTCACCATTGTTCTTAGATAGGGGGCTTTCAAATGCAGTGTTTCTTTGTGAAGATCCTTACTTGTGTCACGCGATTTATGGGGATGGAATTATCTATGAAGGTTAATCAAATTTTGGCAAAACACATTTGAACTGTTGTTTGGTATATTGTGGTTTAAGTTTCTTGCAAATCAGGATACTTCCCAGAATGTAAGATTCATGATAAAGATAGAATGTGCAAGTTTATCATATTTTACCTCAGAATGTATTTCACCTCAGAATGCAAGTTCTTAAGAGGTGAATATGAATCAAAAATTATAATGACTGTAGATTAATAAATTTAAGATGACCCCTATAGTGTGAATGGCAAACCTCCCATTCATTGCCATTGGAAATCTGGATAGCTATCTCCTGTCAAAATTATATGGAAATTATTTATCCAGAGTGCGTGCATGTGAACTTTATACCTAGCCACATCACTGTATTCCAGAAGTCTATGTTATTATGCTGAAAATAAACATGTGTATTCTACCATATTCACAAGGAGCATTACTCTAGGTCAGATATCCTTAGGCACACTGGAGTATTATATATCAGAAATTTCTTTTAAGCTTCTGATAAGTTTTGATGTTGTTAAACCAACTGCCTATTATAAACAGCAATTTGAACAAACAGCAGTTATTAAGAATGAAACTTGATGGGGAAATATATAGCAATGTGTTATGATTATAAATATTTGTCAAATTCTCTTCCAGTGTTGCATCAAATTCCAGCAAAAATAATGATGCTAATGAGAGCTCATCTAAGGATGACAAGACGAAGGAACCAGAGAAGCTTGTTACAACCAAGGAAGTGGTAAGACATTTTTGTTCTACTTCTATTCATTGTAGACCTTTACTAGTAGATACATTGATGCTGATATGTTTCAAATTTTTAGTAACTTTCAACTGAAACTAAATTTGTATTTTATAATCCTAGACACTAGAATAACTTCAATTTTGAACTTTAATTTTATTTCAGTTCCAGTTTGCTGATAAATGGGACATCATTTGTATGATATTAGGAACAATATTTGCCATGGGAAATGGTGTTGCCCAGCCATGCTCATTTCTTGTTTTTGGTGAGCTGATTGGCAAGTTCATTTCATTTGCAACTGAAGCTGCAGAAATAGCAGCAAAAGCGGCAAATGCTACAAAGACTGGAAATGCCACAAGTAGCCCACTGCCAATTGCCATGATTGATATTGATTCAGAGATGGAAACATTTGCAGCTTATTACACATACATTGGAATTGGAACAATTGTTTGTGGATATGTGCAAACTGCTTTTTGGTCTGTAGCAGCTGTAAGGCAGGCTCATCGTATTCGTACCAATTGCTTCAAGTCAATAATGGGGCAAGAAATTGGATGGTTTGATACCACAGACAGTGGTGAATTGAGCACTAGACTAACTGAGTGAGTTTCCATAATATACCCAGCAATGCAGGGACTGGCCTAGTCATTTATTTTTTTAACAGTTGAGATATGAATTATTCTTATTTTTTAGGCATGTTATGTTAAAACCTTACTTGAAATATCAACATTTGCAAGATAAAGGTTGATTTTGCTTTTGCCCCAGCACTTTTTTGTGCTACTTTTAATGATGATATTGTTTATAGAAACTATTGTCCATATAGATAAAAGGTATCAACATAACAAAATCAACCAAAAGATGTCCACGCTATCTGAATGTACACCATTATTATTTTGATATTATGACACTTTAATAAAATATTGAAGGATTAAAGAAAATTGCCAATGTCAGGGGAGGATGATTTTCCTGTCATTTTCAACACTGGCAGTGATTCACAGCTAATAATGGCTTGCAAGGAAATCAAAGAACAGGGCATGGGCTATTGGTTGCTGCAAATTGCCAGGGCTGTAGTTAGTTCAATGATTTACAAAGATAACAAAGTTTACATTGACAAGTAAATATGTAAAGCATTTTGTAAACGTATAAAACATTTTGTAAGGTTTTCTTACTTTTGGTTAACCTTCTTCTTGTAGCTAATCTTAGCATTATAAAAATTCCAGATTTTTCTCATTTTGCTTTTCTGAAATACATATGTGATATTTTTTATCATTTTTCAATAGTGATGTAACAAAAATTCAGAATGGGATAGGTGACAAGGTTGCCATGGTTGTCCAGTCAATTTCCATGTTTTTAGCTGGCTTTCTCATTGGCTTCATTTACAGCTGGAAACTGACTTTGGTTATTCTGTCAGTTACTCCAGCTTTGATGATCACCGGAGGCATTACTGGAAAGGTGAGTTGTAAAGCCTAACAAAGGAGCCAAACCAAACAAAACCAAACCAAATAAAAATAAACAAAACAAAACCTAACAAAAGCAAACCAAATCAAACATAAACAAACCAAATCAAACCAAATCAAAGCAAATCAATCAAAACCAAACATAACTAAGACTAAACTAAAACTAAAACTGAAACTGAACCAGACCAGACCAGACCAGACCAGACCAGACCAGACCAGACCAGACCAGACCAGACCAGACCAGACCAGACCAGACCAGACCAAACCAAACAACGGTGAAAAATTTCAACCAAATCAAAGAACATTAATCTATTTGCATATTTGGGATACATGATAACAAACAAAAATAAATTAAAAAAATCTTATGAAGAGCCTTAATGTCCAGATGCGTCTAAGCTCCTGAAACACTCACTTAACTAGCCAATAAGAAAACAGACAATGTAATTCTAACAACAACAAAGATAACAGTTAAATAATCCATATCATGACATAAGCATTCCCTGTTTATTAACAACTGGTTTAGCTGTACTTTCATTTTTTAAATCATTTTGAGGTCCTTTTTTCTATATATGTTTGCAGGCTTTAGTAGAGCAAATACATCATGACACTGAAAATTTTTTAGTCTCATAATAATATTTTTGCTTTTGCCCCTTATTCTCCTTATAGGTGCTCCTTATTCTTTCTATATGAGAGCCATCAAACAACAACACTTACATAAAAGATAAAATAGACTTGTTGTGCACAATATTTTCACTCAAATTCCCTAAAATGCTAACAACATATCTCTATGTCAAGTGCTGTTTATGTTCACCAACTATTTCTAGCACTGGAACCCCAATATCCTGTGTGTGCCTCAGCCCCACAGTATGGTGGTATCACTTCAACTGGTTGATTAAATTATGGTATTACCACTGTCATTATCAAAAATATTTTCATAAATACCACTTTCAGTATGCTTGAACTTGTTGTCAGCTTCAAATTGACATCCGCTTACCTTTTAAGTTTCCATCTTTTAAGTTTCCATCTACAAGCAGAAGTTAGCAAACCCAATTGTCAGAAAAGACCTTCAAATGTCATTATTTTGGAAGCCTGTCAAACAGTCCAACCAAAGTTTCCTCTCACTTGATTTATCTTCCTTCTTTTTTAAATTTCAAAAGCACGCATAATGCCTAAATTTCTTGTTCATTTTCTTGACTTGGAATCACAATTTTCTTCCCATATTCTTCAAATATTGCTGTAATTAAAATCTGTATTTGAATGGAATAATTTCCTTATTTTTTATCTTTCGTCTTGCTCAGACCTTTAAATGCTCTCTCTTAGTATCAAGCAAAGTTTGCGCTTCGAAGATGAGGATCATAACATAAAACGAGGGTCTTCAAAAATATATAATTAAGTAAATAAAAAAGGGTCATTGCGAGGGTCATATTTTGTCAATACATGCGGTGTTAAACTGTATAGCGATGGAGTCTAATTCTTACTCATTTTAACATAAGTGGCATTGGTTCCTTCAGAGAGTCAACTTCATGATTATCTTCATAGGTCATCGGGAATTTAACAAGTCAGGAACAAACTGCCTATGCAAAAGCAGGTGGCATTGCAGAAGAAGTGCTGGGCTCAATTAGGACGGTTGTTGCCTTTGGAGGAGAGAAGAAAGAATATGAACGGTAAATTGTTTTCCCACAAAATTATGCTGTTCAATGCAGCCAAGATGATCTTGATTGCAAAGTTGATCAAAAGTATGGCCTAACGCTAAATTTGTGCCTCGCGATTTTACCAGGTAATTTGAATTTAAAGCATTGAAAAAATTATATGTAAAAAAAAGGCCACAGCTTACTTGAAAAACGCGTGAATTTAAATTGAGAAACAGGCAATGCTAAGGGTATCCTAATGGTAATTGCTTTTTTTTTCTTGTCTAACAAAGTTGATTTGTTTCACAGGTATTCGTCAAGTTTATATGATTCTCAGAAGGCAGGCATCAAGAAAGGAATGTCAACAGGGATCGCGTTTGGCCTTTTTCATGTTGTCATCTTCAGCTGCTATGCTTTGGCGTTCTGGTTAGTCTTCAGCTTTCAACGGAGCAATTTCAACAACACTATTTTCATCCAATGCGCCTTAATATGAAAAATATGTCAACAGAAATTGTTCCTTTTTTTAATCGATATGTGGTACAGGCCTTTAAAATTGATTATAAGAACAAAGGCATTTTTATTGTTTCCAGTCCCCCTTATATTTATCGCATTGTAAAAAATATGGCTGAGCGCTGGAATCGTGTTTAGGCTATTGTTCAAGCTATTGTTCTCGTCAACCAATCCACAACGAGACAGACTGCCTTTAAACCTTGATACAAATTTACAGATTTGTTGTCTTCTATTGTCACTATTACTCAGCTTTTGTTAACAATTTTCACATTTAATTGAATGCCCCTGTTCTCGCTGCCTTTTGTCATTCAATTCTTTCATATCAAATCAATAACAAATCCAAGGGGTGTATGCACAGCCTCACTGAAAAAGAATTAGACCAAATAATAGGGAGCACCAAACGCTCTTTTAACCTCCAAATCAAAGAAAGAATTTTGCGAAATGTGGGAAGTATACAACATTTTAAATGTTTAGACATAAGGTTTAAAGCCATTTTGTTCTTCTTTCAAATACACATGAAATATATCCTGCAACGTTGAAAAATATTGAAGCATATCGTGAGTCAAGCTTTCAAAATTTCTTTCTAAAATTTAAAATCTCTAGGTATGGTTCACAACTAATCGCCGACAATGAATTGAACGGAGGAGACGTTCTTGTCGTAAGTATCTCAGCATTTTAATCTCTATCATTTTTTAAAGCTAGTGTCCAAAAAATCTTCCCATGATCTTTAGATAATTTCCATTAGTACAACACTGTGAGAAGAATGTGTGAAACCAAGAAAGATTTCATTAACATTTTTGTAACCCTAAAGAAAGACAGTACCTTTGGTATTGATTATTTTAGTAATATGCATTTCGATGTATGAACCAATTAATACACAACATGATAGTTACTATGGTTGAGTCTAGTGAAATCAAAAGGGCTTCATCCAGAAGAGACCATGTGTATGAGCCACTTGAGAGCCATCCCATTAGATCACTATTGCAGTTCAGTATTTTCTTTTATGTTAAATGTGATTTGCGTTATAAAGTGCATCTAACAAGAATATGAAGGATTTTTGTATAACAAGATGATTCTTTGCACAACAGGTTTTCTTCTGTGTCATGGTTGGCGGTGCTCAGATAGGACAGGCGGGTCCCAACATGGAGGCTATAGCAAAAGCGCGTGGAGCTGCCTATTACGTTTATTACGTCATAAACAAGGTGCATGAACGAAGTCGATTTAATTATTTTTGTTAGTCATTGTTTTATTTGTCAGATTAAGGAATCCTTGCATTGGCTTTTCAGTCAATATAAATTAAGCCTCCCATTGTTGAAATGTTAAATTGCAATGGTGTGATGAGTATCTTGATTATAATATTGCAGTGGTATGATGAAATCTTTTAATCCCTTTTACAGCTGTGTCAATTCAATTTAAGCATTGTCGATCCGGAGTTGGTTATTGTGTTATGAAATACAGTCGTTCGGAAACTATAGCAAAAATTAGGGAATTAGTTACATTTTCCAAAATTCTTTCATTACTTGATCCTTTGAAGTTATTTTCAAAATGGTTACTAAAAGAAGGAAACAGCACAGCCTAACTTCACCAGTCATTCTGGGATTCGATTTCCTTTATGGGTTGGTTATACTTCTTTTAACTGGTACTCCCAAACCTATCTGAGTTACTTTCCCGAGGTCTTGCATGATGTGTTTTAAAATTTAATTGGCAGATGTAATTGGAAAAACTCGAATTGATAGAAACGTGCTGATTTATATGCTTGATAATGCTGAAGTCACAACATGATTCATGTGAAAAATGTTGGCGTCTTTGTATGGTAATGGGTATTTCTTGCTTTTTGTGATTAGAAATCGGAAATTGACCCATTTTCTGAGGAAGGACAAAGACCAGATCGAATGCTTGGGAACGTACAGTTCAGCAAGATTCATTTTAATTACCCTTCAAGGCCAGAAGTCAAGGTACTCTTTGATGTTTATTCTAATAAACTGCAGTCAGAAGTAAATGCATTTCGAATTTTCATCTATAATTAGCTGTGTGTTATTTTATTGAAAATAAATTCGTTGTCAATAATTTTGACAGTTCCTATTTATCGCTGTCAGTCATTTTGGCAGTGCAAGTAATTCGCTGTCAATCATTTTGGCAGTGCAAGTAATTCGCTGTCAGTCATTTTGGCAGTGCAAGTAATTCGCTGTCAGTCATTTTGGCAGTGCAAGTAATTCGCTGTCAGTCGTTTTGGCAGTGCAAGTAATTCGCTGTCAGTCGTTTTGGCAGTGCAAGTAATTCGCTGTCAGTCATTTTGGCAGTGCAAGTAATTCGCTGTCAGTCATTTTTTCCATTCTTTTCCTTGCAGATCCTCAAAGGGTTTAGTCTTGATATCAAAAGTGGCATGACTGTTGCTTTGGTTGGTGAATCTGGTTGTGGAAAAAGTACTGTTGTAAAACTTGTTCAGAGATTTTACGATGCAGTTAACGGTGGAGTAAGTGTAAAACAACAATGCTATAAATTTTGAATGTTTAATCAATTTTTAATACCTTTAATAACATCTTTAATATCGTCTTAAACGCTGCTTTTATAGCGACTCTGCAACTGAAGCCAGGAACATGTAGGTAGATAAATTTTTCTGATGTGAAAGCTCGTAGCTTGTAGTTAAGGATGGTGTTAATGACAATGCGAATAACCAAAAGGATAAAGCTGAGTATCACAAATTCAATCGTTGCCATGAAAGCTTTACATGTTTAATATAAATATTATGTGTCGTATTATTTTTGGGTGTTTCGTCGTATAATTGCGGTTTAATTATTTTCTGAGACCTAAATAAAGTTAGAATTTCGATATGGTTGCCGTGATTATCTTTGAAAGATAATTGCCTGAGATGTAGGTTTAGCCGAAGAGAAGGCTGAGTCGTGAAATCAGCTTTGCTTGTCCAGTTAATGTGTAAAATTGCCTTTCTTTATTTGCAGGTCATGATAGATGGCATTGGTATTGAGCAACTGAACGTCAGTTGGCTGAGGAGGCACATTGGTGTTGTGAGTCAAGAACCAGTTTTGTTTGAAGGATCAATTGCAGAAAACATTCGCATGGGTAAAGATGATGCCAGCGACCAGGAAATTGAGCAAGCTGCACAAAACGCCAACGCACACACATTTATTTCCGAATTGCCCAAGGTAGGATAAAGGTTCAAAGTAGTAGTTTCTCAATAGGAATATCTCTCAACAAGGTCTTGATTTTTGCTTGTTAAAAGATCATTTCTTTTGTTTGCCATGTGCCTTATTTCAAATCTTTTTCTTTTTTCAAGGGTTATGACACCTTCGTTGGCGAAGGAGGTGCCCAGCTCAGTGGAGGTCAAAAGCAGAGGATCGCAATCGCGCGTGCCCTCATTAGGGATCCGAAGATTTTGCTGCTTGATGAAGCAACGTCTGCCCTTGATACCGAAAGTGAGAGTATCGTCCAAGCTGCATTAGATAAGGTACTGCCTAGGCTACACGTATACTTTAGGGATTTCCTCAACAACCTTTCCTGTTGCTCTCTGCGTTGACATTTTCTATTCACTGTTTAATTGATTTTTAAGAACTTGCCCCCAACTTGCTGTGATTTTAGACCATTTTTATTAGCACTCTCCACCTTCTTTGCACCGGCAATCAAGAACCTTTCCCACCGTTAAGTCTGAAAACATTTATTGATGGTTTATACCAATCTTTCCACTGTGCATCTTACTCTTAAAGCGTTTATTTTTATTATTCACAAAAGCAAGAGTCGCCCTAAAAACAGGATAGAGGAAGTAAAGCGTTGCAGGATATGCAGAATTTTCATTGCACATAACATATAAGATTTTTAAACCTGTCTCTTAGTTTTGTTTTGCTGTCTGAAGTTAAAAGTAAATCAACTAGAAATGTTTCGTATTTAGGCATTTGAACCATTCATGTTTAATCATTTGTTTGAGTCTGGATCAGTTTGATTATTTAAATTTCAGGCCAGCCAAGGAAGAACAACGATAATAATTGCCCACCGGTTATCAACGGTTCGAAATGCTGATCTGATCGTGGCAGTCCAGGATGGTGCTGTTGCAGAGCAAGGGACTCACGATGAATTGATTGAAAAGAAAGGGGTCTATTACCAACTGGTTATGCTGCAGACATTAGCAGAAGAACTGGACGATGAAGAGAAGGACAATCTCTCTTTGCTAAGTGAAGAGGACCGAGGTAACCTAATTGCAATGAATGGCAACCCTACTTTTTTATCTATATGTTTTTGCAAGGTCTTTAGAGCGATGTGAGCACCATGTTGGGCAGATCATAATGGTTGCCCATTCTAACCTTAGAATAGCTGTATTTATCTGTGAATCATGATTTAATCCTTCTACAAATCACCTCGTTAGCTAACCAGCTAAAGAGAAACTATGACAAGCTTTTAAGTTTTTGTGCAAATATAAGGTAGTTGATCTAAAAGTAATAACAATGTGAGGAATAGTTTATTTATTATCAACGAGTTTAATGCTCTTTATCTTTTGCCAGCTGCAAAGAAGGGCATTAATTCTATTATTTGATTATGTTGTTTGTTGACTTTCTTAGATTAGAGTGGATTTTTGAGCGTTATAATTGTCTGGCATTGGATAATATACTTGTTCTGTATTTATAAGTTTTGTTCATTGCAAATACAAACTCGATCTTTGCACAATCCCTTTGAGTATCAAAACAGAGGTTTATGTTAGAAGAGGAACAGGAGCTAAAGTATTATTTTATTTGCTTATCTTTAGAACAACAAATAGCATTGAAAGTTATGAGGCAAGTCTCAAATCTATCGCAAGGAAGTGAAGAGGATATAAAAGAGGTCAAGGCTTTGGAAAGAGTTTTAAGCAGAAAATTATCTCATAAAGGTGCAAAGCCTGCTGCCAAAAGTCAGAAAGAAAAGGTAGATACATTCCCAGTCTATAATTGGTATTACACTGAGTGAGCTCACCGTCTAGTATTGCTTTATTCCCACTCAAAGATGTTGATTTACTCCCGCTGAAGACAGACTACACCGAACCCTGATCAACTGTATGTAGAGTTACTGCAATTGTGCATGTGTGAACCTCCAGCGTTTGGCGTCGTGTTCGAAAATATAGGGAGACTGTTGACGCAAGATTGGCATCTGACGACCTTAGAGTAGCATGATAAAATAAGAGAACTACTAAAGTAGTAAGAACTACTAAAGTAGTCTAGCTTAATTCCCCTTTCGTAGTCCGTTTCTCAGTGGAGCAGGCTCCGTTGTCCAATTATGATTGCGTATGGTTGAACAGATTAGGCCTCTACAAAGAGAGTGACCCTTTGCTGTTTTATTTCTATCGTGTTTAAGTATAGTTTCTAGCTGCTTTCCCTTGGTCAACTCGAATCATCTTTCGTCTGTTAGTGTACCATTTTCCAAAGGCAAAATGGCAAGATCGAGAAGAAAGGTGAAGATAATGTGTTCTTTGCATCCTGTAATTTAATAGCACGCTATTTTTATCATTGACTAGCTCATCCTAGCACTGCATAATCTATTTTTTTCTAACGGCTTTTTTATGGAAAGAGCCCTTTCTAACGGCTAAGTTATGTGGTAATGAAACCAGCGTTTTTTTCAGGAAAAGAAGGACGAGGAGGTGCCAGAGGAAGAAGTTGAAATGCCATCTGTTAAGAGACTCATGCTGCTTAACTCAACTGAATGGCCATATCTTGCAATCGGCAGCTTTTTTGCAGCCATTGTTGGAGCTTTCCCCGTCGCTTTTGCCATAATTCTTAGTGAAATTCTTAAGGTAACAATACCTCTTTAGTATTTCTGTTTTATTTATCATTGTTCGCTTTTTTGATCCAATACTGTTATAAATTTGATTGCTATTTCTTGCCCAAGATCGAATAACAAGAAGGATTGTATTTTGGTTATGTTTGGAAGATTAGGTACCATACCTCCACGCGTGTACGGATATATATGCTGTTCTATTTGCATTGTCAAATTTCTGGCCTATTTTATTGAGCATGTCACCCCGCATAGCTCTGCTGTTTTGCTTTGCTTCAGATTTCAGACTTGTAATGTTGCACTATGCTTAAGTTGTGCACAGACATGCAATATTGTTGTTTGACTATAGCGTTAAAGTTGTTTGACTTCACTGAATAAAACCACGGCCAAACGCTTGATGGCAATTTGCAAGACCAGCTTTGAAAGTGTGTGTTACGGTTTTTCTAGACCAGGACTGTAAGATAAATAGGTAGTCAAGGTACAGTTTTATGTTAACTAGCGTGATTTTCTTGTTGAGAAAATGTTTTACTTCAATTAACAACTTTGCAATTTTGTTTCAGGTCTTTGCAGATATTGATAAAGCAAAGTTAAAAAGCGATGCAGAATTTTGGGCACTGATGTTTTTGGCGCTGGGAATAGCTGATGGGGTGTCCCTCTTTACATCGGTAAATATACCCTCACTACTGACTGTATATATTTTTATCTAGGGAGGTTTTTTAGTTAAAATAAATGCAAAATCCTAAGCTATATCGTTATAAAACCGAGAAAGTTTGGAATGTTTGAATTTTGCAAAAGCTTCACATTCACATGGTTGCTAATCATTTTCATGGCCACATGGTTGCTTCTCAGTTTAGAGGTTGCTTTCTTCCACATTAGTTCTTTTATGAAACGTGATATTTAATTGTTTCCGTTAAAATTCATCCATACGGGAGTTGACTTTGAATTCAAAGGGTAAAATGCAATTCCTTTGTATGTCCCTGCTCATCTTTGTTGTTAATCGATTTCATCACACTGCTTTCTGAGAAATCATTCCACTCGATGCAGCGGCTTAAACTTCCGCTTTTAATGACAAATTTTCATTTGCTTTTAGTCATACTGTTTCTCAAAAGCTGGCGAAATTTTAACGTTGCGGTTGCGTCAACTGACATTCAAAGCACTTCTCCGTCAGGTTGGTTTCTTTACTTCCCAGTTATCGAGACCTTCTTATCTTAACAGCTCCACTAGTTCCTATTTGGAGGAACCATATTGTGTAAAGCATTTGATCAACGCTTGCAGGGTCTCTGACGAGGATCAAGGCACCCCATGTCTAATAAATTATTTTACAAAAGTAAATGATGTTGGTCATATAAGACAATTTGATTTATAGGTAAGATCGACTTACTGATGCCTTAAATTATAACTGACAAAACACGATATGTATTACCCTGGTTATTTTGCCAGTGTTTTCCAGGGTCTATTTCAGGTGATCTTATTTGTGTCATCCCATCCCTATGTCTATTCCTGAACAAATTTACCGTTTTTGAACGAGTATAAGTTTCTTAATGAAATTAAACCTGGCCATTGGCCCAAATGACCCCGCTTCAGCATTTTCTTTAAACGCAATACCATTGCTCCAATTGCTTATTGTCCGTTTCAATTTCTTTTCCAGGAAATTGGCTACTTCGATGATCCAGCGCACTCGACTGGCGCCCTCACAGCCCGCCTGGCAACTGATGCCACAGGAGTTCAAGGGGTACATGTTCTAATACCTATTTTTAAATTTCACTTTTACTGTCGTCAGTTTATTAGTCGTCACTGATTGGTCAAAACAAGTAACCAATCAAATGCACTATTCTTCTTTCAATTCTACTTTCAATCCGCATGTGGTTATGATTTTTCGCCTACCTTTTTGGTGATTATACGCTGATATTATTCTTCAGTATGACATTTCCTGCTTTTCTCTGCTATTTCTAGTTCATTTGTAAAATTGTTATGAATCTGTTTATCTTACTCTTTGATTTGACTCGATGTCTTTTGCTTCGATAGGCTACAAGTCTTCGTTTGTCAACAATGGTTCAAGTTGGTGTTATGGGCCTAACCGCAATAGTTATCGCATTTGCCTATGAATGGAAATTGACATTGCTCATCTTCGCATTCGTTCCGTTTTTGATGATAGCTGGCGGTATGCATACGAAAATGATGACTAGTTTTGCCGAAGAAGAAAATAAAAAGATTATAGAAGCTGGCGCTGTGAGTTTGTCGTCTTTTCTCTAATCGAGCATCATCTTAAAATAATATGCAATAGAGTTCTTAAGTGATATGGTCACAATAATCTTATTTTAAAAAACCTTGAATTTTGTTCCAAAAACCTGAAAGTGCACCGTGAAATGCCACTGAATGTGCAAAACCACTTGAAGGTATTCCGAATTGACAAAGATATGACCAGATGACGAGCAGAACCAAAATAACAGTGATCCATTAGCAACTTGAAAATCTTTTATTGGCTATATCTCACCCGGTTTTGACTCATTGGCCTGATTTTGCATATTTGGAAGTATTTCATGGAGTTCTTTTATGTTATATGTCAAAATCTAAAAACTCTATGGGTCTTTTTTAATTCGAGTGACACTGAATTTCAGAATATGTTTCCCATTCGACAATTACATAGGCTCATAGCCAGTTATTGGCCATTTCAAAGAACTCTTTCTTAATATGGTATCCAATCGATCCGAAAAACGTACGCCTTTCTGCTGAAATTATTTTCAACAAGTTATTCGATGGAATTTGATTTTGTTTCAGGCTGCAACGGAATCAATTATCAACATTCGTACTGTAGTTTCCCTTGGAAAAGAACAGCTTTTCTGGGAGAAGTATATGTCCTTATTGCAAGGCCCGTACGAGTAAGTAGCTGTTTTACCTGCACCTTCTGTTTGCAAATGTTATTGTTTCTGAATCGAACACGTGGGATTTGTCTGGATGGAAAATTTGAGGCCTTTATCCCTCTCCACATAGTTCAACGGCTCATATCCCAGTTAGACTACCGAAATATCATATATCAGAACCCTATACACAATCTTCAATTTCTGTCTTAGAATGGAAGGTGTAATGGACCGTCTTATGTTGGGGAGATGTTATTAGAAATCAATTTTTTCTAATACAATAATGTACAGTGTTATTAAAGTATTATCATTCTACGACTGTAGTATACGAATCAAATTGGGTCGTATTGACCAATTGATGCTTGGAAATCGTAATCTGCAGGCCCAAGTGCTTGTCTAATCAGTCCTATCTTATAGGCACAGCGAATCATCATTTCATATCAAAGTTGACTTCAACAACTTCACACGACTGTAGCTTCCTGATAAGACTAACACCGAACCTGTCCAAATTTAGAATTAACTCTTACTCTATGTCTGATTTTTCTACGTAGGAACCCGGGACACTGAGGCACGTGCCCCCCCCCCCCCCCCAATATTTTGCAGTTAATGTAAAGTGCCTTTTTCAGAATGTGCTTTTTCATTTTTCCGTAAAACAACGAGTTTAATTAGACTGCAGGCACAGTGCCCTTCCAGGTCAAGAACTTCCTTTTTAGTAATCCCAATTTTGAAACTTTTTCCAGCTGTGTATCGCTATTCATCAAATGCCCAGTGCCCTCAAAGTGTCGTGCCCCCAAGTTTAAGATGCTTCCTATGGCCCTGTATGGGGCAATACTAGGCCTTGTTATAGAGCTGAATAGATTTTTTTGTCAATTTGGACAAGGTAGATAGCCTAACAATTCCTAGATGCTAAATCGATGGAACAGCCATGTTAGATTCGTTGTTCGTTTACTGCGTCATAATTTATTTTTTCTGTCATTTCCAGGAAATCGAAGGTGCGATGCCATTTATATGGTATCAGTTTCGGTTTTTCAATGGGTATCATGTTTTTCTGCAATGCTGCTGCCTTCAGATTGGGAGGATATTTAGTTCAAAAAGGAGACGTTGCATTTCACGACATGTTTAAGTAAGTAGGAGAAGTCCTAGGTGAACAGAAATCCACAATGTCATTTTTCTTGTATCATGTTTGCTTCATGTTATATTTTCATTTTATGTTTGTTTTTGTATTAGTATTATCGTGTGTAATTTTAGTGTTAAAGGAGACGTATTGGTTATTTGAGACATGTAAAAAAGAGTGATATGGAAACTTTATAAATTACAGCATTCACAATATAAATGCTTTACTGATTTGTGTGCACAAGTTTTAGAGGAATCGAACAACCTTAAAGAGGTATGAAATTAGGCTAAAGAATTTATTTTGAAAAGGATAGGTGTCCTGATTTACTGACGCTAAATTTCTGGCTGCAACTTCCCGTGCCTGTCGAATGATTTTTGCCATGTTTTAATGCTGTAGTCTACTGGGTCTCCACAAGGTTGCAGTCTAATGCCTTTGCTTTTTGCTTTTGCTTTTTGCTTCCCAGCCATTTTTATAATAAGCATTGAATCTGAACATTCATTCTTTTTGATTCAGGGTGATTATGGCGTTGACTTTTGGAGCAATGATTGCTGGACAGATAGCCTCGTTTGCACCCGATTATGTCAAAGCCAAGACATCTGCTGCAAGGATCTTTAAGCTTTTGGATAGAGAGCCACTTATTGACGCATACGACGAAGGAGGCGAGAGACCTGTACGTATTCTTTACTTTTTAGTACTCTCAACCCATTTTATGGCATTGTGTTCTGTACCATACCACTGCAGTATCTTTGTAGTATACATCCATTTTTTTGGTTTATTGTACAATTTACGTTCTTCCGTAAATGTTTGTGAATATTTAGGTTGCAATATGCTTCAAAGGTTAACTAAAAGAAGAAAACTTAAAACATAGGTTCACAGAAAGTTAGAGATTTTTTACAGGATCCTTACAGAGGTCATTGTAGATGTTAGATAGATTTGTGTAACATGACCCAGTACTTCAAATTAACTTGAAAAATGGCCTTCTATCCGTGATTTGATGTTGCCGGGAACCCTTCGTCCCTGTGAGATATTCTGTCAACATTCAAGGTATTTTTAGGTTCTCGTCAGTTTTGTATCAGTGATTTTCATCTGGCGTACAATGATGACCTGTTTTGCAATTTTAACAGAGTCATGTTGATGGAGCAATTGAATTCGACGAAGTCAAATTCCACTACCCAAGCAGGCCAGATGTGACAGTTTTGCATGGGCTGACAGTGAGAATTCAGCCAGGCCAAACGCTAGCTCTCGTTGGCAGCAGTGGTTGTGGTAAAAGTACATCTGTCTCGTTGATCGAGAGGTTTTATGACGTTGCATCTGGAAGTATTGTGAGTGATTTACAGTGTGATATTACTAACAAAGTTTCTTTGTTAGATCCTTAACTCTATTCCACAGTTTTGTAATTCTTTGGCCGAGAAATATTGTGATTTGAATTCGTGACTGGCCGGAACAAACTTCTCCAAATGTACTTTCGGTTAATGCTAACGCATAACTCTTATGGAGTAAGGATATTACATCACATGCGAATGATAGCAAATGCTCTAATGATAAAAAATAAACGAAAATATACCTGACAATGAGAATAAAGTTATTGTGCAGGTGCTGACTGCGCCAGTTCTCTGTTGAACTGTTTTTTAACTTCTTCGTTGTTGCTTTGCACCTCGACTCTGTGAATCCAGTTGAACGTGTTTTTTGTTATAGAAACTGGATGGAGCAGACGTAAGGTCGCTCAATATTGCATGGCTTCGATCTCATCTCGGTATTGTTTCACAAGAGCCAGTTTTGTTCGACTGCAGTATCAAGGACAACATTCTTTATGGTATCCCGGAGGAGGAGAAAGAAAAAATTTCCATGGAGCAGGTCGAAGAGGTCGCAAAATCGGCCAATATCCATCATTTTATTTCAAATTTACCCAAGGTCAGTTTGTGAAATCTTGACTTGAAAATTCATAGATGTAGTCAACGCTAGGTGTATGTTTTTTAGAATGTGAAACCAGTTCTGTGGCCTGGAATGAGGTCAACTCTCAAGCAACCACAGCTTGCGAATATTGAGCTGAAGCCTCTACAATCCTTTCCAAAATTAGCCAGAGCACCATAAAATTCACCTCAAAAATTGACAACCCCAGGATTTTAATATCTCCCGAAATTTTCAATTCTGTCGCTAAACAGCCCCCCCCCCCACCCCCCGTACTATGTTGATTCCTTCATTAGAAGTGTTTTTGCATCCAAGCCATTTTAAGATTGAGGCAGGGCATCTCTAGGGCCTCGAGGTTTTTGGGGCCTTATATGGTAATTAATTTTGTTCCGAGAATGGAATTGATCAAACGTAACAAATGTCTGCAAAAAGTAAAACGTTTTAAATGAGTAAAATAAATCTCCGCCAAAAATATCTAAAATTCATTTTATATCTAAAGAAATTTTAGGGGGCCTTATTTTTCGGTTTTCCCCAGGGCCCCTGGAACCTCTTGGCGGTCCTGCCACTCACCACAGTAGGCGTTCCTGCCCACTGCTCGAACCGCATAATTGGTAAAGAAAAATAAATTTGAAAATCAGGACATTGGCACTCTCCAGCACCGATAGCGATTCACCTTGTTTCCTTTGAGCCTGTCATAGAATGTTATTCACTAAGCTTTAAAGCGGTTAGTATAAAACCTTGAAATGACTTAATCGCTTAATGCTTTTGTATTTGACTGAGCTCACAAAGTGATGCACAGAATGTTCTCTTTAAAGGGGTATGAAACGACGGCTGGGGACAAGGGAGCGCTTATCTCAGGAGGACAAAAGCAAAGAATCGCCATTGCAAGGGCACTTATACGAAACCCGAGCATCATGCTTCTGGACGAGGCTACTTCAGCGTTAGATTCAGAGAGCGAAAAGGTATGTATTGTGTTTGGGAAGAAAATTATCTGCATTCATGATAAATTGCTTCCCTATAACTGTAGTTTCGTTACTTCAAGCACTTACAGCTCTTTGGCAGTATTTGTTTAGCTAGTTATGTTTCCCCGCTTATTTATTAAAGTTTAGGTTTACCAGCTTAAGAAAATTGCTTCGACTTTTTGTTTAGCAAATTTTCGATAATGGAGGCATTCAAATTTCTTGATTTAGTGTTTTTTAATGCCCCTTTACTTTTCAGATCGTTCAGGATGCTCTAGATGTGGCTATGGAAGGGCGAACATCAATAGTTATCGCCCACCGCCTTTCAACCATTCAAAATGCTGACATAATTGCAGTAGTACAGGGCGGCAAGATCATTGAGATGGGAACTCATAGTGAGCTGTTGGCAAAGAAAGGGGCCTATTGTGTTCTGAACGCAGCACAGCTTTAGGGGATCTGCGCCCCTTTAAGGTGTACAGATGATGGATCAAAATAATGCACCATTGCAATATGTCACTAAAGAAAGGAAAAGCCATGTTCTTGAAGAAAGCTGAGAGAAACCTTGTTTTAAACTGTAACGTGTATGTATCTTTCAATCAAATTTTGCGTCCTTCCATTTAGGATAGTGTTCAAGTAATGTTAATCTGCAAGAAAATTTCTGAAATTAACTGATCCCTCGAGAAAACTACTGCTGCAAAGCTCTAGGACTTTTGAATCTTAGGGTTAATGGTGTCACTTAAACCAATTTCACTTAAAGGCTCGTGTGCAACCGGCATGCTTTGCAGCTATATTATCAAAACCGGCCTCATATCCTACTGCATGAAAATACAAAACACAATTTCTCAAGACAGCTGCCGCCAAGCATGCCAGTTGCGCAAGAGCCTTTAAAGGAGATTTGCTGCTAGTCGACAGCGCTTTTTGTGAAAGTCCTTGAGACACCCAATATTTCTTTGTTCCATTTCTGTGTACAACTACCACCTCGCCGCTTCGACTCCCGAAAACAATATTGATTGATAGGCTAGAATCATATCTCACATATTCAGTAAAATCCCACCGTAACGCCATATGTCAATTGGTAGCAAATGATAAATTGGTATTGAAGAGTGATGTGAGTTTTTTGTCTGTGATTGTGGATGTTATCGAGAGCACGTTTGCGCGTTTTTTATGTAATGATTGCCCACCGAAGTGGGATTGTCAGAAAAACCCACACACCCCCTAAGTTTACATCAGTACAAAGAATTAGCTCACGGTGAAAAAGTGAAAAATTACACTATAAACATGAAAAACCACGAAATTCTTCTCAACAGAGTTTACGAGAACCATTTCCTCTGGCAAAAAATTCACTTAACTAAAATTGCGTTAGAGGAACATTAGAGTAACCCTTCGTCAGGATGAAAAAGCTCTATGTCAATATATCTATATCAGGTAATATCTTTATTCTAAATAATTGATGAACTTTGTATGTAAGTAGGGATCTCAGCCCTTTGTCATAAATTTTGTCTTTAATGCTTTTAGTGATGTCAAAGGATGTCAACAGCCTCGGTCTATTGAGCTATATATTGATTCAGTATAACTATCTGCCTAACGGGCTTCTCTTCAAAATTGATTTTTATCGCCTCTACGAAATATGATTTTACTGATTTGTTTTATGCCATTTATCTTTTCTATATATTCAGATGTAGCTCAAAAATATATTTAACGGCCTTTGTAGTTTTTGGCAGTTTTTTTACTTATTATATTATATTAGTGCTTGTTTAGAGATAAAAAAATTGAATTGTTATTAGCTGAATTTGATGTTTTAAGTGTTGTAATAATGGTGATAAACCAGCCGTTCACGTTTTGTTATGCGCTTATCACGTTTTGTTATGTGGTCGATTTGTGATGTAATCAACCGGAAGCACGTCAGAGGATATTTTTTTATCATACAGACTCGGAATCCCTTCCGTAAGTCTGGCTGCCTGTGTAAAATCGGTTTCAGGGGCGAGGCTAGTTGGAGGCAATCAACTGAAAACCGTTAAGAATATGCCCAGGCCCAGGCCATAGCACTTCGGATCCTATATCATGTGACGTAATATTATTGCGGTTCTTAATGCAAGGCTTCCCTACTTATCACGCACTTGTGACGTTTTAAAAATGCAGATTAATGCACATACTCTGCAAGGTATCTTTTGATGCAATGTGGCAGCTTTTGTTCTAGCTATCGGATGAAAGTTCCAAGATGTCACTGAAGTTAGTCTTTGTTATTCTTGCGAGCTCCGCTGTTTATGCAGATCTCGGTAAGGCCTATAAAACATTCAATTTAGATATTGATGATCACAATTCGGTGGCAACTTCTCCATTACAGGGTTCATAAATTGTTATGATGATAAGTCTAAGGGCAGAAGAGAGTCGCTGAAAAACAGCAGGCACCCCCTGAGCACGCCCTTGAATAAGCGTCGTTATTAAGAGGGTACTTTTGTACTGAACAGCTATGCCCGCTCCCGTCGCTCAGCTGTCAGTGCTATGAAATAAATTCCCTAACTTTAAGATGGAGTCTGTTTTGGAATGAACTTATTGATGTCAACGCCCTTGATGAAGTTTAAAAAGTACGATACTGGGATGCCAAAAATTGTATGCGCTACATTCGCACTTGAATCAGTTACAATTACTGTACTTATTCAATTATCTGGGCTTCTCGGGACACAGGATTTCAAGATTCGTGCGGATAATCCGAAATTCCGGATAATTGAAAACATACGAATGACTGCAGAAACCAACATGAATAAACAGGATAATTGAATACTTATGAATACAGTAATTGAATTAGCTTTTATTCTTTTCGAAATCTATAATATTTTATTGTTAATGGTAGGAATGAATTAGTTAACAGCTAGAACCAAACCAAAGTGTTGATAAATTTAAAAGTTATAATTATGATTTTGGTGGCGGGAAACCTACGTCTAGCAAATTTCACACCATTTATTTCGCTTAATCATACTCGCCTAACATCCTCCATTAGCTGCTTCAAATCTTACAAATTTTTTTATCTGAGTTGGAGAAAATAATGAATAAATAGCTAAAATAATTGCTGATCTTCTAGAAGGTTGTGTTTTGCTTTGTTGAGTCATTTGTTTAAAGCATTCGATTAGATGTTCTTCCCTTGTATCCAATGATCTTTATAATTGCCCCCACCGTCTTTATCCCAGAAGTTACACATTAAACCCTTGCCCTCTTTAGCCAATTCAAATATTTTCTAGGAATCGACATTGATTTACAATCCTTCCATTGCGATGACAACGTGGGCGGGAACCGGGATTGTAACAGGCGCGAACTCGACACTCGCATTCTTGTCAATGGTGAATTCGCAATAAGAAAGAAACGAGGATGGAATATTGTTGTTGTCGACCATAGGACTGGAAACATTGAAGCAGCTAAGAATTTTGACACCTGGGGTTCGAAAATAGCTAACACTCGAATGGAGAGCTTCATAACGAATATCAAGAACAAGCGGATTGTGTTGGGCGTGGCTCATGACAAATGGGGTTATAACATGGATCACAGAGGCATAAGAGCATTGGTAAGTTCATCAATGCACTGCGGGAAAGTTATCTGAATTTCAATGTTCGGTTCAGTTGATCTTTCGCAATCCATTTGTTTACACCCTCTGGATTGGCTGAAATGTTATTTATATAAATGGGAAAGAAAGTGAACCAAGAAAGGATCCCTGTAGGACACAACATGTAACAATAAAGTTGTTTAAATTATAGCCACTTACCTATATGCTTTTTCCTATTGATTTTATTGTATTTTATAGATTATTTAATGTTACCTTTTACAATAGTGAACGCACACTAATTAAAACTAACATAAAGAATTTCATGGATCACGTAAGACAGATAACTTACTGCAAAACGAGCATGCGCACTTGTTTTCAAGGAACCAAGTTTAGATCAAATTCTAGAATTTCTATTTATATTGTTGGGGTTACAATTAGAACCTATAAATTTACTTCAATTTTTAATTGAATTTATTTTGTCGACAAAAATGTAACCTCGAGTAGGCTACGACGGACTTTTGGAATGTTGGTCCTTGAGATTTTAGCAAACCTGATGAGAAAACTTCAGGGGGGGGGGTATGTACGTTATCTAGATCGTCACATGTAAATGACATTTCTTGGGAGACAAGAGGTGTTTCCTCCGGAAGAAATGATTTCAAATAGAGAAAAAGGGGCATGGTCCAATGGGCGTGGTCCCTGGAACACCTTTTGTCCCCCCACTTATCCCAGGCTGGAGCCGCCGTTGGGTAATCCTTTAGCAAAAGAATGGGACATGGCGTTGTCTCATGAATACAGAGCATTCGAAACACAAGAGAGAATTTCTAAGATGATCCGCAAAAGGCCAAATGGTTACGTGTCCAAAATAATAACAATCCCAATGCTAGCACTTTCATAGCTGTATTACGTTAAATATAATGTCAAGCTTTATTTTTGATTTCGAGGTTAATTTTGCGACCCCCCACCTCCCCCCTCCCCTCCCCTTACAAGCAGGACAAGACTAGAGACCACCTTTTTCTTTCAGAATTCAATCACTGGCTCTGGTTTCTCAATTAGAAAACAGAGTGCAGCTGCTTTTATTGGCTATAAAGACTCATTTGCGCTTCCAGATGATTTTGCTGAATGGGTGTTCACCCCTAAAGGCAAAGGCCCGGCTCATTTACACGTGATCGTCGGAAAAATCAAATACGGCAACGGTATATTTGAATTTATTAGAACTGACATGAATCTGGCATAATTTAGACTATTTCAAATGCTTTAAGATTGATTAATATATGCTATATCATTGTTCGCTCCATTTTCCCTTGAATTCTGTGAAGCATAGGAACTTTTCGTCCTACTGTGGTTCATACGCATGCGTTATTTTGCGCAGATATGCATTTTACATTGAAGTCACAGGGCTCGCTTGACAACGGCAAGTTGAAGCTGGACGAAATGGAAGGCTACCTCAGATATGAAGGGAAAAAAACAGCCCCGCAAATGGGTCTCAGCGTGTTGACGATTGACCATAGAACTGGTAAAATCTTTGATGAAAATCGCTTCAATGTCCATGATTTTGAAAAAGCTGCAGACGATGCCGTAGCCTATTTTCAAAAACTGCCAAGGAACCTGATAGTCCTCGGTACGGTCTTTGCTGATGTGACGCGTAAGGCAGGCCCAAAATTACCTTCTGTGTTGGTGAGTTATTACGTAATCTATCTGAAATTTCGCTTTGCATGGCCTGTCGTTTGCCAACAACAAGGTGCGACCCTGCTTAAAATTGGAATATCGGGAAGTACCTGAAAATCTATGCTGGGAAGAACCTGAAAAGTGCTGGCCCGTAGGGCTACCAGGCTGCAGCCCAAAGGGCTCCTTATTGCTAGAGGTATTTAAAGGCCCATTTTTCCTGTGAAAACTACTTATCTCTGCTGGGAAGTATCTAAAATTTTTAAAGGAAACTTTGCAATTTATACGGGCTGCATTCTTGAAATCCAAAATCTTGGATTGATCCAAAGTTTGTCAACAGAATGCACCTCTCCTGCTCCCCCCTTTTTCACAGAAGCTTATCTAGCTATGGGTCTATCGCTATTAAGTTTTTGGAACCGATGTTTCATATTCTTTTGACAATAATCGTCATAATATAACCCGGTTGGTAGATTTTAAGATTTTGTTACGTAGATTTTAAAGATTTTTTTCCTCAACGTTACTTCGGGCTGCTTACTCACTTCGCACTCAAGATAAAAGCCTTAAGGACAGCTTTATTAATACAATATTCTCATTGATTTAAAAAATAAGGAATATATGTCCATATATATTTGCTGATTTATTCAAAATTATTTTGATAATTACCTTTGTACATGACCTATGTACATGACTATAATTTTGTAAGCAAAAAGAATGATTTCAACACAATTTCTATACACTTAACAATGCAAACCTATTAGAATATATCACACGCACATTCAAATAGATATGGCTTTAACAACGATTTAAAACTCTCATACCTTATTGTCAAAGACAAGATTTCTCCCTGAGGACGGTTCGGGAGCCTAGCCGATATTGAAATAAAATTACTTATTCCTATTACCTATTATAATATAATATGATATAATATAATATGATATGATATGATATGATATGATATGATACGATACGATACGATACGATACGATACGATACGATACGAGATACGATACGATACGATACGATACGATACGATATGATATGATATGATATGATATGATATATAATATAATATAATATGATATGATATGATATGATATGATATGATATGATATGATATGATATGATATGATATAATATAATATGATATGATATGATATAATATGATATAATATAATATAATATAATATAATATAATATAATATAATATCATATCATATAATATAATATAATATAATATAATATAATATAATATAATATAATATAATAAAATATATCATATATCATATCATAATATGATATGATATGATATGATATGATATGATATGATATAATGTAATGTAATGTAATGTAATGTAATGTAATGTAATGTAATGTAATGTAATGTAATGTAATGTAATGTAATGTAATGTAATGTAATGTAATATAAAAGTTGAATGTACTAAATACAAGTGCACAAAAGGGTATTATTGTCAATAGTGTGAAAAAATTTCATTAGTTTTTGCATAATAAGTTAGAACGCTATAGTTGAAGGGAAATTATGCTATCAGCGGCATTCTGAATGGCCAGTTTGATTTTTTGAAAAATTTCTCTTCAACGTCAGGCTGATGCAGGCTCAATTAAATGTTTCCTCAGGTAAATGAAATCTTGCGACGTTTTAGTATGCATGAACTGTACGCGTTCTTCCCACTTCCTTCTAGGAATTTTTTCACTTTACAGAGTTTTTTCTAATGGAAATCGGCCCGATTTGTACTGGCTCTTCCTAATCAAGTTGCTGTTACTTTGTTTTGGTTCTAAAGTCTATTATTTTGCGTTGCTATGGATATTTTATGTTATCCTTGCAGGTTTTGTGATAAGTTTAGTCGATATTACTTCCGAATCCAACAAATTCATTTTTATTATCTCATACCACATTTTCAATAAATTGACATAAACCTTTGTTTTAAACAACGACAGTTTTCCTTCATTAGTCAAAGATCACCTTCACGCCCTTTCCAAAAGATTTTGGCGTCTCCTGGGTCTTTGTTGGCTATACAGGCGGAAAATCAGCGTTACCTGCCCTAGATTTTCCGTTGGCAAGAATGACAAAAAAGATACAACCAAAGCATTTGCGTAGGCATTTCTTGAAGCTTCACTATTTCACAAGAAGAGGAGGTACATAATTTATGATTTGTTATTTATGTGTACTTTAAGTTGGTTCGCCGCCTTTCTCTTGGCAACAGCCGAAGTTTTTTTCCTGTCCTTTCCTCAAGGATTTAAAGATTTTCTGCGCCAGATCTGTATCCTACATGGGTTATCCTTGACAAAGCAATATTTGTTAGATGTCAGCCCAGGAAAAGCATGCCCATTTTTTCGTTTTAATTCTAACTTTGACGGGAATATAATATCAAACCAATTGCATCTCCCATATGAAACTGTTTCCATTCCATACTTTCTTCTTTGCAAAAATGGTTAAATGGATGGTTTTTATTAGAAAAGTTGGAAAAATATGATCAAGGCTAGAGTCTTTGGTGATGGACCGACTTTATGTTTAGAGCATAACTGATCAGTTAGGGTAATCATTGAAGAAATTGATTGCCTGGGTTTTCTCCATTGCAGAGGTTGACGAATGCACCAATGGACAAGCAATGTGTGGTGCAAACACAGAATGTCGGAACACAATGGGTTCTTATGAATGTCCATGCAAAGAAGGTTTTAAAAAAGTACAAAATGACTGTGTCGGTGTGTATTTTGATGACTGTGTAGGATGTTTTCGTCGAAGATATATATATAATATTAACGAAATCTTTAAAACAAGTAACCAGTTTTGCAGATGTTCAGCGATATTAGGATCTTAAGAAATCAACAGGGTATGATTTGCTACATTAAATATTTGTTGAATATTTGTCAAATATTCCTTTTCCATCAACGCAGACATAGACGAATGCCAAGATGGAACAGCAGTTTGTAGCAAAATAAGCAAATGCATAAACACAGCTGGTTCTTACAAATGTGACTGTGGGAAAAATAGCGATACGGCGAAGCATGGAGTAAATTGCAAAGGTACTTCTTGGATGACGTGTTATAACGTAATAAAATTCTATTCGAATACTTTTTTGGCAAATGAGGCATGAATTGGGTGTGGTATGGCCACATGAGCATAGGCTCTTTTCCCATCAACAACTGTAATTTTGGTCTCCGTTAGCAGACTTCAAATCTTTCATTGGCCATATCTCAGTCGAAATTTAATATATTTAGCTGATCTTGCATATTTAGAAATATTTGATGGTGTTTTTATATTATATTTATGTTGCGGTTTCGTGTTTTTTGTTTTCTATTGGGCAGACGGCTGCCCTGGGATGTTTCTTTTATATACGTTTCTCGTTTAAACAAAATCATCTTCAGAGAACTAACCCAGGCTAGATTTTTGTAGTGTAAATGCAAACTAACCCATGTTCGCCTCAGGTTAAAACAACCCCTCTTGGAAGGTGGGTTCACCCTAGGTCGAAACCTGGTTAGTTTAAAAAACCTGGGGCGAACCTGGGTTAGTTACTTTAGGACGCATGTGTAACGACAGAAATGGCGCCGAATGCAAACAACGCAAAGCGTGAATGCGAGGATTTCCCATTGCACGAAGCCCGCGCTTAAAATACCTGTTTTCAAATAATTGGCGGTTTATTGTATTCTATAAAGTTCACAAAATTAAACACGTTGACGGTCGCCATTTTGCTTATCATCACCTCTTCGATTTTCTGTGTTACGCGTGCGTTGCTATCAAACTAACCAAGGTTCGCCTCTGATTCCGTTTATACTACAAAATTGACAGTTTCAGGCTCGATTTGCGTTACTTAAATCCTAGGGCGAACCCTGGTTGCCACATTTGTGGATTGAGGCGCAGACTAACCCTAGTTAGATTGTATAGTGTAAACAGGGCTTTAACGCTCATTTTGTCTCTTTTATAGACGTCAGTATTGCTGTATACTCATCACATTGTTTTCACAAAAATCCAAAAAATTACATTTGCAAAAAGTTGCCCATCAGGATTGAATTGGATGGAGATAATTTGTTGCGTAAGCAAGAAAGGGGGTTCAAAATCATTGTTCTAAACAGTCAAACAGGAAATATCGAGAAATCGATGACATTTGATACATGGCGAGATAAAAATGAAGGCAACAAGCTTGTATATGCATTGTATACGTTGGAAAAATTGAAAATTGTTGTTGGTGCTGTAATGAGTGACGAAATTAAACATGTGCCTGTTACTGCATGGACGATGATTGTGAGTAATTTTCTAATCAGTTCCTTAATTGATATATAAATTTGAATAAGGATTAATTGACAACATAGTACTTTCTCTAATTCACAGTATTTTCAGATAAAGATCATCAGATAAACACCTTCTCAAAAATATCTAAATGGATGTCTTCCACTCAATAGAATGTCTAGTACGTTTTGATGACAGTTAACTGTCATTTTGACTTTGATATTCACTGAGTATAGAACAGGTGCAATTTCTATGTTGAAAATGTTTTTCGATCTGTGGTGACAAAGCACTGCTCGCAAGCAGTGCTTAAATTGTTCTGAAACTTATGGAAAAGCAAATGTCATGTTGAATCTTTATAATCTAAAGATTTAGTCATTTCGATATTCATCATCATCATCTCAGCCCGTCATGCCAATGCTGGCAGATGGTCTCCACAAATGACTCCACTTGTGGCGATCTTGGGCCTCTTTCACCTACTTCTTTCCTACTTTCTCTTCTATGTCGTCCTTCCATCTGCGTTCTGGCCTTCCTCTGGTTCTTTTTCTATCCATCGGCGTCCATTCAGTTGCATTTTCAGCCCATTTGTTGGTGTTCATTTGGGTAAGGTGTCCCACCCATTGACCTTTGCTTCTTTTAACTTTCTCAAGTATGTCTACAACTTTGGTTTTTGTTCTTATAACTTCGTTCTTGATTTTATCCTTCCTTGTTTCTCCTATCATTGCTCTCTCCAGGCTCCTTTGGACTACAGCCATCTTATTTTCCTGGGGATTGGTCAGAGACCATGTTTCTGCTCCATATGTCATTGCTTTTTGAGGATCATGGACACTGCCATTATTTAGACATTATGGGTGTATTATTTGCCCTTATCTGGTCGTTGTTTGATATCATTTCATACAAAACAAGCTATTTAATCTGTTAGATATTTTTCTAAGTATCATCATTGATTCTGTCACACTTTTCCCCCCAAATTGTACTTATTGGAGCATGTTGACGTTTTAGTTCCATAATTCTTATCTTTGTAGGTTTATAGGTTTGTCTAGAGTGGTAATAAGTGAAAAAGGAAGACATTGTGAAACATAACTGCCAACATCTCTATTATAAGTTGCAAATGACCTTGTACATACAAAAGTCTGTACTTCCAAATGTTTTATTGAATCAAATCTAGTAAGTGGTACGTTGTCGTACAATCTAGGTCGAAAGAATCTTTTGGTTTCATAATTTAGTCAATGTGCGAAATTCATGCACATATTTGATTTTATGTATCAGATGCTGTGATATTATCAGTTAAGAGGAATCTTGACCTAGAATCGTTTTGAAATAACACCCTATTTTCAGTTACTTTTTCCAAATTACAAAAAGGTTCCCAAGTTTCACTTTCCTAGGTTTGAGGAATAAGACACCCCTTTTCCAGTGGTTCTCTGGATGAGCATGGGGCACCTCTGAATAAGAGTGGACGAACTCGAGAACCATGAACACTTAAATAGCTTATATAGTTTTCCTAAAGTTGATTTAGATTTTGTCTCATATCATCTTTTTCAAGAAACAACTGACGGGTGTCAAAGCTCCATCAAAGTTTATGGGTGCATTTGCCTTCATCGGGTTTTCTGGACCAGGAGTCCCTGCATGGGCTGCAGCAAAATCAACACAACTTTATGCCGGGCCGTTAATCGTTAAATCTCGGTTTCAGCTGTTGCCTGCACGTATGTTGTTTCTATACGAATGTACTGCTATTACTGTGCATATAGTTGATTTTTATGTAATAAGTGATCAAGGATCACCTGATGTAAGAATCATTATAAAGAGGTAAAAGAGACTCGAAGATGCACCCAAAGATGTTTGTGGTCTAGGGCTGGGAGCAGAAGAAAAGGGGCGAAATAGCAACGATTCATGGTAGCTTTACGCTATTATGATTTTTCGTTGTCATGATTGTCGATTTTGGTTGTTCTGCAGTTATTTGATTTACAATGATGTTTGAGCCTTGACCGGCATTTTGCTACCGCTATTTTGCTACCGCCATTTTGCTAGAGTGTCGCCCCTTAGCAGTTTCTGTCACATAACACCTTCTGTCAGTCTAGGTAATTCAAGAAGCAATTGTGATATGCTTGAAAATTTCCTTACATTGCAAGATAAACATTTAATTACTTAGATACAAATAGCTCCAATTTAATTAATATTTGTACTATTACAGCACCGTTCTTGTCAGTGAATATTGTGTCTTCCGGCTTCACAAAAAGTAGTATTGCAACGACAGAAATAGAGTTACAAGGAAAGCATTTATCGAGCGACTTGAGACCGGGCTTCAATATCGCAGTTTTGAGTGGCTGGACTGGAACATTAGAAGCAGTTCGCAGTTTTGATACCCGAAGTAAAATGAATACTGACGTCAGCAAAATGGTTGCATTCTTAAACAATTTGCCGGTTGATCGAATAGTAGTTGGTGTCGTCAAGGGCGACGGATACAGCGGGATTCAAAATAATGCAGACGCTCAACAAGCCCTAGTGAGTGTAACCAGTATCTCAAATTTTACAACAACAGCTGATGAGAACAACTTAGGCCCAAAAGGGTCATTCATGGCGCTATAAATATTATATTTTGTTAATATTTTTCACAATCAATTCCTTTTATCATTGATTGTTTATTCTATTTTTTTTTACTAGGTTAGTTGATTTACCTAAGCAATGACACACAAATGTGAGAACATGAAATCCATTTCTATCACGTACTATGAACTGTGGTTGTGATTAATTAGCATTGTCTATAGTTGTGACATACAGATGGTAGATAACCTAATTATGTAAATCCTTTGAAGAATAAACAGCAATATTGGCTATTTTGGTTATTCTGATTGGAATGATTCATTGCAGGGTCGACTGATAGCTGCTCCAGCTAGCCTGAAAACTACTGGCTCAAGCTACGCGTTTATCGGTTCGACTTACACTGGAACAAGCAAAAAGCCGTCTTTCGTCGATCAGCTTGCTGTCGAGCCATGGAAAGGCCCTGCCAAACTGTCACCCATTATTGGATTCGGGTCTAAAGTAAAAGGTACGCAAAAACATCAGATGCTCCAAATTCAATAGTTTATAAGTTTCTTCGATAGTTTGTAATGCACTTTAATTGTTGCTCCCTGGAAGGATATTGATTTATGTTTCATGAGTTGCGCAGAAAATCTGCTGAGTGTGCACCTCCACGTCGATTAATTTTCACACATTATTAAGACATTTTTACCCTTGTGCCCATCTAAGTAATTGGTGCGTTCTGAAAAGGAAAGACTAACTCATGTCTTACTGTTTGTCTAGAGATCACCGTAAAGCTTGTATCAACGGGATGTGATGACCAAGGACCCCACAGAATCGGAGGTGTGAAATGTCACGAAGCTGCTTCCTCCATTGCAATCAATGGAAAGGAACTGGCATTAAATGGCAGAGGCATTAACATCGTTGCCATCAGCCGAATATCGGGTCATGTTCTAAACAGAAAGAGGTTCGACACAGCGAGAGCCCATTCCGAGGCTACAAAGATGGTGGAATTCATCATGGCATTGCCTCTTTCTGCAGTGGTCTTTGGTGTTGTTAAAGGTGATGCATACGAATATGCGCACACAGCAGCGTTGAAAAGTGCAATGGTATAGACTAACTTTCTATGCTTTGCATTCATATCTTCAGGTTGAAAAGTTTCTGCTTTTTTAATTACTAATAAGATAATAGAAGTAGAGAAGCATAGAGAAATTTGTAAAAAAAGGATAAAGAAAATAATGTAGAAAGGGATGGGGAAAGAGTGAAAAAAAGTTGGAACAGAATGGAGAAAAGAGTTGACAAAAAGATACAGAAATGGTTGGAAACGGGCCATGGAAAAGAGTGAGGGTCATCATTTATCCAAAGGTTATGTGTATCCACTCAGACTGTTGTTCTAACTTCGTTATCTCCAAGTGTTTTCATTGGCTTCATTTCGCTAAAGAATTTTTTTGCATAGAAGCCATGAAGCAAACTGAACGTAATCCCTACCCGCTTTCAACTATGTACAACCGTCCTGACGTTTCCAAGGTTGCTTGATTCATAGTCGGTTGAAACCCAACAAAGAAGGGTAACAAAATGATGTAAAAAAATCCCATTTTCCTATTGTCTGTCACAGAATTTCGTAGCTGATATGACAGAAGTCAATGGTTTTCTGATAATCAAAAAATGTCAAATTTGGTTGCAGTCCTAACCAACTCGCATACGAGGTTGGAATTTCACCTCCCTCCTTTCCATTTCCTCTTCTTGGTGCCTCTTCTATTATTTTTGTTTTTGGAGCCATAAGCCCGAGGAAGTGTTGTGACGAAGCGACTTGAACAATCCAGCAAACTAACCAAAAATGCTTTTTTATTCTACTTAATTTCCATTAGGAATCTTTCATAAACAACTACTTCTTACACTTGCGTTCTCAATTTTTACTACTGTCACTTCTTGCAAGGTTTCTTCCAACCCCCAAATAACGAGTGACTTAATCACTATGCTCGAGTTTTCTCACATCTCTACAGTGTAAACATTCTTCTGGTCTCTCCTATTATAATGATTTAATATGTTCAATGTATCAGTCTCCATTGGAACGAATTTCGCTTGAATTTTTTAGAAGGGACTACTTGGTCAAGAACCAGCTAAATTTGTCATGCGTGGAGCTTATGCGTTTATTGGATATAAAGGAAAAGTTAAAGAGGCTTGGGTACAACAAAAACACACACCTCATCGAAAAGGAGGCGTGTACTTGACAGCGAAAATTCCTTTACGTCCAGGTAAGGCTTTGTTTACACAAGATTTTCAAAGATGCGGGGAATTTCATTGGTCATGCCAAATTTAACTGAAAAAAAGACAGGCTGCACTTTTAAGCTTTGAAAAGGGAAAAAAATATCTTGCATGGCATGACGAGGCTATTGCATGCGACGTTGGATCTTTTTTATGTTCAAGTTTTGCATGAACTCAGCGAACGTAAAGGAATTCTTGATACAATGTTTTGAATATTTTTAAAGAACAGGGTCAACAACATCAGAAAGCCACTTAGCCAATTTTTGTTGTGCTGAGCCAGACATCATTGTATGTTGTACATTAGTACAACCCTTATACTCGCTTTCCTCTCAAGAAACACCCAAGTAACCCCTATCACCCCCCAATGTTCCAATGTCGTTTTGCCATTTTCATGAACGTCAGTCGTGTGGCATGCGTTGTTATTTTGCAGAACTGACGCTTAAACTTGAATCAATGGCATGCGACGATCATAGTGCTGGTGACTGCAACCTTAACAAAAACATCATCAATATAAATGGGAAGGATTACTCTAGAAATGGTCGCGGGTTCAACCTCGCCGTTATTGATTTCGGAAGTGGCGATATCGAGAAGACTGCCAATTTTGACACGTGGGATCGCAACGGAAAGGGCTCAGAACAAATGGAGGAATTTATAAAAGGAATACAAAAGAACAAAATTGTGATTGGTGTCATCAAAGACGAAGGGTATACAAATTTGAAAATGGGGGCGAAGACAGCCATTGTAAGTGTAATGTTCTTCTGTTATCAAATTCAGCCTACCTCATGATATTTTGTAATTGGCCAATCACAAAAATATACCAAAAACAAAACATTTTGTATATTTGAAAATGCTTTCTCTCTCTCTTGTAGAATACCTGCCAGAAATACTTAGGCAGGCATTGTACAAGATAATACTTTCATTCCTAAAAATCATTACTTCTGTCCCCTTCGCCCAAAACAGTGTTAATTATTTAGGCAGTCGCCATAAGGCAGTCGCAAAATCATCACTACAGCCTTTTTGCGTTCATATGAATTCTGCAAGCTTTATGGCATGATATACATTACAAAGATTTGGTGTTTTCCATGCCATGGTTGGGCGTGAATAGAGTTTAGCGTCTTGACTTGTTGGCATATGCTAAATCTCCCCCCTCCCCTGTTAAGTCATAACTCCGCCATGATGCTTATGTTGAATCGAAGGCTTTGAAAACTATTACATTGATTCTCTGTTCACCTTAAAACTTTCTTCTGCTTTCAGGCATCTTTGATTCACAAACGGATGATATCATTCGACGCGTATCGACAGTCATACATTTTTGTAGGTTCCACTTCAAGAAAAAAGTATCACTGGGTACAAGAGAAGCGCTCGCAAAGATTCACAGGTCCTACAAAACTAGAATTGGGCATCCCATTGATTGAGTCAGGTGTGATTTTGATCTTACTTAAAACAGTATTTTATTACAGCACAAACTTACCGTTTAATGAGACATGTGTATAGATTTGGATGACCCATTGGAAATTCATTTTTGCTGGCGTTTGTTAAGTATCAGCAAGATGAAATAAGGAATCAGAAATTTGTCGATGGATCTAGCTGGTCAGAAGAACATTACTTTGTTCAAACCCTTTAAATAACAAGTTAGCTTCCAAAAGTTGGGGTCACTATCAGGTTTCCGATGTTCTTTTCTCTAGCAAATCTCAGCGAAAACCAACGAGCAGCAAACAGCAAGCATGCACGCTACCCCCTGGTCACCTTAGTGGTTCAGCTCGGTTGAGCTTTTCAGCAATCACCAGCAGAATGTTATGCAATTTTGTGCATAAGTTTATGAAACTCACCTTTTTCTTTACATTCAAAATTCGCTTGTGAACCCGAAGTCGCTGCTTGGCTTTTGAACTCTATGTTTATCCCTTTTCTATATTGAAGCTCCAAATCCCAGCTGGCCGCTTGCGGCCATGTAAAGCGATCGCTGACAGTCGCTTTGAAAAGGAGAGGCATTGGCGCCAAAATCAAATCAATAAAAATGGCGCATGATGAGAATATGAGGCGGTGATTACCCAACAATGGCTTCCAGGAGTTAAAAAACATTAGTTTATAAATTTGTCGTTTGCATCCCCCGAATTCAAATACGAATTCAAATTACTGCTTCAAATGCAGACTGCGAAGGGCTTTGGAACCTGTGATTTTCTTAAAAAGATGGATATCCTTAAAATTTCTTCCCCAAAATGTTATTGCAGTGTGCTTTTCAATTATATAATTTTCATGACAACAGCAAGACTGTACAAAGTACATATTATATCTTTCTTCATTGCAAATCTGTCGATGCTTCTTAAAAAAGTGATAGGAGGAATATGTGCAAAGAAAAGAGATGTTTTGTCATGAAATTGAACAACGATAGCAATGAATTCTAATAACTTTATTTTTGCAATTTTATAAATTTATGGAGACACTTCTCTCTATAAATCAATCGGCAAATAGTGCAGCCCAATTCCGTTTTAAAACAAATCTTACTTATTGTAGGATGCGTATTACCTACTGTTCCTACCAACGGCAAACTCAAAAAAATCGAATATGACGTCACTCAAGAAGCACAATATAGGTGCCAGACAGGGCTTCGTTTAAACAAGCGGCCACAAACATGCAGTAAAACGGGAAAGTGGACGGGAGAAGTGCCATCTTGTCTGGGTAAACAGTTTTGAATAAAGTTTATTTCAATTCCTTGAGCATTTATGCACTCTTGATAACTCGAGTTTTAGATTAGCTTGCGCTTTTTCTCCATCGAATATTAAAAGCTTTTTCAGTTGACATTCATTGTATCTTTTTCAATAAGTTATACTTGTTAATGCTTTTGCCAACTGCCGGGATATCGACCATAACAACTGGACTTTACTTGCAGGGTTCTCTTTTGGTGGAAGCGGAGGAGCTGCTGGTGGAGGCGCAGGTGGATCTTCGTCGTCATCGTCATCCTTACAATTCAGCTCAATGATTGTGACTGTTACGTCGATGACGTCATTGCTTGCGATTGCAAGAACTTGAAGTAATTAAAGTTTTTTGTGTAAAAATGTATATGAAGCACTCTAAATATTAAAGATTTGGTTTGTAATAAATAAGCTTAAACATAATTAGCAAACAATGAATTAAAATTCATTTTCATCTTAGTGGGAGTGATGAAAATTTGCCCTAGCAAAAAAAGCAAGTATTTTGTCTTGTTTAATCTTATCATGTATCGATCAAATGGAAAAGAAAAGCAGAGCGAATCAGAGAACTTTGTAAATATCAGAAAAATCTTCAAAATGTCTAAATAGTTGTTATTTGTCATATCGTCACTATTGAGTCACGGTGCTTTTCTGAACGACTTTGATATAAAATCTGACGCAAAATTGAATTAATCAATATTCGTTCTTGCGTCATATGACATAAGTTCACGCAGGATTATCTGTATCCGTCTGATGTATCCATTCAAACTTTTACGATTTAAACGCAACAAGTCAAAATGCATTGGTTCTCATTGTCTTTTTATAATTCTTAAAAATCCTTGCGAGCCATGTGTGCGAAGATTCCTAAAACGATTATTGCTGCAAAGATCATATTGTTTTTCTTATTGGCAATTGATATCGGAGTAAATTCTCAAATAGGTATGTTATCAAACGTTTTACTAAATTTTTGCTGAGTATTTCTTCACGATCTAACATTTTTAATCCTATTTTGTAAGGTTGGAGGATTCAATATCATATTCTGATTTTGAGTTTGGTACCATAATAGTAAATGTTGTCAAAACTGTGAAGCTGCTTTTTGTTTAAGCTTCCTTTTTGTTTGCATTCATTTGCTTTTTAACTGTTATATATTACGAGCTATTTTTTCCTCATAATGAATATATTTAAAGTTAGAGATTATTTTAAAGATTTATCATGGTTTATTATCACCAATGCACAGGCGCACTTGGTAAATAAGTAAATAAGGGCCCGTACGCACTTGTATGGAAGATAAATGGGATTATCTTCGTCAATATTGAAAATCAAGGCAAGCTTTTTCCACGGAACCTTTGAGTTGACAAATTCAGCAAGAACGAGTTTTGCTGGGCGCACTAGAAACGCTACATAGCAGACTAACACCTATTGTTAAAAGGCAATAGGGATTACGTGAAGATGTATGATGTTTTAAAATTATTTTGAAAATCTGTTTTAAATTAAAGAAAGTTTTCAAAATGACTTTTTATGCTGAAGAATTCACTAGTTGAATGGGGATAATAATTGAATTTACTAACGAAATAACAACCTAATATTTTGTAGGGCCCTTGGATTCCTTCAAAGCTCATGTTTACTCATTCGGCATAGACGATCCAGCCAACGGAGGCTCTACATTGTCAAAGGTTAATGTTTATGGCAAAAAAAACAATAATTATGTGTACGAGTATAAAACAAAGACGAATCTGAAATCTGGCTTTTTGATAGTTGTAATAAATAAATACAGTGGATACGTCGAGTTCGAAAAAAGGTAAGTGCCTTCCCTCAACAATCTCGTTACCAAAAAACTTACTAAATGAAACACATATTAGCTGATAAGGTCCTGAACCATGCTGCGTCATCGTCAAATAGAAACAGGAGTTTTCTACATGGCAGCAATTACTTAAAAACTACTTGAAGTACCTGGATTCAGGATTCACTACTTCGTTGTTTCATAATCAAATATTAAGTTAAATATTTCCCCCTACTTGGCGTTTATAATATGGAGACATTCTGTTTATTGTAAAATTGGATACTTGTACTTCAAAGGAAATACTCAAAGAATAGACCAACTGGGTTTTCAGGCAGAAAAGAGTATTTATTACAATATAGTTCAGCACGACGGCTATGTAACCTTGATATCCCATACATCTTTAAAGAGTGATGTTGAAAATAAACAATATCCTTATTATCGGTATAATAAAACCAAAACCTTTATGTGTGGAGCATTTACCATAGGAAGGCGTTCATTTACACTTTGTTTTGGAATGTAAATATATTTTTTGCTCAGCTAGAAGTTTATAAAAGGAAATAATGTATAATTTTGAAAATCTTAATGAACAGTCAAATGAATGACTTTCCTGATAAGCAGCCAAATGTGCTCTCTGGTGAGAAGTGGGTAGCGGAAACGGGAAAGGAAAGGCTTTGTCGATGTTAGCCCTTTCTTTTGACACTCTAACTAGTTTGGTCTCTTGATTCATCGATAGTTTTGAGATAGCCAGTATCATTTGCTAATCTTGTATGAATTTTAAGACAATAACCAAATCTTTTAAATCTAATAATCTATCTTGTGCATTTTAAGACCATAATGTTTCTTGTATGAAATGACCCTTTCGATCGAATATTTGAAAGCGTTCAGTGATACAATTAGACCTTGCCTTTCCTATTGCATATAATGCTCTACCTGCTTTGGTCTCAACTTTTCTCATCACAAAGCAAATTATTCTTCTAGTTTTGATGCCACTGTTGCTAATTCTTCGGACACTAAAAAGCTGGCTAGGTTTCTAAATGAACTTCCCCAAGAAAGGATAGTCCTCGGTGGTGTTTACAAAGACGGCCAGGTTGGCACAGATGGTAACCAAGAGCTCATCAAAGCTTTCGTATGTTAACTAATTTTCATATTTTTCGCTTAACAAGCTCTTCTATTAGGTAACTTTTTATCTCTGGGTGAAGAGATTTTTTTGGAAAAAGTAAAGGAGGAACACAAGGTCAAAACACTTGAGGAGAAAATCATCATTTTGAAAACAATATTTACCAAACTTTTTAAATGACAATTTAAACTGACTAAAATCTCACATAGTCTGCGTGTTTTCAATTTATAGGGTATATAAGAAATTTACAAAAAAAGCTCCCAGGTTCTCAAACCAAATGGTTTAATTGTATCATCACAAAAATACTCTTGATTTCTTATTCGTGTTTTCCAGAGTCGAATCCTTGGAGAGGCAATGCACAAACTTTACTATGGAGGAGCATATTTTTTTCAGGGACACACACGTCTAAGAGATGACAAAAATCCTCCAGATTTCCAAAAAGCTCTAGAACGGAAACGAGGACCTGGCATTTATCAAACGCTGGCAGCAGTTACGCCAAATGGTAAAGTTGATGTTTCTTTTTATCCAGATTTCGCTCCATTGGAGCGTAGTATACGGATCAAAACCATCAGATCCACTTCGCATTGGTCAAACAGCCTCAGAGATGTCCCGTTTTTTCAAGAGAGAGAAAAGCTTTGAAGTACATTAGAAACATAAATGAAAAAAGTTAATATTTGAAGATAGCCGAAACTGTTTCAAAACCTTATTTAATCACTTAAAAATAAGTCCTAATGAACATAGAATCTTGCAATCAAAGGCAGATTTTGCAGTTATTTTCATTATTTTCATTGTGCTACAAGGTTTTCAAGTGATTCTTCGGGACATAACAGTTATCATTAGATACAACACACATTTGTACTTCTTTACATTGGTTGGAAACTCCGAAGCTTTTAAAAAGGAAGATTCTTTGCAAGAGGTCTTATGACTCATCTTAGTTGATTTGTTGGAGTACTAGTGAAATTAATGAGGGGATGGAGGCTACTTTTGCTAAAAGGAAAACTTGAAACATGGAAAAGTGTTTCGATTATCCATGATCCAAATATCGAAAAAAGACCAGAATGATGTGAAGATTGTATTCATTTTGATGTGTGAAAATTGTTCAATTTTTTCTACTTATCACGAGGTCAAACGTTTTCAGTAGCAAAGTTTAAGTTAAATATGATGCACTTGATTTCAGATTGGTGTTTTTATCTTTGCAGTGGTCAACATAAAAATTTCTTCTCTTGGTTGTGACGATCCTGGGCCTCACCGCCCGAAGCAGGAGGTGTGCCATGACGTTTTAAATACAATAGCAATCAACGGAATTAATCATTCGCCCCAGAAAGTCGGATTGAACATTGTATTTATGTCAAGAGAGCTTGGGCACGTATTTGCTACCGAGGCATTTGACTTCTCAAAGGACAAGAAAGAAGAATCGAGGTTTGCCTCGTTTGTGTATTCATCACCCCCAAACACTATCGTTCTGGGATCTGTTAAGGGGGATGCAAGCAAGAATTTTGGTGTCATGGGCTTGGAGGTCTTGGTGAGTTAATTAAAATCAGTTCTATACTATACTTTTTTGTAAACATCTCACTCACGTCATACACAACAATCCAATCTATTTGCATTATTTCTCTTTTGTTTATTCCTGTTTTTCAAGCCATTGTGAAGAATAACAGAATTTTTCAAATTGGATATTTTTTCATGTAAAGCCAGCACACTTTAGCGATATTTGTAGACGAGAATGCCGCTTTTCTTGCAGAAAACATCGCAAATTTACGATAAAGAGAAACAATTTTTTTACAGCATGTGACAGAAGGAGATATCTACATAGCATGTTTGACTTTAAAATTAAGCAAAAAATAGGAAAGCAATGGTGACAAAAATTTCAAACGTACACTAGGCGTAACGAAATGGGTTATACCTTGCTTTTTATGTCTATTTGTTCATTGCTTCTATTCCGCTCTTTCTCCCTCCAGCAAAGCGTTCTTGGCCGAACAGATATTCCAACTTTTAGACTAAGGTCAGCGTACACCTTTATCGGTGTTCATGGTGCAACTGAGGGTTTCCACGAAGAAGCAAGAAGCTTGAGACAGTTCAACACTGCAGATAGGTACTTGGGCGGTGTCACAACTTCGATCAGTTTACAGATACAGCGAGGTATGCTTCCCAGAACAATCCCAATATATTCATTGAGTTGCATCTAATGAAGTTACTGTTTATGGGTCAGTCATAAAGTAATCGATGCCGTATAGGCAAAGCTCTACACGCTTTGGTGAATAGAAAAGGACTTTTCTCAGTTGCTACTCCGATTTTCATGCTCAATGCGATCATCAGCCAAATATATAATAAGATTTGTGTAAATTGCCCATACGATTTCATGTCTTGCAACACATAAGTTTTACTTAATTTTCAGAGCTTCGGTGTTGCTCAGTTGATCGCTGTTTTGATTAAAAAAAGATAATTCTAACAAAATAATAAAGGTTAACTTCTTCATTAGTTTAGCAGGCTATTCTATTGAGTTAAGCACTCGGTAACCTGCTACTCTTCCTGATACAAAAGTTCAACATAAGATGGTTTCAATTAGACACTTATAATGGAATCTTTGCCTATTATCCGTTTGACAAGTCTTTTGAATAAAAGGGCTCCTTGGAAAGCAAATCATTTTCTATCCCAGTTAAAACACTATGTATGACGTCAAGCATATTTCCTTTCTGAATATTTGAAATCAAGTCAGCATATCCCACATTTTGTTACTGAACTGTTTCATGTAGGAATCGGAAAAGAAACTTCCTATTAAAAAAGAAATGAAACTTCACGCATTGGCAACAAGTTCACAGACAAACGAGTTCCCCTAATTCTTGTATGACCCTGAAGCCAATCTGGGAATAATTTTGGGTCTTTTGATGTCCTTTTCTGACTTATTTGGGGCCTAAATACTTCCTTTCTTTAACACAACCCATTCAATGATGCAATTTTGTTGTCTATTCTTTAGATATTCGATTGTGTTTCTTTTGTAGAAATCGATGTCGAGATTATTTCGAAGTCATGTGAGCCAGGCTCATGTGCAACTTCAACTGGTGCATTATTTAAAATAAATGGGCAAGTCATAGAATCGAAAGGGCGTGGCTTTACATTCCTTGCTCTCAATGCTGCGAATGGAAAGGCTGAACAGGTATTACATGCCGATACACATGGCACTGCGGTGGAACTTGAGGACGTTTTAAAGCCTGTTCCAAAAGTTAAAATTTTGTTGGGTTTGGTTAAAGAAGATGCTTTTAGGCGACTGACAGAAAAGTCTTTGAAATATTTGGAGGTAATAGCTTCTTTACTGTCTTAATTTTTGGAACCTAAGAGGTACCGTTTTGATTTAAATTTAAAAGAATGTCACAAACCAGCAACATAAGTCTAGTACCAGGTTTAGTAAACGAATTCGAATGTATCTTCGATACTGGCAAACAATCGAACTATTTTTGTTACCAGGTCCTAAAACTTGTAGAGAGCATTTGTCAAGAATTTGAATTGTTTGTTTGAGAGTTTTGCTTTTTCAGTTGAGAAGCTTTGAATCGTTTTTTTTTCTTTTCAGAATACAATAAACCAGCGTTATTTATAGACTTCTAAACATGATTTTGGATAGATTACAGTAAAGATTAATCGCCTTTTTTGATAATTCAGCTTTCCTTTTCATATTGTAGGAGGTCTGGATAGGAGAGCCAGTGGCGTTGAACGCGTTGTATGACGCGTATGCATTCATTGGCATGAGCGTAGAAGTGAAACCGAACTGGCTGCAGCAGAAGAAGGCCCCTAAGACGACTGGCACTGCTACTATCAAAACTAAAATTCCCATGGCAACAAGAGGTAGTTTGGTTTAAATATAAGATCTACTTCTGTTCAAATGTTAGATCTAAAGCAGTAATTCTTGAAGCCTTTGACACTAGAGAAAATTTGCCTATCGTTATAATTTTAGCTTGAAACGAAGCATGTAGCCAGCGGTTTTTTATGGGCATCTAAAAAGATTCTACCATAAACCTAATAGTTCAGGTCTTCAATGAAGGTTTTACCAACCTGCTGGATTTCTACTGACAGACAAGGACACACACTGAACACCATTTGAATCGAATGTTTGAAAAAATGCCCCAGATGAAAAATTTGACATTTGTCAAATATCATTATCAAGTTTGCCAATAGTGAGGTCCAATACCAAGTTTATGAACGTAATAAAAATGTCTTGCCTGCTTGTCATAAAGTGCTCGATGTACCCGTTGCCTGCCGAAGCATGAAGTTACAACTAAATATACCATCCTGTTCTTTTCACCATAGCGTACTAAGCATGGTGTAAGAATATACATAATCCGAGCAAAATTTTCACATACTCTTATAAGATTTCTCGAGTTTCATTTTTGTTCTATGAGATAAATGAAAGAAGCCACAATAAATCTATTCCTGCATAAATTGTTTCTAAGTATTTTCTACGTTCTCAAATGGCACGAAAAAGCACGAAAAACGAAAACGCATGTGTCAAAGTTAGGCTTGTGGATAATTTTTCTGTCAAGCTATTTATGCTGTTTTTCCTGGATATAAAATTTGCTCACTTTTTTGGCATTGTCTGAAAACACATTTAAATCCTATGTGTTATTCTCCAGCTTTTTCATTCAATTCATTATTTAGTTTTGATATCTACCAATTTGGGACAACATTTTTTGCCATAGAGTGCTTCAGCCCAAATAATCCAAAAGATGGCAAAGCCAAGCAGAGAATATATGCACATTATGAAGATGCTGAGTATGAATGTGGTGATGGAACGATCTTTTTTGGTGACCCCGACAAGTGTATGGCAGATGGAAGCTGGAGAAAAAGCGAGGACAAACCAGTTGAGTGTAGGAAAGAAAGTAGGTACTGTTATCCTTTTCATAGATGCTTGTGGCTAACTAACTAGACCATGTAAAAATTTAATTCTTAATTAGTAATGCATTATGGAAACTCTCTGTATCTGTCTCAGGTTGGTTGATATTTAAGCAAAACAGATCAAAGATCTAAGCTACCGGGATTACGTTATCTTCCAAAAACTTTCCCATCGTAAAAAGAATCAAGGCTAGCATAATGAGCATTTTGTGGGCCCGAATTCAATTTGAGTATCAATTAAAAGCACGGAATTAAATAGAAGCAGAACTCCTTTATTATTCAATTACTTTGAAATTACGAAAGAATTAAAGAAAAACAATATTCGGTAAACAGGTTAATGTACCATACCATATGTAAAAGTTAATGTTGCTGTGCTGCTGCACAGGGGCACATTTCTCAATAAAGTGCCTGGAGTTAGATAGCTGGGTGTCCTTCCTAACGCTAACCTCTATTCCAGTTAACCTCCATCTCAGTGGACCTACTAACTTGCAAGGCAGCAAGGGCCAATCCGCCTTCCCAGATGTTGTGAAAGATTTTCTTTTCGACCTTATCTCCCTTTCAGGGCTTTACCGTTGCCTTGGCAAAGGGAGTGCCCCAGGCTGGTGGTGGGTAGGAGATGTCTTTAATTTTCTAGTGCATGGCAGTCATTAACAACTAATCCCCATTGCCTCCGAATACACGCAAATAGGTATTAAAACTTTCACGGTACTCACGTGTCTTTTGATCTGAATTTGTATATAGATTTCCGCGTACATTTTTTGTCGTTATTCAACGTTATTCCCTTCTTCTATCAAAGAAAGGACATTGAGAAAACGATGATCGCGAAAAATAGTTTGCATTCTTTTTATGGACTTGATTTCACAACCACTTGAAACTGAGAGTGCCACTTGCATCAGAAAAATATGTTAGCAACTGACAAGATATCTAAACCAAATGTTTTCTTTTGCCTAGTTGATGAATGTAAAGAGGGAACTGCAAAGTGTCCACAAAATTCAAACTGCAGAAATCTTCCTGGGTCTTATGAATGTGTGTGTAAACCAGGGTATGCGAGAAGCTTACACGGGAAATATTGCGTTTGTATGTTTGCATGCTCTCTTTCCTTTTTTAAGTGCTATTTCATTTACAATTAACAATCCTTAAATTAATTGGGATGATGCATTTTGAATGCCGAGAATTGTCAGCGTTGCAATGGATACGATTGAAAAAGGAAAGGATCTGATTTTGATTACTCAAATGAAAGTTTATCAGGCTAGAGTACAAGTTCAGTTGTTAATCATATTCAGCACGACAGCTAAAGAAGATAACCAGTCTGGGTCGTCTCGGGGAAGCGCTAGGCCACCTTCTCTTCTTGATTCTGCTGGAAGTGGATAAGCTGCCACGAGAGGCGATCAAGACCAATCAAAAGACGGAAATGTTCGGTAAACTGTTGAGTAAAGTGCTAGGTTGTTTAAATAGCTCTTTCTATATAGTTCGTATCATTTAGTCCTTAACTTGATCTCATTCCAGTTATTTTGTCATTTCAGATCGCAATACTTGCGAAGATTCCCAGTGTCTGATACCAGATACAAAATGTGGCATTGTTAACGGGAGCTTCACATGCGTATGCAACGTGGGATATGTTATAAAAAACGAGGCATGCGTAGGTAATTGATTTACCGCTCACAATTCAAGTCTTTCAAATATTTAAGATTGATTTGCAGCAGCTTCGTATAATACCGTTTCTGTTTCTAAAATAATTTTTGTAGTATGAATGTCTTGCTTTTATCATTTCATTCAAAGATCAAGACGAATGCATGCTTGATACATCCAGTTGCTCCCCGAGTGAAATCTGTCTCAACACAGCCGGTTCATATCGTTGCAAAAAGGTTAGGGCAACTTTTCACATCTGTACAGGCACCGCGGAGCAGTATTTTTTGCGATCAGCCCTTTTTAAAAATCATGCAATGTACGGAAAGAAAATGTACGGGACCACATCACAAGTCTCTGTTACAACAACGCTCCTTTACCCTGTCAATTTTTTATTATCTGCGACCACTGTCTGCGACACGTTCTCTCCAGTCCTCTCCGTGGCGCCACCTCTGCCTGGGCTGCCAGATTTTGAGTTCATTTTATTGCAGCTGATTTTGTTTAAACAACCAACTTTTAGGGTATTTTTTTAAGGTACCTGGCGACATAAGTAGCCTGAGAATAGCTATTAAAGAAATCGTGAAAGTTCAATCCTTTTATCCAACTTTGCTCCGAGGTTTTATTATCCGATCGATCTCGTTTTGTTTTCATTTACATCAGATCATTTTCCCTGTAAGGATTTCTATTTGTAGCGACATTTGAGTCGTTTAGCTCGTCTGATGTCACGTCTTTTTCCATTTTCTCTCCACAGTGCGCATCTGGATTCATTGCAGATCTAAAACACAAGTCATGCACTGGTAAATTTTTACAATTCCAAAGTCATACTTGGTATATTTTCTATGTATAATTACCTACAATTAAGTCACCCCATGAATCAAAATTTTCCGTGAAACAGATTCCCCCATGCATCTCTCTACTTTCTATTGCATTTACCTGTTCTTCATCATGCTCATCAGTAATAAAGAAGAAGTAATAAAGATCATTAACTTAAACATTCAGTTACCAACGTCTCAACAATTTTGAACCCAGATTAATGTTCTGCTAATGATATGTCAGTTTTGGGCACTTTTTTTGGAGACAGAGATGCTACTAATAGAAAGACTAATTTTTCTATTCAATTAATAATAAGAATTATTTTTAAATTATGGACTCTATTAAATAAACGTTTTTTTTATGTTATAATGGATCGCATTCTTGCATTGCAATTTTCCCCTGAACTCCATTACGCTACTTCCTTATTACTGATGAAGGAGTATGCCAGATAACCGCAATATTCATGGCAATACATGTTATTTTATAACTGTCTTTGTGTTCTTTTTTACAATTTTTCAATATCATGAAAGTACACATATCAACGACGTTTTATTTGCAGCTACGCCCGTTGAATATTTAGTTTTAATTTTGGCAAAGATAGAACGTGTTTCACCTATACAGGAGAAAAGTTACCCTAAATCACACACTGCAAATAACACAGGAGTAAACTCTGATCATACAATTACTCGGCAGAGCGCACTTTATGTTATTTAAGCAAAACATTACTGACAAACTTTTTGCTTTCGTAATTTTCAGACTTAAATGAATGCAAACAGGGGAAATCCTCATGCAGCACAAATCAAACGTGTGTTAATACGGCTGGGTCTTACAACTGTGCTTGCAAGTATGGATTCAAAAAGACATGGGATAACAATTGTGAGGGTAGGTTGGTCATGTCAATGCCATGAATTATTTGCATATTTCTCTTATTTTGATTTTAGAAACAATGAATGAATGCATATAAGACATACAACAAGTTATCACCAATTTTAGAGAAGAAAATTTGGGGTCATGTATTTACGCTTTACTTCATAAATCGACGTTTTACTAACTGACAGGAATTCATTTAATTCTTCATAAACAATGTGATATTTTCTTGACTTGGGCAAGGCTTGTTGCTTAATTCCATAAGCTTCACAAAGATTCACATTTACACATATCTCATATCTCAATTAAATCTCTAGATCATTTAAGTAAAAGTTGTTTTCACTCCTTTCTAATACTGGATCTCCCTAGTAACCGCCGAACACCTCTGTTTAGCCTGGCCTCTTACACGCATCAACCCTTATTTGGAAAGCCAAGGGTGGTTAATAGAAATTATCCGTCCTTTACTTAAATGCAGAAAGTCACAGTCTGGATATACTGTATCATTGTCTTTTCTTTTTTAAAAATGTTATCGAGTCTTCATTATCTTTATATTTGTAATGATTCAGATGAGAATGAGGATGAATACGTCGATAAGGTACTATCCCCACCGACATACATACACTATCAATACGCCACTGACCCATCTAATGCAGCTTGCTGCCCAAGCCCTGGAAATGAAAACCATTGTTTTGCCCCACCAATGATGGGTTCTTTCGGCCAAACATTCATTTTTTTTCTAAAATTAATAGCAAGGGATGGGCCTTTTTGGAAGTTTTGCCCTACCAATCAAAGGTCGTTTAAAAGATGCTCTGACGTCCAATAGAATGAAAAGTTCGATTCAAAGCAACAAACTAGAGTAAGAGAGAGAGAGACTACATATTTTATCCCTTTATAGCTTAGGAAATCTACTATTTAAAGAAAAATTTGCAAAGGCTATGTTAAGGATAAAATTAACACTCCCTTTTGAAATTCCTTGGCACTTTCCCGTCTCTGATGTAAGCTAGCATCACTTTTAAAAGCGCCCCCTCTTGTAAACGCTCACCAAAATTTTGAATCTTTTTTTAAGTGTTCAATTGCGTAAAGGAAATATGGAATGTTGAAGGAATGTTAAAGGAAATACCGTACATGAGAAAAGGCTGTCATTCAATCAAAGTGATACAGTAGACTCCGGTTATATTCACACTAAATGTGCCTAAATTTGTAACTCCTGTAAACGGGGTGTTACTGTAAGCAGAGCTGAATTGGGTAGCTTTGCCTATTTGGGTCTAAATCTTTTGTTACTGTAATGGGTAGTGTGGCTTTAAGCGGGTGGACTAAAAACGGAGTCGATTGTGTAAAGTTTTGTGATGTGTCACATTTGTTTGCCCTGAAGCTCATTCCTTAGTTTGCAAGATAATCCAAGAAACAAATACGTTGATTATTCAAAATCATCTATTTGATGCACTTATTTCTAGATATAGACGAATGCATTGAATCTGCCAATGCGTGCCCATTTGCGAAAAATTGCCAAAACTCAATTGGTGGGTTTGATTGTTACTGTCCAACTGGGCTTCTTGACGTTCAAGATGACTGCCTGGACCCTATGATCATTGTCGTCATCGCTTTTAGCATTGCTGGTAATTATGACAATTATTGAATTTGCATTCAGCACGCCTTGCTATTCAGTTAATTGCCAAATACTCCAAGTATTCTTAGTGATGAAAGCAAAGGTGTAGCTAGCGTGGGGGTAGTGTAGGGGGGCGTGACACCCCCATTTCTTCATGGGTTTGTCGAGAACTCTTCTGTTGGTCCAAAAATTCTTAATTTGTCGATAAAATTGCCTGTCGGTAGGTAAAATAGCACCAGTATTTTTCTTCATTTATTTCGTTGTCGTCAGTAAAATTTTGCTACTGATGACCCTCCATCCAATCCAACCCTTAATCTGGAAGGTCAAGCTACGCCACTGGACAAGGGTGTATTGTCTAGCATGGGTGTGGTTCAAGTGAAATGCTGTACTTGTTTTGTTCGATGACAATATATCTTTTTTAATCAAATTTGAAAACTTTACTGAATCGCACATTAGTGGGCCTGTTACAAAAGGGTGCTTGTCTCGCATGTACAGTACACTAATTTCGTTTGAATGGCATCGCCGAAAACATTGTAGTGATTTGTTTAATGTGCCGGTTTTGGTAAGCTCCCAAGAGGTTTGCTGCCAAAAATTAGCAGCCATTAGCTTGGAAAATGTGCTGGTGCCAATTTCTCTGCCAATTTTGGTAATTAAGGTATCCTAAATTAATTACCAAGTAATCAAACGACAAAAGTTTGCAGATCGATGCCTTTTTCTTTTTTTCTTGGGCCCGTTACATATGTATTTCAAATGGTAACTCGAAGGTTTAAATGAACTATTAAACTGCCAAACCTTGACTTTCTGCCAAACGGCAACTTTGGACAAACGTTGACCAAAGCCTGTGACATAAATTGATCTAAATCACTTTGTGGAGTTGTGTTTTTAGACCTTTCAGGATCTATCTTGCTGATTCTTTTAAACTTTGTATTCCAGAGAAAACACTGAAGAAAAAGTCATTTGAGCTTTTCTCATTTCATATCATTCAGCAAATCACAGCTGGGTTCGCACAACCACCCCCAGTTGCACGCACGCAATAACAAAACCTCAACGTTCTATATATATACTGTAAACTAATTAATTCAAAATAAAGTGCCAATGATGATGCTCCATTCAATTTACGTCAATTAGCTCAAACGAAAGTGTAATTATTATAATCGAAGCAATTAGGAAATAAGGTAAACAAGTCACACGTCAGAAAGTCACAAGATACAGTTAAGGCTTAATTACACTAAACCAAAAACCTTAATCGACTACGCAATGAAAATTTACGTGAAATTCTAAACATTGTGAAAGGGAGCTGTTTGTCTGTAATTGAAAAAAATTGGATCTGTAAATATGGCATATCGCTAGTTGAAAAATGGTAATGGATTTGAATAGAATAGCATGCTCTCAAAGTAACAAGTTCTACAGAAAGTCGATCTTTGAATATAATCAACTTAGCTAACTGCTCTTCCAAGTGATTGTTTTCTTTTTCGTTTGTTGACAAAGGACTGCGGCCTAAAGTTCTTCATAATTGTAGAGTTATAAAAATTATTGATTTTAGGCCCAGTAACTGACTTTTTAGCTTAAGCAGGGTTGTTTTGATGTATCTTTCAAGCAAAGTAGCTTTTAGGGCTTTCTTATTTGAAAATGCTGTTATGAAAGTCACTAACATAGCAAGAGAAATGCAACTAATATTATTTTCTCGAATTCACAACATTAAAGCTTGTATCGTTATTCAAAATACTTCTCTTATCAAACTGTTTTTATCTTTTTAGTAATTGGAGTTATCATTTTTGCTCTGGCTTGGTTCTTCAAAAAATGGAAGAGAGGCAAATCAAGGAAGTCTCTGGAAGGGCTCATCCCAAATGAAGAGATCGATCATGAAATCGACCCTGATGATTATTTTGAAAAGTCGAACAATTTTGTTGAATGATACAAATATTGTAATGTAAATGTTGTACTTTGAATTGATATTTAGGTATAATTGTGTAGCCTAGTACAATTTTATTGCACTAGTAATAGACAAAAGGCTGTTATTAACGAGATCTTGCATTATTGCTTTTTGAGATGCCTCATAATTTAACGCGAAGGTAATGGAAAGCAATGTTATTTGATGCAGACACAATGTAATACAATATAGTACAGAAAAAATCACTCTATTGTGGATTCATGCGATACTTACTTGAAATACTGAAAAAGTAAATATCTCGTGAGTCAGCATATTGTAACACGCAGTCTTAATTGGAACACGTGGTTCTATCAGACAAGTTTTCGATGATTATAAGCAGAAAACTACCTGAAAAATGAACTACTTGACTGGACTACTTGGAGAAAAAGAGCATTCCCTTTTGTTTCTTTTGTTCAGAAGACAGACATGTGATACTTTCATTCTTGTAATTGTTGATTGGAACAATAACTTTTACGCGTCTGGACACAATAGTTGTTTGAGCAAGTTGTTTTGCGTTAAATTGGACAATGGTTGGTTAGTAGAGAGTGTTAATGTGTTTTTAGAGGACAGTATTTGTTAATCCCTTGCGTAATGGACAATCAAACTAGTGACAATATTTTAAAGTTGTTTACGTCGTTAATAGTATAAATTAGGTTCGTATTCGTAGTTAGTTAGTTAGTTTTTAGCCTTCGGGCTTAAGGATCAAAAGTCGCGGACGGTCTTTCAAACATTTGGTAGCAGAGGGTAGTTTTGCCGTGGACAAACTTGGACAGAGGAAGGCCAATTGACGAGAAGCATGACTTCAAACGCAGGTGAAGAAGGAAGGACAGAAGATGGAATCGGAAGAGGGGAAGACGTGGAAGATTTGGAAGAAAAATTGGAAAGCTTGAAGCAAGAAAAAGCAAAAGCAAAGTCGGCGTTCACACGTGCAAGAAAGCAGTTGTTGGAACTGGTGGAAGAAATGGATCTACCAAACAGACATCAGGTTCGAGATGGGCAAACGAAGTTGGACAGCACACAAGAAAGGGCACTGAAGATCATGATCGCACTGTCAGAGCACTATCAATGGCAGAAGAACGGAACAGCAAGACAAAAAGTTACTCAGGAAATGGAGCAATTGGTGCAAGAATTCGAAGAGACCCACAACAGAGTACAGGAGTATCTGGATGAACGAAGAGATTCAGAATCAAGTAAGACAGCGGGATCTTACAACCCACGAGAGGATCGAAAGGTAAGCCTTGGAGCACCTAGATTTAATCAAGAGACTTATTTGCCATTTCAGGAAGCGAAATTTGATTCTTCTCAATTTCACAACAATTCTGAGCGACAAGAGCTTCAGCACAAGTCAACCAATGTCGGTGTTGGCGCGAAAAGAAGTCAGTTTCCAATGACCCCGGAGGAACATTCACAGCAACTGCAACAGTCAGTCAGATTTGGTGGTGATCACAGACGATCTGAGCGATATTCACACGAAGAGTCACTTGGTCAGGACATGTGGCGACAGCTGCAGCGTGTTGCGATTCCCGTTTTCTCTGGTGACAAGCGAAAGTATGAGAACTGGAAAGCTGCATTTCTGGCTTGCATTGACAGAGCTCCTGCGACTCCTGAATACAAGCTGCTGCAGTTGAGGCAATATCTATCTGGCGTTGCACTGGAAGCGATCGAGAATCTTGGCTTTTCTGGAGCTGCATATGAAGCTGCAAAGGACAGGTTAGAGCGAAAATTTGGTGGCAAGAGGAGGGAAATCGCAATTCACTTGGAGGACATGGATAATTTCAAACCAGTGAGAGATGGATGTTCAAAAGACATAGAGAAGTTTGCAGATCTACTTGATGTTCTGGTGGTGAATCTACTGGAGAGTGGACGTCACGATGAATTGGGAAATGGATCTCTCTACATCAAGCTACTGAAGAAACTTCCAGAAACACTGCTGACGCAGTACAATCGATGGATCTTTGAGAATCGAAGAAGAGAATGCGTTGAAACACTGAAGATGTGGGTGATTCAAGAGTCTGAATTCTACACAGTTGCAAGAGAGACAGTGCATGGTGTATCAAGCGAAAGAAGAAACAGTAGATCAAGAAACTTAGCAGGAGAGAAGAAAACCACATTCTTTGGTGCTACTGAAGAATTAACACAAGTGAATCGTTTTCAAGTTGGTAGATCAGGTGTCACTGGTGGGAAATACGGTAAGCAGCGACTGTGCAAAGTGTGCAATGGTAGACATGGTGTATGGGCATGTGATGCTTTTCGAAACATGGACATTCGACAGCGATGGAATGTGGCAAAGCATTTCAAATTGTGTTTTCGGTGCCTTGGTGATGACCACAGTGGTAGTAAATGTACTCGAAGTAGAGTGTGTGGTATTCGTGGATGTCAGGAAACACACAACAAGTTGCTGCATAGCATGGGTAACAGGATCACTGGAAAGCAAAACAGCAATAAAACAAGGACACCAGAAGCCTTCAATCAGCAATCAGTCAGCAGTAGCAGTCAGCAACAGTTGTCATCGTCAGTCACGGAGGGGGAGCGTTTGCAGAGGAATTTTGCAACACAAACAACGATGGTGTGCTCAAAATCAGATGTCAAAGGAGCAACAGCATTGAGAACCATTCCGGTTGTTTTGAAAAATGGCTGTCGAAGATTGAAATTGAACGCACTTCTTGATGATGCCAGCACTCAAACGTATGTGAATGAAGATGTTGCAGCAGAACTGGGTCTCAATGGTACCTTTGAAACAATAAAGGTCAATGTTTTGAATGGAGATTGCAAGTCTTTTCAAACCATGCCTGTCGAGTTTGGACTTGAAAGTGTAAGTGGTGATGTTGACATCAGAGTAAAAGCACTTACTGCAAAGAGAGTAACTGGAAACATGAAGGTCATCCAATGGTCACATCTAGCAGACAAATGGCCTCATTTGAAGCACATTGATTTTCCAGACACCGGTTTGAGACCTATCGTGGATTTGCTGATTGGTATTGACTACCTTGACATGCACTATTCTTACGAAGAAGTCAGGGGACAAGAAGGAGAGCCCATTGCCAGACGAACGCCATTGGGGTGGACATGCGTAGGATGTCCAGAAGGCAAGAAGATCCCTGATACCCATTTCAGCAAGACGACTTTGTTTACTACAAGCAGATCTGATGTCGATGAAATCAACTCAACAATGAAGAAGTTTTGGGATATCGACTCAGCTGGAACGTTCACCCAGACAACAGTGGTGAGTCCTGATGAGAAGGCTGCATTGGAAAAAGCTGAGAATTCTTTCAGGTTCATTGATGGTCGATATGAAGTTGGAGTACCATGGAAAGAAGATAGTTATAGAATGGTGAACAATCACAAAATGGCAATGAAAAGACTTCAGAACACCGAGAAACGTTTGCTCAAGAACCCAGATGTGATGAAGGCATACGATGAAGTCATTGATCAATATTTGGACAAAGGATACATACGAAAGGTTCCAGTCTCTGAGAAGCAACCTGACAGCAAGTGGTATCTTCCTCATTTTGCTATATTGAAACCCAACAAAGCGACCACCAAGATCAGAATCGTCTTTGATGCTTCAGCAAAGTATGAAGGGACATCCTTGAATGACATGATACATTCAGGCCCGAAGCTGCAACGAGAATTGTTTGATGTTTTGCTACGCTTTAGATGTCATCCCGTCGCTGTTGTCTGTGACATTGCTGAGATGTATTTGAGGATTCAGATTCCAGAAGCTGACCGTGTGTATCATCGATTTCTTTGGAGAAGATGTGACCAGGACAGAGATCCAGAGGAGTATGAATTCAGCCGAGTGGTGTTTGGTATAACAAGTTCACCGTTTCAAGCACAGTTTGTGATTCAAAAGCATGCTCAGTTGTACAGATCAGAATATCCGATGGCTTCAGAAACTGCACTCAAGTCAACCTACATGGATGACAGCATTGATTCAGTACAAGATGACGAAAAGGGAATCCAACTGTATCATCAGCTTGCAGCTCTATGGAACAAGGCAGGCATGCATGCAAGAAAGTGGCTCTCTAATTCTCCAGAAGTTCTCTCTGTAATCCCAGTAGAAGACAGAGCATCTGAAATTGATTTGGACAATGGAGAGCTTCCAACTGTAAAGACCCTTGGAATACTTTGGCGAGCAAAGGAGGATATTTTCAGTTTTCACTCAAGCCCACCTGAAGAAAATCAAATCATCACAAAGAGATCGTTTCTGAGAACCATTGCATCATTGTTTGACCCTCTTGGTTTCTTGGCACCATTCATCGTTAGAGCAAAAGTGGTAATGCAGGAAATCTGGCGACAAGGCTTCGATTGGGATGATGAGCTCGATGGCGAAGTCAAGTCAAAGATTCAGAGTTGGTACAGTGAACTTCACGAGTTGTCAAATCTTTCAGTGCCAAGATGTCTTCACACTGGCAAGCATAAAGATGTTCAATCAATGCAATTACACGTTTTCAGTGATGCATCAGAAGAAGCTTATGGAGCTGTTATTTATGCAAGGTATGTCTACGTTGATCATGCAGCTACTACTAATATTGTCGCAGCAAAGTCACGTGTTGCACCACTGGCAGCTATGAGCATTCCAAGGATGGAACTAATGGGAGCAGTCACAGGACTTCGATTGGCGGTATCGGTAGCGAATGCAATGCAAGTGTCAGTGAAGCAAGTCAAATTCTGGTGTGACAGCATGAACACACTTTGGTGGATCAGAGGACATAGCAGATGTTTCAAGCCATTTGTTGCAAATCGTGTTGGTGAGATTCAAAACATGACAAACC